CTAGCGCTCCCTGGCGGTGCCACATATCTCCAACAACAACAACAGCACTCACAGCCCTCCAGTGGCCTGTCGCTGCCAGGCCCATCCCCCTTATCCCAATCCTATATCCAACCTCAGGCCAAGCCGACGTCGCCGCCTACCGCCGCCACCGGCCCTGGTGCTTCGTCGAACGCCGTGGCGGGTCCATCGTCACCACCGACACAAGTTCCATCTACTCCGGCCCCCCTGACGCTGGAACAGCAGCACATCACCGCTGTTGAGGGCATTGTGCCTACACTCCAGAACATCGTTGCAACAGTCAACCTTGATTGCCGGCTGGACCTGAAGACGATCGCTTTGCATGCGAGGAATGCCGAGTACAATCCCAAGGTTGGTACCTGCAGTGTTTTCTAACGCGCAACACAGCGAACTGTTATCTTTGTTCGCGTGTTTCTAGCGTTTTGCAGCTGTCATCATGCGCATACGCGACCCCAAGACGACCGCGCTCATCTTCGCGTCGGGCAAGATGGTCGTCACCGGTGCCAAGTCTGAAGACGACTCCCGCCTCGCGTCTAGGAAATATGCGCGGATTGTGCAGAAGCTGGGTTTCGATGCGAAGTTCTCTGAATTCAAGATTCAGAACATTGTGGGTAGCTGTGACGTCAAGTTCCCCATTCGTTTGGAGGGACTGGCTTACAGCCACGGACAGTTCAGCAGCTATGAACCCGAGGTGAGCCTGGTTTCCTCTTATGACCCAAACGTTGCTGACATCGTTGTAGCTGTTCCCTGGGCTTATATATCGTATGATTAAGCCTAAGGTTGTACTGCTGATCTTTGTGTCTGGCAAGATCGTGTTGACGGGAGCGAAGGTGTGTAAATTTCCTTTTCGTCTTATTCAAAGCATCCCCATCCCCGGTCCGTCTTCCGCGCCTACATGATTTTCTAATCGCTGGGGTCGTTGATGGCATGGGTGATGCTTTGGGGGGGGCGTGACAGTCCTCCATTCGGGTCGAGTGACATCGGTTGGAATTCATCCGCTGACATTTGGTTCTTGTGGCCCCTCAGGTCAGGGAAGAGATCTACACAGCGTTCAACACGATTTACACTGTGCTTTGCGAATTCCGCAAGCCATGATCAAGGCATCGCCTCGTTATCAGGCTGTGCACGGTCAATCCACTCCCCCGCCTCGTCCTGCTCGCCCCCCATGTCATCATAGATCCGTTGTGCATTGCTTGTATTTTGGCAGCGGACGCAGGTGGGAATGGCGAGGAGAGAAAACCCAAAAAAAACTTCTAATGTTTGGAAGAGCGATTGTAGTGCACGTCGTTTTCCGCCACCCCCTTCTCTCTGGCTATCCTCTTCCCTCATAAACTCCGTTCACGATAATTTTATTCTTCCTTTTGTCGTCTTCAAACAATGCAATCACCATCATCCCCCCACCCATCCAATTTTGATTCGGACCTCCCAATTATACGCACATACAATACTGTACATACACAAGATATACGTAGTCCCTGTTCACGAAATGACATTTGATGTTTTTGGTGTTCATCGCTAAGTTACAGTATGTGGCAAACAAGAATGGAACGTCATGGTTCTTCACTTGACATCACACCACGGTGCCACTCGGGGCATCTTCGAAGCTTCAATGTTGTTTTGATGTTGTTCAACAATAACCTCGCCGCCTCGCAGACAATGCATGGATAAGGATTCACTTTACGGGCTGGCATAGGCCAGTTCTGAATGAGCCTGGCGCCGACTGCGTTTCAGCTGTTCTCTGGGCACCCTCTCAGCACAACTGCTCTCCTAACATTCGACAACGTATCTTCTCGTTTCCTGGGATATCTTCTCTTCCCCACTGGACAGCAGGCCTGTCTTTGGAACCTTTCTTCGACGGCGCATTCGAGTTCTGACCATCCTCTTGCGATGGTCAACCTCCCGAAGCTAACCGCTTTCCTCACCTACGACCTGATGCCGGTCACGTATAAACCGATACCTGGGAGCTCTGCCTCTGTATCTCCCTTCAGTTCGTCTTCTTGGGCCGGGAATACTACGAATTTACAAGCGCACCTTCACCGGAGATTGTTAGGGGAGTATACCAAGCGGTCTGCAGTGAAGACTTTAGATGCAGCCGCTGACTGCAGTGTCGAGCCCTACGATGCGCCACCGGTTTTGAAGCAGACCTTTCCGCCGTACGATCAGACGAGTGCGAATGTATATCGATACAGGCAGCAGCAGGGTGTCAATTTAGGCTCTTGGTGGGTCGAACTTTCCTCAGGTCTACCACCTCTAAAACTTGCCGACTAACTCAAGCTCAGGTTCGTCCATGAGAGCTGGATGACACCCTCCCTCTTCAGATGCGCATCAGGCCCAAAAGTCTCCGAAGCCGACATCGCCTACGGCTGGGGTTCAACCGCCAACGCGCGTTCAGTCCTCGAGCGGCACTGGGACACTTTCATTCAAGAATCCGACTTCAAATACCTCGCAAGTATCGGCATCAACACCGTCCGTTTACCCATCGGACACTGGAGCCTCGGGAGACCAGAGTACATGAAGGGTACCCCGTTCGAATGGGTCTCGAATGTATACAATAATTCATGGTCTAGGGTCGTTCGAGCTATCAATTGGGCGGGCGAGAACGGGATCGGGGTGCTAGTTGATCTGCATGGCGCTGTTGGGAGCCAGAACGGACAGCCGCATTCTGGAGTGTCAGATGGGAACGCGACGCTTTTCAGCGTGCAGCAGAACATGGACAAGACCGTTGACGTGCTCGCGTTCCTGGCAAAGGAGCTGGCACCTGTGAATAATGTTGTCGGCATCCAATTGTTGAACGAGCCAAACTACGATCCTGGGTTGGAAGATTTCTGTAGGTTGTGTTCATTATATGATCGTTTTTGCAACTCATCTGAAGCTCAGCCAACAGATACACGGGGTATAGGAGCTATAAGAGACGCATCTCCTCATGCTACCAACTTGCCCTTATACCTGCACGACGGGTTCGACCTTGACCGGTTTGCAAATTACGTCGCCTCTCGTTCAGACTTTGTCGTCCAAGACCATCATTCGTACTTCGTCTTCTCGCCTTCCGATAAAATAGAATCAGGCTTGAAGCACACAGATGACGTCGACGGTGCCGTTGCCAGTTCCTTGCGCGCAGTGTCCAAGAAGGTCCATCGAAATTTAGTTATTGCCGAATGGTCTTGCGCACTTACTCCAGAGAGCTTGGAGCTGGACAAGGACGCGAGCCAGGTCAGGAAGAAGTTCTGCGAGGAGCAGATGAAAGTGTATACAAACACTACCGCTGGCTGGGCATTTTGGTGTAAGCAGCCACTTTGCTTCGTCCCATCCTGACTTAACTTCCTTCTACCATAGCATACAAAACGGAGGACTGCAAAGACGACTCTGGATGGTGCTTCACAAAGGCAGTTGGGAAGAGCTTGTCCTCGACCTTCTTCTCTTATGGCAAACAAGTTGCCAAAAAGACCCAGTTAGCCAAAGATGTTAGTGCCATCGACGACGCAGCCTCCGAGCTTCTCATGCCTACGATTGCTAAAAATCTCCTCGAACTGCCTTCCCGACATCCCCACAACGACCGTCGTGCTTCAACTGATTCAGCCTTCCATCGTTTTGCCATCATACATCGCAAACGTGGTGACAAGCAGGACCAGGACTCTAAGGATGGCCACAATTCGACTATGTCGGACGGTGATGGGTCGAAAATTCCAATGGAGCGTTCTGTTGAAAAAGGGTATAATGATGGGCTGACGACGGCGCAAGCCTTTGCGAGTTACAACATGTCGAAGCTGGGGTTCATTAGCCAATTCATAAACGATGCCATCACAGTCGCTGGACCATCTCACATCGAGCCTGGAACGGAGGGTGGCTACAGCGACGGGTTTCTGCAGGGTTTAAAGGATGGAGAGTTGATTGCTGGTGCAAGTGGAGGATAGATTCCTCATGTAACCAATGACCATAGAGAAATGAAGAGGAAATCATGTATACGAAGAACTAATATATGTATAGAGAGGGTATTTACGGTACTCGAAATGCATGGAAAAGACGGGTGGAGTGGCGCCAGTGACACAGCGTCAACCTGCGAAAAGAGCGGATGTATGCAGCGCGGACTAATCCTTACACAGCAGCCACAATCCTGAAGGGCATAAAACATGAGCCTTGAACCATTGACACGAAGCAAAAGGAAAAGGACGCACTCTTCTGCCTTGTTCAGCGCTGCCACCATGCTCTGCACCTCCTTCCTCCTGCTGACAACATAGTCGCTCTCCTTGAGGAGCTCGTCCAACACATCAGGCTTGTACAACTCCTGGAGAAGCTCTCTCTGAAGATTCTCCTTCGAGAAATTGACGAGCGTGAGCGAGATCGCCTTGGGCACCATGTCGATCATCTCGCGCTTGACAATGTTAAAGTAGGAATGGATCAGGAGCTCTGTTTACCAGTCACGGTCAGCAAACCAATCCGAGAATGCGGCGAGAAAAGAGATACGCACTGATAACCTCAGTCTCCATCGTCTCCCTCTCATTGAGGGCAGCCTGTGGCCGGATAGTTGCAGGAGGCGCATCCATGACAGCTGCACCCTTCTTCTTCGCCGTACCGTTCTTCGCGAAGAACGACTGGAAGAAGCTTGGCTGCTCCTTGATATCGACGTCAAGGTCCTTGTTGTTGTTGATCGCCGCCTTGGGGTTCTTCGGGTCAGCACCAGGCGGTGGGGGCTTGTTCGCGTTCAGGCGCTCAGTGACGAGCGCGGTAGCCTGAGAAAACCAGGTAGGCCAAGTAGGACAGAGAACAGTCGTCTAGCGGACTAACCTTGTGGCCGCCAATGAAGTCGGGGTGCGTCGTGTTTACGTAACACGCCTGCATACTATCGTGTAAAGATGAATGAGTATAGGGCGTTCAGATGCGAATTAACGGATACGTACGCAACCATATCTGTGACAAGTTTGACGGTAGGAGTCATTGATTGCTTAAAGAAGTTGATAACCACGGAATTGAAGCGCTCCTTCAGTTGAGGGTATCGCCTGAAGGCTTGCTGTGGGTGATGCATCAACTCCGAAAGCTCTTCGCGGGCAGAGGTACACGTACTACTTTGACCAGGAGCTGGCTCAGAATGCGGACCAGCTCTTCGTACACAAGCTGACAACACTTCACGGAGGGTTCTTCTAGACGTTTAATTTGTTGCTTTACAATGACTTCAAATGCAGCTGTGCCGACAAAAAGTGCTGGCGTAGAACCCTAGAGTCATACAGGATCAATTACAATCAATCACAAAATAGTTACTGGGGCACTTACGGAAGAGTTATACAAAATCGTCCTGATGTCGCCATCTTTCACTTGATCGAAAGGATCAATGCTCTTGATACCGTTATTAAATAATTCGTGGAACACGAAGCTGATACGAGCACCTCCTGAAAGCTCGTTCAAGGAGAGGTCGTTCGTGTTACCGTCGATTGTGGTCCGGAATTCGGACGTGAATTCTGTGATAACAGAAAGAACAATGTTGCCAGAGTTTCCGTCACCTGTAGGGCCGCCGAGGCTGATAAGTTCGGCGTTGAACTTCTGGAGGTTAGCGGAGATACGGGCTTTGATGTCGGGCAAGGTTGCTCGAATGTGATGCATGAGAATCTAGAAACCGTTGAGCTTGGGTAGTAGTGGCATGTCACGAGAGGCCCACCATATTAAGCTTCCTTGCAAGGAAAGGTGTACCGCAGAATTGTGCTTTGCCCTTGTACGAAGGATGGTTCTCGAAGAACTCTCGCTCATGTTCAAGAGCAGTACTGATAGCCTTGTTCGTCTCAATATCTCGTTGCCCTCTATTGACAACAGGAACGTATCCTAGACGCAAAGGAATAATTCGGCCAGCGAGAATGTCAACGACATCCGTTCCCTTGTCCCTAAAGAACAAGTCAGAAAGAAGGGCCGCGGATAGGAATAGACAACGCACATGAGATCAACTTTCGTCAGGACACCAATTGTTCTCGTTCCCTCAGGATCAACCTCCCTCGCCATCTTCAGACCATCCGAGTTCGCCAAATCTGTGTTGGCGGCTGTGACAGCGAGGATGATGCAAGCCGGTTTCGAGATATACTTTAACAGCATGTCGCGGATCTGCTTCTCGATATCCCGAGGCTGGTCACCAACAGGGACCTTTGTCAGACCGGGAAGGTCGACAAGGGTGAGTGTAAGAACATTGGGCGAGAATATGCGGAGATTGATAGGGAGCGGAGAGATCCCTGCATTCTTGCCTGTCTTCGCCTCTGTATCTCGGACGATTTCGTCTCGAATCTTGTTGAAGTCGTAGAACTTCTCTCCGGGGAGGTGCAGGAACTCGCCCCATTCGTCCGGGTTGGCTGCTTTGTCATGCGTTTTATCTACGCCGTTTGGTTGACCTACGATAGGGCAGGGGTTAGACAACAGATATGAATGAAGAGGGGGCGGTGGGCATTACCGACAGAACCAGCCGGTCTATTGATGAGTTGGAGCACCTGTACCGCGGTCAGGAAGGCTCTCAGACGATTGGGGATGGCATACCAATGGGCGCCGCGTCACAATACCAGTACCACGAGGCAGGAAATCACGACCGACAATATTCTACCATCCAACCGAAGGGTTAGCATGTACGACCTAGTTGAAGTGGCATGCCACAAGCGTACCTCGAGCACACTACTCTTCCCGCTACTCTGACTCCCCAGCACGCAAATTTGCGGTAGATCTATAGAGGCCTGCGATGTTGTACCAATGGATGTAAAGACATCCTGAAGCTTGTTGATAGTGTTGACAATTTCTGTGCCGAGCCCTGACTGTGTACTCATTTTCTAGGTCGTCGGTGTGCGAGAGTCGGAAGAAAGGGTGAAGAGGAAGTGATAAAGGTCGTTAATGAAGGTGAGTACCTGGACTACGGCTGGCGGCTGTGTACTGCGCAAGCTTGGGCCAAACAAAGATTATCTTCTGCGAAGTCCGCCAAAGGAGCTGCATCGCCAAGCCCTTTTGTTCCCTGTCTCCTCGCTGTCTACCGTTCAAGACTCATTGGAATCGATATCTCGCGACTTGGGCGCCGACACACAAATACCACACCTCTCCAGGGCTGTTATCGCCAACTCATTGCCGACCCGTGGACTGTTTCCAGTCCGCCCACAAGACACAACTCCAGAAGAGAATGCCGCCCCTTTGATGGGCTCACCACCGCGCACAATCCTTATGCATCTACGGCGCGTGTGAGCACGTCGATCATCCATCCGACTTTCATATCCATGTCCATATCCAGGCGAATCTTGATTATCTTTCACAATTCTTGCCATCTCCTAAACACTCTGTTTTCCCGGTGCGGCCCGCAGACATCCTCGCGCACTCCTTTTGCCTCTACCAGATGACCCGTGCAGAAGACCCCTCGAGGTCGTCCAACGGCAGCTTATAGCCTGCGTGACCACAGCGTCCATGCTCTCCCATAGCATGAAGCTCAAAAACTAACGACACAGATACCATCACATGTCGTACTGGCGCTTCCTCTTCCCTCGCTAGAGGTCCCTTCAAATTCAATGCAGCGTCTCCTCGGACTAATCGAACCGCAGTGTATTATATCTGCCGTCCTCATAGGCCTTATACCCCTTGTACCAGGGTTCCAGAACTCAAAGCATCAGCGCCTTCATGTCAACGCGCCTCCTTCCGTCCTCGTGTTTGTCGTATGCTCAGTCTTGGACGCGCCTTGGGCTGTCCTCGGTCCGAGTCTGACAGAACGTGTGGTCCGCCTTCCACCCACCTTATTTAAAATAGGCCGTGCTTGCAACGTTATTTTACGCGCCCCAGCCTTCGCTAAGCCTGGCCGCTTCATACTTCCTCCCCTAACCTCCCAGTAACGATCCTGTTCACGATTCCGCGATGTTACTTCCACCCCTCCTTCTGTCAGCCCTCGCCCTCCTCCTGCATTCAACCTCCGCCCAGTTTCCACCCGAGCTCTTCTCGCCCTTGATCCCCTCGAAGATCCTCGCGACGACCAATGCCTTGCCCAACCCCATTCAGTACCCACAGTACACCGACGCGCGTAACCCTGGCAGATGGCTCTATTTCTCGCCAAACACTTGGACCTCTGGCTTCTTCCCTGTCACGCTCTACGAGCTCAACACGCGTAGGCAGCGGTGCGGGGTGACGCAGGCGAACGGCTTAGGAGCCGCTGACTGGCTTGCCCTTGGACGAGCTGCGAGCAATGGGTTGTTGAACCTCAATGCAGACAGTGGGATTGGCCACGATGTGGGGTTCATTAGCTTCCCATTCGTCGAAGAGCTGGCAATGTGAGTGTTCAGCTCCTTTCGTGATTGAAGGCATTTGGGTGGAGGTTCGCGCGTGTTGAACGCGCGTCGCCCCATCTCCAACTCCGATATGCCCATCTGAGAGAACGTCACCGTTAAAGAGTTACCTTCCAGAAATCCGCGGAACCAAACGGCGATCGACGCCATCAACCGCTTTGCAAGGCAGCTCGCTGCGCGGTTCAACCCCACGGTTGGGTGTACGAAAAGCTGGGACTCGTCCAATCCGACCAACTTTCAGGTATGTGTGAACGCGTTTTCTCATACGTGATGACGAAGGAACCTTTTGTCTTAGGTGATCATTGACAATATGATGAACCTCGAGGTACTCTTCCATTCCGCAGACCTCACGAACAACGCGACTCTCCGTCAAATCGCGACCACACACGCTGACACGACGATAAGGAACCATATTCGCGCTGACGGTATGTTTCTTCTTGTGTCTTCCGTCACGCCTTTCCCTTCTCTCCTTCCGGTCGTCCTTCGAGATATGACCGAGGCCATTCTTGTCGCCGTCTTATTTTCAGCCAAGACATGCTTGTACTAAATTTATTGATCTTTTACCTCTGGTTCTATTTCTGCGCAGGGTCCACTTGGCATGTTGTCGAGTATAATTCGAACACTGGTCAGGTCACGAGGAAGAGGACGGCGCAGGGTTACTCGGATGGTAGCACCTGGTCGCGAGGACAAGCGTGGGGTATTTTTGGGTTTGCTAACAGTGCGCATCTCATTTGCCACGTCGCAGCTGTCTTGTGACGATGGCTGACATTTGATACCTAATTTGCAGTGTACCGATTGACGAGGAACCCGAACTATCTTTCGACTGCGCGGCGGATGGCCACGTATTTCTTGAACAACCTGCCTGCTGATGGTGTCGTTCCTTGGTCAGTTGCCCTCTGTCAATTACTGTCTTCGGAGAAACTGGTAGATGGATGTCCTAATTTTTACTTCGTCGTTTAGGGATTTCAATGCACCGCTCACACCGGCTCCACGTCCGGCGGACTCGTCTGCCGCTACCCTCGCCGTCAATGCTCTCTTGTTGCTCTCCGAGCACGAAACCACGGAGGCAGCGAAGCAGCAGTGGAGAAGTGGGGCACTCAGGATCCTGGAGAAGATCACCGATTTGGCGTGGAGCCCGTCCTGGCAGAGTCTCCTGTCAAATGGGACTGTCAGTCTCCCAGCGAACAATTTCTTGACTGGAACCGTTTATGGTGAGCTCTGCGTTGTCTGTCGGTATTCGAGGTTGTCGTCTAACAACTTGATGATATAGGTGACTATTATTTCATTAGAGCAGGAAATGAGCTTGTCAGGCTAGGGTTAACGTCGTGCAGGAGCAACCTAAGCCCGAGCCCGAACAACAATGTTGCTCCTCAGCCGCAAACTTCGTCTGGTCGCCGATCTGCCCGCGTTTTGCTCTGATTCCAATTGTCCAATGAATAATGTCGATACTGACCTGTACTAGTGACTTCCACCTACCTAGTTCGAGTACGCATATGAAGGAAGCTGATTAAAAATGACGACTTCTTATTCTAAACATTCCGTGAGTACAAATTTATTTATCGTGGTACATAGCCTTGACATCTCGGTCGGTGGCGAGACGACGCGATTTAACCGTAGTTGAGGCGGAAGATATCGTTGAAACTGTCCAAATGTCGTCAACAACACCAGGACGCTGGTATCGACGAGAAACATACACGTAGTAACTTGATCCGTCAGGGATCAGCTGGAAAACTTGACTGAAGTTGAGAGGATTCTCGGAGTCATCAACCTGCAAACGAGCCACGGTTTGAATAATTCTGATCGCGTGAGGGTTGTGCTCACAAGGAGAAGGCCGGTGACGGAGACGATGAGGCTGGCAACGTTGGGGGACGATGGCTGCGCGTCGAGGGTTGTGACCTTGTGCTGCACCTTACTGAAAGGTAGGCCCTGCAGAATGTTGAGACGGAAACTCAGTTGTGGTCGCTTGGCCGGCGAGAGGGATGGCACAGATGTACCTCGAGCTTCTCTTTTATGGAGGCGACACCTTGGGTGGGGGTGCCCTCGAAGGTGAGCATAGAATGGTCGCGCTAAGATAAGATCAGACGTGATGGAATGGGCAAAACCAAAAAGATTTAAACTGACGTAGAGGGGTGCAAGGCCAGCGCGATTTGTATCGAAGGTCGAGTAATAAAAGTCGACGAACTGCTTTGCGATCGCGTTGATGTCTGCCATGGTGGTGGATGGAGCGAGAGAGATGAGCGCCGAAATCAACTTGCGCAGGATCTGAAAGGCAGTGCACGTGACTGGAATTGTCCAGCACTCAGTACTACTCAGTGCCAATCGCCACCAAGTGCGTCTGCATATACGAACCTCATGTTCGACACTCTGTTCATCGTGTTGTTCAAAATGAGGTTCAGGCGCGACGGGTTTGTCCACTTGATTTTACGACCTCCGAGACAGAAAAAATAATTTAGTGCGACCCGCCGACCACCACCACATTCGGGACTTCAGATGTCTTACAATGCATTCCATCCTTCCACCCTTCTTCAATCGCTTTAGACTCGGTGGTTAGAGAGAGCTAAATTTCACCAGCTAGAAATCTCACTAACGAAGACGATCGCAGAAGTCGAGAAGCGCCTTCTAGTAATCATCTCGATGTTGCCATTATGGAAGAAGTACTCGCTCGAGGAAGAGCTTTTCGAGGCCGCCTTCGTCCTTTGTCGGCCGCTTGTGAAAGGCGCGTTCAACAGGTGAGCATCTGATGGTTATACCGGCATCTCTCCAGCTAAATCAGCGTCTGGACTCAATAATTCAGCGCACAAGCAGAATATGACAGCTTTCCTCCCATTGATCAAACTTGGAACACCGGATGCGTACTTTCGGTGTGGGACTCTGACTTGGCCGAGACGTGGATTGAGAAGAATTACGACCGTGCACTTTTGGTCAGGCTCCGCAAGAGCGGTGCAGAGGGCCCATTTCCTTCAATGTTGACTCTGGAGTCAGCTGCATTGACCGTCTTTGCAACTTTGTCGGGACCGCTCATTAGGACAGCCGAGGAGCTTGCGAAAATTTCCGGCTTTCCTGTTATTGTTCGTCCGCTTGAGGAATATCCTTCTCGGTTGAGGTAAGAAATTGAATTGAGTGTCTACGTCATATTAACTGACCCCACTGGTATAGAGCGGGTGCCAACATGCAAAACAGATTTACTGCAAAGAGTCAACCTTCCAGAAGCAGCTCGCCCCAAAGCGACACTCAACGTACCACCATTCACGCCCAGGACGAGGAGACGAAGGCACCAGAAAGACGACCAGAGAATAGAGACACTGAGGACGAAGAAGGACAAGGACCTCCTCCTCCTCCCCCACCACTCCTCCATGGTGCAAACTCACAGGAGATCGTCCACACAACAGGCACTACTTTGAAATTTTCAAGAAACGCACAAGACTGTGGAAGCTCTATTCAGCTCACAACGCAACTCAAGGTATCTGAATTTATGGCATATAAATATCACGAATGTGCTGAAATAACGTCCCAGCTGTATCCTCCAAATGAAAGGGAACCCCGAGTGCCTTTTTTTGGGATCGAAAGGGTGCCTGAACCTTATATTAAAAGCCACATCCGTCTCGAATTCAAGAGTGATGATTCGACCGAGATAGACAGCGGTCTGGGATCAGTTGGCGTCCTTGCCAAAAGTCCAAGCTACTTGAAGGCTGCATATCTGTAGGATTCAGTTTGTTTCCATATAAGTTCTGTATAAAACTTATTATGGCACCAGTGACGACATAGAGCACGGTGCGTCAAGAGCAAAATTTATAGTCATCGAAAGTGAAAACAATCTTACTGTTGGCGGCCAGTTCGAATCGCTGGGGGTAAACCTTCTCAAAGCTTCAATGTCGTGGAGGGAAAGAATACTACACCTTCAACTGAGGCCGAAGATGTTCAGGTGTGTCTTTTCAATTATACATGATCCTAAATTCTAATTAGTGCATTCCTCCCTCAAGAGATCTGAGATATTGCTCACGGACTTTCTCCGAATGGATTCCGATTGGGAAGACACAACATCTTGCTACCGGGGAGTCAACACTAGGATTCGTCGAAGGGGAACCAGTGAACTGCCTGCCTCTGGAACTGCCGTTGAAGTGAAATATGTCGTAGATGTGGCAGTCAGAAGCCTGGATCGTGAAGTGAGCATCCGTGAAATTATAATTTAAAATACTGGAATTTCGACAGGAGATTCCCAACGTATCTTTCATCTATTGCCACCAAATACACTGCTGGGTAAAAGGTGAATCCAAAGCAGGCATCAAAGGCATCGCTCTGCTTGCCGCGGTACGTATTTGGGATTAAGGCTTCACAGTTTTGGATGTTCACTCCACTTGTAGCATATTATACCGAATATGTTCATAGAGGAGCCCCTCAATATCTCGCATTGTGGTGAGGTTGACCTGCGAAATTCAAACATTGGGCAGACGAGCGAAGATAAGGAGTTAGCTTCTACGAGGTGGCAAACCGTGAAGGGTGCGTGTGATAAATTCCACCTTGTTCCACTGTTAGCGTTTATGCCCACAGACCATTTCACTCGTGGAATCACAAAAGTGCCAGGAGTGCAACAAGGCTTGGGTCTGTACCGGAGCATTTTCTCGTTCAGAAACCGGAAGACAAAGAGCAAGGAACAAGACTCGAGTCGTGTTTGTGAAACTGTCGGCTGGGACTACACGAAGAAGACGTGGTGCTATCCCATTTGGCCGAAGTTGGACTTCGAGCTACAACCTTCGCTCCCAGGATCAAAAGCAACATGGGTTTTGAAGTGGGGAGATGGAGACGGTGTCGACCGCACCAGCTGAGTACGTCGACAGAATAACGGCGGCACTGATGCTTTAAGTAATCATGAAGGTTATTATACATTTTCGTTGTTCAAGCTATGCCCCCTCCATTGTTTCCCCGTATCCTTAGAGGGTTCGAACTGTATAATGTTATTATTACTATTATTGTCGCAATATTTTACTACATATCAGCCCAAATTGTAGTACGGATATTTCTGCTTACCTTTCGTCACCTCCACATCTCGTTTTTATCCGTCCGAGTCACAGCCATGCAGCTTAGAGTACACTGCATTGAGCCTCTCCAGCCTACAGTCATTGGCAGATGATGATTATTCTGCCATAGCCCCGACGAGCTCAGCACAGGAATAGTGAATTGATGAAAGACGTGGGGTGGGCGAGGGAGGTACGGAGGAAAGACCATTTCGTTTGATGGACAACCACCACAGAGAGATCGGCGGTTTGAAGATGTCAACCGCATCATGCGTTACCATGCGCGAAGAAAAAGCACGCAGAAAGTTTCGTTAACGTGTCATGGTAGAAACAGTTCCTACATGGACATACAAGTTGGTTGAGCCACAAGGTATCCCGCTTTTTGTAGAATAGCTTGGGAGGGTAACGGATGAGTTCCACGTTGGACGGTCAAAATGAGCTAACTCGCTCGCAGACTTGGTCCATGGATCTATTTTGAGTGGAGAAGGCTGAAGGTGCGGAGTGGTGGGACAATTCGTTCGATCCTTTCTCTGGGTGGTCTGGTGAAAGAGTCGTTGAAATCCTCGATGGTCGCCTTCACGAAGAATTGGGAGGCAACTTTGCTCTTGGAGGACAGCCAGGCTGCTGTCACAAAAATGTTCCTATAAAGATGCCGCCCTCCCGCCCAAATTCTCCTCTTCAGCTAGACTGGTAAAGATCCAGCATCATATCCTCCACCTGAAAGTCAGGGAAAAGATCGAATCTGTCGCCGTAGTCGCACTGGACAGCTCAAGACTATTCTAATGTCCACTGCCGGCAGTAGGTTCCCAATGAGTGGCACCTGAGGGATTCGGATCCGGAGGACGAGGGAACTAGTTGACCATGTCGAGGCGGAAGACATCGCTGAAGCTGTCCAAACGTCGCTAATGAGGCTGGAGACGTTGGGAAGCGACTGCTACGCGTCGGGTGTTGTGACCTTGCCTTGGACCTTGCTGAAAAGGCAGTCCCTACGGAATGTTGAGACGGAAACTCAGTTGTGGTCGGTTGACTGGCGAGATGGATAGCATGGATGTATCAGACGCGATGCTAAAAGTGAAACCCGACAGACATGGACTCACATAGGGGAGCGAGTCCTGCTCAACTTGTATCAAAAGTCGAGTTGATGTCCGTCATGGTGGTGAATGAAACGAAAGACTTCAAAAACGTTTCAAATCTGAATATTTGAATACTAGTCACTGTGAAAGTTAGTGCACGTGACCATTCGAGGGCTCTACTTCGTCCGCTGAATCCGTTGTCCTGCCAGTCTGCATATCATACGCCACTCTTCTCGGGACAATAAGTAGCAGAGCAGCATGGCCCACTTCCCGACAGACCAACCACGCCCCACCATGCGCCGCAAATCCTCTGCACAGAATCTCCTCTCCTTCGGCAAGCAGGGCCCGTCCTCCATACCCCCGCCCCTCAACCTCGCCGCATCCGGCGCCTCCAACTCGACAACGCTCTCGTTTGGCTCAGCAATCACGCCAACCGCAACAACACCGCTCATCCGGGATAATTGGGACGCGCAATCATTGCACTCCGACAGCTTTGGACCGACAGGTGCCCTGGCTGGCGCTCAAAGTCCTCCGCTAGGGGAGGTGACAACCGTGCAATCAATGCGGGCTCTCATGCAGAAGAGGATCATCACCCTCACCTACATCCGAAATATCCACGAGGGGTCCGTGTCATCGCGTCTTTTCTCTGTGTTGCCGCTCCTAACCGACCCCCCTTCCAGACGAAGTCACTGGTTTCATACACTCTTCATCTCGCATTCCGAACTACAAAAAGTATTCAATAATACGGCGATGAAGAAGCGGTATGTCGTTGATGCTCCAAGTCGTCTAACCCCGCTGAACAAATCGTGACGTTAGGACATATCGATTCGCCATCCTAGCGCTCTCCCTATCGACGCTACTGGACATCAACCAACCCCAGGATCTCCTTCGGGGTCTGCTGAATGTTGTCTCGGAATATGATCAGGCAAAGGAGGAAGGGGATAACAAATCTAAAATGGTGCATTCACCCCCTGCGATTCATGCATGTTCAGACAAACGCTGACCGCGTCCATCACATATCCGATCAGCTCAAAAAACTGACTATAAACCGTAACGCGAAAAAGGGTGCATCAGGGAATACAGACTTCACTAGCTCAGAAACAGACGCATCGTACCTCTTCGTGCCTCCAATGGTGTGTCTTCCTTTCTCTGTTCCATTACTTCTGCTTATGTCCCTCCTATTATTATTATTTTTAAAAAATTAGGCTTTCCCACTAGACTACCACCAAACCCTCCTCTCCCTCCTCGACGTCGTCTCCGAAGTCTACAACAAAATATCCAAACTTCTCGGCCCCTCTCCCTTCCCACAACATCCACAATACGTAGGCACCTTCGGCCCTCTTTCCCCATACCCCGGCGTGTCCTACCTCTTCACACACGAGAACCAACTCCCAAACGCAGCTGGAGGGCCGAATTCACAGTACCCCAACCATAATAACCCGGGACAAAATCCGATGTATCACGGCGGGCACTCAAACCAGAGCCTGCACCACCAGTCGTCGATGGGCAACCTACATCCGAACGATGCGAGTGGCTCGCTATGGTCGATCGCGAATGGGAGTCCGGGCCAGTCGGGGGTGTGGGGCGTTGGCGGGTCGAGTCCCCCGGTCGTGCAGTGGACGGCGAGCCTCGGTGAGATGGTGGCCAAAATTGACTCGAAGCTGAAGGTCCGTCTGGTTGTTTCTTTCTCTCTCCCTATTTTCGTCCTATTTTTAGCTCCTGTTTGTATCTTGAAAGCTGACTGCCCCTTCTCCCTCCTACAGAAAATCACCACTGCCCTCCTGAAAGACCTCGACACGTTCGCGCGGAACGGGATCAAGGACGAGCTGGCCTCTCTCGATCCGCTCCTGCGCAACCTCGGCGGCCAGGACGACCCCTCGCGACCGGGGTACGACTTTGACGGGATGTGAGCTCAGGAGCCTATGTAATGGGCCTCGGAGCTGCCTTATATGCCATACAACGCGTCTGGGCGGTGTGTCTGCGCAGAACGTGTTTCTTGCTATGTTTTATCGGTTGGAGGAGGGATGGTATCATTGTTATATGCTTGCTCTCTCTCTCGTCATCCGCATTCCTCCTTCGAATCCAACCTCAGCGACAACCTGTACCACCTGCCAACCCCGTCATCATTCGACTTCAAACTCTCGATGTCGACTTTCAGAGTAGCCTGAGAGAAGGTCGAAGAAGGATGAATGGGTAGACTGTCACGCTATTGTGGATGTGTGTCATTCACGGATAGCTTCTTTTTCACATGAGGATGAGCCTCGCCCTTCGAGAAAGGATCCTAGAGGAGGCTTGGGACGACAAAGCAGCGCGACACGTACGCAGGACACCTTGTCGTCGACTTCTACTTCCTACAATCGCAATCCTGGTGCACATCTCCGCTTCTCGTTCTCTGTTTGGCTTCGGACGCTGTTGTGCTTGATTGTCCCACCCTGCCGTTGGCTGCGACTACTCGAGCAGGAGGTTGACATTTGACATGCGCATACGCATTTTGGATTTCGGTTCTCAAGCCGAGGCTTGCAATGTGCACCGGGTCAAGAGGCCGCGTATCGAGTTGGAGGGGCCTGGTATGGTGTCACATCTGTCAGGGTGGGAGTTAGACGTTGCGCTTGGATGATATGATGTATGTATATGATACGCACGTAGATCGGATTAGGTTACATTCTGTCCTTACTGCCTAAGTAGTTTAAATGTCTGGCTGGTTGATTGGTTACATCGGATTATCTTACTCTAATCTATACTATGGTCGGGAATTGGTTATAGGTACGGATATGTTTCATAGGTTTCATAGGTTTCTAGTTTAGTTGGGCTCTAAGGTAATTAATCAGCTTGCCTACCTGGGAGGGAAATTCACGGGCAGGGAATGGGGGAATCACGTCATCTTGGGTGTTCAGCACAGTACACTGGGCCTGAGACCATGGTCATGAAATCATAAATCGGTGAAGTACGTATATTACATGGAAGAAATTCTGAATAGCTATTCGAACCGAGATGGTGAACTATCGCGCTTCTTGTACACGACCCACTTGTGGATCGATTGAAATGGATGAAATTAGGAAGATTGATTGAAAGGGGCCATGCTGAAGGAAGGGGAGAGGGACCGTTCAAGTGTTGAAACAAGCGGGAGGGCGCATCGTCTGGTTACTTGCACTGACAGCTGCCTTGCGCGCAGGAGCAGCTACAAGAATGACAGTGGGTCAAGGAACACTCGTAGTGAAGGTAGCGACCACTCACGAAGTGGTGCACTTGCAGTCGGTAGAGCCGCACGCCATGTTGATAGTTATACGAACGAGGGTAGTCTATGACGGAGAAGAAAGAACACGATCAATATCAAATGAGAGGATGCTAGGAGGATATGGCATACAGCTGTGCGGTTCGATGTAGGTTTGAATATGCCTCAGCTGATATCAGGCTTGGGCTGGTTGGGGTGTACCTGCGCAGACACGAGCTGTATTTATACCTTTTAGCGCCTCCGAGAGCTGACCTCGGCCCGTTCGTAGGCGTGTTCTCGCCAGTCCAAGACAAGAACTCTGCGGGGTCAGAGCTTGCCAGCAGCCAATAACCAATAGGCAGCTGACGATACATAATCCCATACATTCAATGTATATCAAGCTCTGACGAGCATAACGTGAAAGCAGTGCGGTGGGCGCAGCCCAGAGTATCATAAGATGGGAGCAGGCAGCACCAAGAGACAGAGATCCCAAAAGGTTGTTAGAACCTGGGGTTGCCCCCCATCTTGTGATAGGGTGTAATTGACAGTTGGCCGCTCGTTGGCCGAAGGTAAATGCTTCGAGCTTGAACAGGCTATGGGGCGTAGACCAGAAAGACACACTCGGAAGCCTCGGCAGAGTGGTGAGTTTCGGCGCAGATCCCTTGCGTTGGGCAGATTCTGGGGTATGGGCCGGGAAGTAGCATTCAAGTTCCTTGTGCTTTCCGAGACGAAGACAAGATTGGACCTCAGATTCGAGGGTCGAAAGCCTAGTCCGGTTGATTCGCACGGGCGCAAAGCTGCCTTCTCCTTGCTTCAAGGCACGATTGGATGTGAGTGGTTGAGGAAGGAAATACGCGTGAGATAAAAGTGATGGTGTTTATTTGTCGGGCGGCGGCAGTGGACGTCGAACCTTGTTCAAAAACTGTGCAGTACTCCGGGACCATGCAGGTGGCCAGTGCCTACCCTTCTTCGCTGCACCATCCCCACTACCACACTTACTATCAATTACATACGCCAGGTAACATCAGGCTGTCTTCTTTTTGGAGAATCTCATTTACTGTCCGAAGCAGGCCCACAAGACCATGAGCTCAAACGCCAGTATCTCGCCTTCCTTCCTCCTCAACAAATCATCGAGATTTGTCTAACATTCGACGCATATGTCTCCCCATACGTGAGGAGCACAGTATGGCCTCTCGATCTCAGCTCCGCGATTGCGGCGCTGCAAAAAGCGAAATCTACGTCCGACGCGACAGAAAAGTCGTCTTCGGAGAGCTCAAGAAAAGATGGCGTAGCCGTCATGGATTCCTTGAATCCGCCAGATGAGAAGGAAGATACGCCTGCACCGTCAGAAAGCACGTCTAGAACGGAGCCTCTGCCTCCAGATAAAGGTAAATCTTCAACACCGGGTCCACCATCTACATCGACAGTATCTGCTCCTGCACCTTCAATATCTTCGACATCCTCTGCCCAGCCTGAAAGTACCTCGTCCACCGCCAGCACTTCGACTGCACCCGCACCATCTGCTGAATCTACCACATTCACACAAGGAACTGCTGCCCTTACACACGCGCCCGCACCGACGCCTCAGCCAATCCCCCCATACCCTTATGGCTATGGACACCTTCCAGCGGCCTACCCGCATACACCCTACTACGCCACAGGGTACCCTTACCCCTACACGTACCCGACGATGCAGAACGGGTACCATCACCCTCCCCCACCCCCTCCCCATCCACAGCCCCAACCACCTACCTATGCCACCACCCAAACGTCTATGTACAACAACATGGTTCCGCTACCACCACCGCAAGATGGCGTTTCGGCGGACGATCTGCCGAGCTATGAGGAGATGCTCGTAGAGGCGCTAACGGATTGTACAGAACCGGATGGATTGGCGCCCAAGGATCTTTTCGCGTGGATGGCTTCGCGATATCCTGTGCAGTCGAATTTCCGACCTTCAGCAAGTCAGGCGCTGCAGAAGGCCTTCCGGCGAGGGAGATTTGAGAAGAGCTCGAATGGGAGGTATAGGTTAAATGCAACATGGGAAGGCGGTAACGTGAGTTATAGCTTCTGTGTCGTATATCAGCCACTGATTCCTTTTTTCCACAAGACCTCTCGACGGACAACACGTCGGCCGCAGATCCATGGTGGCTTACCTCCACCTCCAACAACGACGACAGGAAGCTCGACACCCATACCTCCCTTTACGCATGCGCCTCTTGTACACCATCACCACGGCCGCACAACTTCTTCCTCAACTCAATACCCATATGGGTATCCGCATCCTGGTTATACAGGCTTCGGTGCTCAACCTGCCTCCAGTGCAGCGGGATTCTCTTCAACTGCCTTGAAGACGATCCAGCCAGTCACCTCAGACGGGCCAACCGCCGACGCGTACGAAGCAGCACAGAACATACTCAAAGCGATTAACTTTGGCGGCCTGCTTTCTATGCCGTCGGACGACGACCAGCACCACAATGAGTCTCGAGCAAAGGATGACAGAGCCCAGGAGGCGGCGTCGATCGCGAACGGCGTCGAGAACCTCTTGTCCCATGTACAGGCAGTCCTGGCGGCGAACGCTGCGGGTGCGGAGGCGCAGAGTGCGGCGGGACCAGTGGCGGTAGCAGGAGGCGCCATCGCGCCTGCTGTACCTACACCACCGGCCGACCCACGTGCGGAGCTGCAGGCCCAGTTGGCCCTCTTGTCTGCCCAGCTGGCTGAGCTTGGGCAGCTGGAAAGTGCGCCAGTACCGACAAATATAATCGCTCCAGCACCTGTAGCCCCTGCGATGGCTACCCTAGTCCCAGACGAGCCGCAAGGCGTGCTTCCAGCGTCCATGCCGGCGCCAGTACAAGAGGTGCTGCCACTCGAAGCTCTACCCGAGGAGGACGAAGAGAGCGACGACGACGACATGGAGGAGGTTATCTAGACGACTTCGCCATCGTTCTCTCGGTTAGGCTATGCTCCTGTATTCGAGGGTGTTATGGTTTAGGATAGATTATCAGTCATTAGTTCAGTGTATCGTGCATGTACTCTACGTTCGCATTCATTCATTCAAATCCGTTCGGCTGACACAACTGGTCTAGAATCTCTACCTTTAAATTCGCTGATTGACCTATCTAAGATGGCGAGCAACGTGAAATGTCTAATAGAAACCTCAGGTTTTTCCATCGTCGGCTGTGCATATAAATAAGCATGGTATGAGTCGAGAAGTGTTCAAGTCTCCAAGTGGCAGTAGGACCTACAACGCTCGGCTGTACTCCCTCGAAGCTTCAACCATAACTGCGCGATCCGAATGATTCAAAAGTGCTCCTAATGTGCCTATCTAGTGTTGGTAGAGGAACTGAGCGCAGTAGAACTTGATCCATGGCAACTTTAGTTCGCTATCACACGAGTCGGAAAAAAGCGTTTATTTTTGGCGTGCAATTAAGCAGTGGTGGTCGTAAATAATGGACATTAGAATGCGCAAGATGGAAACCATGAATGTAGACGATGAGCAATGCAAGATGATACAACAATGTAGCGACAGGGAAAAGAAAGGATGCGTGGTGAAATGTCCTCTAGTCGATCTCCTCCATGGCTGAAGTCGAAGCGCCCTCAGCTGGTGCAGGTGCCTCGGTCTCAGCAGCCGGAGCGCTCTCCTCCTCATCGTCAACGTCGAGGCCAAGGGCAATCATGCGATAGATGCGCTTAGCAAACGAAGATGGCTCATCGAGGGTGAAACCGGAGGTGAGGAGGGCGGTCTCGAAGAGAAGGTAGGTCAGGTCGCGGACCGACTTGTCAGCCTTGTCTTCCTTGACCTTGCGCTTCAGCTCCTTGACGATGGCGTTGGTGGGGTTCAACTCGAGGGTCTTCTTCGATGCCATGTACGACGACATAGATGAATCACGGAGAGCTTGCGCCTTCATGATACGCTCCTGTGATAGTCATGAGTATCTGTGGTTGGGAACCGGGAGCATGAAAGAACATACCATGTTGGACGACCAGCCGAATTGGCCAGTGACGAGCACGCAGGGCGAGTCGCTGATACGGTTAGAGATGATGACCTTCTCAACCTTATCACCGAGAGCATCCTTAACAGCGGTGCAGAGGTCTTGGAACTCAGCAGTCTCAGCCTCACGCGCCTTCTTCTCCTCCTCAGTCTCCTCGAGTTCGAGACCCTCCTTGGAAACGCAGACAAGCTTCTTGCCGTCGAACTCCTTGAGCTGCGTCATGGCATACTCATCGATGGGGTCGACGAGAAGTAGGACCTCGAAACCCTTCTTCTTGAGAACCTCAAGGAAGGGAGAGTCGCGGGTGGCAGCGAGGGACTCGCCGGTGAGGTAGTAGATGGTCTTCTGGACCTCGGGCATACGGGTGATGTAGTCTAGAGAAAGACATCTTAGGACCATAAACGCCATGAAAATGAATACCGTAACCTACCCTTCAGTGAGATCTGCTCCTCAGTCGACTTGGTCGAGTAGAAGCGCAAGAACTCAGCGAGCTTGCTGCGGTTCTGAGCATCTTCGTGAATACCGAGCTTAATGTTCTTGCCGAAAGCCTCGTAGAACTTGCTGAAGTTGTCCTTGTCCTCGGCGATCTCGCTGATGAGGTCCAGAGCTTTCTTCACAAGGTTCTTGCGGATGACCTTAAGAATCTTGTTCTGTTGGAGGGTCTCACGAGAGATGTTGAGAGGAAGGTCCTCAGAGTCGACGATACCCTTGACGAAGTTGAGGTACTCAGGGATGAGATCCTCGCAATCGTCCATGATGAAAACGCGGCGGACATAGAGCTTGATGTTGTTGCGCTTCTTCTTGGACTCGAAAAGATCGAAGGGGGCACTGGATGTACAGATCAGCTAAGGACAGCCAGCAACAAATGCCGAGACCCACCGCTTAGGAATGAAGAGAATCGCCTTGAACTCGAGCTGGCCCTCAACCGAGAAGTGCTTGACCGCGAGATGGTCTTCCCAGTCGTTAGTCAAGCTCTTGTAGAAGGCACCGTACTCCTCAGGGGTGATGTCGGAAGGATTGCGAGTCCAAATGGGCTTAGTCTTGTTAAGCTCCTCGTTGGAGACCTCCTTCTCCTTGATTTTCTTGGTCTTCTTCTTCTTCTCCTCTTCCTCGTCGACTTCTTCAATCTTGGCCTTCTCCTCGTCAGCTTCCTTCTCCTCTTCTTCGTCGTCTTCGACCTCCTGAAAAAAGTGTTCAGTCATGAACATCATATACAGAGATGATCACGCACCTTCTCGACTTCCTTTGTCACGGTAAGTTGGATGGGGTAGGAGATGAACTCGGAGTGCTTCTTGACGATCTCCTTGATCTTCTTCTCCTCGAGGTACTCAAGCTGATCCTCCTTCATGAAGAGGCGGATCTCGGTACCACGGCCGAGAGGAGGGTTGACAGTGTCGGGGGTGATGGTGAAGGTGCCTCCAGCAGCAGACTCCCAGATGTATTGCTCGTCGTCATTGTGCTTTGAGATGACTTGGACGCGCTCAGCAACGAGGTAGGCAGAGTAAAAGCCGACACCAAATTGACCAATCATAGAGATATCAGCGCCAGAGCTAAGCGCCTCCATGAAGCCCTGGAGAAGACGTCGTCAAAGAGAGATCCTCTAGAAACACGAAAATGACGCGTACCTTGGTTCCAGACTTCGCGATGGTACCGAGGTTGTTGACCATGTCGGCCTTGGTCATGCCAATACCGGTGTCGCGGATGGAGAGGATCTTGTTCTCCTTGTCGGGGGTGATGCGGATGTAGAGCTCCTTCTCTGTGTCGAGCTGGGAGGGGTCGGTAAGGGAGGCATATCGGATTTTATCGAGGGCATCAGAGCCGTTGGAGATCAACTCTCGCAGGAAGATCTCCTTGTTGGAGTAGAAAGTGTCTTTTCATGATCACGTTAGCGCCCATGCGCGAGGACATCGTGAAAGAGAGGCATACTGATGATCAGGTCAAGCAACTGGCTGATCTCAGCCTGGAATCCGAAGCTTTCTGTTGCCATTTCGACTCTAAGATAGCGTTAAGGCGTGGGGCGCAGAAGGGTGGAGTAGTGAGTACTAACTTTTGGGGTGGAGGATAGGGCGCTGGGGATGAGTGTGAGAGGAAAGATGACGCGTCGTTTTTCTCTTATGTACCCTGAAAAAATCGTTCTCGAAGAATCCGAGACCTGCCTTTCGCGGAAGCTGTGGCGGATGCCTGTGGAATCTTCGAGAACAAATTCCTAATTTATCACCAAACAAAGGGCCTCATCAACCTCAGATGATTTTTGACGCCGGCTGTGCACAAGAAAGATTCCTATTAGAACGACATAAAGCTTCCATTACAGATACAAAGGAATGAGATTAACCGATAGTACAGCGATCGAGAGATGACGAAAACCACACAGCCGCCTCATAATCACAACACAAAAGATGTGAGGATAGGACTTGACCGCTCTGACACCAGTCCTCTTCGGCCTGTATGCTGGGATTTTAGGAGCTCTACCATAGCCTTTAGCTCCTCCACTTCTTCCCTCAGCTCCATGTTCTCATCACGCAGTGTCTCATTCGCTGCTTTCATGTTGGCTTTCTCCTCCGAAAATGTAGCCAACTCCTGTGCGAACGTGACCCGTGGGCTTTCTGGTCTGTGCCGTATATGATTCAGCTTCGCCTCGAGTGCTTGTATTTGGCGACGATAACCCCTGGCGATAAGAGTCAGGCATTGGTGCTAAAAGGGTCATTGCAGCTCACGCACCGAGCATTTTCCTCCATTCCTTCTCCTGCCCTTTCCATGCTCTCGAGACGGAGTTGCATCTGCTTGTATTGGGTTTTCATGTCTTGGATTTCCTGCTCCCGTGCGTTGAACTTCGCAAAGTCTTCATCCCTATCACTCTGATGAGAGGCGTGCTGACCACTTCAGAGAGGAACGACGCACCACAACCTCTGGACCTTGATATATTGTTCGATTTGGCGTTCGTAGTCATGCAGCCTGTCGACTTTATGTTGGTTCTCCTTCTTCTGCGTCTGTAGACGGAAAACCTCTTGCGTCGCGTCAGCCAACAGTTTTCCTTGAGCAACGAAGTGGGCCTTTATCAAGTTATCAGCACAGCTGTCCGATCGGTCTTCCAACGCACATACCTTCGTCTCCTTCTCTGCAGTTCGCAGCGCGGCCGTTTCTGAAACCCAGCTCTTCTTCTCTTCACGCAGCTCTTTCAATTTCTTCTGCAGTTCCGTGTTCCAATCTGCATATTTGTTCTTCGCGCTCGAAGCCTGCTGCTTATGCTCGCGTAATTCGCTTTCGAGCCTGATTACTTGCGACCGATAGTTTCGAAGTTTGTTGTACTGCAAAATGGCTAAGCCAGCGTCCTGAAGAATCAAGAGAGAGGAGTGCAACACACCAGGCCTTGACGTTCAGCTTCGGCTGTCCTCATAACTATCCTGTCCTGATACAACGAACCAATACGTTCAGAATTTTCGCGAGACAGCCACAGTTCAAAGTTGAGGTCGTTCCGCAGGAGGAGCACCTCTCTTTGCAATCCGGATATAGCTTGTGCTACATGAGTGGTGTTTTCGTCCTCTTGCAAAGAAGCTAAAGCTGGAGGGCTGTTGTTTTCAGATGAAGGGATGGAGTTGGTCGAGAATAAGGAATGTGGCCATTGAGAACTGGGTTGTATAACTTCCACGTCGAGATTAGACTTGAGGGCTATGGTAGTGTTAATCATATCTTGTAAAGAGATTACGGCTTTCCCTGATGTTAGATCGATAGGTCGCATAAACTGGGGTGAATGGATATCCTCTGGAGAAGGCTCGTCTTGATCTGCCATATTTTGCGTGGCAGGTGGTTTCGTGTGTTGAAGATACCGTGCTTGGAGTGCGACGATAAGATTACGAAGATCGAGCATGTGCGCCTCGCTGACGATACGGGTGATCGTGTATTTGGTCCAGAATTCGGGCTCAGAAAGTTCGATGATACCATCCCGCCGGACGAGAAGCGGGTGGCAATTATGTTCACGAGCGAGGTTCTAGGGCAAGTGTCAATGGGTATCGTCATCCTCTGCTTAAATATGTCGAAAACATACCTCGCTGCGTCGATGAATCTCGTTTAGGTCGAAAGCTTCTTCCCAAGATTCGACATATGGGCTTGGTATCTCCGCGTCGCCGAGATAACGAACGGGTTCCCGGAGGAACTTGAGGACATTGGAAGGATATAAATAGTACAAGATAGTGAAGTAAGGTCGTGATGAAGGTGGTAATGATGCTGTCGCATCGAATGACATGTCGAGGCGTTCCCAATTAATGTCTGGTGATATTTTGAGAACAGGATTGGTTTCGCGTTCGAGCTCCCGCGCATAAGCCGGGTCAAAATCTTCGCCTGCCATCACTTTGGAAGCGCGTCTTTCCTTCCAGCACATAATCCTCGCCAGGATTGCCAACAGCCGTGGTAGCATATCCTTGAGGTCTTGACGAGCGTGCACAGCAAAGAAAGGGAGCAACTTGATCAGAAAAGTGAGACTGAGCGTACATAGTGTGGACGAGTTATCCAGGAAGAGCGAATATAGCAGGCTCTTCATGAGTGGGAGTTTAGGGAGAATCTCGGTGGCGGATGCGAAGTTCGGTGCACATGAGAATACATTGAGGAGAGCAACGAGCTGAAGTCGCCAGGCAGCAGTCGCGAAGTGTCGGTCTATCTCATCGAGAAATTCCTTGCAAGGGTAGTGTCAGCGTTGGAGGATGCATTAAGTCCGTCACGTCTGCCCATCGTACCTCTGGCCGTTCATTTCCAAACGAGACTAGAATGTCTTCAAGGTTGTGTTTCCACTGGGTCCGCCTTTGCCTATCCTCCTCGGTTAGTTCAGCCCACTCCAAAACATCATCACCGGATCCCTCGTTGAACGCGTCTAGCAGGTAGAGTTCCAGCAGCCTTCTACGGAAGTCTCCAACCTTCTCTGCGTACGCATCGTTCGTCTTCTGGAGCGTCGAGACTATGAGGCACTTCGCATGATTGACGGCCTGGGTTGGAAGCTTGGGTTCACGCAATGCAGGGCGTAGGACAAGATCGAACCATGACATGACAGAGGTGGATGGGAGTACATCACTCAGACGTGATAGAACAGCGAGAAAGGTCTCAGTCTGATGAAGAGATGCATAGACCTCATGGTGTATTGCCTGCAGGTCTTCGTCAAACTGATATATCTGTGTGGCAGGATCGGGCGACGCCTTGCATTCGGTAACGAGCTCGTCGACGAGGGCGAGGAGGTCGGCTAACGGCAGCGCGTCTGGTGCATTTTCCAATGCGGAACGCACGAGACGGAGGAGCGCAGGGTTGGGCATCAAGCTGGAGGCAAGTCTCCGCGGAACCTATTGACGCGAGCGATCTATTTGGCGCATTGTTCACGACCAATCACGTCACAGCACGACCAAGCAACTTCGCCGTGCTCGCCACCAGACACGTCGAGCTCGCCGTCAGCAGCAGCCTCCGCACCACAACTCAAGGTGAGCCCGACCTTATGACCCACCTTTCAACCCCTCTAAGAAAACATCGTGCTGCCTAATGGTCTTCACGGGCTGGATGGACGTCTACCGCCTTGGATAACATGTTCTGACGCGTCGTTTTGTAGATGTCCGCCAAAATTGAGGAAGTCACCTCCGACCACTCCGACCACGAAGGTCATGATCATGATCACGACCACGACCACGAGGAGGACCCGACTTCCGCCGCCGCTCTTGAGAAAATCCAGTCGCGCTCAGAGCGCAAGGCCAGGAAAGCTCTCCTTTCCTTGGGGCTGAAGAAGGTTCCTGGCATTACCAGGGTGACACTGAGGAGGCCTAAGAACGTGCGTTCGAGTCAACTCCGTGAAGCCCTAGTCCTGACCTTGGAGAAATACAGCTCCTCTTCGTTCTTGCTTCTCCCGACGTGTACAAGTCGCCCAACAGTGATTGCTACATCGTTTTCGGTGAGGCCAAGGTGCGCAATGCCGTGTCTGTGATAGCTCTATCAGTTTGACGGCGAAAGCAGATCGAGGACATGAATTCACAGGCTCAGCTCTCAGCTGCTCAGCAAATGTCGTCTGGAGGTGCCGGTGCCGCTCCTACTCTGGAGACTTCTGGAGCTGCCGATGGTGATGATGACGACGATCTGCCCGACCTCGAGGCTCCCGAGGAGGATGGTGTTGTGGACGAAACCGGTGTTGATCCAAAAGACATTGACCTTGTCATGCAACAAGTCAACTGCTCTCGGGCGAAGGCTGTGAGGGTGCTGAAAGAGAGTGGGGGAGATTTGATCAACGCCAGTGAGTTCATCCTCGCCCGCCGATTTCAAATCTTGTTCAACGGTCGTTCTAGTCATGGCTGCGAGCGAGTAGATTTCCTGTATGCTGTCTTTCATATCGTCCAATTGCATTGCTTTCCGCATTTCTCGGTTTCATCATGGAGCTCATTCTTCCACAAAGCAAGAACAACTATGCCATTTGCCAACGTCTGAGTTCCGTATAATAATTGGATCTCTCCCACCCATCCTGGAGAATCTCGACTCCCTCACTACCTTCGCTTCCACCCTCTGGTCTGGGTCCAACTATCAAGGATAACTCTTGCGCGGCTTCTACCACGAGTGTAGAAAGCTCTCCTCTGGCGAACATATGGTAGTATCGATTGAATACTTGAGGTTCCTTACTCTTTTCCATCAGCGAATTGGCAGTCATATCAAGTTCTTTTGCCAAGACCCAGGGAACAACAACATCCTTGCCTGACTTGGTTGGTTCATCGCCTGCTTCTACGACTTTCCGTTTGGATAATTCGTCCTGTTCTATGGCCCAAACGTACACAAGAATTCGGCCATGGGCAGGAGAAACTGCTTGCAAGAGGCGCTGCGAAGCTGTCAATTAACTTGGGCAACAATCAAAGAATATTTGTGCACCTTCACTGCGGCCCGCCGTCGCTCATGCGTTGCTAGGTGATGTATTGTTGCAATAGAAATTGCATAGTCCTGGAATTTTGTAACGTCCTGAGTGCGTGGAAGACAGCGACTATTTGAAACCCACAAAGGTTCCCATTCTCCAAGGGTTATTGAGAACGTTTCCCAGAACAACTTCACGGGCAGGATTTCCAGTTCCTGCAGTTCTGGCTATTTTCAGTAGGTTTATGCTTCTATCCATCCCGATGGTCCAAATATCGCCGGGGCGATCGAGGGGGAGGGGGAGATACTTCCCGTTCCCCGTTCCTGAGTCAAGTCCTATCCATCCTGTCTCCATGCTTGATAGAAATTTAGCGATGATGGGCCATGGCTGTCCTAGCAATTGTTTAGCGCAAGGACAGAGGCGGGCGTCCCGAAATTCACCTTGTACCGAGTGGACGAAAAGTGGCTTGCAATCTTGTCATAGATTGCATGGACGTTCTGGTCTTCGTATGCTTCTGGCTCTCCTTCTACTTTTGCGGTTTCTAGGGCGCGAGGCGCCATTATAATAAGTGCAAGTGTTCCGAGATAACTCTGAAGGATTAATCGACGCGTTCGGACATGGAGGTTGAGATCAAGATATGAGTGTACCATGGATCCATCAAATTCGCTCCGACCTATCTTGCCCTCATCTCTTATAATCCATGTACAAGGTCAAATAAAGCCCATCGCCTGGTCGACAATCCTCGCGAACCGGCTTCCATCGAATGGGGGGAAAGGCTTGATATTCGACGTGTCGAATCCCTCGATTGCTGCTGGGAGATCTCTGTGGGTCTGCGTTAAATCACGACTCCTTTCGCCTGCAGATTGCGAAGCAACTCACTCGACGGATGCAGCTTTCAAATACCCCATATCTTCAAGCGTAGTTGCAAGCTCTTCTTGATGATTGTCGAGTAGAGTTGGGTTTGGTACGACGATCATCGATTTGCCCTTTCGCAAGACATCCAGTATGGTACCAGAACCTGATCTCTGCATGTTCAAAACACAGCGCCATCCCTCGGTCGTATAGACCACCTACCGGCGTGGCTTATCACCAGATCGGCTTTGGCGTATTCCTCCTCAAGCGATGGCTTGTAGGTCCAGTATTCGATGTCTACTTCCGCGCGTCGCAGCCTCTGGGTCTCGCCGTTTTGGATGCCGTCCGCGAATTCGAAGGTTGATTTGCCGCATTGCACGACAAGTTCCGTGTAGCCTTTCCTATGAAGAGCGGCGAGAGCTTCGTCAGTGAAGACAGCGGAAACGAGGCCGTCGAACTCCGTCGATCCGACAGTGACAAAGGCAAGCATTGCATCTCAGGTTCCGGCTGCTCGTCGCAGTCAGGATATCATCCGATTTACACTATTTAAGTATAATTGCAATACAACAAAGGTATGTACAAGACCGAAGGTGGCATGAACGACAGTACTACATAGCACAAACGTAAAAAAATCTCATGAGAAGAGCGAATTGAAAGCAAGAAACTAGGCAAATATTGTTCACGAGTCGGCAGTGTTAGTGTATGCATGAAATTACTCCACGGTAGGGTCGACCTTGACGATAACCTTACCTGTGGCGCGAGTCGTGAGGATGCGATCGTACGCCTGGAGGGTATCCTCGAACTTGTACACGGAGTCGACGATTGGTTTCAATTTGCCTTTTGATAGACATTCAGGTACCGGATAAATGGCACAAGTAAAGGTTCTCACCTTCCGCAAAAAGTTTTTGAACCTCGACGAGATATTCCTTGTTGTTACGAACCATAGGAATTCTTAAGGAGGATATTTCAGCCTCCTGGAATTGGAAGACCGGAAAATGGACACTGACGCGTATTTCCTGTTGACGTTGCCCAGCCACGCAGGCATGGATATCGCAAATAACGTCCTGATCCCTTTCCAGACTTCCGGAAAGCTAACAGTGTGGGGAATGGGACCAGTGCTCATGAATATTCCGTTAGGTGCGAGGTACTTCGCGCTGTTACAGTAAAGAGCAGGATCAATAAGGCCAGCTGCGTCGTAGATGATGTTATATTTGGTCGAAGGGGGATGTTCAGTCAGACGTTTGACGAGGCCTGGCTCTTGGGTGTAGTCGATGAACTATTCATAGTGGGCAGATCAACAAGGAGAGAATTGTGGGGGCATAACGCATGAGAGAGAAACGTACCTCGTCTGCACCCATGCTCTTCACGAAAGCCTCGTTCTTTCCAGAGGCTGTCGCAACGACCTTTGCGCCTTTGGCCTTTGCGAGTTGGATGCTGTATGCTCCGACAGCAGTGCTGCCTCCGTTGATAAACACCGTCTGTTCAGCCTCAACCTTTGCGACTGTGACTAGGGCCAGATAAGCAGTCGTGCTCGTGAGGGTTATGCCAGCTGCCTGGATTGGGGTGACGTTGGGAGGTCGAGGGACGATGTAGTCGACTGGAACGCGGAGATACTGTTGGATTGAGCCTTGCCGGGTCTTCTGTTGCAGATCTGTTCAACATAGATTCACGACTGGATTATTGACTGATCTAGGACACATTATCACCTGTAGGGATCCATCCGTAAACTGGGTCTCCGTTGGAGAACTCAGTTCCATTTGCATCAACTATAACGCCACTAAAGTCGCTTTCTGCGACGTGAGGTCTCTTGGCAAGGAAGTTGGGCAATACACGCATTAACTTCCATCCACTGGAAAGCGTAGGCATCAAAAATATGTCAACCTCAAATACGAGTAGCGCTACGTGGAACATGCTCACAGAGGGTTGAGAGCTGCTGCCTGCACTTTGACAAGAACTTCGCCCTTCTCAAGTTTCTTAGGGACAGGCCAATCAGTCTTGAGTTCGAGTGCATAAGAAGGCCGTCCACGTCGAACGACGACCCATGCTTGCTGGACGTCTGGTATTTCCGCCATGGTGGTCACGAGATGTCAAGAAGGGATATGGGGAGAGACAAGCGGTATAAGTGTACTCGAATCGAAGCGGGATACGTGGTCGAAACATGTTTGTCACGATCTCGACAGGCTTTTATACGTTGAGATCGACGTGGGCCACGTTAAACCCAGGAAGGCTGGACTTTTGAATGTACTCGGGACTGGACGATGGGCGTTCTCCCGATCCGAACCTCGGCTCGAACCTCATCGAACATCAAAGATTCTCGGAACACAGCAGCCATGATTCGGAGATGACGTCATGCGGGGAGTGTGGCACAAATCTATAATATTAAACAGAAGTGGTTCTCACGCTCGAGCAAAAGGAGCCTTCTGATTGGCTGAGACAAACAAGCAAAACCTGCAATCTGATTGGCTGCTCAAATCCTTCTCCAACGTCGAGGCCGACTCACCTCTTCCACAACACTTCGTGCGTGCGCTAACATAGATTTTTCTAATTTCACGACAATGAAGGCAAAGAACACGGTGTCTGAGATCTATTCAAGGCCTACTACACCTCTACACCTCTCAAAGACTGGTGCTGTTGCCTCCGGAGCCCTGGGAATCGGGATTGCCCACTCCTGAAACTCCCGCTCGGTGTTACCCCCTAATAATGGTGTTCGCAGGCCACGACTAGGAGAGAAGCGGTTCAGGTGCGCTTGCTGCCTCGGATTTTCGTGAATATTCGATCAATTTTGGCAGGGGTCCGCCCTGATGCAGTTACATCACCGACGCAACGACATGCGATGTATTGCTCTACTTCATTTAGCGGGGTTGGTGACTTCCATGTAGGTACATTGCTGTTTGTCCTGCTTCTGCTACTGATAGGCGCAAACCAGGTCTGAGGACGCTCTCACTACCCCTCAAAAGCAGCAGCAGAAAGCCCGCCAGGCTCTGCGAGAGCTCGCTCAAAATCAGAGCCCATGCCGCCGCCGCCTCCCTGCTGCTCGACCAGAAACTCCAACTCCCCCAGCAGCTGCACGTGTTCAAAGGACGGCAACACGGTTGTCCAGTTGGACTGCTCGGGAAAGCGAGTTACTTGCCTCTCCAAGACGCCGACGCGTACAGAACAATGGAGATGAAAATCGAGCTCCACATGCCTCTAGCTCGACATCGGTCACGTCGAATCGCAGGACAATGGTGAGTTGTCGTTAACATGCTATACATATGTGCAATATCCTGAATCTATGAACAATTAGATGTGCCCTCGCCTTGCACCTCTCACTCCACTGCTGACACCACAACCACCTACTGCCCAGCCAAGTGCCTAATCTCTTGCCCAAAAAAGACGCAGAGCTCGCGAGCGCGAAGCACGTCAGAGTGCCCCACCTCCAACTGTCCCGCCAACCCATCCTGCACCGATCTTGCCATCCCAGGAACCTGATCGCCCACACGTCCATACGAGGATCCATGGAGAGGTGCGACTACCTCCCAGTAGAAGATCACTGGCTGCACAACAACGTCAGGAGTGCGAACACTCTGCAACACCTGGCCCATCATCATGACCTCGACGAATGTGGATCTCTACAGCTTCAACTCTTCCACCCCCTCCCAACCATGATACCAACCAAATGTTTCAGGAGCCCCTAATCAACAAAATCGACGAGTGCCAGAGCAGGAAGTGACTCCTCGGCAGGCAGTAGATGATGCACTCAGGTGTTCAGGTGAGAATTTGGGTTTTCTTTGTGTCTTATATTGTAAACCCATCTTATGAATGCAGATGATGAGATTGCAGATTCAGAGGGTGAGGACATGGTCGAGTTTGTCCACGAAGAATTGCACCAAAATAGAGGTACGAAGTTGTTAGCCCCTTTTTTCTTGATATTCTTTGGCTAACTTTTCAACTAGAGGAAGTTACCGAAGGTACCAAAGGCAATGGTGTACAATCTGTGGGAGAGCATGAGGCCCAAGGTACGTTGCTGAAGGTTGATATCTTTCCATTCCAGAACTAATTTTGCGTGCTCAGGTGTTCAGAGGCGCTCCTTCCTTCAGTCTCCCCGTAGATTACCTCCTGACGTGTGAAATCAGCCTCCACTACCCCCGCAAAGCGAAAGGGAGTTCGCTTTGATTAAGTACAACAACGACAACTGGCCTAGCCTGAAGGGTCAACCAATTTCATGGCTACCCCGAGCACACCAAAGAAGTAATTATAAATTATCTACGGATTTCACCGTGCAGCCACACGGGTATCTGCTAGTAAACGTTATTCAGAAGTTGGGTCAACTCTGACTACCACCTTCCCAGTCGCTCGTTTGCTCATGATACGATCGTATGCATTTAGAGCATCGTTGAAGTCGTATACAGAGTCGACGATTGGCTGAAGGGAACCTATGTCACATTAGTCTTTCTATGAAGCCACAAGGGATATTATCAATACCTTCGGCCACGTATTTCTGGAATTGATCCATGTTTTCGATATGGTTAAACACAAATACGTTTCTGCAATTCATCAGAGGACAATCTCTTGTAAGAAACATAAATCACTTACATCCAACGAGCTTTGTTTCCGCCCAGGAAAATTGGTCGGAACATGGCCACAAAACATTTCGCCACATTAAGAAGCTCAGGAAGCGAGGTGTCCTTCGGCTGGACGCCAACAGACAAGAAAGCTCCTTGAGGAGATAGATACGAGTCGCTGGCTGTATACATCGTTGGGACACTGATTCCCACAGCTTCGAGGATATAGTCGAACTTTGGGTTCGATGTTCTCGTAAAGCTCTCCAAGTATTCCAATACGGATACCTTTGTATAGTCAACGAACTAGGGACACAATAAAACAAGATGAGTATACGGAACACCGGCAAAACGATTAAGGACGCACCTTATCAGCGCCCATCCGCCGGACGAACTCTTCATTCTTGCCTGAAGCACTTGCTGTTACTTTCGCCCCCTTTATTTTAGCAAGTTGTATTGCAAAGGCCCCAACTGCTGTACTGCCGCCGTTAACAAATATATGTTGGCCGGGTTGAATGTTGATGTGCCTCATAAACGCGGTATAGGCTGTCTGTCCAGCGAGTGTGAAGCCCGCCGCTTGTGTAGGGGTAACGTTATGGGGTCGCGAGACAATCCAATCCTCTGAAACCTTAACATACTGGCAGAGGGCTCCTTCCTTCGACCGGAATTGATCTATAATGTAACAATTAATTTCGACGACAAGTGTCTGTAAATGCAAGCATACTCGACGGAACCCAGCCGTAGACCTCATCCCCTGGTCTGAATCGAGATTTATTCGTATCGACTACGACGCCTGATAGATCGTATTCTGGCACACGCGGCCTCCCCGCAAGGAAGTTCGGAAGAACTGCAAAGAACTTATATCCACTACAGTCGGAAGAAAGTCAGCATTGGCAGATGTCAAAACAAGAAAACGTACATTGGGTTAAGTGCACCTGCTTGTACCTTCAGCAGCACCTCGCCTGGTGCTAGCTTCTTGGGCACAGGCCAATCCGACTTCAATATGAGAGCTTCAGCCGGAGTCCCTCCTCGAAGGTTGATCCACGCGCGTTGGACATCAGGTATAGCGATGTCTGTCATGGCTTTGTCCAAGAGAGAAACGAATTTTCTGCACCTGTCCCCCTACCTGGGTTAAGTACGCCATCGCCGTTGTGCTGCGTAATCTGCCGGGACGAAATAGCAGCAATTTGGAGAGACTGACATTGTGCCAATTTTTGATGACGCAATTGGAAGGATGTCCGTGGGTGGGAAGATTATTCAAGCTCCGACTATGCTGACCCACCACCATGATCTCGTGACGGCGATTCCAGACACAGCCGCCGACTTGAACGATCGCCCTCTGCCCAAGTTCCATCCAGCTCTACCAGTGCAAACACCCATCGCGCTTCCCTCAACCACCCACCCACCACCGATATCCGCGCACGACACTACGAGAGCGCCAAAATGGAGGTATGACGTCTTGTCACTCCCTGAATGTCCGTTGATCAACCGCGCGCAGGGTCTACTCGATTTCTCGAGGGAGTTCGACATCGGTCTCATGGACAAAGTCGTAATGGCGTTCTACACTGGAGCCGGACAAGAAGTGCGTTGACTTCTCTTTCGTGGCGCGCCCCTATGGACGATAAACGATCTGATCCCGTTGACCAGCAACAACTCGCCCAGCAAATTCTAACGCAGTTTGAAGACAACCTGGACTCATGGACGCGAGTACCTGACATTCTTGAGAAATCGTCCTTTCCTCAGTCCAAGGTAGGGCTTACCTCTGGGGCGGTCTAATCTGATTGCAACATTTCCGTTTCAGTACATTGGCCTCCAAATTCTGGAGAAGCTTATCACAACCCGATGGAAGACGCTTCCAGATGGGCAAAGACAAGGTGAGGAGGCTGATCGCTATAAGACCCGGTGTTAAAGTGCAACAGGCATTCGGAATTTTATTGTGGGCATTACGGTCAAGGTCGCTTCTGACGAGGTCGCGTTCCGCAAAGAGAAGACATACGTGAACAAGCTCAATCTTGCCCTGGTCCAAGTATGTTCTTTACTCACTGTTAGACGCGTCGGATATACTCAGACACGTATAGATCCTCAAGCAAGAATGGCCGCATAACTGGCCCACCTTCATCACTGAGCTCGTTGAATCATCCAAGACCAACCTCTCCCTGTGCGAGAATAACATGGTTATTCTGAAGCTGTTGTCGGAGGAAATTTTCGACTTCTCTGCAGAGCAGATGACGCAAGCCAAAGTCAAGAACCTTAAGAACCAGATGTGTGGCGAATTCTCCGAAATCTTCAAACTCTGTTCGGAGGTCCTGGAGGAAGCGCAGAAAGTGTCCCTCATCAAAGCCACTCTCGAAACCCTTCTTCGATTCCTTAATTGGATCCCCTTGGGCTACATATTTGAGACCACCATTATCGATCTCCTCCTCAATCGCGTAAGTTCGCTCAATATGATAACTTTAGATTAATTAACGTGATCGCGCCTACCCTACCAGTTCCTTGAGGCTCCTGAATTCCGAAACGTCACTCTTAAATGTTTGTCGGAGATAGCGGCCCTCAATGTCGGTCCAGAATACGATCCAAAATTCGTAATTCTCTTCGCCATGGTCATGACATCAGTCAACCGTATGATCCCACCGAGCACGAATATTGCTCAAGCATACATGAACGCGGGCGATTCTGGGCAAGAGCTCGTTCTTAACCTTGCAATGTTCTTGGCCAACTTCCTATCCAACCACCTTCGCGCGGTAGAGTCGGAGCAAAACCGTGACGTCCTCCTCAACGCCCATCTCTATATGGTCAAGGTTTCGCAAGTCGACGAACGCGAGATCTTCAAGATTTGCTTGGAATACTGGCTGAAGTTGGTGGCGGAGCTGTATGACGAGCTTCAGAGTTTGCCCATCGGGGATTCCGGGCTCTTGATGGGCTTGAGCTTGGGTGGTACCAATGGCGCTCAGAATATGCTGAACGGTATGTCGCTACGCAAGAATATCTACAGTGATGTGCTGTCAAATCTTCGTTTGGTCGTTATCGAACGAATGGTAAAGCCGGAGGAGGTACGTCTCTTGACCTATATAACTACTGGCTGCTGACACCGTTCTTCGCAGGTCTTGATCGTTGAGAACGATGAAGGAGAAATTGTCCGAGAGTTCATGAAGGAGAGCGATACCATCGTGCTCTACAAGTCCATGCGTGAACTGCTTGTGTACTTGACCCATCTTGATGTGACCGACACTGAGACCATCCTAACGGAGAAGCTTGCCAAGCAAGTAGACGGTAGCGAATGGTCATGGAATAACCTGAACACCCTTTGCTGGGCCATCGGTTCAATTTCTGGTGCAATGAGTGAGTTTGTTGACCTGTCCTCTGTTCAAGATCTAACGTTGGCTCCCTTCCCCTTGCAGACGAGGAAACGGAAAAACGCTTCCTGGTTACTGTCATTAAGGACCTCCTTGGTTTGTGCGAAATCAAACGCGGAAAGGATAACAAGGCGGTGGTCGCCTCCGACATCATGTACATCGTCGGCCAATATCCTCGATTCCTCAAAGCCCACTGGAAATTTCTGAAGACTGTTGTCAACAAGCTCTTCGAATTCATGCACGAGACACACGAGGGTGTCCAGGATATGGCTTGTGACACCTTCATCAAAATCGCCCAGAAATGCCGTCGGCACTTCGTCATGCAGCAATCCGGAGAACAGGAGCCGTTCGTGGATGAGATCCTGCGACTGCTGCATAGAATTACAGTCGATTTGTCCCCACAGCAGGCTCGTCCTCAGTCCTTTAACCTTCACCCGCTTTCCGCTGACGAAATTTCAGGTCCATACTTTCTATGAAGCTGTTGGATACATGATCTCTGCGCAACCCAACAAGCCCCAGCAGGAGAAGCTCATTGCTAAGCTCATGGAGCTGCCAAATAATGCCGTACGTTACGATAATACCGTTTCACTGTACACCACGACTAATGTTCCGCTTAGTGGGATTCCCTCATGGCGCAGGCTGCTCAAAACATGGACGTCCTCTCCAGTAGTGATAATATCAAAATTCTTGCAAACGTCTTGAAGACGAACGTTTCTGCATGCACTTCAATCGGTAGCTTTTACCTCCCCCAACTAGGTCGAATTTTCTTGGATATGCTTGGCCTCTACAAAGCAGTCAGTGGAATTGTCAGCGAAACGATTCAGAAAGAGGGTACGTTTACTCTCAGTCCTTCCGTGAAACGTTGCATTCATTTCAATTCTAGGCCCAGTCGCAACGAAGACGCCTAAAGTTAGGCAGCTTCGAACAGTGAAGAAGGAAATACTCAAACTTATGGAGACATATGTCAAAAAGGCGGAGGATCTAGAGGCTGTTAACGCCAACTTTATGCCACCGCTTCTGGATGCTATTTTGGGCGACTACAACCGCAATACTCCGGCCGCCCGAGACGCTGAGGTGCTGAACGTGATGGCCACCATCATTTCAAGACTTGGGGTGCGTTCCCATGTTATCGTAATAGCTTTTGAGGGTGAAACTCACGTCCTCCATTTCAGCCGCTTCTTACACCCCAAGTACCGGCCATTCTGGATGCTGTCTTTGAGCCAACTTTGAACATGATCAACCAAGACTTTGCTGAGTTCCCGGAGCATCGGGTCGGCTTCTTCAAGCTCTTACGCGCGATTAATTTGAATTGCTTCCCTGGTAAACAGCGTTGCTTCCCCGGAAATTGATCATTGGACTAACATACATTGTAGCATTGCTGACAATCCCTCCGACCCAGTTCAAGCTGTTCATGGACAGCATTATCTGGGCAATCAAGCACACGATGCGCGATATCTCGGATACTGGGTTGAACTGTAAGGCCAAATTCACTTCGGTTAGTTTAATTAATGACACTCACGCCCTTTTCTCAGTGTGCCTCGAGGTTGTCAACAATTTCGCCACAGCGGCAGACCCAGCCGTGACAAGCGCGTTTTTCCAGCAATACTTCCTCAGCATCATGCAGGATATTTTCTTTGTCCTAACTGATACCGATCACAAGAGTGGATTCAAGTTGCAGAGCGTGTTGCTCGCCCGCATGTTCCAACTGGTGGAAATGAACGTCATCCAAACGCCGTTGTTCGACCCGTCGACGGTCACTGATCCCGGCGTGAATAATACCACGTTCCTGCGAGAATACACGGCGAACTTGCTCAAGACCGCCTTCCCTCATGTGCCGAAGTCAGTGATTCAACCCCCTCTCTATTTCCGCTTTTCCTGACCTTACCTTATCCGTGTTCTCCCAGTTCGCAAGTGCAAGTTTTCGTTACCGCTCTTATCGAAAACCATAACGATATCAACCGCTTCAAGCTCGCTTTGCGCGACTTCCTCATTCAGCTCAAGGAGTTCTCTGGGGACAACACTGAGCTGTACTTAGAAGAGAAGGAGCTCGAGAGCCAGCAGAAGGCCGAGGCCGAACGCCAGGCGGCCATGCGGATTCCCGGCATGCTCAAGCCCAGTCAACTAGAAGATAAGGACGAGGACATTTGATCTAATGGAGTGGTAATTGGGATCGGTCGCATCTTTCATGTTTTGTTTTCGTCTTCGAGGTCTTACCCCCCTTTCGCCAATGTACAACAATCTGATACGTAAAGCCAGCATTCATGCCCCCTGTTCCCCCACCCCACCATCCCACATGTTGTACAGCTCTTCTAGCTTTGCTATCGTCTCTTTCGTCGTCGCTGACTCTCTCGACAGTTCTTCCCTATGTACCATTAGCATACGAGAAATAATGTAGAAGTACTATTTTTGAGTGGACTGTCGCTCTTCCTCGTATGCGTGTTCGATGCGAAGGTGGACGGATACATGGTCCGAAGTAAGTAAGAGTTCACAAGGAGACCGTATGTTGGCGCCAGTGGTCCGGTAACTATCTTCCAATCATGTCGACAACACAAGGTCTCATCTTAAGTTGCTTGATAGACACCATTATCTACCCAACTATCCCCAGCCTTGTGTTCGTTCAAAATCGGTCTACCTAGGGTGACAAGGAAGAACACTCAAGGATGTTCAAGAAGTATGCTCCGATCCGATTTGATTTTGACGCCCACCCCTGCTTATTGTTGTACGACAATTCAGGTTTTCCCCATCGACGGACATTGCAGGGCACACGCCCGTAAAGACATCGGTTCAGAGGCAGATTCGTGCGGGGGTCCTGTCACAGTGGAAAATCGAACCAGAGACGCTGGAAGCGGTGTGGCCCAAGAAGGAGGGCCTTGTCCATGTTAAGTGGTCTGTGTATTCATTTCCTCGAGATCGCTTCGTACCGTGTCTAATCGCCATCGCCATTCGCGTAGCAGAGAACACGTCTCAGTATATACAGTCAACTCCGAGCCTCTGTTTTTCCAGCACTTTGATGGGCCGTTCTACCCAACGTTGCGGTTCTTGCACAAATGTGAGTACAGTTCCGGTTTGGGGCATCTTGGGATGACTAGACTCTGCACCCCTATGCAATTTGTTCAAGGATCTGACTAGACGCTTCGCCTCCGCCTTTCCAGACCCTTACATCTTGCCTAAGGTGCAAGTAGATCGCGGCGCGATCCGCTTTCTTCTGGCTGGCGCACACATGATGTGCCCGGGCCTCACATCCGCCGGAGGCTGGCTGCCTCCTGTGGAGGACGCGATCCCAGCAGAGCGCCTCGTCGCGATACATGCGGAAGGCAAAGAGCACGCGGTTGGTCTAGGGATCACAAAGCTTAGCACGGAGGACATCAAGAAAGTGAATAAGGGCGTCGCAGTCGAGACTGCGACTTATCTCGGAGACGACTTGTGGCCTCTCAAAACACTCTGATAACTACGAAAAACGGTGCGCTGGACCTATCAGAGACCCCCGAATCGGATTGACCTTCGCATTCGTCCAGGCTCCAAATTGTATTAAGATAGACAGCAAGAGTCATTGTGAGTCCTCTATCGCACCCATCAGCGGATGATCACTGAGCGTGTCCGTAGGTTTTGGCAAAAAGAAGTCAGAAGCTTTTGTCTTATGATCACGACCTGTAGCGCTGGGTATCCCTTCCTCGACCAACAAAGATTGATATGTGCAATGAGTTTGACCGCAGAGACTTAGTACGCGGAGAAACCGGCGATATCTAGGAAGAGCTCAGCTTGTCACAGCTAATTCGGCGCTAATTGGAGCCCTGAGCCAATGAGCTGAAAGAGCTCATTGCAATTCCTCCTTTGATACGGCCTGACATTCTGATAGCAGTTCAAGTAGAATTTGACTGGTAGCCAGCGAAGCGCTCGTCTGTCCAGTGAGAGCGCTCTAGGGACGACCCTAAAACGTGCATTCTAGCCCATGATGACCGTCCTGGTACAGCAGTCTTCGAAAGCGGTACTCTTTGGTCAACCGTTCATGTCAACTAGCGGCCCTGAAGCCTAAATTGCAGTCAGATTGCAGCAGCGCCATCGGGTTGATGAACCGGTTCGTATTATGCTTGCATATATTTGACCTCAAGGCCATCGGTCCGATTAGGATGACCGGCGCGACTTCGATCAGCACAAACTTGTTCCTGCTCCAACTCTTCCGCCTCGAAAAAGCTATGTCAGACCCTCCAGCCACGGAGACTGCGTCACTTTCATACTCGGACTTTATACCAGCCCCGTCACGGAAGAAGAGGAGAAAAAACAAGCTCGCCCACGCCCCGAAGCCTCTTTCAGAGCTATTGCCACCAATGAGGGAGCAAGTTAGACAGTCCGAGTGGTTCGCGCAGTGTTCACGTCCGTGTCATCCCAATCGTGTCTCATGCCCAAGAACCCACCCAGTTACTCCTCTCCTGACACAATTATTTTCTCCTTTCTATTGTAGATCTCCTGGAAGGGGTCTGGAGCGCGTTTTCTGATTCTGCGGGGTCCACTGCGAAATCACCGGCGGTGCTTTGTCTTGGTCTTGGGAGCCCCAGTTTGTCCCAAAATGCCCGCGTCCAACTTGCGTTTCTGGCGGAGACGTGTCAACTGCTTAATGTTGTATGTAGACCAATCACTGCCTCTTCCTGATGTCCCCCTCTCTGCCATCGTGTCTTAATGTGATGTTCGATGCAAATAATATATGTTTCTTTTCTGACAGGGCTTCGACCAGATATCTATCTATGATCCTGTGTTCACCGCCGAAGACGAAGCTCTCTTTCATGAATTGCATATGTCTGTTTTGCCTAAAGACGCGGCATGTTCTTTGGTTAGTCTCAACGTGCAGAGGAGTCATTAACTCTGCCGAACAGTGCTTGGAATATGCTCTGGTCGTTCCCACAATATGCTTTATGCCTCATTGTGATATCGAGCTCTATGAAGCGCTTCTCCGAGCGAATTGGAGTAGAGAAGGGCTCGCGAACGTATTCCTCCTCGGCAACAGCTTACAGGAGTATCTCGACAAGTGAGCTCATCTTCGCGTGATTTCGAACGGCTGTATGCAATCTCAATCTCATTGAATCATTCTGTTCCATTCTCCATCATCATCTGTCCTGATGATCCTCCAGCAAGCCGACAAGCGCTCTGAAGGCAACCGCCCCGTGCCTGTTACGAGTCGGTAAGCACGCTCTCGTGTCTGCTGCTCTGCAGCCATCTATGTGCTGGTCTCACGAGCAACCGGATGAATTCTGGTCCACACTATTAGCGCCCTTTCTCGAAAACCGGCCGCTGCCAGCATCAAGCGCGTGGCCGACGGCGTTCAACAATACGTCCGCGCAATTCTTGCGATCGAGTGCGACAGCCCCTGACGCCATCTTCGTGTGCTCCGGGAGAGTCGACGGACGACGCAGTCAAGAAAGGGAAACAGACGCGACCGCCGCCAGGTTGCCGCGGCAATAACCGTGGGAATCTAGTCGTCGGCCGACCGCGTCCAATGGCGACCGACACGGGGACCTCCGAGCGGCCTCCGACCAGCGTCGGAGTCTAGCACAATCACACGAGTGTCTTGGCTCAGTGGGGCCATTTTGTACCAAAAAAACCTTATCAAATGTGAATTTCAGAGGACAAAAACACAGAGGGATGAGTACGATAAGAGACATGCAACGACGGTGAAGCATATGTACGAGCAGGGGCGACAACTAAAAGGAGAGAGATAAGCAATATAGACACGCTACTAGAGGCGACTAGCACTCTTGATAATGATTATACGGACTGTTGAGGTGCTGGTCGGGGAAGGGGAGAGGGTCAAGCTGGAACGAATAGAAGTAGGAATCTGAATCAACATAGACACGAGGGATGGGATGGCGCAATCTACTGCGCTCTTGGGGGAGAGGAACGGATGCTGCATCAACCAAAGACAAAGAGGAGCTCGACCTGCCAAGCGAAGGCGTGGTGGGAGCGTCGGACTCGTCATCTGAGGTGTCTTCTATAGCGTCGGGTACGGGTAGGTCTTCTATGTCGTCCAAGTCGTGATAGGGCAGCGGGTCTTCATAGGGTGATGAGACAGGAGAAACAAGAGGGTCAAAAGGAGAATCGAAATGGTAGGCATGGATGAGAGGGGGATATGGCACAGGATATGGTACAGAAATGGGAGAAGAATAATAATCAGGCTGGCTAGGAAGGTCGTCCGAAGAAGACATGGGGGAGACAGTTGGGCTGTAGAGGGAGAAGTCGTCGTCATCTACTGGCAGCACCGAAATGTCGCTGGGGTTGTGGTGGTCGTCCGTGTCGACGCGGAAATCGTCATCGTCGTCATCGTCGCCTAACGTTTCAAGCAAAGAATCAAGCCATTGAGCTTCGGACTTGACGTCTTTGCTGGGGGTGGCAAGTTTCTCAGCATCTGGAAACACGAAAGCTTCAGAATCTACCGAGCCTGTGACCTCTACTGCGTCGTCGTCGTCCTCGCCATCGTCGACAGGGTAAGCAGGGTTGACTTCAGCCTGAGTCGAAGAGGTCGCGCTGTTTGGGACAGAAGGCGAGAGGAGAATCGAATTTTTGAGTAGGACCCAACGATGCAAGCTGCAGCCCTCCTTCGCAGAGAAGGAATTGTGCAGCTTGGAACGGGCCAAAGAAGAAAGATTCGTAGATTCGCAGGACATTGTAGTCGAGAGGTTGGGCAGTGGTAGTTGTGGTTTCGAGAGTTGTATGGTGGTGGCGACTGGTTGAGCAGCGGTCACAGGTGCTATTAGACTATGAGTACGGTGGGGAAGACGCGACGACACGAGCTACGCACATGAGGAACGGGCGTGTTGGTTACCAGTGCGGTATACGGTCGACGATTTCTGGTTCGAAGAGGAGGGAGCCGTTCTTGGAGGTGCGGATGAGTTTGTTAACCATTCTCGATGCCGAGTGGTAGCCAGGGGACACGGTGGCTAGTGTACGGTTCAAGAGACGAGGGACGCGGTTGTCGCTTAGGCGGACATGGTGGTGCGGGCGGAGGGACCAAGTTTGAGGAGACGGCAAGCAGCACGGGGCTTATATACCGATTCACCGAATCCTGACTCGGTTGTCACGCGAACCACCGCGTCACGTAACCGAACCGCCCTGAATGATTCGCAAACCAGCCCCACTTTCGCCAAACCTCGCACGATAAGGCGCCACCATTGGCCTACCCACAGCAATTCCCCATCCTCAACAACGATACAATTCTCCGCGTGCAAAGGGTAATATGTACAAGAAATGTCGCCACAAATAGCAATGTCCGTGTGCCCTCCTCCTCACCCCTCGTCCATCATGTCGTCGCCCGCGTCTCGCGTCGTGCCCAGCAGCTTCCTGATCTTGTTCACGCTCTTCGGTGACATGTCCCGCGCAGCCGCCAGTGTCTGCGCAGACTTGATACTGTCACCCATGAGTCGGTACAGCTTGGCCAGCTGGAAGACGACATTTGACTCTTCAGGAGTGGAACTCCGCAGAAACTCCAGGTCGTGTACCGCTGCCTAAGGGTGCAAAAGTGGGCGAGGTGAGAAAAAAGAGGAAATGCACAATACAGGGTCAATGACATCTGTCAGGAAGAATAAAAGCCTTTTTGACTCACAGCGTATTTCCTCATTGAGATGAGGATCTTCGCCCTGCGATACCGAACCAAGGCATTCTCAGGTGAGATTTGGACGGCCTGATTGAAGAGCGCCAGGGCTCCTTCACGATCACCGCGTCGTTCGACAGTCTGAGAAAGGATACAATGGATAGATGCCGGACGCAGTGAAGAAACGGAACCGTTAGCACGAGTCGCCTCCGAAAGGTGATAGCACGGAGATGAGCCTGTACGCACCATACCCACGCAGCCTAGCAGAACCGCGTTCGCTGGGTGAATCGCAGCTGCCCTTCGGAAATGGTATTCCGCAAGGCGGACTTTGCTCATCCTCAGATAGCATGTTCCCAGGCCATACCTGGGTGATCATATCAGAAGATAAGCCTGTTCCATAGTCAAGAAGCGGCCAATTGTAAACTTACCATGCATTGTAATGGCGAGCATCCGCGCGTAACGCCGACTGGAAGAAGTTGATTGCTCTATCTAGGTCTTCGTCTATTGACTCATGGCCGCTCAGCGTATACGCATATGCGCAAGTGGGATCGAGCTGGAAAGCACGCCGGAAGCATGTCAAGGCCTGTTCGCGCTCCTTCTGCAGGGAGAAGAGGTTTCCGATCGCGATCCAAGCCTGTGGCGACTGAGGGTTGATGTTGAGAAGCTCTTGCGCCAGGAAGGATAGTTCGACGCTTTGCTGGAGTTGCCATAGGAGGGAAGAATAAATTTCCATGTCCCATAGCCGGTAGGGGTCTTCCTTCCGGAGTGTCTTAAAAGCGCGATTCGCCTGTTATAAGGGTTTATGTTAATGAATGAAGCCCGGCATCATTAACACATACAAACGTACAGAGGGATAGTCTTGCCTCTCGTAATGGCATCTAGCAACCATTGCGATAACCGAACACGAGTGTTGGTGGGCATGAGGAAGTTGTTCAAGCTCGTCTAAGCATTTCTGGCACTCGTATAAGGCCAATGCCCTCGTCGCCCTAGCGAAACGACGGACTAGCTCGTAGATGTAATGCTCTGCTAGGGCATCCTCGTACTCATCTTGAGCAGCCTGCTCTTGAGCCGATGTCCAATTACTTGGTGAGGGAGAGACCTCAGACCGAGGGGATAATGCGGCAGATGGTGGTGAAGTAGAGTAGGCGACCTCTCCACCGAGAGTAGACTCTTCATCCTTCTCTGATTCTATCGATCGTGTGCGAGCATGTGCAGGGATTTTCCGTCGTTCATTTCTAAGCTAAAAATAATCATAAGAACGTGACTTTTGAATGGAAGAACGACAGAAAACCATAAATACCTTGGGCTTTGCTACAGTACCACTTTGCAAGCGCGAACTTCGTCGTGTGGGGGCCGGCGGCACAGAAGGCAGAGTATTACTCTTCCCTAGCGCGGCATTTGTCCTAGATGAAGTCGTTTGCTGAGAACGACGACCCGCAGATGAGAAGATGTTAGCAAATGACAAGGCCGGGCGTGCGCGTGCCTTTTTCGACGGGTCGTCCAGACTAGTCTTGCTAGGCTTGGATTTGAGACCTTCGGGCTGTGATGCTGTAGACCGCAACCGTTTGGTTACTGGGCCTGATTCGTCTGCAGAGGAGAGGGGCCGTGAACCTGCCTGCACAGGATTGAGATTCGCCGGTTGGGAACGACTGCTCCGATGTACCAGGAATGAATTTTCCGCCGGGTAGAATGACGAATCATTTGTGGCACTGCAAACAGAAAGCTTAGGAGCCCCCTGCCACGTAGACTATGGGCAACTCACATAGAGTCTCGAGGACCTGGTGGAGGCGCCATACGAAATGGTTGAGGTTGTGCTATCTCAGGTTTCCACCCGCGAAAGAGATTTCCGCCTCCTCCAGTATCTGGTGTAAAGAATCCAGCTCCTGTCACCGTTGGCTTCGACTGATTATCTTCTGGCGGTGCTCGTTTGACAGGGGCCGGGCGTGGAGGCAAGATTTCATCGATTTCCGGAGCTTGGCCTATAAATCCAGAATAAGTCTCTGGAAAATATCGGAAAATACAATACGGCACACCCAGAACACATAAACCCTCAAAGGCCTCCATTAGATACGGATTAAGCTTGAGAGCCTCCCGAAAGCTAGTCGTCGCCTTCTCTGTGAGATTGCCTTTCAATGCAGCCGCCCCGGATCGACATCGCAGTGCCGCTTCTTCAGGAAATGGTCGGGAAATCCTACTGCTTGACGACGCTAGTGCAGACGTGGCGGATGAGTTCATGGCGCCGAGGAGAAATTACAGGAGGAGGTTGGACACACCAGAAGACACGTAGTGTGCGTCGGATAGGATGCGGTCGAGCACGTCACGCGCCTGGCCGTGGCGACCAAGTGCCTTGCAGCAGCGCGCCTTGATTTCCATACATCCGGTGCATTGTTCGTCTTGCGCGCCATTAACGAGGGACAGAGCGGAGTATGTCTGGCCTTCGCGGAAAAGCGAAGTGGCGTAGAGGTGTCTTGATTCGTGGTTGGAGCGATCCATAGCGAAATACCGCTCCGCATGGAACACGGCAGTCTGTGTGAGATCTGCGTCGAGACATGACCAGATAAGAGATTGGTAGCGTTGGCAAAGGTACGGATAGAATGAGGGCGGCGGTTCGGACTGCATTGAGGGGCTTCGGATTGTGGCCTAGGACATAGAGTGTAGAAGCGCGGTGGGTAATACTGGAGCGCGACGCGGCGAGATGCGTTCAGAGGGCGACGATGGAGGCCACAACAAGCAGCCGGAAGCAAATTATCGAGGAAAGTAGAAAGAGGCTGCACTCCCTTTCTTGTTGATCTACAACACGACACCACGTGATCAGTACGCGTCCCCTGTCCCATCATGAATCACAATCACTTTGTTTTCGCAAAATCTTTCAAGTTCACGTCTAAATGATCATCAATTACATCGGTATCTCTACTTAGGGGCGGTTTTTACACTATGTCCCGTTGCTTTAATGCCCGTGAGGGTCGGGCTCTCCTTTTTGCTCTATCAGATAGTCGTCAGTATCATACGACATCGAAAGAAGACCATATTAACTACGCACCCGGAACACACTGAATCGCATCATCGATGCGCAGGAGGGAGACGGCAGCTTCGTATGCGGATTTCAAGCTTTTCACCTTGCTCATTGTGGGTTCAAGAACACCAGCAGCCACATTGTCCCGCACTTCTCCATTTAACAAGTCAAGCCCATAGCGCAGGAGGACCTTCTTCGGGTCACCTGCTGGTGCATTTTGTGCTGCGTTGTGATAGGAGCGTAATTTGGCCACCAGTTCAGTTGAATCTTTGGCGGCGTTCACGGCGAGGGTTTTGGGAATCGAGAGGAGCGCAGCAGCGAATTCTGCGATAGCGAGTTGCTCTCTTGAGCCCTAGAAGAAAGCCAATCAGCCATTCATTGACCTAAGGATGGAAGCGAGAACTTTACATACCAAGGTTGTGGCAAAGTTCTCGAGATATATGCTCAATGCAGATTCCACGGCGCCTCCTCCAGGCACGACAGCACCACTTTCCAATGTGCGCTTGATAATGGACAACGTATCGTGCAGCGCCCGTTCCATCTCGTCCAGCATATAATCGTTGGCCCCTCGAAGGATGATCGAAGCTGAGTTCACAACCTTGGTGCCCTTGATGAGAATCAGTTCGTCGTCCGAAATGCGCTCTTGAATGACTTCTTCGGCTGTCCCAAGATAACTGGCCTCGAAGGTCTCCTCTCCTTCGAGATTGGCAAGACTGGATACAAGTTGGCCTCCTGTTGCCTTCGCAATGCGACGGAGGTCCTCCTTCCTACACCGACGGACGGCCATAGCGCCTGCCTCGACGAACTCCTTCAAGCAGAGGTCATCAATACCTTTCGTGGTGAGAACGACATTGGCTCCAGCAGCAAGAATCTTCCGTATTCTTTCCAGGGTGATCTCGGCTTCCCTCTTGCGAATCTCCTCCAATTGGTTAGGATCATCTACTAGAATCTGCACGCCGAGCTGCATACGCGCTTTTTGCAAATTGATATCTAAGCAAGCAATTTTGGCGTTTGTAATACGCTTTTTCATGGCTTTCGGGTCAAGAGGTCAAGACCAGCTCATAAAGTTCGGTCTACATTAGACGCACCTTGGCTAGCGACCGTGCAATTCAAAGCGTATCCCTTCACGAATATAGAATCACGAGCGCTCCTTCCGTGGGCTTTTAGCACATTGACGGCCTTCACAGGGTACTTGATATCTCCTCGCAAATTGATAGACTTCACAGCCTGCATGGCATCGACTGCCATAGGCGCAAAGAGGTCATCATCACTGCCGAAAGTGTATTGAGCTTGCAATGGAGAAAAAAGGTGCACGTGTACGCACTTTCCAATGATTTTACTCGACATCGTCGTCTTCGCCACATTGATCAACGCGTCTCTCCCGAGCGCATCAACCTTGATGCTCAGCTGATCCTGCATAAACTTTACCGCCTCCCTGCATGCCAGCCTGTACCCAGTGATGATCGTTGTGGGGTGGATCTTCGCCTTGACGAGCTCGTTGGCGCGTCGCAGGAGCTCCGCAGCGATAATGACCACGGATGTCGTGCCATCGCCCACTTCCTTGTCCTGCTTTTGCGCGAGATCGACGAATATTTTACCTGCGGGGTGCTCCACTGACAGAAGAGAGAGGATGGTCGCGCCGTCGTTCGAGATCGTCACTTCCTAGTGTTCGTTCGTCTGTGAGCATTCTCGAGTTCGAAAGCATGAAAAAGAGTGAGACGCACTCCGATGTTGTCCACCATCATTTTATCGAGGCCAAGAGGGCCTAACGAGCTCTTGACGATGTTCGCGATCGATTGGGCAGCCAGAACTGTAATTTGTATGCATGAGACACGGCTTCGAGGACGCGTCCTGCAACTCTGACGCACCATTTTGGTCGCGAATGTCTTGTCCGGAGACACGATCGCCTCCGAGAAACGCACCAGCGCGGGGATCTCGTTGATACATTATGAGTGTGTGGTCGAAAGGGACGGAAGATAAAAAGAGAGCTAAGGTCAAGACTCAAATCGTGGAAAAGTTGAACGATTACGACTTCGAGGTTGCGCATCAAAACATTTTTACTTCTGAGCCACCACTTGCCTCCACCTGCTACCCTTCGCCCCCTTTCTGCGGCGCCGCATACGAACATCGAATGTAGATCGATGAACAAATTTTCGTCGCCGTTCACCCGTTCATCCTCTTCGATCCTCAGCACAATCTGTCTGCCTTGAGGACATAAATACTGGGAACCCTCGAAACAGGAAAGTGGACATATAATCGCTCCTCGCTGATTTTTAAACCGATGCATCCAGTACACTAGCAACTATCTTGTGTTGACTTGAATTCTTTGAGGACAATTGGTGACTCTGCTAATCGAGCCCCTTGCACCAGGAAATGGGCCGTATATCTATCTGGTGCCTTTGCAAGGACGCTCATGGATGATCCAGCTATCAATGTCCGTCTAGTTGCAATAAGAGCTTCAAACATAACGGCCAGAATGCACCCGGACCCCTTCGGCGTTGTCCCCCACTCTTCTAAGCCGTAAAATGCTTCTAGGGTTGCCCTGGAGGATGTCCTTTCACAACACGCGCGGTATCCCTGAATTTATTTCTTTCACTTTCGATATTTGTGCCTTCGAAGTCATTCCAAGGAAAGTAGAACGCCTCTTGGACAATTCTTGGTCTAGGTGAAGTCTTGTGGTTCCTCACTCTGTTCGCGAAAGCAATGTGAATAGAATACGCGTACGTATATGTACAACAATACACATCTGGGTGTTGGTGTTGATTGGCAGACAGTGGGATCTAGAAGGCCGTTGGAGGATCGAGGACACTACGGACACCTATGGAAAAACGCCAATATCACTCCGAGGTCATGCTTTCATGGTCTAGTAGAGGCAACCGGAAGAAAGCCTACTAGGCTGTGCAGTTGGGACAGTCATCCAGGACTTGACACGCCCAAAGCATGATTTTGTACGACACTCTGGGGTGTCTACTCGGCTTGCAAAAAAAAAACTGTTGGGAAAAGGCAGCCTCGTTCAATCAGAGAAGTCGGGATGCCCGTTCATGTTGGCTGCTTCCATCATGCATTCAGAGACCAGTCGTATACCTGGGCACTATTTGTAGAGTAAGGTGCGTAGTCGACCTTTTAGTTCTCAATTTCGCGGTCGGGTACAAGGTGAGGCCCATCACTAGTGGTGTGCATTCTATTGAGTTTTGTTGAGAGGTGTTCTACCTCAATACATCAAGTACTCAGGCCACTTATCCAACCTATCCACTCCATCGTCATTTCTAGTGAGGAAGAGCCTACCCTCAGTGCCATATGGTGGATCGTGTAGTCATACAAGGAGTCCCGAGGTACCAGTTTACAACAATAATGGCGATTAGTCAAGCTTGATTTTCGACGGGGGCTCAACAATCGTTGCCTAAGATTGTTGGGCGTCAGTTAAGCCTGTTGAGGTGATTGAGATGCTGAAGGGACAGGCATCGACGTACCGAGATAAACTTGAGTATTTCGTCGATGACGAGGACAGGGAAGCTTATCCAGAGTACTGCCTTCCACTCAGCCCAGTTGAGGGGAGTGATGGCAAACAGCGTCTACAAAAAAGCCGATCAGCACCAACAGACATCGTCAAGAAGGCCAAATACGTACTGTGAAGAAAGGCACGTAAAGAATCATGAAGTGCAACGCCATGCTCAGTGTAATAGCAGCAACGAGATACATGTTCTTCCAGAGAGGCAGCCGGAGCAAACTCTCGTTCTCGGAGAGCGAGTTCATGGCGTTGAACATCTCAATGGTAACCAGGATCGACAAGCTCATCGTTGTTGCACGATGCGACATCTCGTTCGTGAACATATAGCAGCCAATTTCTGGGAATTGGGAGAGGCATTCATGGAAGTGGGTCTGTAAATTGCACAAGACGTTAGCCATAGAAGGGCAAGGTAAACAGCAAAACTAGGAAACGCACGAGTTGATAGAATGAAATTCGAGGACCCTCCTCGTAGAACATGAACCACCAGGCATAACCGAACACCGTCGCGCATCCCACGTACATCCCAATGACCATGTAGCGGAAGAACAACCACTTGCCAACGAGGGGTTCGCGGCTGTCTCGCGGTGGAACGCGCATAATCGAGTGATCAGGTGGGTTGAAACCGAGTGCGGTAGCCGGTAGACTGTCCGTGACGAGGTTGACCCAGAGGAGCTGGACGGGAATTAAAGCTTCGGGCATGCCCAGAAGCACAGTTAAAAATATGCTGACGACCTCGCCAATATTCGAGGAAACTAAGCATATGGTCAGCGGGGCTAAGAGAAAGATAGAAAACACGTACTAAGATAACGAATAAACTGCTTGGTATTATTGTAAATAAGTCGACCTTCCTCGACGGCCTTCTCAATCGTGGCGAAGTTGGAGTCGGCGAGGACCATGTCAGCAGCGAGTTTCGCCACATCCGTTCCGCTGCCCATCGCCACACCGATATCTGCCTTTTTCAGCGCAGGAGCGTCATTGACACCGTCGCCAGTCTACAAAGAACCATCAGTCAAATTGAAGGTCTGTTAGTAGCAAAAGAAAATCTGACCATGGCCACAACCAAGCCCAGTCCTTGCAACAAATCCACCAGCTGGCTCTTATGGTTCGGCTCCGTCCTCGAGAACAGACTCGCCCTCTGCACCGCCTTCACCTTCTCCTCATGGCTCAGCTCATCCAGCTCCCTGCCCGTATAACTTTTGCCCGTCAAGTCCTCATCATCGCCAAAAATTCCAATCTGCCTGCAAATCGTCTCCGCCGTACCCTTGTTGTCGCCTGTAATGCAGATAACCCGGATGCCCGCGGCGCGGCAGTTGGCTACGGCCTCACGCACCTCGGGGCGTGGTGGGTCGAGCATACCGACTAGCGAGACGAATGTGAGATTCTGCTCAAACCGGGCGTAATCCTTCGAGCTCTCCGAGAGGTAATGCGTTGAGTCAATGTCCTGCACGTCACGGTAGGCCAGCGCCAGAGTCCGGAGCCCATTTGAGCCGTACGCGACAGTGCTCTTGAGGAGGGAGGCCTTGAGTGCGGATGTGAGAGGGATGGTCTTCCCATTGACTATGACGGAGGTACACCGCTCGAGAACAGACTCGGGCGCGCCTTTGACGAAGAGAGAGCCGGTGCCGTTGACACGGACGAGGACAGACATCATCTTGCGGTCGCGAGAGAACTCGAAGGTCAATAGACGGGGCTTGGTACGCTCGAAGTATTCATTGACGGCGTTAGCACGAGCTGAAGGCGAGAGGTCGACTAATGATTTCGAGATTTCGGCGTCATTACAGCCAATTTTCTCTGCCAATACTCTGAGGGCGGCTTCAGTGGGTTCGCCAACGTTACTGTAAACCCCCTTGTCCTAGATGGAAGATTGAGAACCACGGTGGTTGAAGACGTGAGCGCTACATACCCCATTGTAGACAACCTTCGAGTCGTTGCATAGGGCGCTGATTTCAGCCAAACGTTGGATAGGGTCTGACTTCAATTCAGCGGAGGCAACTTTGCCATCAGCAGTGTAAACCGACCCGTAAGGCGAGAAGGTGGTGCCTTCCACGGTGAATTCACGAGGAGTGCCGGAACCGTCAACAATCAAGAACTGAACCAGTATATTAGAATTTTTGTAAACAAAAAAGATAGAACACCTTGCCTTAGAGACACTCATTTGGTTGGTGGTCAACGTTCCAGTCTTGTCTGAGCAGATGACGTTTGTGCAGCCCAAAGTTTCGACGCTGGGAAGATTTCTGACGATCGCGTTCTTCTGAGCCATCTTCTTCGTTCCGAGTGCAAGGCACGCTGTGATGACAGCGGCCAGACCTTCAGGAATAGCCGCGACCGCCAACGCGACAGCAATCTTAAAGTAGTAGATAGCACCCTTCAGTGCTCCGTGATGGGCAGGATCCCAGAAATGGCGGAAGTTGACGACCCAGACGAGAATGCAGATTACGGTGATGACCTTCGCCAACATGTCTCCGAAGTCGTCCAACTTCCTCTTCAGAGGAGTCTTCTCTGAGATTTGCGAGCTGATCGACTTATGGATATCGCCAATTGCCGTCTTTTCACCAGTGAATATGACGATGGCTTTCGCATTTCCATTAACAACCGTGGTTCCCTATCGTTTAGATTAATACGATGTGTCTTGCAATTTTTGGGTATGGATGACGTACAGAGAAGAGAATATTCGTCATATCCTGCTTAACGGCCTTCTTATCCGGTACAGCGTCGATAGACTTGTGCACACTGACGCTTTCTCCCGTCAAAATGGCCTGGTCAATTCGAAAACTACTTGACGAAACCGAGAGCAGTCTGCAGTCCGCGGGAATCTTGTCGCCTACTGCCACCGAGATAATGTCTCCTGGGACGAGTTCCGACGCGTGTATACGTGCAATTTGCGAGGACCTGAGAACCTTGGCTTCATCTGGGGAGTATTCCTTCAGCGCCTAGATAAATGGTAGCGTTAGAGTGCTCTCAGAATGCAGGGTTGAACAGGGCCTACATCAATTGCCTTTTCTGCACTCGACTCTTGGATTACACCAACGGCTGCGTTCGCCACGAGGATAAGGAGAATGACGAGAGGTTCGACGAAGGCGCCAAACCAGCTTGAATTTTCGTTGCCTTCTAGCAGGGCCAAGACGAACGACACGACGGCCGAAGCGAGGAGGATAAGGACGAGCTGGTCCTTGAATTGCTCGAGGATGAGTTCCCAGAGAGGAGTAGGAGGGTCTTCGGGCAGTTCTGGGGAGGGCAATCCATTAAACAACGACACAGATGACAAGGGCATGCATGCGCACCATTTTTTCCATATATCTCGGCGTGTTTAGCAGCTTGGGCAGCAGAAAGTCCTCGAGTGGGGTCGACGTTGTAGAAAGCGAGGATCTCCTGTGGTGACTTGGACCACGGAGCTTCCATGGGGTGATTATGAGCAATTTAAACCGCTCAGGACGTAAGAAACGGGGGGTATGGTAGGTGGGGGATGTGGTGGGGAAGCAGTTGTGTCCGGCACGGGAGACGGATCCATAAGCCTCGCAAAATATTGGCCACACGTGCGAAAGTGACGTGGCGATATCTGAAAACGTTCCCCTCTTCCCGGAGTTGCCTTCCCGCTGCTGTTGCAGGTCCCACAGATTGTCCTCCGGGTGAACGAGACGACGACGCGGCGACATACTTGGAGGTGAGAGAGGACTGAACTGAACAAAAGCCGAGAGTTACTTCTGGTCAATCACGCTATCGGGTTCCACGACCCGTTACCTATCCGAGCTTAGATCACCACGCATCACACACGAGATGCAATATGAAGGCAGATGGACAGAATATGTAGTTCAGTGTTCAGAATATGCGAACAAAATTCCCCCCTACAACCAGAAAACGAATACAGAGTTCGTGGTCGAGGAAGACCGGCTGGGGAATTCCGCCACCGGACAAACAAACGGCAACAGAGATTATGACCTTCGTGCAGCCTTGGCTCCCTTGAACGCCTGACTCGGACTTGGGACAGTCTATCCTCGCTATTCCCACCAGCCACGGTCTGGCATAACTCCTCCCACCCCCGATGGGCAACTCCTCCTCTTCCTCGGGGCGGGGCCACCACGACGACACAGTCGACTATGGCTCCCTCGTTCCCCAGGGCGTCTACACCGGTCCTCGAGACTGGAATCAGCCTGTTGTCTCCCAGCTCATTGTCGCCCGCAGACTCGCCCCTTTCTATCGCCCTCTCGAAGACTATGACGACTCATGGGACGATGACCAAATCCTCGCCGCCAGAAAGGAGCTCCCAGATCCTGACAGCGCCGATACAGTCACACGAATAGAGGCCACCGCAATGGCTTCCTCCTCCAGCAAGTCTAAACGGCCGGGGTCGCTCAAGGAGCCGGTCAAACCAGAAGCTCAGGTTTATAGGGGTGCTGTAGAGTGTCCCATTTGTTTCCTGGTCAGTCGTTGCCTTGCTACTCGTCTCCTCGCGATTCTGATTACAACTGGCCCCTTTCAAGTACTATCCGCCTAACATCAACCACTCCAGATGTTGTGATCAGGCTATTTGTACAGAGTGCTTCGTCCAGATCAAACGCAATGAGCCCACGGCTACCCATTTGGTTTCCGAGTATGCCGCATGTCCTTATTGCGTTCAAGAGAACTTTGGTGTGGTATACACTCCTCCTCCCTGGCGAGCTGGTCTGGGCAGCGATGGCGCGGTATGTGGGGTTTTCTTTCGCACCCAATTCACGTGGATCTGATGCCATCTCCACTCAGAATGGCATCTGGTCGGAGCAGCGGGAGCCAGCGGCAGTGCCTACGCACAAACGAAGGCAGAAGAGCTTCGGAGCGGACAGTCCGGAAGTAGTCACAACAGGTACGCTGACAATTCACACCGATGGAAAGGATTTATCATATTGACAACATTCGCTGTCTTCAAGATCAAATACGACCTGATTGGGAGGCGAAGCTCGAGGCCGTTCGTGCTGCGGTTGCAAGACGCGCCAACAGGCGTATCATTATGCGGCAAGTTGGTGATCGTCTGATTCCAGTCGGTATTACAAGCGGGCGTGTGCACACCCTGAGTCCGGAGGAGGCAGCAGCAGCAGGTGCTGCTGTAGAAGGAAGTTCAGGTCGGAGAGGTCGCAGACGTGGGCAGCAGAACGGAGCATTCGATCAATACGTGGGCATGTCAGGACAAGACCTCGAGGAAGTAAGTCATTCCATTGCGTTGCATATCGAAGAAATTTGCTTATTCATCGTTGCTTATCGGGGCAGTTGATGCTAATGGAAGCAATGCGCCTGTCATTGCTGGATCATGAAGAATATCAACGGAAAGAGGCTGAAGAGAAGAAGAAGCGGGAAGCTGCTGAAGCTGCAGCAGCTGCAGGAGAGGGTTCTGACAGAGCGCCTGCAGTGCCAGCCGAAGCTGAATGTACAGACCACTCAGCTCCTGGTCCAGGACCATCGACTTTAGAGGCTCGCGCTACCCTTCACCCCTCAAGTTCCTCCAATCTATCAACGCCTCCTTCCTCGCATTCGCGCTCTCCCAGCCCTGCAGCTCAGAGGCACAACAAAGTTGATTCACAAGATTCGTTATCTCCTGGTCGTAAGTCATGGTCCTTCTCCCGAAGCCGCACACCACCTCCACCCCCTAATCCCGTCCCAAACCTCCCTTTGAGCGAAGATAACCAGGCCGCCTGGCGAAATCGTTCGGCTGGCCCTCCTGCATTCAGCACATTGAGTGCTGCGCTGACATCTACGTCAACAGCTGCCGCTGTCCTTGGAACTGCCGAGCGTGGCTCGTCGCGGTCTGTCACACCCGAACCCGTCCCAGCCTCCTCAACAACGTCCTCCTCTACGTCGGCGGCGCCACCTGCGGCTGCAGGTGCCCAAAATACGGCTGACGTCCCGATACCGACGATCACGGTTGTTAATAACGATCCTCGTAATGGCGGTCGAGCAACCCCGGGTGGGGTAGCTCAACCTGCTTCATCACAGTCTTCTGAGGATAGCGCTGATTCTTCGCTTTCGTCACCGCCGCTTCCACCTCTTCCAACAGAATTGGCTCGTTGGGCGGCTCCTGGCTCATCGGAGGCTAGCGGTGCATTAGTCACCAGTTCGGGATCGGGCGAACAAAGTGGGCAGACTGGTTACGGACAGTTCCCATCGTCACCCGAGTCGTCGCCAGAGCTGGTTGATTTACATGAGCATTTGCTGGCACATTCGGATTCAGGCTCGTCAACCAAGGTGGATGACGATGGAAGAGCAGGTGCAGCTACTTATGTCCCAGAGATGACGAGATGAGGTGAGGGTCCTTTTTGTGTGGTTTTTCTTTTCCCCAGGTGTATCTCGGATTTTGGATTTGGTTCATGGGTAGTCTAGAATTCCTTTCTTCGCTTATCTTTGTGCGCTTTGCTGTTCTCCAACTATAACTCTCCTCTCTTCTCCCCGACTATTGAATGAATGCTAATGAGCCACCTCTTGATTGGTTCGTAGAGATTTTAGATATGATTTCACGGATTATGCCTTCGCATATTGATCCTACGTGGCACTAGGGCAGCGCTCAGTTAGTCTGCTTGAATTATTGTGCATCATGAACGACATCTATACTGGCATTAGCTCTGCCATTCCCTCTCTACGCCTTCATTCTACGCCTTTTATTCCATCTCCTCTCCCTTCTATCCTCTCATCTACTTAACGAGTCGACGACACAATCCACCATCGACACCGTTCCAAGTCCTATCTCCTACGATACACCATCATTTGTTGCCCATTACCCATCGAATACCACGACTCACTCCCATTTACCAGTTTGTAGCCTATCTCCTATCTATGTAGACTTGTTTTCGATTTGAAACTCTTTATTATATGATGGACCATCAAGGATTTACATAAAGCGCATCAGCCAATGGGAACGCGCTGTTTTGACCAACGTGACCATTCGTGACAGACCGTACGTGTCCTCTACTATCTCACTACTTAAACTCCGGCGACATGTCAGGGAAATATGCATGGGGCAAGGTATCAGCAGTCACGGTGGGGTGTAAGCACTCCTACTACTCTTTCGTGGAAGGAATTTCACTGACGGGCGTTTCTCCTGCTTGTTGAACCCTTCTGTCGGATTCTCTCCCTATGCGTTCTTTGGCCCCGACATGCTTGTGCTCTCGATCATGTTCCCTCGTGCATCCCCAATGTCCTTGTTCCGTCTTCGACCAAATATCGTGGGCTTCGCGACGAAATGTCTAACGTTCGTGATCATTCTCCGAACCCTTCTCCTCCACCCGTTGGGAATCTTGCTTGCGTCTATTCGGATTGCGAATGAATTCACGAATACCAACCCTGCTTCATTGGGGTGGCTACTCATCGTCGTATTTGGCTTCTCCGGAACTCCTTTCCGCTAGTATTCGCCATAGGCTATGCGATGATGAAAGGTGAGTAAGAAACTCGTATTGAAAACGCCTCGTTTTGCTCATGTGGTTCCCCCTTGTAGCTACGACGCCGACAGAAGAGCAGCTCTATAATGTGAGTATCTTCAAAGATCGTTCCATTTGGCTAGTTTCCCTTGTGTTGGCTCGAGTGTTCGGTAATTAAAGCAACCAAGACGGCTAGCGTGCACTGCACGGTCCATACTTCGCGATTCATTTTTTTTTACTCAGCCTCACCTTCTCGTGCAACACGCACAACACACTTCAGCTTCAGAAGCATTCTATTGGTGTTCATGCCCTGCCGAACGACCCTCTGTTTTCCTTTCGGTTTTGTGGCACCCATCTTTTCACTCCTTCACCATCCTTCTTATGAAAGAAGACGACATGTGGATGCGGCCGCCTAAGGCGCCCGTGCGTCTATCACACATGGCTTCTGGGGGCGCAGTCCACTTCCCTTTCATGTCGCTTGTCATTATTCCTTCCTTGCTGCTTGTCATTACACAATTTGACCTCTCGCGACATCTCATACTGTCACGATCGCCGGAAACGTTCCCGTTCCCGGCGTCATCCTCTTCACGTCCACCGAACCACTTTCCAACCAGAACAAGCAACTAACATACCATCTTTCTGTCTCCTTTTCTTTCTCCGTCGCTTGGCGCGCGGATAGGAAATGTCGCCCGATCTGAGGAGGAAGGTCGATGCTGCCCGTACTGCCCGGCTCGCCAGGGAGACGGCGGCGAAGAAGCAGACGGACGCACAGGTGAGTCGACATTCAGCATTCAGGCATATCATGAATATGTGACTACACAAGTATGGGGTACTTACGAGTACACCGAGTTCGCGACTTGGGAGCTTGCTAAAAATAATGTGGCGTATGTCGATGGTGGTGTTGACTTTTTTTCTTTCTCTGAATAGACTACGAATGAGGCCGCGCCGGAGGAGGCGAAGCCTATCTGGGCTGACCCACCGCATAGTTCAAGAAAATAAACTCTAATATGGAGTCCTTTACTACCAGGACTGGCGTAGCGTCTCGCAAGCACAAGGATCACCACATGCAGCCATCGAAACTTGCGATTTGACCGGCTTTTCAGCAAGCCACAAACCCAACGATCGCCCTGCACAATGCACATCACTGTTCTACATGATATGTCGGCCAAACCTGACCTTTCTTCCATAGCTTCTCCCGTCTCCGTGTCTCTCATGACCTCAGGTCTGCCCGCCGGGTACCCACTCATGGGTTGTTTCCCGAATGCCGACGTCATCCCGCATCTCCGCTCAACAAGTATAGTCTTCTACAAGCTGTTATTCTTGCATCTGTACATGACACGGCATGGATACACCGTTTTCTTTTCTTTCTTCTTTGGGAGCTCCAGAGCTTGGAAACCGCCAGCCATGGAACGCATTTTCAAAGAGATGGTGGACGTCTGAAGATGAGAAGGCTGGAGAGAAGATGAAATATCGTGCTGCGCAGTCGACACGAGCTCAACAGCTGACCATGATTCCTGGACTTCGAAGCGGGCAAATTCAATGACCATGCCTCCTTGCTCAGCTGGGAAAGACTCGGATGTACTTCAACCCCGGTACCGTAGACCGGGTGTTCTCAATTGAGCACGCCTTTTCGCGAGCGCGAGGGACCCATAAGTGGATATCGTCCATACATGCGCCACCAAAGAATTTTAGAAGCCGTTTCAAAGTGACGTGTATGTATGCCCGTAACGATTATTTTCTATTGGACTCTCCAGAAACCTTCTTATGTTTGGTTGGGCGGGGGTGTTGTCACCTGCGAAGCTCTGGGAGGGGCCAACCGGGTATGTGTTTGACATGTTTTTTTGCCTTCGCGTGCGCGGATGGGGATGAGGAAGCGCGGATGTGTGGCGGGTGATCAGCTCGTATCAGGGTTTGTGTGCAGGCTGTATAAGGTTGGGCAAGGGTCGCGTTACGTGGATGTTTTCTGCTTTTCTATTGGACTGCATAAAGAAGGCGGCGTAAACGCCTACGCTTAATCTAGTGGGCGTCTGAACTGTGTCCGAGTACTCTGCTGGGCATGATGGAGAGATATCATGACGGAAAAGAAGAAAACAAAAAACGTCTCACCGGAACAGATTTGATTTTCTGTGATCCCCTCCCTGGCTATGGCTTCGCCTCTCGTGTGTGCTGTTCAGCCGAGCCTGCATCGATGATTGGGATGATAGGAAGATACCCGGAAAACACGGATGTCGTGTCGCGTAAGGCAACGCTTCCAAGTTCACAGGAAGGAGATGATCAATCAGGGATCAAAGAAGGGTTAGGAGCCAAGGATATGGTAGAGCAGGGTGGGACAGACTCGGAGAAAGAAAGAAATGGAAGAAATTCCATTCTGGTGCTGGGCTATAACCCAGGAGACGGTATGCGATCAAATATGGCTACGGCTGAGAAAGGAAGATGGGGATGGGATATTTGACGGACACACGGAAGGAGGGAGGCGTCACGCAACGGCGCCGAAAATTGTTCAGTCAGAAATAAAGGCGCCGAAAAGAAAATATGCACAGAAGAAGTTTAGAATTTTACTAAGTACGTTGACCGTTGTTGCCAACGCAAGAAGCTGTATGCCAATGTAAACCGAGCGACGCGGCTGTTCTTCCGGAGAAGGACGGTTGAAGAGCCTTTTGAGCAGCGAGCGCCGAGCAACTCCGTATGATAGGTTGACTCACGCTCGGGGGAATTCGTCGCTCCGCTGCTATGTAGCTACAATCAAATTGCGAGAACCAATAATCTTAGCGCTCAGAAGCCAAAGTGGTCTGCGGTCGGAACGTTCGATTTTTATGTTCTTTGTTCGAATGCGAATTCTTTGGAGATGCGAATATGCAAAAAGAGAAACACACTAGACTAGGAAGAGCTGGTAGTACTAGACAACGACAAACGACAACGAGGATGCGACGATGACGATGATGATGAGATGTAATGTATGTGGATGCTGGTGCTGGTGCTGGTAAATAGATACGATGGACGATGATCGATGAGACTCTGTAAATAATAGACGACACAGACACATGAAATATATACGAATGAGAGAGGCACTGTGGAGAGAGCGAGGAGAGAAGCATTGGCATCAGCAAGGGTGCAACGCGAGGCGAGGTGAGGTGGTCATGAGATGAGACGGAACGAATTCGAAGAGAATCTGCAGGGCTAGGATGGATACAAGGATACAGTAACGAACATTGACAAGACGATGATATGGATTCAGATGCACTGGAGAGCGGAGCCAACAGAGGCGAAATGCGAGTATGGTGGGCGATATGGATGCGGATGTGGATGCGAGTTGGGATTTGCGGTGATGATGGATGTGGAGCTCGAAGTCGAATTCGACGCGATGGATGGTGGGTGTGGGCGGCGATGGGACCATTGTGCAGTGCTGCGCAAAGCAGAAGCTAGTGGAGGCGAGGGCGGTGCGGATGATGGAGATGGGATATGTATGGAATAGCGTGGTGCGGCTGAGAGATAATCGCGATAGAAGGCCGGAGGGTGCTTTTGGTATGGCGCGAGTCGAGACAAATTCGAAGCCGAGTGATGGGGGTGGGTCGAAATAAATAGGAAAAGATGAGAAAAAAATGAGGGCACAATTACATTAGTACAACCAATCAGTCTATGTAGAGGCTAGCAGCGCAGCAGGCGTGACGCGAAGCGAACAGAAAAAGAGCTTGAACGTCGAAGAGCAGAGAAGGGAGTACAACAGAGGCCGGCTGGATGCGTCGAAGGTCGAGGAAATGCCGGATGGTCGAAGGAACGAAGTGTCGAAGAACGAGGTGTCGAAACAGGGAAGGTCGAAAGCACTCGGAGGAAGCGTCGGAGGAAGCTTGGAGCCTGAAGCTGAAGCATGGCATGAAGGCTAGCTAGCTGCTCGCAGTCGAAGAAAACGAGCGTAGAACGCGAACGCGAAGTCGAAAGAATTCTTTCTTCTTCCTTCTTTCTACCCTTCTTTCCACCCTTCCTTCTACCTTTTCTTCTACGCCCGAGAAGAAAATCAAAGAACCCCCTTTCCGAGGTTTAAGGCCTAAGAGGGAGCTTCGTAGACTTGTCGAAGGCAGGGAGGAGGCGAGCAAGGAAGCGAAGTGCGAGGTGTGACGAGCGAAGTCGGCGCACATACGCTAGGATAGGGAACGGCCGTGTAGCTTGTAAAGGAGGGTTTAGCGCGTGTTGGCGTTATCGTTAGCCTTGGGAGCGGTGGAGCCAAGAAGCACTAGTGTAACTGCTTTCAGGGAAGGTTGCGGTCTGGTCTGTTATGGTGTAGTGTCGTCACAGCACAGGTGTGGTGGAGAGCTCGAGAAGGATCCACTCCGGCGCTTGTACTTGCGCTATCCGCCAGACTCGGCACGCCTCTACGCGCTTACGCCTCCGCGCATCTACGACGACGCATCCGCCACGCGCGTCATCTGCATCGCCATCCCCACCGGCGGCACCCCCGGCACACCCACCACCACCGACCTTTTCCTGAGACTCTGCGTCTTCCCCGCAAACCCAACCGCATCGCTCGACCTTCGGCTCCTCATCTCGATCCTTGCGAGCTCCTCCTCCCACTCGCGCATGTAGTCCGAGGGCTCCGTCTCTTCCCCATCGCCCTCACGGGAGGACTGGGTAGAGACGCTCCCCGAGCTCGTGGTGGTGCTCGTGCTGCTCCCGCTCGGGACGGCTTTGATCTTGCTCCGCCCACCCCCGGGGACATGTGAGGGTCGTGACGTTGACGTCGAGTGGGATTGGTAGGAGTGCGAGTGCGAAGAGGAAGAGTGGGATTGGGAGGAATATGATTGGTTGGAGTGCGAGTGGGAGTTTGGCTGGGAATGCGAGTGTGAATTCGACGGCGCGTATGAATGGTGCGCGGACGGGTTGGAGTGCACGGTGGACCAGAAGGACGAAGACGAGAGCTTGCCCGTCCCCGGGCCCCCCGGGCCACTGATGAGGCTGGTGCCAGTGCCCTTTGTACTGCCAGTGCTCCGCGAAGAGGAGATCGAAGACGTGTGCGAGGCCTGCCCTTTCTCTTTCCGGCGGTTCTTTTCCCTTTCCCGGTCTTTATCCTTTTCCTTTTCCTTTTCCCTTTCCCTCTCGCGTTCGGAACGCGAATGGCTCGAGTCAGGCCTACCGCTCCCTTTACTCGTGCTTGCGCTAGTTGAGCCTCCGAAAAGACTGCTCACAGGAAGCGCAGGCGGCCGCATGACGACAAAGTCCGACCGGCGCTTCGCCGCAGTCGCAGTCCCGTTTATCCCTGCGCTTCCACTCCCACCACCGCTCGCATCGTGCGTCCCAGCTGGCAGTGGGACGCCTTCGCCTTCGCCTTCCGCACCACGTGGATTCTGATACGCACCCCCGGCAAAACTGACGGGCTTGTCACGCGGGCCCGCGCTTGTGTGGGGGCGCCGGGTGCTGCTCTTGCCCAGACTGCGCGCGTAGGGGTAGCTCGAGGGTGCGCTCGTCTTCCCAGCGCTACTCGAACCCCCGCCCCCATCTGCAGTAGGAAGACTCGGAGGCGGCCCCGCCCCGCTCCGCCCAACAGCAGGCGACGGCGGCACGACCTCATCCTCCGACCTTCCCCCGCCAGGCCGCTGGGAACGGCGGGGGGATTTCGACTTTGAGCGCACGTTCGCGTCGATGAGGGTGGAGGAGGAGGCGTCGTGTGTTTCGTTGTATTTGGCGAGGGCTAGCTGGCGCTCGGTGTCGTTCGTTGAGACGACGAGGAGCTCGTGTTCGGCGAGCTCGAGGGTCTCGGTGCCGGAGGGGGAGGTAATTATTATCTGGAGGGGAGGAGGGGTGAGTATATGCGAGTTTGGAAAAGGGGGAAGGGGAAAAGAGGAAGAAGTAGAACACGTAGAAGAGTCAATAGAAGCGAAGAGAGATAAGGGAGATGGATAGAGGGTAGTGAAAGAGAATCGATATAATAGAAGAGAATGCAACAGAGGGAAGACGCACCTTCGCCTTGACGAAAAACCGCACCGAAACCAAGTCCGAGATGATCGTTTCTCCAATCGCCCACCGACTGTGCGACTTGGCCGCGGGCCACTGGAGTGTCAGCGTCTTGGTCCAGACGCCATTCGCGTCGCGCGCGAACGTGCCGGACGACTCGGCGCCGGCGATGGGGTTTGTGACTACCTTGGACGACGAGCTGCTCGGAGGGGTATTCGGGGAAGATGAGGGAGGAAGAAGGGGTGTCGTTTCGAGCGGAAGGGAGAAGGTGCTGGGCGTGATGGTCGGTTGGGAAGAGTTGATGGAGAGGGTGGAAGCTGCGGACTGTTGGCTGAACGGGGAGAGTTGGTGCGTCTGTGTGGGGGAATACGAGCCATTCGAGTGTGTAGGTGAGGGTGTAGGAGCATGGCTCGAGGAGGGGCGTGAGGAGGGGGACGAGGAGGCTGTCTGGAAAGTTGCGGAGGGGGGCGCAGAGAGGGAGGAGGAGGAAGGGCCGGACGGAGGGCACTCATGGAGATATATGCGACGCTCGACGATGACACTTGCACTGCGTATTGATACACCCTGGTCTAGCGGCTGGAGATGGAGTGGGATGGAGACGAGGTCGAGGGGCCCGATGGCGGTGCGCGGGGAGCTGACGGAGTAGCGTATGCGGGGCGCGCGGGGCTTGCTGGTGTGCTGGGAGAGGAGGGGCTGCGGGGGAGGGAGGGAGGGGAGCCAGGAGGGCACGTCGTAACGGATGAGGGGCAGCTCAAAGTGGCGTATCTGACGCGACCCGACGCCGGCGATGGGCGCGTGGTTCAGCACTGCACGTCCGTTCAACCACGCGAGCAGAGAGGATAAACAGAGTTTGGACATACCGGCTTCGACCCTCCACGTACACCGGTAATCTACGAATATCGCAGTGCTGAAGCCGGCGACCTTGGCGGGGAGGTTTATTCTGAACGGGAACTCGAGGTTGCCGATGTGCTCGTGGTCGACATTGTCGGGCTTTGACCAGAGGAGGGTGGTGTACTCGACGAGGACGTTTGTCTGGAGGGTGTTGACGCGGCCGACGCGGGTCTCGTAGCAGCGGACGGAGACGGAGATGGACTTGGCGGGGAGGGTCTTGAGATCAGCGTCGAGTTTTGTGCGGACGACTGGGGGACGGTCAGCGTAGGCCTAGTAGCAGAGCAAGCGGGCTACGTGCCTCCTTCGATGCGGACGGGGGTGAGGCCGAGATAGCCAGAGTAGGGGAAGTAGCGCAGACCCTGGTTGCCTGTGCACGGTGAGGACGATGTGGCAGCGGGCAGCAGACGGGGACAGACCTTTTGGCGAGGAGAGGAGGAGATGGACCATTGGCTTGCGGGAGGGAGGGGAGAGGAGGGTGGCTGGCGAGAGCGCCATCTGCATAAAAAGCCTTGGGCACAAGAAGCGAGCTCTTCTCCAAAGATCTGTCGACGCTGGCTTCTCAGCATCCGGGGAAGCGAAGCGACCAACTCTTCTCCCTGAGAATATATACAAGACTAATTGATTTATCGCCGGTCACGTCACGCCGAGCCCCGCCGCCGGCCCTTCCCCGCTGGCACAACTGCCGCTCCTCTCTCCGTCCCCACCATGCCCTCCTCACTCTATGTCCCGTTCCTCCTGGCGGGGATGATCCTCACTGTGCGTCTGCTCTCTACTGTCCTGGTATATGCTAACAACCTCCGCAGGGATCCAGCAACTCGCTCTGGTCCAAATGGCAGGCAAGGACTCCCTATCAACCAACTCGGGCCCATCCTCACCCCCTCCTAGGACATGCAGTGCGTCGAGAACTGCAATGACCCCGACCCAACAAACCACGTCCTCTACGAGCAGCCCGTCTGGCAGACCCTCCAGATGTTCAGTGCGCCTATCTCCCCTCCTCCTGCGTTGACCACTCATAACCGCCGTCCTAGTCGGAGAAATGCTCTGTCAGTCCCATCACTCCATCACCTTCCCTGCTCCCTCTGCCAACTCTATCCATGTGCTTACGCTAACCCTTTCCCAAAGGTTTCCTGCCGGTCATATACACGTGGCTCAACACCAGACGACAATCATCTTCCGTGCAGCTCCAGCCAGATGCCCCCGACCATCAGCCAGTCGACAAACACAACCTCCCGCCCCAGGCCCTCCAAGGCTGGAAGATCTGCCTCCTCTGGATCCCCGCAGCCTGTGACCTCACCGGCACCACTGTCAGTCCCAATTCGCTTCACAGAATGGTACCCCAAGCTAAACCATCATCTGCGCTAGCTAATGAATGTTGGCCTCCTATACACCCCCGTCTCCATTTATCAAATGACCCGCGGTGCCCTCGTCCTCTTCGTCGGCGTTTTTAGCGTCGTCTTCCTCCGGCGCCGCCTCTGGCTGTATCAGTGCGCGCCAACTCTATTAAACTCGGCGCCTAATTCCTTTCCTGACTAATGTCCTTGGTAGATGGATCTCGCTCATTATCGTGATGACCGGCGTCGCACTGGTAGGGTACAGCGGGTCGCTCATCAAGGATGCGGTCAAGGAGGCCGTCGTGCACCATCTCGCGCGCGCGCTTGCTCTGCACCATGATCCCCATACGAAAGCGATCGAGAACCCTGAGGTAACGAAAGTCCTCGTCGGTGCGTGCTCCCCGCCGACGTCTATAACCTAAACTGAGCAAGCACAACGTGCGTTGCTGCCTTCTTTCCAGGTATATTCTTTGTATTGTTTGCGCAAGTATTGTGAGTTGCCTCATCCTTCCGTGACACACGCCAGCTGCGCGCCGACCGCGCAGTTGGTGTGTACGCGCCTTCTTTTTGTGTGTGATGCCGATAGATGGACCAACTGACTGACAAATACACTCCGCTTGTAGCACCGCCACCCAGTTCGTCGTCGAAGGTTCGTATTTTTCTTTTGTCGTTTTCTGTGCAGAAGGACAGCATGCTGATCTTTCCTTCTCCCTTCTTCCGCCCACAGAAAAGATCATGAGTGCGTACCGCTTGCATAGCTTAGGCTTACCCCATCTCCGACCTTCCTTCCCTCTCCCTTCTTCCTTCCATTAACAAACTGACTGACACACACCCCTTCTGCCTTCTTCCGCACAAACAACCATCTTAGGCCGGTACGCCGTCTCCCCCCTCATCGCCGTCGGCTTCGAGGGCCTCTTCGGGACGATCTCCATCCTCCTCTTCGTCCCCATCCTCGCCATCCCCTCCGTCGCCCGCCTCTCCTCCTTCTTCGACCTCCCGCGCGGATGGCACCAGATGATCGACACGCCCTCCGTCCTGTACTCCGGCATGGCGATCTGCGTCAGCATTTCGCTGTTCAACTTCTTTGGATTAAGTGTGACGCGCCATGTCAGCGCGACGGCGCGTTCGCTCACGGATACGTGCCGCACGTTGAGTATTTGGGTTATTAGTCTTGGACTGGGCTGGGAGAAGCTGGTGTTCCCGATCTCGTTGTTGCAGGTTCTCGGGTTCTCGTTGCTTGTGTGAGTGGAGAGGCCTGCGTCCTTTGTTCTGCTTGGAGAAAGAATAAGGACTGACGATATTTTGTTTGACATGATGACTGTACAGCTACGGCACTGTGAGTTCATCCTTCTCTTTCTTCTCCACCGTCATCACTCATTATTCTTCTTTTCTTCTCCCAGTTCCTCTTCAACAACCTCGTCAAAGTACCCTCCTTCCTCCCCTCTCCTGCGCCAGCTAGTCCTTCCACACGGGAGGAAGACGAAGAAGAGCGCGAAGGACTCTTGACAGGCCATCAAGGCCATCCAAGTCTTAGTCAGAGCCAGACGCTCGACGAGACAGCCGCGCTCCCGGCTGATTTGGGCCAGAGCGGGTTCGACGTCGTCCCGGAGGGGCAGCACGCACTTGCGAGTGCGAGTGCGACCGCGAGCCCGAGGGAGGGGTCGAGGGTGAGGTCGGCGAGGGCGCATGCCGATTGAGTTTTTCTTTCGGTTCGGCGCTTGGGTGAAATATATTTCGAATATATGTGGTCACACAAGGGAGTCCAGAGTGGTGAATGGAAGCGAATGGAGAAAGGGAAGAAACAATGACAAGATGGCCGTGGAGCGCCCGACGCTGTGGATGTGGGCAGAGTGCACACTGTCACTGGTCACTGTTCGGTGCGGTGCGGTGCATGCAGATCTCGGGGAAATGTCGGGTGTTTTACCTGGTGAAAGATTTTTTTCTTGGGTGTGTGCCATGCACATTGCATACGCGCTTGGTGTTTACGGTGCCGCGGTGTGTGACGGGGTGGGCGCTTGGGGTTCGCTTTGCTTTGCTTTGCTTGCTTGATTATTTATTTTTTGACGGACCGTGTACCATTCCCCATCTCTTTTTCTTGCTTGCATGACACGATATTTCTTGATACGATATTTCTTGGTTGTAGACGTCCACCCGTCTTTGCTTTTTTGTGTATAACGTAGGCATAGATACGTTTACTCTACTCGCAGGGAATAATGGCTGTCTCCTCAGGCGCACTTTCTCGTTCCTGTCGGCCTGATTCCCTGTGCCACCATTCCACTCTCAGTATAGGATTGCCGGCGATGCAGGGAACCTGGAAGTTGGAACCATCCTGAAAATTGAACGGAAGAGGCCTTGGGTGCCGCCTCGTCTCGTCCTGCCTGCAGCCTAAGGGTTCGTCTATTTAATTTCGGAGAGGTGCGGGTGCAGACGCTGAAAAAAAAATCCTTTGCATGCTCGAATGGAAGACGGCGGACGTGGGTTTCTTGTGACTTACTTAGGGTGTAAATAGAATAGAATAGAGAATATATAGAATTGGACCCCTATGTGTATCTACACCTACTACCGAACACCGAACACGAGCTCGGAGCGCAGGAGGCTGGAGGCGAGATCGTGCTGCAATTGGCTATTGGATTGAATTTTGGGCTTCCGCGCATCCGCTCAACTTGGCGCCGGGGGCGTGCGGCGTCCGAACTGGGACTAGCGCGAGATGCGAGATGCGCATCTGCTATGGGCGATGGGGGGCGATGGGGGGCGTGCGTCAAGGCCGATATCGATCGCAATCCCATCTTTGTAAACGGGAGGAGCCAGCCGGTGAGGTATTTCCCGTTCGGACGTGAGTTGTGTGGCGTCGCATGTGCTCACCCTAGCTCGCTTGCTTGGCGGGTGCCGAGCGACTCATGAAGATCCTTGAAGATCCCTATGGCCTCTGTTTACGTCTTGCTATGTTCTGCCTTGCCTCGTGCTGATCATGACATATGAATGAACTTCGCAGCGCGTATGTTACGCCACTCACCCGCGGCGTTAAGCAGCAAATTATCCATCGACATCGTCTGGTTTCATGGAATCTGGATGAACGGATGGATGGGCAGACGGACGTCACTGATAGGGTAGAAGGAAGGCCTCTCCGGCGATCGATGAGGTCTCCAGCTATTTCCAGGTTAGCCTTGAGCTTGAGAGTTAGGTCGAGGCGTGTCTGTATCAGACATCTTGTGTTGGAGTATGTGTGGGCATATGTACGATGATGATGATAGGCATCGCCGCTCGGGGCTTGGTCAGCCTTGCTGGGCTTGGAGAGATCTGTCTGGCCTGGGAATAATTATGGGTGGATGGTATTTAGAGTTGTGAGAGGAAAGAGACGAGGTAGGGTATGCATATGGCATCAGCATTGCGAGCAGTCGGCCCGCTGATGCTATGTGTCGAACAAACTCGACCGAGCTCCATGATTTGGGAGAAAAACGACCATTCAGGCTGTTAGCACAGCGCGCGGCGATCCTCGCCTTGAAGGAACATGCTCTGGACATCCTTCACCCAGGACAATATTTCAGACGCTCTCCCGATCGTAGAACACCTTCCTTCGAGTCGAAGGCTTCGGAGACACGAGAGCGAGAGACTTTGCGTCCAACATTGGTTTAGCACCGGCGCGCGGGGCGCGCAGCTGACCTCGAGCACGCGCTTCTCTTCTCAAATTCCCAATCGAACGCTTCGAGGTCGAGCGTTTGACAGTTCCGAGTTCCATGGCGTGGCTTGAGAGCTCGAAATGGTGGTTATTCTTAACTCTTGTACACGCCCGCCGGTTTGTGTAATAGCAAATTTAGTCCCGAGGCAATCCAGCCTGAGCTCGAGAGCTGGGAGGCCTCTGGAGGCAGAATCAGACGGTCAAAGACACTGGACAGAAGTTAGTATTTGCTGAGGAGAGTTGATAAATTACTGTCGGCCCGGGTTGTGATTGTTCGCAGTTGTGCAAGCCTTTGGCGGAGAAGATAATTGATCATAAGATGTCAAATGGTGAGAGTACTCGGAGTCGCTTTGGCGGGGCGGGACGGGGGCGGGGAGCCGGCGTCAACGCGGTCGTACGGAAGATTACACAGTGGAGGTAATGCATATGGTAGAGGTCGAAAGAGGAACAAGGCGGTGTGTCGGCCTTGGCTTCGATGGTCATTATTTCCAATTCCGCACCCAAGCACTTATGTAGGCTCATGGTGGTGGGCAATTTGAAATTCATCGCCGTCAAGAACTCCCGCTGCGTCATCGACTATGACACGGAACACCCGCGATTAATTTTGCGTCAATGAAATTCAGCTTTGTCTGGCGCTTGGCCGTCGAGATTCCGTCGCCGAGTTTGCCGAAGACCCATATTCCACCTCCTCGTGTCGGGGTTAGCAAGAAAATAAAGGTGGCAGAACCACGCGACGTTGGAGTGGGTAAGTGTCTGCAGCTACCGCCGCATAGGCTCCAGGTGAAAAAGACTTGAACGTTCGTGAGGAGTTCTTGGAATGCAAAGATTGTACCTTGTGCTGGATTTGGAGGTTTTGGCTGATTGGATTTGTAGGCGCTTGAAGGTTTAAACGGACTCAGGGAGGAGCCGAAACCGCCTCTCATTCAAAATTTGGAACGGCACCTCTAAAAAAACAGCTTCAAATTATCACTGGACGGGCGCTTACAAGGTCACCGCCATTTTCGAGGTGCTTAGAGTTCCAATGGACAGCATCAATTTCTCTCAATTAAGGGGCCGGAGCCATTTCATTATGGATCAGATCCCTCCATTTCCATCCACCTGATTTTGTACCAGTTCTGTCCATGCGTGCGCCACGCAGTTCATCGTGAGGCGTGGCTTTCTTCCCGCCTTCATACCCATGTGCAGCCTTTTGCACCGGGAAGACTTTGGAGCGGTGAGATGCTCAGTCTATTCCCGCCTCGGCACCGAATTCCCCGCCCTTCATTTAATTACGGCCTGCATGCTCTCGTACATGTGTCTCTAGATAAATTTGACACTGGCTGCTGTAAACCACCGCACCTTTCTGATGGCCCTCTAGCATGGAATAGAACGAGACTGCCTACTTACCAACCAGGTCATTTGCCACTCCACTGCGCGACGGAATCAACATTCGAGACGTTGAAACTTGTGCCCATGATCGCGCTTGACTGCGGAGGAAGCATGCCGCTACACAGGCTAGCTTCAGTTTTCGCATGCGTCCTGCTTGCATGGATTCTCTCAACGGTGCAAGCAGTGTGCCGGACGTGTCGACTCCCATGGACATGCGGCGGTGTTAAAGATACCCGACAGGTTATGATATTCGAGGAAGACACGACAGGAATTGTGCGCATTCGGTTCCATTGTCGACAGTAAATGCTGACACCGCTAAGTCATGGATTAGAGTCGGGAAGCTTGCCATGCGTGCATAAGCGTCGCCTGTCGGGCGGAAATTCGGCCTGTAGGAGAAGTAAAAATATCTGGCCGAACGTTCGGTGGGTGCTCAGGAGCATCCGTGCAGATCGCTTCTGGGCACCTAGGTGCATCCCAGAGGCGTAAGCCGAAGAGTAGTGGAGAAGGCTTCGATTCGCCGCAAGGCTGCGTCCTAAAAGACAACGAGGAGGGAGGTCCGAGGCGTACATAAACGTGGCATGTCATCTGTTCGCCTTCGCCGAAGGAAATCCAGGAAAAACAAACGGCTGAATTGCAGAGTAGGGGCTTCTGAGGTTTTTCCAACGGTTTCTTCCTAAAAAAAGATGAAAGCCTAATGATCAGTGGTCCGCGGGAGAAGCGATGCGGTATGATCTTGGAGACATGTATGTGTATGACACACAACATACAATTGCAGAAGGTAGTAAACCCATCAAGCCCAGTCACCGAGAATACAGTAAGCAGACAGTAAGCAAATTGGGCAGTACAAGGACATGTTTCCGTGAACCCTCGAGGTATCGTGGGCCGGCAGAGTACTCATGCCAAACCTGGCATCCATGATGATTAGTGATGAAAGGAAGATGTGATGGAAAAGAGCGATCTCGGAACCCTGTGCAATTGCATCGGATTCCAACTGACAGTCTTTGACAGTACACAAATAGCCCCGGTTATTCAGCGAGATCTTTGACAAGAAGTGACAACAGCATCGGGGAATGTCCCAAGATAGTTTATCCCACTCAAGAAAAGATCAGAGTTTGACGGAGGACTGACAAAAAGAGAACAAAGGCCAACAGCCCACACTCAGACTGCTGGGAGATCGCAGGGTTAATCACGACATGCGAGCCTGGGCTGCTGAGAACCAGCCGTGCTGTTCTCACATGAATAAATGTTGAATGGAAGGAGGTTAGGAGAAGGTCGATCGCAGTCACGGTGCGTCTTGAACACGGCACTCTTCCGGAAGCCTGAAGGAAAGGTGGAAGGGTAGGCGCGTAACGCCGGAGCGTGACTGGACGGATGTTGGAACAAAATCAGAGATATCGGCCCGATCTTACCGAAAATGGGAGACAACGAGTGGCGTGCAACGAGCGCCCTTCAAGAATAGCCAGTGCCACTCCAGCCCCGACATTTCTTCATTTCCATAGAAACTCTGAGGTTCTTTCCCAACTCTGTAACACTGCTCTCATCCCTTAACTCTATTGCACTCCAGCAGTTTTAGCCTGCTATGGTGGTCTTCGTGGTTCTGCTTGGGTTCTGCCTGCATTCCTAGCTTCTAAGCAACAGTTAACCTTCAAGCTTCCTCGGTGGCCCGTATTGACCGCTTTCTTGATATGGTCGCCTCTTGCTATTGAAAGATATCGCGTCAAGCTTTTGTCTTGGCTACCTATCTATGGAAGACATGAAAGTCTCGTCGGGTTCGATGTGATCCATTGAAGCTCAACTTACAATCGTACGCAGCTGAGAGACTGAAAGGGATGTACTTGATCCTCGTTAGAAGCAAAAAAATGCCTAGTTTTTCTTGCGCCCTGCAACGGAGCTCCTGCTGTGCACAGATATTTTTACGTCGTCTGCACTCCGAATCTCCAGTTTCTGCGGAGCTCTCGGCCTTCACGAATCTAGCTGATATGGGGCACAGGAACTTCCTTACATCACCATATCTCTGGGTCGTAAGGACAATATGTCTGACCAGATGTCCCCGTCTTGATCAAGCTCCTCAAAAGTCACCGCCACTGCTGGAAGGGCTGCACAAAAGCGGGGTAGCCTGAAGATCACCTCTTAGATGCTGGTCATCATGTACGCACGTCTTAAACGAGGTTTTGAGTCTGGAACTTGTTAAGGTATTGATGCGATATCATAATTGCATCTAGCAATCGTTGGAGCGAGACCCGTTAGGGCTATAACGGCGTTCTCAGTCTTCCTTCCAGGGAAAAAATGCAGCGCAAAAGGAGCTTTGAAATCAAATGGATAGATCGTGCCCCTATGATCTACTCCAGCCCCGTGGAATGCAGGACGGACGACAGATCATCAAGAACATTTGAGGAGTTGTTGACAAGAACAAATACCCTCAGTGATTCGGCTAAACAAGATGTCAGCCACTAGCGGGGTAGTGCAGCAGTGACGATGACTTACTAGTCTCTAACCATGGACTATTCATCGTCCGTTGTTTCATCGTCACTGTCATTCTCTCGTTCCTCAGTCCTGCTGGCCGCAGCTTCAAGCTCTTCAAGGTCCCATCCGATGGAAGCTTTGTCCACCTCTACGTTCCTCAAAGCAGTCCCTAGCTGCTGTAGTATCTCATCACTGATAAATAGAGTGGGTTGAGAATACGATCAAACTTCAGAAGAAGGCTTACTCGGCGTCTGCTTGTATCCAAACGCAGAAATCGTCAACCCAGATTTTACTATAGACATAATATACCTCGTGGTGATCGAGAATGTCTTTCATCTCGAGAAGACATCGCATGACCGTCCGTTGGCCCTTTTGGAGGAAGTGGGCAACATCTTGGAGGCATTTTTCGGCCAGCATGAAGGAGCGATACAAGGGGAATGCAAGAGACCGTCGATAGGACGGCACGAGCGATTCTTTCAATTCATCCGGCGAGAAGACATGGGGGCCTCCTCTGTAGTATGAAGGCCGTGGAGGTTCTAGCGCAGTGAAGGCTGGAACGAGGTTGCAGATAGTCCAGGCGCTCTCCGGAGTAGGATCACGCAGGGTGGTTCTCTCATCATAGGCGTACGCGAACAAAAGGGGGATGAGAGCTAGATAGAGGTCATGGGTCTGGTTGGCCGTCGCGAGATCTAACAGAGTATTGAGATCGCCGGGATCATATCAGAGATAAAGCTTTGCAACAAACATTCTCTCCGTGGCAAGCGTAACATTTGCATGTTCTCCTTTTCGTTGTATTCGAACGGACGGCTGTCAGAAATATGAGGGTGCTTCCAGGCTAATAATTCTTGGATGTATTCGTCGTCCATGTAGTCAGCCCTGCAGAATTTTAATTAATGGACACATTGTAGAACGGGCATGGTAACTTACATATAGTGTTCTTCGTCCCACTTTTCGTCCTCGTGTTTTAATCTTCGTGCTCGCCGTTCTTCCATGTTGCACACCTCGGCATCGTCACCGAGCTCATTGACCTCATTCTCCGTGTGCGTCGCATGCTTTAGATATCCAGAGTGCATGTCCAAGAAGCCGTAATGAGCTTGCCGAGAGGCTTTAAGTGGCGGCAATGGCGCAGGGACCTCCTGAGGCAGCTGCCAATCATTTTCAGCGGCTAGGGAAAGACGAATGGGTCAACGCAAGGTAGAAATAGGGGGAAGATTTTACTCACCGTCAATGACATCGTCCCGCTCTAAAGACAGAGCCTCTGTTTTTGATGCAAGTTCATCTTCATCTTCGGTATACGTCCCAGACGACAACACCTCAATTGAAGGCGACGGTCCAGATTCTGCAGTCCTTAGAGGAGCCAATAGTTTGGCCAACAGATCAAGGTCATCAAACACCTCGTTCTTGTTCTCTTTTGTGAGCGTCACGGTGAGATATCCGGAGCTTGGATCGTATTTGGCTGAAGAACCATCATCTTCGAGCAACGGCTTCGAAAAATGCAGTCGCAGAAAGTATGGGTTGACATGAACGGTGACGAGCGTGTCGTCGACGTTTATCTCCAAGTCTGCTGCCTACTTTGCCAAAAACTGAGATGAAAACGCGTATTTCGAGGAAGACGTCTTACACGAATGGAAGGGCAGTATATTGAGATTATCACGCTTGATTCGGTTTGACTACAGCTAAACCGAGGAGTAATCATGGTCGGCGGTTGAGGGATCCGAGCGCAGGCGTTCAAACTTCAGATTCTTGCGGATGAGGCGAACTACTGGTCCCGGAAAAGAGGCATGAAGTGACAGGCGGAAGAAAAGGATGTCAAATATTTTGATCTCAGTCAGGGGACTTGCACTTTTTCGATTTACCGTGATCGCTCATAATTAGCCGCTTTCTGTGGCGCGCTACTCCCCAATCTGACCCACTGACCATCTGCTATCCTCTCAACTAACGGCTGTGACTATACGGGCAACATCTATCTCCAGGCTATTCCCCATTCCTTCTTGCTTCAAATATGGATACTCAGGTATGTGTTACTCCACTTTGATCACTTTGAGGGAATGTTGACCGCCGTCTCCAGAACCTACCAGCCTACCCACCTCTCTCCGTGGTTGAGGACTTGATTGTCAAGGAGAAGAAGGGCAACTGTGTTCCCGTCTATGTTGAACTCCCTGCCGATCTGATTACACCATGCATGGCCTATCTTCGTGTCGCGAAGGATTCAAAGTACAGTTTTCTCCTGGAGTCTATAATCGCCGGAGAGAGCGTCGCTAGATACAGTTTCATCGGTGCTGGTGGGTCTATTTCACCTTTGAGTGCCTTCATGTTAGCCACAATTGATTCTGGAATAGATCCTCTCAAAATTATCAAGACTGGACCTGGAGAGGAGATAACAGGAGATCCTATGGTCGCTCTACAGAGGGAACTTGCCCTCCACCAATACGTGAAGATCCCAGAGATCCCCACATTTACGGGTGGCGCCATAGGATATGTGTCGTACGACTGTATCCAGCACTTCGAACCGAAGACGAAGGCTGAGCTCAAGGACCCCCTCGGAATCCCAGAAGCGGTATTCATGCTCGTCGACACTCTGATCATCTACGACCACATCTTCCAGACGTTGAAGGTCGTCTCGCACGTCTTCATTCCCAAGAGCTTTGGCACTGGGAATCTCGCGTTTACGTACCAGACAGCTGTCTCGAAAGCTAGAAGGCTGGCTAAAGTCTTGCTGTCAAGTTCGACACCCGAACCGCGACAGCCGCCGATTATCCTAGGAAAGGAAGCAGTGTCGAATGTCGGAAAGGTGGGGTACGAGGCTTTCGTCACTCAGCTGAAGAAGCATATCATAGCAGGCGATATCATCCAAGCCGTACCATCCCAGAGATTAGCCAGACCGACTTCACTGCATCCTTTCAATGCCTATCGACAACTTCGACAGGTCAACCCATCACCGTACATGTTCTACCTCGACTGCGGGGATCTTCAAATTGTTGGAGCAAGCCCGGAGACGCTTTGCAAGGTTGAGAAAAACGTCGTCTATAACCACGCCATTGCCGGGACAATCAAGAGAGGAAAAACACCGGAAGGTGATTTATTTTATTTGACGAATGTTCTCCCGGAAGGAAGAGAAGCTGACGGCGCACCTAGAGGACGAGAAGTTGGGAGCTATCCTCCTCGCTTCGGAGAAAGACCGAGCGGAGCACATCATGTTAGTTGACCTGGCGCGGAACGATGTCAATCGAGTCTGTCTGCCAAAGACGGTCAAAGTTGACCATCTCATGAAGCTCGAGAAGTTCAGTCATGTCATCCACTTGACTTCTCAAGTTTCGGGTGTGCTGAGAGAGGGACTAACGAGGTATGTCTATGCCATCTAATTTGTGTTGGCTTGATGGCCATGGCGCTATCATATACAGGTTTGACGCTTTCCGGTCGATCTTCCCAGCGGGCACCGTTTCTGGAGCCCCAAAAATCAAGGCTATCGAGATTATTTCGTCGTTGGAGAAGGAGCGAAGGGGCGTATACGCTGGGGCCGTTGGTCGATTTGACTTCGCCAATGATGAAATGGACACCTGCATCGCCATTCGAACCATGACATTCAAGGACGGCGTTGCATATCTACAAGCCGGTGGTGGAATCGTATTCGACAGTGTCGAGGAGGAGGAATACATCGAGACAATCAACAAGCTGGGTGGAAATGTGCGGGCGCTTGAAGCTGCCGAACGTTAGTTCTTCCTCCATTTCTTTTCCTCCGAAGTATTGACATCATTTCGACAGGGCATTGGTATCAGATCCAACAGAATCAAGCGGCGAGGAAAGCGGCGGCGGTAGCGGCGACGTCAAACCGGAATGTATAGATAACTATAGTGTATATTACGCGTTGTTCTCGTACAGGGCTTTCGACCGCTTCTGCCTGGTCCACTTCTCCTTTTTCTTGAGCCCCTCTATTCTTGCCTTCTCGCGAAGAGTGACACCCTCGCCACCAGCAATGCTCAGAATGCCCGCGACCAGCTCTGCTGTTCTTGGATTTTCGTCATTGGCGGGGATGGGATACATCACCAACCGAGGGTCCACGTTAGAGTCGATGATTCCGATAGTGGGTACGTGCGCTTGAGCGCACTCTTGGATAGCAATCGTGTTTTGCAGAGGGTTGAGGATGATGGCAAGATCAGGTGTTGTCCGATGGCTGTCGACTTCGCTTTCACCAAAGAACTGTCGTCGGTTGGAGAGCGTACCAGGCAACCAACGGTCACCAACGTGAAAGCCTTGCTTTCCTAACCTTTCAGAGGCCTTATAGACAACAGGTCGGAGGTCTGGCCGGGTGCCAATGAAGAGGATGATTCCACCATCCCGAGCTACCTGTCGTGTGAGGTTTGCGGCTCGACGAAGCATGGGGACGGTGTGGTCGAGGTCGATTATGGTAATTCCCGCACGCGTTCCGTAGGCGTAAGGTACGAAATTTGGGTTCATACGGGTTGACGCATGCCCGAAGTGGGCACCCGCTGCAAGAAGAGCGGAAGTTGTCGCGTGGGCTATTGGCTTGTGGATGCCGTGGCGTAGTCTAAAAGTGTTGTCTGGATTGACCGTAGAGCCGTACTGGCTAAATATTTCAACTGTGAAAAACGCGTTAAACCAGTGGGGCGCGACTTCGGGGTACGTAGGACGCACTAATGTCTTTGGTTTCCTGACGCTTCTGCTTGAATCTTGCCCAGTCCTCTGGGGTCTTCAGGAGCTCTTCCGTTGACTGGTACCTCGTAAATATTCGACTTGACGACGCCGACGCCGTGGCGGATTTTGAGGTGCAGCGCGCAGAGGCGAGCCACGTTCGCAGTGCTGGTTGGGACATGGAGAAGAGGCTACTAGCTAGGTGGGTGGCTATGCACAATTCAGATCATTTGCTTACCTCACCATCGATTTTTTTTCCAGCCCTCGTCCTCTTCACCTTAACCACCACCCACCCACCCTTTTTTTCCTCTCAAAAATGGCCGAAGATTTGTTTGACGGTGCTATTGGCATTGATCTCGGTACCACCTACTCGTACGTCCGTCCTGAAAGAGTACAAACTCGCCACTCATTTTTTTCTTCCTCAGCTGTGTTGGAGTCTGGCAAAACGACCGTGTCGAAATCATCGCCAATGACCGTCAGCAGTTCCCCGATACGTTGAACGTGTGCATGTACTTATTGGACCACAGAGGGTAATCGCACGACCCCATCATACGTCGCCTTCTCCAACGAGGAGCGTCTCATTGGTGATGCCGCCAAAAACCAGGCTGCGATGAACCCTCGGAACACAGTCTTCGATGCCAAGCGCCTGATTGGTCGTCGATTTGAGTGAGCGCTTCCATTCTTTTCAAATTCATTTTTCGTATCTAACATGTTTTACTCTACTCTCCAGCGACCCAGATGTCAAGAAGGTGTGTCTCGAACTGATGTGATCCCATGTGTACATCTCAATATTTGAGTGTTATGTAGGACATGACACACTGGCCATTCGAGGTCGTTGAGAAGGACGGATCTCCTCTGATCAGGGTCCAATATCTCAACGAGGACAAGACCTTCAGCCCTCAGGAAATTTCATCTATGGTGCTCTCCAAAATGAAGGAAATCTCTGAGGCTAAGCTCGGCAAGACCGTCAAGAAGGCTGTCGTCACGTGCGTTCAAATTTCGTCCCCAATGTAATTTTGCCAACTATGTTGCAGTGTCCCCGCCTACTTCAACGACTCTCAACGTCTTGCTACTAAGGATGCTGGTGCCATCGCTGGTCTTGATGTTCTCCGTATCATTAACGAGCCCACTGCGGCCGCCATCGCCTATGGTCTCGATCGTCAATCCAAGGCTGAGAAGAACGTTCTCATCTTCGATCTTGGAGGAGGAACCTTCGATGTTTCGCTCCTCAACATCAGCGGTGGTGTGTTCGCTGTGAAGGCCACTGCCGGAGACACCCATTTGGGTGGTGAGGACTTCGACAACACCCTCTTGGAGCACTTCAAGAATGAGTTCAAGAGGAAGACCAAGCTTGACATCTCTGAGGATGCTCGTGCCCTCCGCCGTCTCCGCAGTGCTTGTGAACGTGCCAAGAGGACACTCTCGAGTGTCACCCAGACCACGGTTGAGGTCGACTCTCTCTTCCAGGTTCGTGATTGGCAACTCTTATGCAGCAATGTTTGTTTATTTTTTTCGTAGGGTGAGGACTTCTCCGCCAACATAACTCGTGCTCGCTTCGAAGAGATCAATGCTGCCATGTTCAAGTCCACCCTCGAGCCCGTCGAGAAGGTCCTGAAGGATGCTAAGATGGCTCGTGAGAAGGTCGACGACATTGTCCTTGTCGGTGGTTCCACTCGTATCCCCAAGATTCAGGCCCTTGTCTCTGAATACTTCGGTGGTCGCCAATTGAACAAGTCCATCAACCCTGATGAAGCCGTTGCCTACGGTGCTGCTGTCCAAGCCGCCGTCCTCACTGGCCAGACTTCTGACCAGACCAAGGATCTCCTACTCCTTGATGTGGCCCCCCTTTCCCTTGGTGTTGCCATGCAGGGCGACGTCTTCGGTGTCGTCGTCCCCCGTAACACTCCCATCCCCACCAACAAGTCGAGAACGTTCACGACCGTCGAGGACAACCAGACCACTGTCACCTTCCCTGTGTACGTGCTTTCTACCTTCTGCATGTAGTCTCTGTCTCATGTTCATTCTCTTAGCTACGAGGGTGAGCGCACCCAGTGCCGCGACAATCGTCTCCTCGGGGAGTTCGAGCTCACTGGGATTCCTCCCATGCCCCGCGGACAGGCCGAGCTCGTCACCACTTTTGAGGTCGATGCCAATGGTCTCCTCAAGGTATCTGCCATGGACCGCGCCTCTGGCCGCAAAGCCTCCATCAGTAAGGAGTCTTGATTTGTCGGAAGAAGGTTAAAACTCAACATATTCTTAGGCATCACCAATTCCGTCGGTCGTCTCTCTACAGCTGAGATTGATCAGATGATCAAGGATGCTGAACAATTCAAGGCCGCTGACAAGGAGTTCTCTGCCCGGCATGAGGCCAAGTCCGACCTCGAGGCTTACGTCCATCAGGTTGAGAGCACTATCACCTCACCTGAAATCGGCATGAAGCTCAAGCGCGGAGCTAAGGGCCAGGTTGAGGCTGAGCTCGCTCGTGCGCTCGAGAAGCTCGAGATCGAGGACACCACTGCTGATGAGCTGAGGAAGGCACAACTGGGCATCAAGCGTGCCCTCCAAAAAGCCACCGCCGGCATCCGGTAAAAGTGGTTTCATGGGTGGAGTTTAGACCTTCCCACTCGTCGTCGTATACATTTTTCATCCTCCGCATTCCGTCCTCGTTGCTTTCTTTGACGTCCCTTTTGCATATCAAAATGAAGTCCTAGTCTTGTATGATTCATCCTTGGTGCCAGTGCTCACCCCTCATGCGGTGCTGTAATTCCAATGTAAACGAAAAATAATGACAGCTAGACGACTCTTTGAGTGGAATGGCGTGGAATTTGTGAAGAAATGCGTCAAGAATCAGGAGAGCTATTTAGCGACACATGGCTAGGACACGGGCGGCAACAAAAATGTTCATGACAGGACCGCCTTGCTCACACGTAGTCCGACTTCCAGGACCCATAGTTCTTCGTCTGCGCCGTCGCAGAGTGCCTTATCCGCCTCTGCAAAGACAAGAGCACAAACCGATTTCTTCCTGCCATTCAAAGTGGGATGAAAGACAACGAAATCATGCAACTAGAGAACAGTTCAGAAAAACACCTTCACTACCAAAGACCGTGAAGATTTACCTGAGAGATTATTTGAGCAGCAGAATACCCTTCCCTCATCAAGAATTTTACTTTCTTCCTCATGGGTTCAAAGCCGCTGCGCCTTTGATTTGGTACTTCATCTACGTCCATTCCAGCATTGGCTTCAATACCAAGGACTATGGCAAAATCGTTTATCACGTCGTTAGGGACCACTCCAGCTATTTCTTGGATGTCTGCTGGAAGAATGGGTGTCGGTGGGTTGCTTGAGGAAGAAAGCCGTGAGGCTGACTGTAGGTAGGTGATAGCGCGGCGGAGGTCACCACTCGACGTGCTGATGAGGGCGTCGATGACGGGTTGGTTGATGTCAACATGCTCGGCTTGTGCGATGTGTGATAGTCGGAGAGAGGATGATTCGGAGTCGAGGGGCGTGAAACGGAATTTCGAACAACGTGAAGCGAGAGGCTCGATGATTCTACACCATCTTGAACAAGATATACGAAAGAATTGAAGATGACTCGCACCTAGTGACGTAGTTACACACCAGACAAAATCGTGTAATTCGCGCGTAACTTTCCATTATTCGGCGCAGGGCACCTTGGGCGTCTTGCGTCATGGAATCGGCTTCATCTAGGATGATGATCTTGTAAGGCGGACATGGGTACGTTTTGCCGTCAGAAGCGACAGCTTGGGCTCGGGGAGTCTGGCGTGCAAAGTTCTTGATCTTTTCGCGTACAATGCTAATTCCACGCTCATCGGACGCGTTTAACTCAAGAACTCTATTCCGAAAGTTATCTGGTCTTGAACTCATATTCAATATTGTTCCAACAGAAGCTCAAACTGAACCCCACCCAAAGAGCTGTCGTGCTAATGCAAGGATGGTTGAAGTCTTTCCCGTTCCGGGTGGTCCATAGAAGAGCATATGGGGCAACTATCATACTCACTGAGCAAGATAATGGAAAGAACAAGGCGACGTCAGCTTACATTCGTCGAGGTCAATGTTTTTTGAAGCACTGCTACTGTGTGTTCTTGTGCAGACACTTCGTCTATTGTCTTCGGTCGGCTGATAGAGAATCAGTGGGAAATAGTAATGGGGGATGAGAGACCTACTATTTCTCCACCCATGGCTGCAAAGAAGGATCCACTGTGTGTTTTACGACGTTTTTGTTTGACGGGGCTTTGGCTGAAAAGAAGTTGGACGCCATGGTATCGGAACGTTGAAGAAGACCGCTGTCACGAACGCGTGACGAGGTGCGCGCTTGTCACGACGCGTCAAGGTTTCCCACGAAACCATTTCGTAGCTTCGGCTTCGGAATCAGCAGTTCGAGTCTTACTCAACAACACGACCTACCCGGCGAATGAAACTGCCCCTTCTCGACATGTCGGGAACAGAAGCTAACAAAGGTGCTGTGTACTGAGAGTGGTTTTCTTTGGGTCGCCTAATAATAATTATGTGTTCTCGTTTAGCCACGCCGGAAGTCCCCCTGCCAGCAGAGAGTACGTTCGACGCGCCTTGCTAACAATTTGGCCGAGTTCTGACGCGTTTTTTGTCTTAGAGAAGCAAGAAAAAGCGAGCATCGTTGAACTCCGGAATGGAAAGGTCAACTTCAAGCAGAAACCACTCTCATTTGAGAAGCAGTCGGAAACACTGCAAGGTATGTGTACCATGCTGCGTCGCGACATGCTGCTTATGGGACGCGACAGAAATTGTCAGCTTCCGTGCAATGTTGGAAGGACGAATTGGCAACAAAGAATCTCCTCTAACCTCGTTTCCGGAGGAGCACCGCCCGTTAATTGCCAAGTTGGCTCACGAAAGGTCTGCACGCTCCGTGATGTGGCATCCATTCATTATGATTAGTTAATGCTCTTGTGGTCAGTGACAAAACACTTTCTGCACTCACCAAACACATTCATCAAGAGCTACTGCCGACAATCGACGACGAAGACGACGAGTCTTTGGCCTCTGCAATATCTGGAGCACTCCCTATGAACGTTGTGGAAAACGCTATCAAGAATATTCTAATACGAAACAACTATGGTCTCGATGTGCCATTAGGTGTCAAACTGCCAGCAGCGGTCTGCGTTTGGCGGTGGGAGGTTAGAAGTGAGAATTGGGCTTGGTTGCCTAAGAACAGTCGGGAAAAGGTGGAAGCTAGGCTTGCTGAGCGCATTCAAGTAAGATATCCCGTTGTCGAATCTGATTAGCCCCAACCTTTACCCTGGCAGGCAAAAGAAGAACTGAAGGCTTTATTCCACGCTCTGCCACAGGAGGCACGGGACGCGATTATTGATCCCAAAAAGACTTCTATGAAACTCCCCCCCAAGGAACTGAATCGACCTGAAATCACCCCGAATCCCGACTCAAACCTCGATGACGCGAAGAGCACGCCCCAATCTTCTAAGAGTCAAAGCAAGAAGAAAGCAGATGAACCGGAGAATGACAAGGTATATCATTCACCATTTACCTTAGCCACAGTCGTTGATGTTGAGGTCATTTCTAGCAAAACGATACTCCGCAAGGTCGCTCGAAGAGGGTTCAAGATCCTGAAAAGGCAGCGAAGGTCGGTCGACAGTCAGTCTTCAATTTCCTTCCTGCTAATACGTGGCTTGAAGGAAAAAGAGAAGTTGGAGAAGAAGGCTGCCCGTGCTGAAAAGGAGAAGAAAGAGAAGGATGCTCAAAACAAGTCACAGTCGATAATGGCGATGTTTTTCTCGAAGCCAACAGGGTCCACAAGCGCGCCGAAGAAGCGTGACACTGCTGTAGCTGGTCCTTCCAAAGTGCAGTCCGATTTCGAACGAGTTTTTAAGCCGTTCGTGTTGCAAAAGGATAAAGTGCTTGCTTCGCAGAATTGGTTCTTAGCGGAGAAGAAGCGCAGACGTACTGCTCTGTCTAGTGCCCCGAACACTCAGGTCATCGTCGTCGACAGCGACGACGAATTTGATGTCGAAATGCAAGATCCTCAACCTACTGAGCAAGAATTGGCTGCTATGTCTCCACAAGGTTGTTGATCCTTCCTCTGTTGTGGACAATGCCATCTAACATCTGAATTGCAGAACGTTTGAATGCTATCCTATCGAGTCTGCCACCTCCGTGTGCGGGCCCTCAACTGGATCGCCGGCGGAGAATGCCTACTGCATTTAAAACCTACCACTCCGTTTCTGTGCGAGAACTCATGTCACAACTTTCAGAAGCCGAAATTGGTGGGAATGACGACCTGGTACGACAAGTTACAGATAAACTGCGCGATCGAGAGTTCCTACCTGCGAAAGTTTTCTGTTTTCGTGAAGATTCCCGGCCAGGATACTTCGGTACATGGACAAGGAGTTCAAAAATCATCGGTCCTCGTACTCCATTTGCAAAAGACACGCTCGTATTCGACTATGGCTATGACAGCGGGGAGGAATGGGAGGAAGAGCCTGCCGGAGAGGACGTTGCAGAGGATGCTGATGACGATGATGGTGATGCAGACGAACAAGACTCCGACATGGATAGTTGGCTCGTCGACGATGATGAAGAACCGGTGGATATCTCATCTCTGGGACGCGACTCGCCGCCGCCTCTGTTCGATTTCCCGGGACCCCAGCCCCTACCCAAACGCAAAGCAGAAGACCCAGAAGCGAAAACAAGTAAGAAACGTAAAACAGTTGTTCCTCTAGTGCCATTCGCGAAAGGGCCTATATGGGAAACGATTGTTGGTAAATGCCCCTATGAGCCTTTCAATCCTTATGCCATCCAACTATTCAACGGTGATTTATGATTATTTCCTGCAGATTACGTCTTCACTGACCTCATCTAATAACACTAACAGATACACCGCTGTCCGTAGACCCCTTCACTTTCATCTCAACTTGCCTTGAGGACCATAAAGCAAGCTTACGAGCCGCAAATTCTGCAAACGCTAAAATCAGCACAGCCGACGGCCCTTTTGCAATTCCGGCCCTTCCTCCTCACCTAACGGCAACGCAAGTCACAATTAATTTGAATGATGCATCTTTGAATCTGCCTGGCACCAGTAACCCGCCGAAGAAAGCGCCTATCGCACCTAAATCCACCTTCCCGGACATCTACATGGACTTCCTCCTCAACAAGATCACCCAGCTTCAAGCTTCAAGCATTACCGCCCTCGTCGAGACAATCTTCCAAGACCTCCGAGAACATAAGGTCAAGAAGATTGCCATTGAAGCGAAAGTTCGCGAAGTGGGAGAGAAGTGTAGGGAGAAGAAGGTTTGGATTGTGAAACCCGCACTGCTGGTAGGTGCCCATTCGAATAACAGCACTTCTTGGGGCCTGATGACGCTGCAGCAGTCCCAGTCATAGCGCAGAACGCCGTAGAGTATACCACTTTTTGTGATATCATCAAATTTCTCTCTTCCGAGGTCGACATTGGTGGTCTCCACTTTCCTTCTTGTATTGATAGTTTACTATTGCATTATGATACACTTTACTTTCCTACAACACACATAAAAGATTGGAAATATAGTCAGAAATATACAGCAAGAAGAGAATGAACAGGATCATGAATTGACAAGTTTCCAGAGGTGTTGGGTAAATTCAAAATCACTAAGACCAGAGGTGAAATCAGCTGAGTGGACATCCCCTGATTGAGATCCTAAATTACACATTTAAGTGTAGTTACAGTGGCTAAGGAAGACACCACGTACGAATGAACATTTTCTTCACATTCCCATCCTTCTCCACCACTGGATCGAATCCGAGTCCTTTGTAGAATGCCAGCCGCAGTCTACAAGGCCATAATGAGTGTCCAGTGAACAGGAATGGCCGGAAAAGAACTTACGCGCTGCCGTCCAGTTCCTTCTCGTGCTCGGATGCAGGGTCATATACCTCCAACATTCGTGCCTCCTCCTTCAGCGCCGCCAACTCGGCTTCCTTGCTCGCCAGAAGAGCTTCAGCATCACTAATGGATTTGGCGAGAGACAGCCGACTGCTATCCAGTTCATTCAAGGTCGCTGCATGGGCTTGCTCTGAGGGAACAGAGGCTGGTCTTGTTGAAGATATGCGGGCGGCTTCCAATATTTTTGCAAGTGCTGTCTCCAGAACAGTTATAGGTCCATTCGTACGTAAGGGTGCAAGAATACACACCTTTTAAATTTCCAAGCGCCTCTTCCAACTCCTTCTTCCGCGCTGCTTCTGATTCTTTGAATTTCTCCTCAGCAGCGACGATAGTCATGTAGTCTTCATCGGGGTCCATGATGGGCAACATTTCACGGATGAGCTTCCTAACGTCGTGGTAAGGTATGTCTGCATAAATGAGGATATATCCACATACGTTGCGTCTCGGACGTCAATCATCTTGAACGTCTTGCCCAATAGCGGTGGTGGTTCAAGTTGTAAAGAATTTCGAAAGAACTCGGAGTCAACATAATCACGGTCACGTGTTGTGACAAACGCGACTCTGGAATAAGAGTCCTCAGAGTACAAGGCTCCAGGCTCCAGGTTCGGGACTCTCCCAGCCGGTTGGATGCCCTCCCTTCCCTGCCATAGTCACAGTGAATTATCGGTAATTCTGGTAGGGAAAGTCCCTACGGGAGCGGTTCAAATATTAGAGACTGAGGGTGTCTTTAAGATGCATCAAAATGTAGCAGTGCAGGGTATTCGAGTATATCCAGAAAACGAGCATGTATATTAAGCAGAACTTTGATCCGAGTACTGGTAGGTGAACCAAACCTTGAAAAGACCCGAAGTCCATTACGAATTACTGGTAAACATCCAAAGAATTCCAATGCACTTTATCCGGCGTGCTCAACGATGGTTGTGACGAGCTTGCCATTTTGCACAACCGTCTTGAACATCTCGGGAATGGGCTGCTCCTCGAACACACCGTCCTCTTCTCCTTCCACAGGCAAGCTGATATTTATCGCGCTGCACTTCGCCGTGGTTATCTCGGCGCCCAGGCTGTCCTTGGACAAGTAGATCTGGCCAGAGTCTGTTGTGTCGAGTTGAATCATAGGGCAGGTGCCGGTGACTTGCAGTGTGAAGGAAGGAGAGGCAGTAACTCCGACCGAAGCGACGACAGAGTGGACTAAGACAGCGGTCTTTGAGCTGTTGACTAACGACGAGTTAGGGAGGCGAATATATGGTGCAAAGGAAAGGAGACGTACGGATATTTACCGCATTAACCTTTCCTGTGATAACGACGGTAGCGCCTTTGCATCCAAAAATATTGACAGAGTGATTGATTTCGACGTTATCAACCGTCAGAGTCTCGTGCTCTTGGTGCTCCTGAAATAAACGGGATGTCGAGCTATTGTTCGCATGCTCTAAGAAAAGGACCGACGTACAATCAACCACTTAGTGCCATCCAGTATAAATTTTGGCGGCTTCTTGCCCGCAAGAGCCGATGGTTTTGACGGCTTAATGGGTTTCTTCCCAGCTAGAAGAGAACTGTAAATGCACACAATATAAGAGAAAAAAAAATGGGCCACGAACGGGGCGAAGGGCTAGTAGTGGATGCGGGAACGACGCTGCCCGCCCTCAAGGCGGGGTTCTTGTGCGTCATTTCGCTCTTGTCGACTTTGCGCAACCCTTTAGTGACGTCTTCACCGCGGTTGATTTGGGCGAAGACGGCAGCAGCACCAGCAGCAGGTGCGGCCGCTGAGATTCCAGGTACAGGGGCGGGGGGTGCAGGAGGAGGCGGAGGCGGAGGCGGGGGTGCTCCTGCACCGGCAGAAGTATTCGCCGAGGCCTTGTATTGCTCGACGGTCACTCCCTTCACGTCTGTTAGGCATAGCGTTCGTAGATAGCCTATCATTAGCGTACCTTGGGATTCCAAACGAGCCCCGTCGCGTGATATTCCTTGATGTAGGAATGCATAGCGTCTAGGATTGCAATGTATTGATTCACCCATTCAACATGTTTCGCGTCCCTGTTCACGATCATCATTAATTGACTTGTTACACAAGAAGTACGACTTACTTATCCTTGTACTCTTTCTTTAACCTGTTTCCGTAGTAGACCACAGAGTCCTTGATATCGATGACGCCTTGTGCCGGCTTTGGCTGTGGTGCGGTAGTGATCAATCGCTAAAACGCGACGAAATCCGGTGGCCACATACGTTCACCACCCATCCAATAACAGGTGCGCCTTCTCCAAGGAAAGAAAGGTGCGAAAACCAGTCGCGATCGCGTCTATTGGCCTCCTTTGCACGAGAAACAGCTTCGATAGATTGAGGGAACGGTGCCAGGAGCGCCTCTAGTGTCCTTTGATCTGGCTTCTGACATGACGCGGACAGCTTCAAGAAGTCGTATAAAATATCGAATTGCTTTTGAACCAAGGCAACCTGGACGAAAGCGAAAGTCTGAGAATTTCAGCTGTACAGGAAAAGTCAATCAACTCACAGATTCGACAACGTTCGGTCCGGCGAAGGCTTTCGTGAGCTCGATGAAGGGCTTGAGCTTCGCATCGACGACCTGCTCTTGGAATGCGAGAGCACTCTTTGGTGTCTCCGCAGGCACTGGGGCAGGTGCAACCGGAGCTGCAGGGATTGGCGTCGGAGTTGACGGTGACGCAACAGAGACCTTGGATGCAGGCGTCGCTGGTTGGGCAATCGATTGACGACGAGTTCCGGCAGCAGATCCCGATGCTGGATCAAGAACGACTGCAATGTCCTCGAAACGAGAAGCCGCAGCCTCAAGGCTACAGAAGTGATTAGCTTCGCATGAGTGGTCAGGAAGCATATCGTGCTGACATACCGCTTGATTAGGGTAGCAAGAGAGTGCAGTCCACTGGAATTCACCGTGGCCATCGTCGGATAGTTGTCTTCAGGACTTCAAGCGTTGTCCTAAGTAACAGTTGTAGTCGTAAGCTTTACAGACGCGCTTCCGGCTTTGGCAACTGCTGTGATTGCTTAGCTAAACTTAGACCGTGCCCCTGTCTTTGCTGAGCGCTCAGCCAGGTAGCACTCGACTTAGTCCACCTCCTCCCCATATGTTCAACGAAGTATCTGGTCTCCAGAATATTCACGAGGATTCTTAAACCTATGCTCTGCACTCGAAGTTCAAACACAAGGCATCCATGAGTGGCAAATTCTATTCATAATTTTCTCGCCGCTGAGCGTCGATGATGATCCCGCTGGGTATCAGTGTATTTCCATACAGCTGGGTCAATCCTCCTCTTCCATCCTCTGAGGCGCCTCCTTCTTCTTTGCCTTCTTCTTTGCCTTCTTTCTACGTTGTCGCTCACGTTCTCGTTGCTTTGCTGCCTTCATGTTTTCCTTCGACAGGCCGGGGTTGGCTAGCTGGTCAAGCTAGGGACACCGGGCGGTCAATTTCATGACATACTTCAGACGGGAAACACAAAACACGCCTTCTCAAGGAGCCATTTACGAGCCAGCTTGCGGTTTTGTGAAAGAGAACGCATCTCCTGGCAGGACACTCGGGCACCAGTCGGCATGTGAAGCAGCTGGACGTTGTTTTCAGTTTTATTGATTGATTGTCCACCCTATTACAGAGATTATGATGGATGCATGTAAGGATCGTATGTGAACATACCGGCCCACTCCCTGGAGAACGAAAGAGACATTAGTGCTCGTCTGACATGGAATGAGACGGATGGTCTTACCGCGGACGAAAGACTCTTCGATGTCTTCTTCACGGAGTTCAGGTAATACACGTTCCTTATGGGCCCTTTTAAGGGCAGAGAAATATCTAGGAGGAGCAGGGTTCGGTGAAGGTGACGAGGTCTCGCCGTTAAGCTGAACAGCATCTGTGGGTGAACTGGTTCAGTTTTCCTTCCAGTACCCCGTGCTTGAATGGCCAACACGTACTTGTGAGCCTGCCCGTCCTGGTGGCGTTGGCCGCGACTTGATTCCACTGGCGGAGGATTCTTTATGGAATCATTGTCGCCGAGCTCAGTATCCTTGGTCAGTCGTATTCCTAGAACATGTCAGCGGAAGGACGAGATTAAGAATGACTATCTCACGATACAGCTCCGAGCCATCTTCAGCAGCATCGACCTTTGTAGCCTGCACAACGTTCCGTCTCAAGACACCCGCAATTTCCCGCAAGAATTGTCCTTGTTGTTGGACGGCTGTTTCATCTACGACGAGGGTCTGCGAGAGATCAGACCGTACTTTGGCCCTAAAGGCTACGGAGACATGGGAGGTGTGAGTCTATATATTGCTCCAATAGACGAAACTAATTGCCTTGCAGGACTGGCCGGTCACCTGCACGGAACCTTAGCTCGTCGCCGAAGGGATTGCAACAGAAACATACCAGCAAAAGTAAGAGTTGCCGCACGTAAGACATCTCTGTATGCCGCCCGGGTCGCAGACCGTAGAGCTGGAGAAATAGACATGGTGGACAGAGGAGGAAAACTGGAGAGCAGTGGAGAGCCCTGATTGGTTCGCTCATTTCCCAAAGTGTACGTCATGTGACATAGATCTCTGTTGACGCGTTGGACGCGTTTTAGAATCAACAAACTTTGCAAGTGGACGCTTATAATAGCGACACAGACGCGCACAGACACAACTAGGCCCTATACAAAGTTTCGATGTGCAAGTATCTTCCTGTATTAAGAGCGTGGTGGATACAAAGGGGCCAACGAGCGCACAGCCTGCGCCGATGTTTGTTGATTCAAAAGTGAAGTCTCACGTGACGAACGCGATCGTGTTAGTATAAATAGACAAGCGATCCAAAAGCTATCAGACCCCCTTTTGCCTCCCAGGTTCATCTCCAACCACCGCATCCCGCTCCGCCGCCCTTCGCCGCCGCCCTCCCCCGACCTCAGCCAACATCTCAAGCACTCTCTCGACATCCTCAAGACCTCCGCCGTCTACAATGTCAACCAAGAAGTCCTCCACCGCCAAGTCCACCACCAAGAAGCCCGCTGTGGCGAAGGCTGTCCCATCGCATCCTCCCTGGGTCGATATGATCAAGGTTAGCTGACGTTTAAATGGCCACTATGCTCTCTTCGCTGTCACCTTATCTGCGTTACCGCGCGGTATTTTTTTTTATTACCTTTCGCGCGCTCGTCGTCGTCTGCCCAAAAAGGTAGGGCGGAGGGCACGAAGGCCGTGTGCAAATTTCTACACAACCATGGCACGTCCCTTCGCCTGTCGTTAGGCTCGCGGTCTCTTTTCGACGTTTTCCCGTTCTCTCTTCGTCGTCGACAGCATGCTGACAACGCTGCGACAACGTGTAGGAATGTATTGCCGCCAACACTGAAGATGCCCGCATTGGTGTTTCACGCCCACAAATCAAGAAGTATGCTACATCTTTTTTGGTTTCTCTTTTTCCTTATCTTATTTCCTCTGTCAGGTTCGTGGAATCGACATACAAGCTAGAAATTGGAGCTGCCCAGAACACTCAACTCGCGAAGGCGATTACGAGTGGCGCCGAGAAGGGCGTCTTCGCCCTCCCCAAAGGTGCATGGATCGCTCTGGATGCATTAAGCCATATCTCACTGGTTCACTTCTAGGTCCTTCAGGACGAGTTAAACTTGCTCCCAAGACCAAACCCGTGGCCGATGCCTCCGCCAAAGAGGTATGTACTTCGTCAATGCTAACGGCGCCTCACAAGTATTGAACCTTATTTCTTTTTTTCTAGAACAAACCTGCCGCTAAGGCAAGGAGCACTGCTACCAAGGCGAAAACCACCAAGTCTGCAGCTGCGAAACCCAAAGCCACTACGAAAACGGCTGCCAAACCAGCTGCTAAGACTGCTGCTGCCCCGAAGAAGACTGCTGCTGCCAAACCTAAGGCCACTGCGACTGCAAAGAAACCTGCAGCGGCGAAACCTGCCGCAAAGAAGGTCCTGGCTGGAAAGCCCAAGGCCTCTACGACCAAGAAGACCACGTCTACCGCTAAGCGGGCGCCAGCAAAGAAGGTCAGTAGATTTCTCCAAGTCTATCGTTTTTAAAACCAACCTAAGTCTTTTTGTAGGCTGCTACCGGCACAACAGCCGTCTCGAAGGCTAAGGCCGCCGCAAAGAAAGCCACCCCTGCGAAGAAGGCACCAGCAGCAAAGAAAGAGGTTAAGCCCAAGGCTACCAAGAAACAGGTCAATGACTTTCAACTTGTGAACTCTAGTTTTTTTGCTGACGTTGGGCGATACACAGGCTGCCGCCAAGTAACCTCGCGGTGTCATCTGTTCTCGTCCGGGCTCATCTATGGATGCATGATCTCTACTTCCGCTCGTCCCAGTGACATCGCCCTTTTCGTTCCCTAATCGACCTATTCCCTTGATCGCCTCTTTGTCGCATTGGTTCCCTGCTATTCGCTTTTTCTTATTTCTTTGTTGTGTATTCATAATTTATTGTTGTTCAGGTGTACCATGTACTACTTTCCCCTCGCCTTCCTTATCTTACAGTAATGTGTAGCATTGGACCGGCGACAGGTCCATGTTATGTGTTCCTAGTAGTAGGATAGGCATAGCAAGGAATAGCCATATCGCCGGATTTTCGCACCGTGCAATGCGGAGGTATAAGGATTGTTGAGTGCTAGGACGAGTGCTAGGACGAGTGTTCCAGCATCTCCCAATCTAGGGTTAGGGTTTACCTACACGACGCGGCGCACGGTGAGGACGGTTGCCTTATGTCGGTTTCGCATTATGCATCTCGGCCGCAGTCTTTCCAGTATCCGTCTCCGCAGGCCGTGAAAATGTCCTCACGCGATTCGTATCCGACCTTTCTCTCCGTGCAAGAATCGGCTCTTCTACAATTGACCTGGGCATGGAGAGGGCTTTATGATTCCTTTCGCTGGAACACGGTTGTTACGACTGTAGCGAGGTGGGTTCGAATAAACTCTGAACCAGCAGTGTTCTAACCATTCTTACCTTATCTCCTTGCCGACCTGGTTCATGAATATCGTCTGTCCATCCTCCTTCCACGCCGAAAACACCGCTGCAGTGACGCCGAGATTCGGGCAAACGTATACAAATCGCTCCTCTTGAACTCGCTATCGCTGCTCTCGATATATGTCTTCGACCTCCTCCTCCAGCCTCTCGTACGTGACCAGCAGAAATGGTTCCACCGGAACATCGGATGGTTCTACCAAGTCCTGTGGCTCCTTCCCGTCGTCGGGATGTCGTTATACCTCAACGTACGCTCGTTTCATTTCATTCTCTTCGGTGGTAATGGCGTTTATCTTTGTCTCATTCTGGTCTCGGTTTGTTTACACAGGGTACCTGGTGCACGACTATCGCGAAACGCACTTACCTGCTCCAGCACGGAGGGCGTCCTGCTCCTTCTCCGGCGACGACGTACACCGGGATGCTCAAGGCCATCGCGACCTCGGCGTACCGCGTTGTGATGGTGTGCACGTCTGTAGTCGTGTCGTTTGCCATGAGCCGCGTGCCCGTTATTGGCCTAACGGGAAGCTTTATCTTTTTGTGTTGGGTTGATTCGTGAGTGTCAAGTCCTAGAATGCGACGCTCCTGAGAGACGAACTTAGACATGACGTTACTCTTAGATACTATTGCTTTGAGTGAGCCTGTTTCTGCCGCCTCTCAAGAATTTGGGACGAACGAAGGTTTGCAGGTTTGTTTGGATATCGCGTGGGCTGTCACTCTCGAGAAGAATTAGGCATCTCGAAGAGCACTGGGCTTATTATTTCGCTTTCGGTTTGTGGATGCACCCTCAACAGTAGTTATTTACTTGATGCTTAAACCACGATGTTTGACAACTCAGGTTTGCCTTCAGCCGCACTATGCACATGGGGCACCGGTCTTGCGAATGCTGCGTTATTCGCGCTCATATTTCCTTCTGTAAGACTCTCCAAATGCCTCGCTTTGCTTCTCTGATATCTCCATCGCCAATAGTACATCATTATGGCCATGCACGCCCGTCCAGCCCCAATGGATCCTTACAATCCTGCACCGCCCATCCCTTCCTCCCGACCGGAGCAGAACGACATCATCCGGCACCCGTCTCCTTTCATCCCCATCCGCCTACCGATTTTTGCAGTGGTGATTTGGATTAACGACGCGATTGTTCGCGTGCTCAACTTCATTGGAGGGCGACCGATTGTGAGGCATAGAGAGGCGGCGAGGGGGAGGTCGTTCAGTGACTCGACAGAGAGCGCAGAGGACGGGTCGGTGCAGATGGAGATGAAGCCTTACAGTCGGAGCAGCACCCCGTCTCAGCCGAGCAGTAGTAAACCTGTTAGAGCCACGAGTGGGAGGATTAATATTGGGACTAGGCGGAAGCTCGACTGACATTAGGGTTTATGCAGTTACACATTGTTTCCGATACTTACATTCTAAGTATTGTAGATTTTACACGGTCGTGGATGACGCTGTTCGAGGAGAGGCTCAGCCGAAACCTGCCCATTCAATGGAGATGTAAGACGCTTCTTGCTTCTCATCGTCCCAGCCGCACAAAAGATGTGCCTTTTTCGTCGCAGTGCCCAATCGACCATGCGCGACGATCTCCATCGGCCGCAGGGAGGCTACAGGTGATTCGATGACTGTCGCGGTGAAGTGGGAATGATAACGCAGTGGGTCGCCTACAAAAGAGTGTTTAGAGGTGTCGAGCAGGTATCATGCATCGTAGATTGTGGGTATACCTGGGTAGACAAGGTATTGTCCTCCAAACTTAATGCCCCCACCCATGAAGTAGCCTTGCTTCCATAGGTGCTTGAATACACCACACCTTGCGCGTTCTGAGAGATTGGACGGGTAGTCCCAGATCCGTGCTGCTTTCGCGGATTCTATCGTGGTATAGGTACACGCGTCCGCATCATACCATTCCAGAGACAAGGAAGATGCCGGAATTACAATTGTGTAAGGCAATGAGGTCCCTTTTGGTGCATGTTCCGGGAGGCGTGTAGTGGGCTCTGGCGTGGCCGATATTCTCGCGACCTGCTCTGTAGATGGAGGAGCAGCGGATGAGGGCGACCCAGAAGCAGAAGCAAGCACAATACTCGGGTCCCCATCTTCGGCCGCCTCAGCAGCAGCTTTAGCGGTAGCTTGCGCCTTCTTCCTCTCCTCCCTCGCCTTCCGCTTGAGCAGCGCCTCCTCAGACATGGCACGCCCAGCTTGCTTGCTTTCTTTGACCACCTTCGTCTCGGCGTGCGCGAGCTGGGTCTTGATCGAGTCTTGTTGTTCTTGCGACCAATGTTGGAGATGAGGGACCGTAGGTTGCTTGTAGGCAGTTGGGTCGTCTATTAGGACGGCTGCACCTGATCGCCAAAGGAAAGATTGAACACCACGACAATCAGCTGTTGATAAGCTCATCGAGGACTCAAAGAGCCTAACGCACCTATTTCTATGAGGAGAACAGCTTCTTCGGGCATAAGCACGAGAGGAACTCCCAAAAAGACATTTTGTTGGGACAGATGCGGGAGGGTACCAGTGAGGACGCCGCAGATGTGGTGCTTGGAGCGAATGGTCGCGATGTCTAGGTGAGAATCAGGATAGCTTCTTCGCGGGTAATCTCCTGTATAAGCTAACCATCTACGTCCCAGACATACGCTGTCTTATTCGTGACGCGTAGCGGGATGACCCGACTGTCTGCGCCCATTGTGTGATAACAAGGAAGAAAACTTGAGTTGGCAGAGTCATGTTGAAAGATCGGGAAGATCGGGAAGATCGGACCTCCCGGGCCGTCGTTACGTGGTCTACTTATGCCGTTCGCGTAGATCATCGCCTGCGGTACAGGGCTCCTCTTATCTTTCCCTCACTCAGCGCTCATTGCCCTCTGGCTTCGGAGAAAGATGTCAGCTCATGTTCTGGATGTTTTCATGCTTTTTGGTGACTCGATAACCCAAGGAGCATGGGAGCCTGGTCGTAATGGATTTGGCCAACGTCTTTCTCGTATGTCCGCCTTGTTACTGATTTCATTTAAACGAGATCGTTGACAACGAACGGCGCATAGATGTTTATGCCAGAAAGCTAGACGTTTTGAATAGAGGATTGTCCGGATACAACACAATATGGAGCATTCCGTGCCTCGAACAAGTACGTAAATCGTTAACCACTGGGGCTCTGAAGATGAAGCTGCCTTGCAGTGTCTCGCGAAGAGTGCCGACAAGAGTGCGCCCAAATTGCGGGTCCTGACCATCTGGTTTGGTGCGAACGATGCCTGCATCAAGCCATCGCCCCAGCACGTTCCCCTCCTGACCTTCGTGTCTAACCTCGAGCGAATGGTCGAGATGGTCAAATCACCGACATCTCCGCACTATTCGCCAGAGACGCATATCATACTAATCAGCCCGCCGCCCGTCAACACGTTCCAAAGGCGAGCCGATCTCGAGTCACGCAATCCCCCACTCAAGCTGGACCGAGAGTTCGAAACCACGCGCTCGTATGCTCAGGCCGTCCGTGACGTCGCGTCGGAGAAAGGTGTGGCGTTCGTGGATGTTTGGAACTTGCTCTGGGAGGCTTCGGACCGGAATGAACAAGAACTGAGCAGGTTTTTGAGCGATGGGCTGCATTTGAACGCGGAGGGTTATCGAGTGAGTTGGCCTTCAAAGATCAGGGGTCCTTGTTACAGATATTTGATGCACCACACAGATCATGTACGAGGATCTGGTGAGCACCATCGCGAGAGAACATCCGGAAGTCCACTATGACAACATCGGATATGTCTTCCCAGCGTAGATCATCATTTTGTTCCACCGATGACGCTGTTCTTACCTAGCCTTGTTGGTTTAGATGGGCTGAAATTGACTGGGCAAATCCTGACAAGAGTCTGTATGTGACGAAGCGCGACGAGTAAAGGTATTGGAGGGGTCCTGTAAATGTAGTTTATGTCGCGGAATTCCGAATTCATCTCATGCGCACACGAGGCGCCTGTTTTGGGACAAAGAACGGACAAAGGGGTGGGCCGACAGGGACATCCGAAACGCGGTCACGTGCAAGTTGAACATTGACCAACTGCATGCAAATAAAGTAGAACCAGGACTCCAAGGACGCGTTTCTGCGACATTGTCCTGTTCACCGCCCAGGCGACCCGCCTTTTCTTCCAGTGAAACCCCCTCCGCCACTCCGCCACCGTCACGAAGACACCCTTTTTTCTTCCTTTCAGTAAGTCCTTACCGACGGTACTGGCCCCAATCAATTTAATTACGTCCTCGTTCCCAGAACCGCGGTTGAAACAGTCCCACAGTTGTCCACAAGCCTAGTTTGCTTTCAGGAATCTTCGTGAGAATACTTTCCCTTGAACTTCTTCGTATTCCACCGTCACAGCGCTCACCGCCCTCTCTTTCATTCTGCGGTCCAGGTGCGGCCTCCTCCGACAATACGTTCGTTACGCTGTAAGGTATGTGGCCCTCTTTTTTGACATACAAGGGAGCTGGCCCGGAGTGCCTGGGCTCGTCGGGCGTTCAACCAATTCCGCCATGTGCATCTGGCCCGAGTTGGTAGACAATGAGCCACTCGAAGCTCAACCTGTGGCCCCCAGCCCCCATACGGACCGAGATCCTGTGTCGGTAACTCAAGGCTGATTCATTGTCCAACAGCTAGTTGCCTTAAAACCAACACTCGGCTAGATTCGATAGGGCCAGAGACTCTGGTCTGTATCATACCTCCACCATCGCCCTTATAACCTGTATTCTGACCTGTTCTTATTTCCCCTCGCGCCACCACTTCCTCTCTCGACTCAACTCCGACGGCCATCTATATCTGTGCCGCTGAACAACCTATGTACAACGTCAATTCTATACCACCACCATCTATGGCTGCCACTCAAACCACCCATATACGCGCCACCTCTATGCCCTTCCTCGATCATCTCATAGCAGCCTCCTCGAAAGGTGTATACAAGAAACGGAAACGCTCTCATCACAGCGATTCCTCGAGCGACGTAGACATGGCTTTCTTCGCGCCATCCTCCAACCAATTCCTCCAGGCCCCACCTGCACCTTCACGCAAGAAGAGCCAACGCTTCTTGAAGTCCAACAACAACGATATAGAAGAGTTCCTTTCGTCCGACCTGGAGATCTCCTTCGCCTCCAATGTATCATTAAATTCTCCCCCACGCGAGAACATCAACCTGTCCTCCGACTGCGAAGCCATGGACATCTCTCCTGCTCCTGCAGCCCGATCGGCGAGCAAGCCACTCAGGCCCCGCGCCTTCACGAGTGGCGCCAGGCTTTTTGGTTCAGATCTTAGCAACAGTGCCAACTCCCTCCTGCCTAGCCCTCACATGGATGCCGTGGCTGCTGCCGCGAAGGCACCTGTCGCGACACAGTCCTCCAAACGTATTCAACGGTCTGCCTTGCCTTCCGAGTGGTTTACCGCTCCCAAGCAGCCCGATATGTCCATTCCGACTGTATGTTTTGAACTCTCTAACCTTGTTGATTTGTTTAATTCTTTTCACATTGTAGGCTCCATCATCACCTATGGATGATGCCATGGACGTTGATACGTCTTATCATGCTGACTCAGTAGCTCAGCCGATCACCTTCTCGTCGCCTTCGTTCTCGCCCGCTGTTCAATCTGCTGCCCCGACGATCACTGGATTCAACCAACTATTTTATGACACACTCTCGCCCCGTCGGTCCTATGAGTCGCCTTCAGCACACCCTAGGAAACGCCGCTCTCTGTCGCCTGAGTCTGTTCGAAATACCATCAGTCCTCAACATGAGCGGTCCTCATCTCCTATGCAGCACTCGTCTCCTTCAGATGCCAAGTTGGAGCGTATTACCAACGGAGCTGTCGCTGGCCGTAGCAAGCCTTCTTTGCCAGGACTCGGGGCGCCTTCCGCTGGCTTCTTGAAGCGTCCTCGCAGACCGGTGCTGTCTGCGATGGTTCAACCTTCCGACCATGCTATTCAATCGGCCTACCCGATTATGTCGCCCTCGACCGCCGCTTCTGGTTCGGAAGAAGACCACAGCCCTCGTGGATCTGCGCCTGTCCGACGTGCCTTCTCTGCTTTCCTTCCTCCCTCGATTTATACTGAGCAAGAAGATGAAGAGTCGTTTGAAGGACCGGACATGTCGTCTCCCGCTCAGGCATACTCGAAGCGCCAGCAGGTGAAGACGATCAGGCGTTGTGATGGTACTGAGGATTTCAGGCCCTTGACTGGTGCGACAGCTATGATCTCGAAGGAAAGTCCGTCGGCCAAGTTCATGGCCCCTGGGTTGCCTGGGTTTGGGGATAACGAGGCTCACGGGAAGATCCTCCCTTGTCATCGCGTGTCAGAGGATGGTTTGATGAGGATTAAATCTGAGACGGTTGGTTTATTCTTGTGTTTCTCCGTTGGATCCTTTTGCTAATTAATTTTGTTCTCTAGTTGGATAATCTCTTAGACGGACACTATAACGATGACATTACTGACTTCCATGTCATAGATTGCCGTTTTGACTATGAATACGCTGGGGGTCATATTCCAGGAGCTGTTAACATTAACAATACCACTTCCGTCGAGGAGCTGCTCCTTGGACCCAGCTTGACGAAACCCAAACCGTCCGTCAGTGGCGACAAGACCAGGAAGACAATTCTTGTCTTCCATTGCGAATTCAGTGCGAAGCGTGCACCGACTTTGTGAGTACCCTTGCCTACATCATAATTCGGCCGTGATGACGAATGAGAGAATAGTGCGAAACACTTGAGGGCCAAAGACCGTGCTATGAACAACCAGGTATACCCGAGGATCCACTATCCGGAGGTCTACATTCTTGAAGGTGGCTACTGCCAATACTTCAGGACGTCTGGACATCGCTGCGAGCCACCCGCTTATGTGACGATGGACGACCCCAACCATGCGTCTTCTCGTCGTGAAGACCTGGACCAGTTCCGCAAGGCAAAGTTCGGTCGCCATAAGTCCTACACCTACGGAGACGGGGCCAAGGCACTATCGTATGCCCAGCAACAGCAGCAACAGCAACAACCCAAGCGCAACACTGCCCCTGCTCCTCCCACTCTGTTCGCTGCGGCAACTGCTGCACGCAGCCGTCGCGGAGGAGGCGGACTGACGACGCTCATCGAGGACGGCAATGCTACTGCTGACGAAACTGACACTGATCTCGGGGACAGCCCTTGCCCACCTCCTACGAAGACCGCAGGTCTCAAGAGCAAGAAGCCTATTCGCCCAATGGTTCGCTCGGAAACTTACGGTCCTGGTCGCATGCCCTTCTGTTGATGAGCCGACGACGACTTTTCAATGCCCGTCATGCCTTACGACGAGACTGAGCTCCGAGCTCCCCTGATCCACAACTGGATTTCGTGGACTGGAGTGATCATGCCTCGATCACGTCCTCTTTCAACAACAGACAAAATCGCAAAAACACTCAAGCCCCAACAATCGCAGTACAATCGAACGACCCGCAATATGATATAATATCATTAGGACCGAAGACTTCTCCGCACCCTTGTGGGCCATTTTTTCAGCACGCTCATTTAAGCCTTCTTGCTCCCTTTCGGATTCGTTCCTCTCAGCCTCGCTCTTGTCGCCGGCTTGCTTACTCTTCGCTACTCGCCCATCTCGCAGATCTTTCCTTCCGTCGGGCCACAAGACAAATTGGTTCCTGCTCCTCGTACAACCTTCGCTTCAGCTGTCGAAGGTCCCATCAAGCCCATCTCAATCTACATTGTCCATCTCGAGCGCCCGCCATCATAAACAAGTATCCATCTCATCCAAGGCATCGATTTCCTCTCATCTGTCTCAATCTCAATAAAGCATCCACAAGCATTGCGCAGTGAACGGTCTCATCTGACATCGCAGATCTGTTTCGTTCTAGTCGTCGCACGGACCCGTCTAAATATTTCTTTTTCTTCTTTTCTTCTCTTCGATTTCTCATCTCAAGGCATCCATTCTTATCTGTCTGACTTACACATTTATCTTTGATCTTTCTCGTTCCATTTGTTTCCTCAGCACAATTCTCTCATCTTCCTGTTCTGTCACCCGCTTCTCCCCCTTCTTGTGTTCTTACCCTCAACTATGACTCGGACTATTCCTTTCCGGATTTCATCTTCTGTGGTTTCTTCCGGAAAAGATCTACTAAACCTGTTTCGCCGAGTCTCGCCCGTGATTCAACTTTCGCTCCACTAGCAACACTACCTAGGCTTTTTTGGCGGATATTCGTCGTCGTTCTCCCTAGCATGCTTTGGAATCCGCGGTGTTTTCTTCATCTCTTGGTTCTCTCTCACTACACTCTCAATTCCAATCTGATATTTATCTATTTATTAACCATCCTGTGATGCCTGCCCATCCCTGAGTGATGTAGATATTCACGAGCTTCACCACTTCTGTTCTCTTCCTAAGTTAACTATTTGTTCAGCAATACTAGCTCTGGTCCGGCGCGTCTATGAGTCTTCTGAGTGCTTATCTTCTTGTCTGGGGGAAAGGTCTATCCAACCTTGGTTCCAAGAAATATCGACATTCCCGAACACCAGGAAGCGTCGTTGGGTGCGTGTCTAGAGTCTTTCCAGCTGTTGATCTTATGCTACGCTGATGTCGTCATGTCTCCCGGGTTCAAGTCCGCGCCAGCATTTGTTGGTCCAGGTCCTTTACCAGATATTCGGATCGGATAAACTGCCTTGGCAGACGACATTAGCGAAATCGAGGGTTTGACGCAGCAACACTTACTGCGAAAATTCGCCTCGGACGACAGCACTCGAGTCGTAAATTCGAAATCTACCCTCTCGGTTGCCTTCAAGGCCTGAAACTCGTCACCCTTGTGTATATCCATCGCCGCCAGAGTGCGCAGATCTTCAAACTGGATGTGCAAGATCACCTTCCGCAAGGCCGGGAAACGATCCTCGACTGCCAGGGTGTTAAACCTACTCCAAACAGCGCCAGTTTGTGTGAAGGCATCCTCTTCGACGTGGACGACAACGTCAACTCTTTCCAGGACATTACTTCCGCCCCATTTATCGAACTCATTGCAAAGGCCGAGGAGTGGGTCTGCTCGAGAATCCTGCCAACTGATGATAATGACCGCCTTAAACGTCTCGAGGGTTTTTAGAGTCCCGGGTCTAACCATGCCCTGGAAAAACACTGACCCATGACCTTGATCGACTGGACAACACAGTAGCTTAGAGGTGTCCTACATTGAGGTGAGGACTTATCGAACGAACCGGTTATAGAGAAGTTCTGCATGTGGTTAGACAGCTGAAGAACTTCGGCGGCAACCGTCACCTCCTGGAGATGTGACTGTCGAACGATGAATGTAGAAAGGCGGCTGAGGTCGACTAATGGTATGTCGCCGAAGGTGATTTTTATCAAATCTCGGACACCTCTTGCTGACAAATTTGAGATCGTCAAAGACGTCAATAAGAGGGTGCCAGGCGCTTCAACTTCGGGGTAGATGGGAACTTCCACGAAGTCGGTATAGTGCAATGACAGGTGGCGAAGGTTCTTTGACGAGGCCAGGATGATTGCAGGCAAGTTGAATATTGCACTCAAATGGAGATCGACCAATGAAAGCGATTGAATGATGCTCTGTAGTCCTCTCTGGAGCTCTTTGGACAGATCCCGCCAATTTAATCGAGGATCGACGCGCGTCCGGATTCTAGAACTCAATACGAGCTTCTTAACATGAGTTAGACGCTGTAATATTCGAGCGAGGAGCTCGTTGTGATAATCTATGCGTCGAACACAGAAGTGGAGGGTCCGAACGTAAAATGCGAGATCGGGATTAGACTCGATAACGCGCGTAAATTTCCTGAGGAGAGGAAGCTGGATGTGCACTATGGTATCTTCGGTCCAGTATGGGTGTGATGGATCAGGGAGGAGTTTTATCGTCGAGAAAATGTGAGATCGGCATGAAGGGAGAAGCGCCCGTGAAGTCAGAGCCCACGCCTTGACTGTTTCTGTGTCCCCTTCTTCGGCGTGAAGATTGATAACAGTCTCGAGGATCTCCAGCGGTAGGACAACATGTCTCCTCGACTTTTCTGCATCGGTTGGCCTAGAAATTGGACACTCAGCGTGGGACGAGAGCTGGTTGGAATCCGAGTCATTCAGGACATTCGATGTTGCAATAGCTTCTATGATCCTGAACGACACAGTCAATTCGATCGAAAATTATGGTCATAACGGGAGTATCACGACATTTTTTAGCGCGAAGAGGAAAAAAAAATTGTCGGCCGTTGTGATTGAGGGTATGTGGGTATGTAGACAGATGTAGACGCTGCAAGAACCGATCGGACAGGTTGGGTTAGGTTCACGGGCCGATTTGCGGGGAGGATCGAGTCAAAATATTATCTGCGATCGGATCTTTTTCTCTCTCCCTCCTAGATCCACCCTCGTCCCTCAGTTAGACGATGACCACGCCCGCAACCACCACTCCGTCTATCCAAACCCCTCCCATTCCCCAAGGGGCGGGCAGTGCGGCCGTACCCAGCACAGCTCCGGCCAAGGCGAGCGCTACTCAGCGGGATGGTTCGAGCAACATCGGAACTTTTGGCGTATGTCCTTGCTCTCTATACATTGGATTTCTCTCTGTCTAAGGCTTTCTCAGGTGAAATCTGGTCTTGCTCAAATGTTGAAGGTGGGTAGAAGACACCTTTAGACCTCCGCGGGTAAGTAACTTTCATTCTTTCTGAAAGGGTGGTGTGATCATGGATGTCGTCAACGCGGAGCAAGTAAGCACCATCGTCGCGATCACCAATCTTCCAGCGTCTAACCCATGTTCGACACCAGGCCCGCATTGCGGAGGAGGCAGGAGCGTGTGCCGTCATGGCTCTCGAGCGAGTTCCGGCTGATATCAGAAGAGAAGGTCAGGATATCCGACATGTCTTCTTCGAATATAGGTTAAGCTTTCTATCACAGGTGGTGTAGCTCGTATGGTACGGATTGCTTTTTGGGACTAGGAGAAAGGGCCTTTTATCTAATCTCTGCATCAGAGTGATCCCGAAATGATCAAGCAGATCATCGACGCGGTGACCATCCCTGTGATGGCGAAGGTCCGCATTGGACATTTCGTCGAGGCGCAGGTAAGCTTCACTGTTTCATATTATATGCTCTTAAGTTTAAATTTACCTCCTTAGATTCTCCAAGCCGTCGGTGTCGACTACATCGATGAATCTGAGGTGCTCACCCCCGCAGACGACGAATTCCACATCAATAAGCATGGCTACAAAGTTCCATTCGTCTGCGGTGCCCGCGATCTCGGTGAAGCCCTCCGTCGCATCTCCGAGGGTGCTGCCATGATCCGCACGAAGGGCGAAGCTGGCACTGGAAATGTCATTGAGGCCGTACGCCACCAACGCGCTGTCATGAGCCAGATTCGCAAGGCAAGCGTCATGAGCGAGGAGGAGCTCTATGTTTTCGCGAAGGAGATCCAAGCCCCTTTCCATTTGTTGAAAGAGACGGCTAGGCTAAAGCGCCTGCCTGTTGTCAACTTTGCGGCTGGAGGCATCGCCACTCCCGGTAATTTGCTGACGGCTTTCAGCGCTGCTTACGGTTGCTAATATTTCCCTATTAGCGGACGCTGCGCTGATGATGCAGCTTGGGTGCGACGGAGGTACGTCAGTCAGCTTAATGGTGTGAATTTATTTGACTTAGACGCCTCATTTTCAGTTTTCGTCGGCTCTGGGATTTTCCACGTACGCTAACCGTTTAACGTCCGCTCGGAATACGTTTCTCATAATGACGACAGTCGGGAGACCCCGCCAGGCGCGCCCGTGCTATCGTTCAAGCTGTAAGCAGCTTCCCCTTACCGTGCAATCTGTGTGCTGATTCCATCCCAGGTGACCCACTACAACAACCCAAAGCTTCTGGCCGAGGTATTCGCACAACGCTATCAGTCGTCCGGCGCTAATTTTGCTTCCAACTAGGTTTCCGAGGCTCTCGGACCAGCTATGGTCGGACTGACCATGTAAGTCTCTGCATATGTTTCTCTGAAACCCAAGGATCTGACGCTGCATATCTAGCGACAAAAACATCGCTGGTGGTCTCCTCGCCTCCCGCGGCAATTAAAGTAAAGTAGAAGACTAACTTATATAAAAACCAGAATTCTCTGTATTATCTCAACTATATTACCGGAATATTCTTTTGTGTGTACTGCGGTCTATTTTCCTTCTTGTTATGTCTACATACTATATTTGAGGATAGGGTCTAATGACGTCATTGTTGGTCCGGTATTCTCCTCTCCGCCCAGGCGCTCTTTCTCAGTTACCACGACCACCAAAACACTTATCTCATAACGAATTGAGAACTGTCGAAATGCCCGAACGACAGCCAAAGGAAATTCTGAAAGCTTTCATCAATGTGAGTGTTGGATGTTTGCTCTGACTAGTCCGCCTCACGAATATACCATTCAAGCACGATCCCAATACACAATACACGTTCGAGAGTGAGCGGGGAAGCTCAGAGTCAGAATTGTGTCGAGCAGGCAGAAGAGAAGGTCGGGATTGTATTACAGTGAGTTCCAAAAGTTGATCAGTTGGTTTGCCTGGGCCCTGACATCATTCTTGCTTGCAGTTGAAGATGACTTCGCAGAAGTTATTCCAAGCTATGCAGGTAGGTTTATTACTCAAGATGCAATCGAACTCGTTGGTTACTATAAAGTCCCCTTTTCTGTGTGACGACGACAGGACCAGGGATTTTTTTGCGCTCTACCGGTAGATCCTGGACGGACGTACATGAAATGCGAACCTATGCCGAAGTAGAAACGTTAAAACATGCACACTTCATGTATATTTTATCTACTTATATTCTGCATTGGTTATTTAAACCATGCGCTGCATTGAGCCTTTCCCGGAGTGCAAGCTCTCTCAGTGACTCTCCGGTTACATCGGCCCGACATGCATTTAGACGAACCTGCATTCACCTCTTTGCTCTTGACCTCCACCATCTTACGACATGTCTTCAATCCTCTACCCTCTCGCATCCCTCTCTCAAATAGAGAAGACACCCTCTATGGAAGATGGGCTTCCGCAAGACCTAGAAGAAGACCTTCGGGCGTATGGGTGTAAACTGATCCACCAGGCGGGGATTCTGTTGAAGCAGTGAGACTGCTCTCTCCGTGAAATAAAGAGTGGTGCTCAGCAAGGGTTAAAGGAAACAGGTCGCTGTGGCTGCTGCGCAGATACTTTTTCAAAGGTTCTGGTTCGTCACATCGATGAAGCAGTTCGGCGTTGGAGTAAGCTCAATTCCATTCACTCCATCCCTGTCGCTCAACTCACCTTCGAACACACAGGACATTGGGATGAGCGCCCTCTACCTCGCCTCCAAGCTCGAAGAATGTCCCATCCGGATGCGCGACCTCATCAACGTGTACGACCTGCTCCTGCAGCGCTCCGCGCACTCGCTGACCTCCAAGCCTGAGGCGGACTTCCACTACCACCCCATGACGTACTTTGGGTCGACGTTCTACGACCTCAAGGACGCGCTTGTCGTTGCGGAGATGCAGATCCTGAAGCGCCTGGGGTTCAACGTGCATGTGGTACTGCCCTATGGGACACTTGTGAGTTATATGCAAGTCCTGGGGTTGGCGGGGCGGGAGGACGCGTGTGAGAGGGCTTGGGGGTATCTGAATGATGCGTGTGTTAACTTTTCATGATGCTCTAATTTGTTCGGGATGCTCATCAACTGGATTATAGGCACCAGACACCAGTATATGCGCTGTACCAAATCCCGACTATTGTCTGTGCAGCGATCTTCCTTACAGCGAGGCATCTGCAAGTACCCCTTCCTTCGAAGTCGCCTGTATGCTGGTGGGAGCTGTTCGATGCGAACTGGGAAGAAATCTGGAGTGTGAGCGGCTACATTATGCGGCTTTACCGGCAGAGAACGCCAGAGGAGAGGAGGAGAGTGCTGGGCTTAGTATCGAAGAAGGATGTGCGGAAGTGGTTGGAGGAGAACCAGGCCAATCCCGTATAAAAGTGTCTTGGTTTTGCTTGATTTTATGGGAGGGTTTTGTAGGTTTTGTTTATTATACCTTTTCTTCACTATTACTTTGTTGACATGTGCTTTAGATTTTCATCGTTCCAAAGGGTCCTATCCACTGTCCATGTCCCTCAGGTTTTGTCGGTCACTCCTGCTGTACTAACTCCTTGATACAGCCTCCATCGTATTGCTTCGCGCTCCATTAGCTTTTTTGAGCCTCTTTACCCCTGTACCGTCTTGCTGCCAACCCTCTCGCCACTCACATCCTCGAATCCTTCTAAGATATCCCAACTTGTATATGCCCCCATCAGGATCACTCGCTTGAAGACAAGCAAGGATGCATGTCGTCCTCTAGACCACCCTCCTCTCCCTCGCCCTAGGACCCCCGGCAACAGAGATGGAGCCCTCGGACAAGAAGACAAATTCCTGGATCATGCTTTTCCGACTTACAGGGGGTCCTCTCGTCCTTCGCCCCGAATTCTATTCTCAAGAAACCTGTTTCATGCATGATTTTATTCAAATTACACTTGAGGTCGCCTGCCTTCGTCCTCGCTTGCGGGGGTGCTCCGTTGGGCCGAGGGACGCTTGCGAATGGCTGGAGCCGAACTGAGACAACCTCAAACCACTAACATGGAGACAGACACATATGACGAAGTCCTCGTCTCAATCGCTGCTGTTATTAATAGGCACATGCTTAGCTTGACAATGCTGCAGGATGATCTCGAAATTGCCTCCCAGCAGCCCTTACCATCCATGACTGCGAAGCAAAAACTACTGGCTGCAGTCGCCAACCTTCTACCTCGATACCCCAAAGAACGCATTGCTCTGACTGTGAGGTCCGACTAAATTCAATACATTCATGAACGCCAACGACACCTCGACAATGCGGGCGATACCGGGAGCAAGGTTGTCGATGAAGAGAATGATGAGAGAAGCGCACAATTTTGGAAGGAGGGGCGGTCTCTCTATGCGAAGCTTGGGGAGCAGGTATACACCCGGTGCCGAGGAAGACTGAACCATGAGATCCAGCGTCGATGGAAAGATTTTCAAACCTGCCTGTATTTTCTGAGGACAAAAACGTCTGATATGGAGGCGGAACGTCGATTTATAGTCCTACGGATTGCCGACGATCTCAGCAGATATTTATCGGCTATACCGGACGGCAAGATGTTTCGAGAAACCACTGGGCATGCTCTTGGATTGTATATCCTAATCGCCCAGGCTTACCTCATGCAACGGGAGGCCAATCTCAAGCAGCTGGTTGTACCTTTGTTACTCGAGTATCGGAACGGTGAGCAAGCTACACTTACTCTCTGAATCCCTGATTCGACAATGAATGTATGCGACTTCTAGAATCGGGCTTTGATTTGCGCGTTTACCTCAGTAGGGTCGGCGCCATTACAATGCTTCGCTCAAATCGGCATGCGTGTCAACCAGGCATTCCAACATTCGCAACCTCTTCGGGCGCGGATTCTTTGAGATTCTCTGTTATCGTGTCCCCCCACATCATCAAACCCCCACTTCCCTGCCCGTCACCTGAGGAGATTGGACCGCATTTTAGAACAATGTGCGAAGCGCCAACGCATTCAGTTTTTGCACCCTGAAGAAATTGTCCGCTTTCTGCTCGATGCGTATCCTCCTGCTAGGCATGACGCCACTCCAGTTCGCTGTGCCCACAGCGAGCTCGAACTCTTTGCAAATCTATACGACAATGGAATAGCACAAAAAGTGGCAAGCCTTCGATACGGAGAAGAGGAAGACCTATACATAGCGACCAGCGACCGGCCATGCTTTGCTTGCATCCACTACTTTGCGCTCGTGCGACGGAATCTCAACAAGTACCGGCTCCTGGAGCTTCGCACACGGCACGACTTCAAACGAGCTATCTTTCCATGGCAGATTCCTCAAGGGGAGCTCGAACGCAAGTACGATGTAAAGTATTTGTTCAAGGAAGAGTTGGCTGCCCGCCTCAGCTCTCGTTTCAAGAGTAAGGGATGGCTGTACCCCGACAGCCGACATCCCGATGCTTGGAGGCTGGTACAGAGGCTGGTCCGTCATAGAGGTGGGCTTTGTTTGGTGGGTTTTATGGATGGGCATCCTTATTTATCTTCCTGTCTTTGCCTATTATTAGACTTATTGATGAATGCCTCGGGCTTGGGCATTTCATCATTCAGCGCATTGCGCTAATTCACCTACTGGTCATGTACGTCGGGGTTCTGCTCGGCGGTCAGCACACTATACCTACGCCGTGACACACTCTGCTTCGAATGTCCTGACCAGGATGCCCATCAAATCGAACACGTCCAACCGTCCGCTCAGCTGTCCTCGACGGCGCGCTCGTTGTGGAGATCTGTCATCTTTTCTGGGCCATTGGAAGGTTGTAGTTGCAGACATCTACTGGAGTGGTTTTAGTATTCCCCTCCTTGCCGCCCTTCCTGCCACGTGTGCCGTCATTTGGAGCTGGATCAGTGTATGGCCTCGCCTCGGTCGATGGGAAGAACCCGGTCGATTACGATTTATTTTTTGACGCGGTTAGGTGACACCAAGCGATGACAGTATTTCAGACGGCCCCGGGCCAGTTCGCTCCTCGTCGTGTATTGTCCACTCTGAATCATCAGTTTCTGCATGCGATACCAAGGCAATCTGCAGGTTGTGAGGGAGTTGGCCTACCGTATTTATGGGCTCTGAAGGGAAACAATGGCCGGGAGGAGCATTCGAAGCAAGCGAAGAACTTATTTTTAGCGCAGACCTGACCCTGCTGAAGTAATCCCCACCACCAATATTTCAAGGGTGAGGCGACAGAAACAAATATAAAGCTGCTGCAGAGCCTCCCGCTAGCGCACCTCCCCCCCTTCTCTCCACGCCCAATCCCCCTGGTCTTCCCTTTTTTTCTTGTCGCTCTTTTACTGATCCCCCATCCCGTCCCCATCTTGTTGTCGGCCTTCTCGCCACTCACATTCTCTTCGGAGTCCCTCCATAAAGCATCGGGACTCGCATATACCCCACCACCACTCGCTTGAAGATAGGCAAGGATGCGCGCCGTCCTCTCGACCGCTGTCCTCTCCCTCGCCCTTCTCACTGAATTTGTCCGCGGCAATGATGTGCGCCACACTGGTCGTCTTTCTTGGACTCGAATGAAGCAACATACCCGTGGCAAGACCGCCGACCCTGCCCCCGCCGCAGTAGCGCACAACTTCACCGTCGACGCTAGAGGTCTGGAGAGACGCTTTGAAGGAGCACGGTTCACATTCTACGATGCGGGCCTTGGGGCGTGCGGGAAGTACAATACGAACGCGGAACATGTATGTGGCTTGGCGTTTCCTTCATTGTCAGGAGAATTACTAAATGGATTTGGGCTTCTCTTGTCGCTGGTAGATCGTCGCCATGAACTCTGGGGTGCGTCGCTTGGCCTATCGACTCGCTCTTTGGGTTGTTCTAATATTGTGGTCTGTTGTTGGTCGTTCTAGCAATTCGCGGGTGGCTCCCATTGCTCTGAGATGATCACCATCACGGCCAACGGGAAGACTGCTACGGCGCAAGTCATGGACGAGGTCAGACGGTCTCCGCTTGGATTGTTCGCTGCTATCTAACGCCTCTGCCACGCTTATAGTGCCCCGGATGCCCATTTGCTGGACTCGACTTTTCCCGCGGACTTTTCGACGTGTTCGCTGATCAGTCGGTCGGTGTGCTTACTGGTTCGTGGACGTTCGGTGCAGGCGCACCTCCCCCGCCACCACCGCCACCGCCTCCTCCCCCGCCGCCGCCGCCTCCGAAGACCACAGAGGCGCCTCCACCTCCTCCAAAAACTACTGCCCATCCGACCCCAAAATCAACCCCCCCACCAAGCACCTCTCAACCCGCTTCTCCGAGCACGCCCGCCGCTGCTTTCTCCAGTGGCGCGCAGAGACACGCTTCAAGCAGAAGCAGTGCTGTACCAGCCGCGTCGAGTGCCGTGCCTCCTCCGCCCGCAGGAAATCTTGCGCAAATGCAGCAAGTTTTCGTCGGGATCGGTGCCATCGTCGTTGCCGGCGCGAATGCTTCCAACTAGCCTAATCACCTGTATTTGGCTCAGGAAGGACTGCGATGTCCACCACAACGGCCCTTCAACCTCATCCGACATTCATTATTTATTCGCACTGCCAGTGGCGTACATCATGACAGGATGGTCTTCCAGGTGAAGGACCATCAGAAACAATCAAGTTATCCGGGATCAAGAATAGCAATCATCCTCCTGTCTGCAATTGCACGCTTTTCCGTCTCTTTTTATCCAGATAGCATACTTTGCATTTGTCCGTCTCATTCTCGTTTTCTCTGGTCATTCATCGTCTTGTCTCCATAGGTCAGGTCGCATAGCATATTCTAGTTTTTCTGCATTGCAGCTATCAATGGATTTACGCATTCCATACAATCTCAGCATTTGTCGTGGCTAGTGACTCGTCCGTCCCTCGTTTTCTGACCTTCCATTTGGCATGTGTTGCGGAGTCGGGGCCTCTTGGCACTCGTCATGCAAACTTCAACTGAGGTGAAATTTTGCATTTTTCTCATTGGCGGCTTTAGTTAATCACAGTTTTTCCATGGTTTTGCAGCTTGAAGATTCACAGAAGCGCCGTCTGCCGAGTTTTGAGCGGTCGAATTTGGCCGTGGACGTATGTCGGTGGAGATTGGTCTACCTCGAAGCCCGGTTTGGGGTGATCAGCACCAGAAAAGAGGGTGCTGGATTACAAGCGTGAGAAATCAATCAGGGGTATTGCCGGAAGAGAGTATTGTTTGTTGTCAAGCAGGAAAACAAAATCACCTTCATTCTTCCCCCATCACTGCACGACCTCCAGGCCTTCTAATCCAAGTCCTTCGTGGACGACACATTCCCTTACTCATCCACATTCTTTAACGCACCGTTCACCAAGAGCTCCTTCCATAGACATCAGCGCTCAGTCATGTTCGCCAAACTTCTCTCGCTCTCTCTCCTGAGCCTACTCCCAATCACTGCCTTCGCCTCCCATGGGAACCCACTCTTGAACCGCCATCATGAGATTGCGAAGCGCGCTGAGGGCCACGTCGACCTCTTCAAGCGTGTCTCGAACTCCAAGTGGTCGTACTACAATGTCCAGACGGGTAATGCGTAAGTTGAACCATTCCATTCTCGCTTGCGAGCAGGGGCTCACGGGGACGGTGCTGACGGCTATGTATAGAGGCTCGTGTGGTAAATACCACGTCAACAGTGACTTCGTGAGTCCTCGACGACTTCTCGACCGTGCTTATAGTTTGCTAATTATAACGTGTAGACCGTCGCTATGAATGCCGTGGTATGCTACCACTACTCAACCTTGCAGGAGGAGTGATACTCATCAATTCTGACAGCAAATGAATTCGGGTTTGTGCTTCAAAACTATCAGGCTGTCTTACGGAGGGAAGACCACCACTGCGACCATTTCTGACACTGCAAGTATCTCAGCTCGAGCAACGTTGCACGTATGCTGATGAAATGTGTTTAGTGCCCTGGATGCCCTTGGGGTGGTCTTGACCTGACCGAGGGTCTGTTCGCCTTCTTCGCTCCTCACTCGGTCGGCATCATTTATGGTGAATGGGACTTCACGGACGCCGCACCTGCTCCTCCACCTGCGCCGACCACGACGAAGAGGCGAACCACGACCTCGACCTGGACACCACCCCCCACCACCACGTGGGTTCCTCCCCCTCCCCCTCCGGCTCCCACTACCACATCCTCTAGCACCAGGCGTTCCAGCAGCCGGGTTAGCTCATCGACCACATCCAGGGCAAGCTCCTCGTCCCTGTCGTCGTCGTCGTCGTCGACCAGCAGCGCGGCGCCCACTTCGTCGATCAACTACTCCAGTGGTGCGGCCAGCGGGCTTGCTGTACCCACTGGCAGTCTCCAACGCACCCCTGGCCAGACATCTAACCTGGCGGATCTTAATCAGGTCTTCATCCAGGTTGGAGGTGTGGTTGCCGCTGGTGCTCAAGTTTAAAGAGCTTTACGGATATATGGGGTTATTTTAGTAGAAGAGGGAAGGGGCATTTGGGTATCCTTCAGTGCTCAATATCATGCTTAATCTTTGCTTAACTGCTTTTCCTTCTTATTTTATCTCTTTACGTAACCTATCGTCGCACTTCCCCCTACATTCTCCCGACACACACACACCCTCGCCTGCCTGTTGTCATATACCCCAAGCATGCAATTTCGAACGTGGGCTTGCCTACGAGTTTTACCCCGGAAGTAACTTTACAAAGCGACCTCAAAAAATGACGGAGTGAAGACTGAAAAGGCAAGTGATGATCGACAGAGCAGAATATTTTGGCGGCAACATGGCTCCGCATTTGGAGACTCCATCCACTCATGGGCGGCTGGCCATCTGCATCGACTGCTGCGCGTCTTCAAGCCCGATACCTCGCCCATGCTTTGGACCTGGCGCGCACCCTATTTTTGCAAGATATATATAAAGGCATTTTCACTGGTAAATTCCATCTTCACGTCTCCCGTCCTCTCCTCTCCAGTCCAACTCACTGCGTGAAGGATTCGCCTATCTGTCCGTTCCTGTCGTCGCTCGCTGACTGCTAGGAACCTCGCCTAAGGGCGTTTTCAAGAACGCACGCTATCCAGCTAATTTCAACACTCGTTTACCCATCTACAACCTTCTATCCATAATGCTGTCCCGCCTCTGCATTCTCCTCCCTTTCGCTCTGTCGACCGTCGCTACCGCTTTCGCCGAAGGTCCTCGACGCATGGTCCACCGGAGTATAGCAAAACGCACCCACGGCGACGTGCAGCTCTTCAAGCGCTTCGACGGCACGCGATGGACGTTCTACGACGTTGGCCTGTGAGTATTTCTGCGCAGTTTGCCTTGAATTAGTGGGTGCTGATTGCCTGGTTACCGACGCATTTTCAGAGGCGCCTGCGGACAGACAAATGTGGCGTCTGATTATGTAGGTCCTTTCATTTAAACTTTTGTTCCGTTAAGGCACAGAATTTTCTGATCATGACCATTGTCCGGTAGATCGTGGCTCTGAACGCGGAGGTTCGTCGAGAACATGATAGTTCCTGCTGCGCGGCGCTGATTTTCTTCGTCTGTTATGTAGCAATTCGGCCCTGGCTATCCTGGACCCAACTGCTTCAAGAGCATCACCCTGAGCTACAATGGAAAAACGGCAACCGCGACAATCATGGACAGCGTACGCTCGCATCGTTCAACTTTTTTTTTTTCCAAACTTGACCCCTTGCTTGTCCGCAGTGCCCCGGATGCCCGTACGGCGGCCTCGACCTCTCGCGTGGGCTCTTCCAGCACTTCGCCAGCGAAGACGTCGGCGTCATCTACGGGTCGTGGTCCTTCAATGATGGAAGTGCCGCTACGACCACCACCACGAAGGCTGCTGCTGCCACGACCACCCGCACAACAACAAAGGCAGCGACGACAACCCAGGCTACAACGACCCGTACCTCCCGTGCGGCCGCTGCTACAACGACCAGCCACCACTCTACCACGACTTCGCGTGCAGCTAATCTTGCCGTCAGCACTAGCAGCCACGCTTCTTCATCCACCCATTCGGCGTCGTCAACGCATGCAAGCTCGAGCTTCGGCTCTTCGTCTACTGTTGCATCTGCAACCGCGTCCGCGTCTGCCAGTGCCACGGCCGACACAGCTGCTTTAATCCAGGAAAACCTCGCAGCGATGAGCGACATTCTTACAAAGCTTGCTGGGTTGATTGTGACTGCTGGTCTGGGGACTGAAGAGTCGGATTGAACGCGAGACGTCGATGTGAAGAAAAGCAGAGCATAAGGCTGGCGGCTTGACGAAGAAAAGTTTCTCCAATATTTCATCACCAAAGGACTCTGGGACTGGATCCCAGGTAGACACTTCGCTCTTTTTGTGTATTCTTTGACCTATCTGTGATAGGCCCTTTTACATAGCAGAATTTCAACGGATCATTCGAACATTCTCCTAAGACGAGCTCTCACCTAGAATACTTATATCCTCACCGTTCTGATACAGAGAGTTTCCTGCCCACCCATTGTTGGCTTACTGTACCTCGGAAAATTGCAGATTCTCCATTGCATTGGAAAGAGTGTCCGCGATCGATTTTCGACCGGGCTTGATGCATTGATGTTTGAGGACATAGATCCAAGTTCGAGTTCCTAGGTTTTTCGGCTCTCTCTTGTCGTATTTTGGAATACTGCGTAGACCGAGGGTTACAAAGTCGTGGGCACTTAAAATCCAGAGGCAGTGCACGATTGGCTCGTCAATCTTGCCCCTTCTCCGAGACTGCTCCGCAAGGTTACGGCTCCTCAAGAAGAGGGTGTTTTCAGCGGCTCGGCGAATCTCTGCGCAGCCACGGTAGGTTCGAGGGAATCTTGTGAAGGTCCCGGGCCTTGAGGCTTCATCAGAGAGCCACTAAGCATTTTCTGCTCTCCATCATGTAATTGGACGCAACGGATATGAAATAAACACCGAATCACTAGGATGACCTGGTTGATAGGTTGATTTCGAGGATCTTATAGGCCTCCGATTCGGGCAAAGTTTGAGCCATAGTCAACGATTCTTCAAGTCATGGGGTCTGGGAGGCAGCCTCGAATGCGAGCCGGGAGCATGGCGCATGAAGCTTGTTTCGTCTCGAAATCCAATCGGAGAAAAGACTGGGTTTTGATGTCGACCAGGCCCTTCTATCATGCCTTGTCCAAACAACCGCTTGGAAAGATATTCCTTCAGTCCATCCATGAACACCCTTCGTAGCAGGTGAGACACTAGCATCTAGGGTACTCTGAGCATGATCCAGCTGCGCGACGCACTAGTACTCAAAGTACTCGAAGCGAATGGATACGCGGAGAGAGCGCCGCCTAGCTCGCGTCATTCACTGAATGCTCCGATCTGATAAACAGGTTTTAATCAGTAAAAAAATAAGGTTGATTCAACTTACGGGTACATGCAAATCTGTGGTTTACCTTGAGTTTCCCGACAGGCGTCAGTCATTCGACCTCGAGGGCGAAATGACTGGCTGAATTCAGGAATACTCGTCTATCACGGCGTAAACGTGTCGAAAACCTCTTGAACAAGCATGCAGACAACATATTGCCTAGGATTCGCTGGTAAGTTGCATTGGGTCCAACGGGATCGGAATGGGTCCAAAAGCTGGATAAAAGGAGTAATTTTTGTCTCCGTAGGTTGAGCTTGGCTTTGAGAACTCGTAGAGTAGATGCGTTCCGGCAGGCATTGAGACGCGTTTGGATATCTAAAGGGAGAGGAGTTGAATAGCTAGTGCTGCCATTATAGTGGTGGTGAGGCGATGTCAAAGAGTGTCGGATGTCTCCGGAAGCTTGCTATCACCAACAAGTCGGGACAGTGGCAGTCCTAAGTCTCACTTCCATCGTAAGCAGGTATCGAGGTAAGAGAAAGCAACTGGGTTTTATACTAAGTACAACAGAACTCAAAACAATCTACTACATGCTAACGAGGGGATATCATTCGTCTTTCGGCTTTGGGTTTAAATATATGCTGTGTAGGTAATGGAGAAGGGGACGAAGGCTGCAAGAATAAACACAAAAAAGAGCAAGAGGGCAAGAAAAGAAAGGGCAAGGATTATGTCAACCGCAATAGAAAGCAAGAGAAGAGAGCCGACCCAAATTGGTCGGAGATGCGAAAGTTCGAGTGGGTTGGGTACATACATACAAGACAAAAAGAAACAGACAACCTGAGCATGACCCAGGTACAATTACACAAGAATACAAGGAACGTTACAAGTCATGATCTTCACCTTTCATGCGAGTTCATCAAGCAGCAGTTGGCGATCTGCCGGAACGATATCTGTTCCCCTTCCTCACGTCGGCCTCGAGGATGAGGCGCGGCAGGCCAACGGGGGCATTAAACGGTACAGGGGCCGTAATCAGTGCACGTATCCGACCAGAAGGACCTGCAGGCCATGGTCCTTGACCCACTTGAGAGGAGCACGGTTGTGCTTCTTCTTGATGGACTTGATGAGGGCGGTCTTGCTTGGGTACATCGCACGGCGCACAGCCTCGGGACCCTGGCTGCGAACGGCCATGTATTCGCGGATGTTGAGGAACGCACGCGACTTGAGGACGGCTCTAGCAGCGTTGAGGGAGCCGGGAAGGTGCAAGGAGGAGGTGGCGAGGCCAAGCTCGATGATGAGAGACTGAAGGAGGGTCAAGCGGCAGACCGTGTCCTGTTTAGCGTCGGGGTTAGACAAGAATCTAGACAATAGAGGAGACGGATGAGAAAATATGTCTTTGGGAGTTAGGGTGCGACGGAAACGCACGAGGAGATGAAACTTGCGGCTTCCTCGTAGAGTGAAGGGCCCGCCACGGACTCGTCGCACGATACCACAGAGTGGCAGTCAGAGACGTCGTCAACTATAGGACGCTCGCCAAGCCCTAAGTGCTTGACGACCGCTGTCTCCTCAATTTGTGTCACCTTGAGGGAAGTAATCGGGGCAGGGTTCGGCGATGGAGTGATAGCCAGTGATTTCTTTGACTTCAGTACCTTCGGCGAGGCTGCAGGCGAAGGATAAGGATTTACAACGGCACGAGTCTTCTGTTTCTTCTTCTTCTCCTTCTTCTTGGAAGGAACGGATTTCTGTCCGTCAGCGGTTAATTTGCTCTTCTTGCTCTTCTTGGGGGTTCTAGGAGAAGGTTTGCCTGATAGACTCAGCTTGGCCATCTTATCTTCCAAAGATTTCGGCGCTGGAGAGCGGTCTGCCTTGGCATCCCGGTCCTCGACGGGAGTCGAAAGCCCAGTGAACAGAGGAATAGGCGACGGAGGCCGAGTGAGGAGAACGAAATCCCCGTCCGATTCTGTGGCGTCCTCGTATTCAGAGGAACCAGGAGATTGCGAGCCTTCGGATACGCTCCAAACGATCTCGTCATCGGAGTCGGTGTCTGCGGTTATGCGGGAAGTGTTAGATAAGAAGGAAGAGCTCAGCATGTCGTAGGACGACACGGATGCGGTTGAGAGGGCGGGCGAGGTTATAACATGAGATTGGGACGTTGCGTTGGCCATCTTGACGAGAGTCGACTAAAGAGAGAACGGCGACAAAGAGAGATTGATCAATGAAGGTTTTGAGTGTAACTGGGCGCAGAAGGAAAATAGAACAACAGGTTTCAGTAAGCCCGCCATTGGTTGCTGTGATATAGGTATGAACGAAAGATACACACCTGTCTCCGTTGCAAGTCAAAACTGGCCAGATCGTGGATAGCCTGACGAGAGCTGATATGATATAAGGCAGGAATGCCTCGGATGGCGCTTAGAGGGAGTGGATAAAGGAAAGGAAGTGGGTAGCTACGGGAAAGAATCAGATCAGTGTCATTCAAGCAGGCAAGGTGATGGTTTCGGACACAGGAGCTGCATCCCCAATCCGGCAAATTACATCACATCCGCCAATCCCCGCAGCGGCGTGCCTCATTACTCTCACCCTGGCACCCAGATCAAAGCCCCGAGATAAGCTGGTACACCAGCAGGCAAAATTCCCATTTCTAGTCAGCTATTTTCCAGTATACAACGCTATTTTCATAGCCAGCCACCACGCGCTGTTCAACGTTCACACCACGTTTCCATGTCCTGCCGCTCAGGTCCTTGACTTCCTTGGCCTTCTTCCTCATGAGCATGAGCCTCTGCCCGTCCGGACCCTCGAGCGTGGCCGGGGTGGGAAGGCTCCCCTTCTTCCCATTACCGAGCTCAGACTCATAGTTCTTGCCCCAAACCATGACATCGCGTCCTCCAACGCCCGTATTCTCCGCGGAGTTCAAGGCAAGGAGGACATGGCCGGTGGGAGAAATTGATAATTCCTCTGGTTGGATAGGTTCGAGGGCGCGAGTACGGTCGTTATCTACGAGGATGGTCAAATTTGTCCTTCAAGAAAGAAAATTCTCGCTCACATTGCGTGAGGCCGCTGACGGCTTTCACTCGGACGGGTGCACCTTGAGAATTCGAATATGTGCTATTGCCCAGGCCGCCATATTGACCATTGCCACTCATTAGCACATCTGTTAAGGCGGGTCCGGTGCCGGCGTCGCGTTCAACAGTATATGCTGTGAGGTCACCACCTATTGGAACAGCGAAAATTAGGGCGTATGTAAACGAAGGAATGAAAAAGCATACCTGCTGTCACGCTGAGACATGTGCTTCGGGTCGTGTTGGGTGTTAGGCGCCAGAGGACAACTTCTGTGGGAACAGTAATGGTATCGAGGACCACCTCAGTTCCCAACCCGAGTTGCCTTCACACCAGTCAGTCAAGTAAAAATGTTCGTGCAGTGCAGATTACGGGAGGATGCATACCCATGCTCGTTGGCACCCCAAGCCAACACTCTGCCTGTAGGTGTTCGCACAAAGCTTGATTTTGATCCAGCTGCTATCTGGGCTGCTTCCACGCCACGGAGAACAGGAATCTCGAACAGGTGGGTGCAGAACCTGATATTCTTGTCATCGACGGCCGTAAGATTATCCGAAGTGAACGCAGTAGGCGCTGCTCGAGGCGCTCGAGAAGAATCTATGAACGGGTCAGCCAGGGATTTGGGAATGAGCTCCACATGCAGGTGAGCATCACGGTGGTGATTGATATGGCTGGGGGTAGCTGGATCAGGTATGCTGAATTTTCTGAATCCAAGTTGACCATAGTAGTTGGCTAATTTGTTGATCGGGTGTGCAAAAACACGGCCTTTGGAGGTGAGAGCAAGGAGATGGTTTTTCCCTGCCGCAATGGATACAAAACTGCAGAAAAGAGGCCATTCAGATCTGCAGGGAGGAAACCGGAAACATTGACATACGATTCACGACGCGCAAGCTTCTCAGAAGGGTGAACTTCAGCAAAGTCAACGGTCTCGTCTTCACCCCAGAACCAGCCGGTACCCCACCACCCGTCGCTGGATGGCGTCGGCGCACCCGTAGGAAGTTCTTGCTTGGTGATATCTGTAGCGAGGACGTAAACTTTCCCGGAAGCCGACAGTGCGTAAAGTTTATGATCTGTGAGCTGTAGCTGCACGATGTTCTGCAACAGGAATTAATTCATTGCATTGTCAGCGTTTGACAAATTTGTGAGTTGAGCAGACGCGAACCTTCTCCCGGAGAGTCAGCTTGGGTGCATGCGATCCACCGTCTTTACCAAAGAAGCCTTCCCCCCATTGGTAGACGTCCCCTCGGGCATCAATGCAAGCCGCATGTGTTTGGTGCAGTTGGAGGTCTCGTAGTGCGACTCCGTTCAGCCATTGAACGACTGCTGGAGTACGTAGGGGATCGTCCGAGGGTTTATCCGGAGAAATAGTACCTTGGCTAGATATTCATGTTAGTTGTAATTGTGTTGGCAGAAGGAGGGATCCACCTGTTAGAACCCCAAACTAGAGAGTAGAGAGCATCTGGATCCTTCGGCTTGTCCAGCGGCGTTGGCTTTGGTTTGAGGCGATCCCCCGCCTCGACGATTTGTATGGCATCGCTATGCACATACTGACGGTCAGTATACCACAGAGCGGACCCGCCCAGAAGGATAGATGCGGCAGTTACTGCCCTTCTGTTCCCTCGCGTTGCTGCACGAGCTGCCCCTGCAGCATGAGCATGCAGACACCGAACATGCGGCCCGAACGTGTTTGCTGCTCGTCTGAACATTTCTTGCTGTTAGATGAGTTAGATTGTCATGGGTAGATTCGGACTGGGTTGGAGCAAAGGTAAAGTAAGACACGGAGTCCCGAAGCGACCAATACGAGATTCCAAAATTTGCCTCCGAGACCCTGAATGGTGACGCGACCATCACGTGAAGGTCATGTTCCGTGTCTGGACGCGACGAGACGCGACGCGGTTGGAACGCGATACGACGCGATTCTCAAGTAAAAAAGTTGAACATGCCAGGTATATCGATAAAAGCGTGAACAAATGAAGGAAGTGACGACCAGGCAACCGAAAATCGGAGAGTACGCAGATGGCCACTACTAGCAGTAGTGCCTTGCGGGGCTGGTCAAAGCGACGTGAGAAAGGGATGCTGAGCAAAGACCGCCGATAATCAATTCATTCGACGTGAGGACAAAGGACTTGGGGTGGCGCTATTGCCTCAACCAGGTAAAAGAGTGTATGCGGTAAAATACCAACAGCGAGGGGTAAAGAGCGAGTAAGAACGAGATTCAGAAGGAAGGTTGTCCGTGTCGAGTCCGTACAGTAAGTAAAGGTAAACATTCTAAACTGGATCTGTAAACTGTCGACTGGATTCAGTATTCGAGGGGTAAGTTGAGCTAGCTTCCTCAATATCCCTCGCCTCGGTGTTTTCGCCGCTGCTCAAAGGGGACGTCACTCTCCTCTTCGTCTTCGCAGGACTAGGAGGGGTCAAGACTACCGTCATAACGTTTGCGCCATCTGACCTCTGATTCCCGCAAACCATTGGTTGAGAGGGGGATAACCTTAGTGAACCTTTCCTCCAGCCTTTTCGACCGAAAACATTCACGAGACCGCAGCAGGATGGAGAGGGGTCGGAGCGTGAGGTCTTGGATTTTTCTTTCATCGGAGAGCCAGCTTCAGTTGATGTAGTTGTGCCGGGGTTTTGTTGGCGGAGCATCTTCCAAAAACGACGGCTGTAGATGAACGAGACGATGGCGAAGACGCAGATAAAAAGAATTGCGATTAGGACAACAATGAAGATGGCCACTGTCAGTTAACTGTGGTCAGTGTCGGCCCACAGAGTGGTGCTGTGGTGCAGATCTACCTGGAGTGAGTCTTGTAGCCATGGACTTATTCGATTTCCAGACGGGCCTTGTGCGCACGGGGTGTTGTCCGCAGGGTGACCAATACGGCGCAGGGGGGATAAATGGTTGGCGGGACGGGTAGGAAGATATCGTAACTTCCTGGTCGCATACAGTGCAGTCACTTAAAGCAGAATAGCCCAGGTCATACGGTTTTAAACCATCCTGATAGATTAGATTTTGAATACATTTTTTCCGAGTCAGACTGAGACTCTTTTGGCCGGATGCAGATCCTTTCATCACTTCTTCACTGGCTGTCCGAGTTCGCTAGCACGCTCGGTGGCAATTTGAATTCCCCGAGCAATGGTCGAGCGGACTCGGCCATCCTCCAACGCCAGCAGACCCGCTATCGTACACCCTCCTGGAGCTGTTGTCACTTTAATGAGCAACCTACCAAGAAATATTAGAATGGGATAGACGTACTCGTGACCGAATCCTTTAGCTGCGCTGGATGAGTGTTTCCTTGAAGTACCATACGAGCTGCCCCTTGCAGCGCTAAAAATAGATAACCGAATAAATGTTCAGGTCAGAAAGCAAATAAAAAGACACTCACTTTGGGCTGCCAGCTCCAAAGCCTCTGCTCGCGGAAGACCCATCATAACACCTCCATCTGCCATCGCCTCCATAAATATGCACGCGAACGCGGGGCCAGAGCCTGACAGCGCAGTGCAAGCGTCGAAGTGTTTCTCCTCCAGGAAGCGACACCGTCCAATGGAGGAAAAGATCTTTAGAATGACAGCTCGATCGGTCTCTGCATGAACAGAGGGCGGAAGGTTGGAGACAACGGTCATGCCCTCGCGGATCTGTGCATTCCAGGTGAAAATTTGATGCGTTCAAGAGGGCGTTGTATCATACCTTGCAGGGGGTATTTGGCATCGCACGGACGACTCTGGTAGAGGGCAACACCCAGTTCGTGATTTGGCTCATCGTAACACCAGCCAAAATGCTGATGAGAAGCTTGCCCTCCAGAGCTTCTTTCATGCCGGGTTCGTTGAGGATAGCATGGACGATTTGCGGTTTGCAGCTGTGTCTAGTAGTGAGAACACCGGAGGAAGTTGCAATAACGAGACTTTCCCTACCAAAGGAGCACGACATCTGAGTCCTGCACGGCTTCAACATTCTTGGAGGCGAAAACCTCAACGCTCGACCCCAGCTGACCAAGAGACCCAAATATCTTTTCCAGCTTACGAGCTGTTTCTTCTCGGCTGACGCAGGCAAGGAAGCGACTAGGGACAGTTGCGTCCGGAGGTCCAATGGGTGTCAGAGTTCCAGGCGTATGGGACTCCCACTTGTGGAAGCCATTTGATATTTTTGAACTGCTATTGAGGCTGTCAAGGACACCTGACAAAACCGCAACACCCATAGTACCGCATCCTGGAAGAAAGTGAGCGGCGAGGGTTGATGAAAGCGCAAAAGCACCTACCTAAGACACAAAGTGAGTAGCCCATCGTTGAAGCAGTGGAGAATACGGAGATGAGATGATCATTCTATGTATGCCGGTTCAAAATGGACAATCTCGGCTTTTCGGATTTGCCAACAACTCTGCCCGGAAGAGGATCGGAAGGAAGGTTCGAAAACAAATAAATTCATGAACAACGGAAAGACTATGTACGTATAACAATCTAGACTACATTGTGTAGCATCATGCATATCACCAATAGGTTTTTCGTGCTTCTATGGGTTTGAGAATAACGAACAACAGAATGGCTCCCATCCTCAGAAAGATGATGAATGTTTTTCTAGCTCCCATAAAATGAGGACGTTCGTGTAGGAGATAAAACGACGCCCAGAGTGTCGAGAAGCAGTTGGAAAATATCACACTCGGATTCGGCGGGGGAAAGGTGGATGTATTGCGAGTATCTGACAGAAGAAAACATAAGGCCAACATAAGGCTTTATTTACTCACCAAAGGAATGTAACACGATATACGGTGTCTCAAGTTCATGGGCTCCTGCTTCATTCCTCCACAGTGACCAACGAGGATCAAAGTCGAGGTAACGCATCAGGAAAAGGAAAAACAGAAAGTGAGTGATTAATCTTGCTCTGCTGAATGGGCTCCCATCCGTCGAGGAAAATAGGAAGGATGCCAAAGTGATGAGAGCGCGTTAAACTTAGTTGGACGAAGGTGGGGAGAAGAAGAAAATGGTTGGGCAGGACGGAATGCAGCACTGGAAATGCCCGAGGGAAACGCTATAGTCCAAAGGTCATGCTTAGAAGATGAGATTTTCATAGATTCAGCCTGAAAGCTCACCGAAATAAAACAGATGACTACTCGAGATCGTCAAATGTAGCACAAAAGAATGGGATTCTACCAATAGCAGGATGCCACGAAAGAGGAGGGAAAGAAGAGAATTGTGGACGTGAGGAAGGACCACGAAGACGCGCAAACATCAACAAACAACTGCTTCAGAAAAGTGCGGACTTCTATGTTGACTACATGTAGTGGGCCTTTCCGCAGTCTGGGTAGGCGAAAAATTATGACAATCACATTTCCGAAAGTACTACTTCAAGTGTAGCAGCCAGCATAATTTATTTTTGTCCCGCTAACTAGTGCCGACGTGTTCGATGTTTGGTTGCCATCGTCCAGTGGGGGCAATGACAGAGGAATCTGTGTACTTACGCTCATGCAGACGTTAGGATAAGGAAGGGGCAAAAAAAAAAACTTAGACAGCTGCGCCTGACGCTAGTTAGTAGAGTCATATTGCACAGTGGCGACGATATCAAGGGAGGCGAGAAAGAAAAGGTACGAATTGCTGGGAGTGACATGTAGAGTACAGGAATAAACAACCTGGGACAGATTCTGAGAAAATTTTCGTCGGAAAATTGAACATGAGATGCTCACAACAACGCAGCGACTACCGGTCTGAAGGAAGGGTGTCATAAGAATGAAAAGATGTGGGATGGGATTGACGAGCTTACAAAATTCGTGCGTCTCGTCTGATCGTTTGACTGTTTGCTGTGGTAGAGAAACAAAGACCGGTCAAGGTAGCTAAGATGCGATAGGATGGACGTACTCACCTTCCAAGCCTCCTCAAAGTCAACAGGTAGAATGACGTACCGATTCTTACGGACAGCTAAAATTGTTTCAATACTTTGTGAAGATACCTCGTAAGAGACCGCATTACCTTGAAGTCCGGCGGCTTGAACGATAGAGGCAATCTCGGCTGACGACAGGCGATCTGGACGCGAAACATCTACAGGACAACATTTCAGCAGTGAACTGGCAAATGATATTTATCTGCTCACAGTCTTCGAGGTCTACGTCGGGCCCAAGGTTCATTTTACTCGTCACAGTTTGGAAAATTAACCGCTTTTCTCTCCGCGATGGGAGAGGGAATTCGATTTTACGGTCAAGACGACCAGGACGCAAGAGGGCAGGATCCAGTGTATCAGCACGGTTTGTCGCCATAATGACCTAGAAACAGTGAGATGCGCGACTGAGGAGGCACAGGTACAGATGTTACCTTGACATTGCTGCCCTGGTCAAAACCATCCATCTGATTCAGCAATTCGAGAAGAATACGCTGGACTTCACGGTCGGCACCTGTCTGGGCATCGAAACGTTTGGTGGCAATCGCGTCGATTTCATCAATGAAGATAATAGCAGGGGCGTTCTCTCGCGCTAGTCGGAAAACATCCCGAACCATACGCGGACCTTCGCCAAGATACTTCTGCACAAACTCACTACCCACTACTCGGATGAAAGAGGCAGTTGTGTGGTGCGCAACAGCCTTGACCAACATAGTCTTTCCGGTACCTATATAAGGTGATAAAAACTCGACAAGAAAAGAAGAGATAAAGGAAATACCTGGCGGCCCATACAACAATACGCCTCGCGGTGGGTCGATACCGATCTTCTTGTACAAGTCGAAGTGTGTAAGTGGTAACTCGACTGCCTCTCGTATCTCCTGCTTTTGAGAGTCCATCCCACCGACATCTTGATACGCCACATCCGGTTTCTCCTCCTTTCCAAGCATGGCAATAGAAGAGTCAGCTTCTGGAGGGAGGATGTCAACCAGAGCATTTGAATGCCGGTGCAAGGCGATAGACGACGAAGGTTTCAGAAGCTCTCGGTCCAGGGTTGAGAGGATTCGAACAACGTAGTTCGAACCGGTCGTCGATCCTACGATCCCAGTGTGCTGGTCAATAGGTTCTAGGAATTGGCCAATTACAAGGGGAACGGATTGAATGCGTTTGACTTCCTCTTGTGCCCGGATGAGCTCGCGCTTCAGGTTTGCTTGTTCGTCTTTGATGTAACTTTCCTGTATTTCGAGCATCTCTAGGTGACGCGCTAGCTTCTTGTACTTGATATACAGGTCCTCCTCTTGAAGCTCCTGGATGAGTGCAGACTTCTCGCTGACTGCTGGGTCAAAGGAAGGTTCCTAAGCCACTGTATTAGATGGGTCGCGTAAGAATTTCGACTATTAGACTTACATTGCGTTGTACTTCGATACCAATTTCATCCATGGCGGCGAAAGCGAAACACGAAGGTGTTGTAAACAGATGACGCGGCTTGAACGCGTTGCCTCTCAATGAAGCAAGCCTATTGTGGAAAATTTTTGTCACGCGTTACTAGCAGCAATGAGTGTCACAAGAGGAAGCAATCTGTCTTCAACAGCACCTGGGTGTATCTTACTTGCTTCAAAATGTCTCATGTAGTGTCTTCGTTGGACCAGCCATCGAACTATAAGGACTCTCAGACGCGAATAGATCGTCAGAAGCAGAATGACTTGCTGGCGAAGTCGACAACTCTGTATGTGCGTACGCAATCGACATTCTCACCTGCGTTGCCTTTTAAGAATCTTATGCCCTGTATAGATTGGTAATTTAAGTTTCTACACAACAGAGGAGCAAATATATGAAGTGTTTGCAAAATGCGCGAGCCCCGAGGACGGTGGGGGCATTAAACGCATTATTATGGGATTAGACAGGAACACAAGGTGAGTTCAAGGTCTCCATTGCAGCGCGTCTATACCCACGCACATCCTCAGAACACCTTGTGGCTTTTGTTTTGTGGAATTCTACACGCACGCTGAAGCTTTGGCCAGCATGCGCTATGTCAGTGGGACGAAACTCGACGAACGGATAATTCGGTGTGATCTCGACTTGGGGTACAAAGAAGGCCGACAGTTTGGACGGGGGAAGAGTGGGGGCCAGGTAAGAGACGAACATCGACAGGACTACGACCCAGGACGAGGTGGATGGGGTGCGCAAGCGCAACGACTGGAGATCGAGAGGAGGCGTGAGGTGGAGGAGAGGTATGCTGACGCCCAGGACGGCCCTGGTGCTGTCGCTGGCGGAGGAGGAGAGTGGAAGCAAGATGAGGCTGCAGGAGCTGAGCGGACCTTGAAGAGAGGACGGTCACCAGATGATGAAGGGGAAGGACGAGAAGTGAGTTGGTTTCAACTGCTGGCTCCCATGCTCCTGCTAATTCACATCTTCTGTAGGGCCAAAGAACCAAAATGGACGATGTAGATGCTGAAAGGATGTAGGATTTCCGACTATTCTTGATGCTATTCATTTGTTTTGTCCGCATTCAATTTCAATGTCCAAGTAGTGAGTGGAATTCATGAAGACTAATAAATTACTTTCGCTGTCATGATGGGGGAGTCCTCCACATTTTTAAACGGCGTCATATGGAGACGTCTCACTAGCCTCTGGGCCTCAGACTCTGAAGCCATTTCTATCGCAAAGCGGGAATACAGAGAAAACTTCTTGTGTTCTCTGTAATGCATCATAAGTAATGTAGAGAGCGCAGGAGTTGTAGAGGGCACATACAGAGGCACAGCGATTATTTTTTCGAACTCGAATCCCTTCAGAAGCTGCCGAACGTGTGCATATGTGCTCCTGCCAGGAAGACCTGCCAGCGTCACTGTCCGGCCAGGAACAACACCAGCTGAAGGACCATCGCCGTGTTTGGGGTCCGACGTAAGAACGACATCCCTGTTGTGAACGACATCCACATCTAGTGGAAAGCCTAAGATGTGTACATCTTTAGCTGCTCTGAGAGCATCGGGAGTGTAATCCGGCAGGGACATCGTAATGAGAACCTTTTTTTGAGGTCGAAAGTGTTTATAAAGCCTGGAGACTAGAGTATATGACGAATAAGTATGGAGATAACAGAAGTGTCTCTGATACTCACCGTCAGCTACGCCTTTAATCTCTGCTCGCATGAGAGCTCTCCGAATGTCGCCTGGGGTCGTACATTGTGGTACGTTCCGAAGGAAGATATGGGTCGGATTGCTGACCGCTACACAAAGTCGAGTGAATCTCTAATGACGCCATGTAAGACGATAGCCACATACGTAGAGGGGATGTTGGAAGCCGTCGGTTCATAAGGTCAGCCTTGGTCGAGGGTGGATAGGAAGTTTAGAAAGCCCGAAATAGACGACGCGACGAAAGCCGTCACGGCGTGACAACACCAATTCTTTGCCTTTCCGCCATGTCCTCTCGTGGAGATTATAGGCGACGCGATAGAAGTCGGGACAGGGACGACAGAGACAGATACCGTGATAGTGGTAACAGAGGAGGAGGAGGAGGAGGGAAAGGGGGTTCGTATCGCGATGAGGGCAGAAGACGGTCCAGTCGTTCACGGAGTCCACGCAGAGACAGGGATAGCGACCGTCGCGGAGGTCCAGGTGCGTCTTCCTGTCGCCTTCCTTCAAATCAGGCCTGAGCTCATAACCCCGTCGTCTATACAGATCGTCGAGACAGGGACCATAGACGGGACCGGGAAGACGAGCGACCCAGTGGACGTGATCGAGATAGACGCGAAGACGACCGAAGACGGGACCGCGGTGACGATAGACGGGATCCCCCAAAGAGGGATGACAAGGGTGCACCGTCTCGCGACGGCAGATACTCTAAAGATCGAGAAAGTGAGCCTAGAGACCGTCCTCCACCTAGGTCTGAGGGAGCACTGCCGTCCAACACAGGTAAGCGCTCGTTATGTTTGTTCCTTCGTTTATCTATGAATTCATGTGGTATTTTAGAGCCTCCAAAAGGTAATTCGACGTCGTCCACGAGACCAAATCTTGACCCAGATGCACCTGACCACCCCGTTGAGGATGGAGAGGCTATGGATGCTATCAACGAAGATGATGCAGCTATGATGGCAACGATGGGCATGACAGGGTTTGGATCTACCAAGGTTCTCTAGGGATCCACGAACGCTTCTATTGCTTCTAACGCTGTGTTTCCGCAGGGAAAACACGTCGAGGGTAATCAGGAAGGTTCTGCGAATGTTAAGAAACAACGAACATGGCGTCAGTACATGAACAGGTCAGTTTCGGTGAACTTTTGGTCAGCATCTTCATTTCCTGACAGCATAATCGTCTACAGGCGCGGAGGATTCAACAGGTCAGCATCGAGCCTGTTTATTCCTGATAGCTTTTACTCACATCTGCTGCTAGGCCGCTTGACAAAATTAAATAACGGAAGCATTGGGACCCCTCTGTGTCGTCATCGAGGTATTTTGAGCAGCTAAGTTAACCGACATACCTGGAGGTGTATACGACCCTGAACATGGCCATAGGACATGTTCCATGCTCGCCGTTAAACCTCCTGCTGCTGTCAAATTTGACATCTGTTATTTCACAGAACAATACATGATGTCTTCGACGCAAGTCGTGCAATTCGTCTGGAAGACGATGTGTCTAAAGGAAGAAAGGCTTGTATACAACAGACATACAACAAAAGAATTATTATTATGGAAAGCGAGAGTGAAAACGTCCCTTCGATCGTCGAACCAACTCCAGGTGCGGAGTATCCCAAACAGCTTCAACAAGGAGTAGCGTAAGTTCTACATGTCACTTCGACTTCCTCGGAGTTCGCGGTGGTGACCCAGCACACGGAGAGGCGGAGGAAGGTTTAGAAACCGTGGACCTTGATAGTGGATTTCTCCAGTCCGTTCTCGACGAGGAAGGAAGAGATCTTGGCGCGCTGATCGCCTTGAAGCTGGATAACCTGTCCCATCTTCTCATCGTCGACGAGGGTACCGTTGCAGGCAAATTCCTTAGGAGGCGGGAGATCAGTAAGGATACTGAGATCTAACGTCAATGTAAAAGGTGCTATACCTTCTTGAATGCCTTTAAGAGTTTCTTGGGATCATATTCTGAAGGGCGATTAACGTTAGCACCCCCCGCAGAGGATCAGCGACAGGAGAGACATACGTTTCGGGAGTCCTTGCAAAGTTGTCAAAGTCTTGCGTCCATTGCGCTGCTGGATACGGATGTGAATGTAGTCGGCGGTAGATCCAACGTCTGCGTTGTCTCCAAGAGGGTCGCCTTCGTCGGCAAAAGGATCTGAGGGGTATGGCGTCAGTGAGTTTTTCGGAGATCGATAACGGGACGTGAGGGGCCTGCAATTAGCTGGCAGGGCTTACCGTAGGAATTGAGGTTCTGCACGCTCATGCGACGAGTGGAAAGGGGACTAAGTGGGGGTTTGTAGGTAACGAGGAGACGAAGGTGACGGTAAGAGACAAGGGGGAAGTTATGGAAAACTGGGTCACTGATGGTGGAGTCACCGATCTCGGTCCACAACAATGCATTAGGTAAGCACCACTGGACCTGCACAGCAAACTTTTTGACCACTGGTCAGTTTCGAGCTATGCCTGAATCTTCTGCTGCTGTCGCTGGTACGAAACGTAAGAGGCCACCCACGTTTGCACACCTCCCTCGTCAAACAGGTAAGCACTACTGCCTTTTTCCTGATTCCTCGATTGATTCATTTTCAGCAAAAAAGTACAAGAAAGGATGGGTGGAGAAGGCTAAAATTAAGAGCAAATGGAAAGCACAGAAACGCAAAGAAGATCTGGCGGTCAAGACAAAGTTGGAGATACCCGTGTACGACGATGACAAAGGTGACATTAGGGAAGGCGATGAGGATGAGGAAGCAAGTTCGGACACGGCAGAGGATCTGCAAGGCGCATCGCCTCTTCCGACAGCACCCCACATCCACCCTTCCCGAGCACATATCCACCCAAATCTTCCTGTTAAACATGCCAAAGCCGAACCTTCACCGGAGTCGAGACCCGACAAGAAGCGAAGAAAGTCGAAAGAGGAATCAGAGGAAGCTGATCAGGCGCCGTCCGTGAGGGAGTTAATGAGGGAGGCCTATTCTCGGTCAAGCTTGCACACTTTCAAATCTGATCCACTGAAGAAGGGAGGCGAAGGCGGTGGAGGTAGAGGAAGAGGAAGAGGGCAAGGCGAACGAGGAAGAGGACAGCCCAACATGAAGCTTCGAATGAACGCGATGCTCGCAAAAATCAAGCAGGACTACGCCTGAAAACACTGGAGACAAGGCCCAATTTGCACAACTGTACACATACCAACAAGCAGGACACCCACCACCTACAACCATCACATTATTTAACTCAGGCCTTCGTATTCTCTTTGTCCTCGTCAAGCTCCATATTGTTGTCCGATTCGGCTGGAGGAACACTTGTGTCCATCGCGTCTTCTGCCTTGACGAACCGTTGCTCCAAGCTGCCAAGGAAAGGTTTCGAGGTGGAAGTTGTCGTCGTGTCTGGAACCGTTGTCGTGGAGGATAAAGCCGTAGGATGATCGCTCATGTGGCCAGGATTTGGGGAGTCCAACTCGTCCACCATTCCAATCGGTTTGGGGTCTAATTCAAGTGTTGGTGGAGGGCTGCGTGATTTCGACCGTCGCGCATCATCATGGAGGAAAGGAATTGGTGAAAATAGCGGTGTGCTGGGAGCGGACTGTAGCGTAGAACCTAGCATAATAGCGCTTCGTCCAGATGATTGCAGTTCGTTTTGTGTCAACGGTGGGAAGCTTTCATGGGTTGAGGTAACGAGTATCGACTTTTCGACGGCCCTCAGGTACTTGCCCACAGACTTGTAATGCTTTTTGGGTTCTATGCATAGTTCACAGAGGCGCTGGATTGTAAAAGGTGGGCTCCTGCAGATCTATCAGGGTTTAAATTTTGGTGATAACAGACCTACACACTCTTCGAATTGATCTAGTTGGGTGAAGATGCTTTCTTTCATCGTGTTCGCTTCCTGCTCGTTCATGTAGCCAACAGGAGGATCGATCCCATGAAGTTGATTGAGTTTCCGCGGTAGAAATGGCGGCAATTTGAGGCCACCCGTAGCAGTGTTTGCCGGAAGATACGGGGCGGGTTGGGGAGGCTTCTGGGTTGTTGACAAGAACAATGAGATGTTCTGGATGAAGCGGACATCAAAATACGAATTTCAACGCACAGCAGGAGGTTATGCTACCTTTCTTATCTTGGATTTAATCACGTCACGTAGTTTGTCCCAATCTGAGCTAGGAGGAGGTGGTAAGCTGGTGCCAAAAGTGCAGCACGATACACACTCTACTTCATCGGTCGACGCGATTTTCTCGAGCAGAGTGTCGTATTCTGTTCCAAAGACTTCATTCAGTCTCAGTGAAGGCCGTTTCTGAGCGCGATCTGACCTGGAAGCCATTCGAGCTCTGCATTGGGTTCGGCCATAGGTGGAACAGTGGGCGTTCTTGCCAAGGGCCAGTTGCTTAGCTAAGAAATTGCCGAGGAAGAACACTGACCGCAGCAACAAGGGAGGCTGTTCTTGTGTTCTTGGGTAGCGGGAGCGCCGGTGACGTGAGGACGATTCGAAACCCACTTGCTTCTTGCCGCCGACCTGGTCCTTCAGTGCCTCACTCCGCAGCCATTTTCGTTGGTGTCGCATTGTGCGCCAGAGACATAATATCCACTATAAAGGACTATATCCGCCAGGATTGATGTCATACTCCCGTTTGAACACCCCAGAACCGACTCGCCATCATTTCTCCTCCTTCCCTATGGTCAAGATTCCCTTCAAAGCCACCCAGCCGCTGGCTAAGGGAGTCCCGATGACCCCTGCTCGACGCAAGCGTCTCATCTTTTCGTATGCCCCTGATTGGTGAGACCTTATTCATGGCACACGACTCACATCTAAACCGCTGCGAACAGGATCATCACAGTCGTGCTGGCGTTAGTGGAAGCTTATCCTCTGCTCATCTCACTTCCTTATTCTCGCATTCTATCAGCGCGCTCTTCTTTTCTTTGGATACGGTGGAAGGGTATCGGAGGCAGTTCTCATTGGAGGATGATACGTGAGTTCCACACTTACCTCAATTTTCTAACGATGCACTGACATCAGCAACAAAGAATCCGCTACCCGTCAGTTGCAATTCTATCTTCAAGTCTGCGAGTTTATAACTATATCTGTTCATTAGATACGCTGTGCACGAACGCATACCAGTGAGTTGATACTACAACGGCCCGAGGACAGTTTTCTGATCTGGTCACTGCAGAATATGGCACTATTCGTAATCTCTGTTGTCGCCCCCTTCTGTATAATGCCTATTATCAACATCATCACAGTTCGGTCATGGTGGGACTTTCATAATAGTGAGTTTCTATGTTGTGGTTGTGTGGGCGAATCCCTGATGTCGGTCCTCAGGCAGCCTCGGATGTTCGTCCTTCCTCCCTTCCCTCGTCTGGTTCTCAAATAACATGATCCACAGTGGTCCTCGGCCTAGCAATTACAGGAGCCTTCACACAAGTTGTAAAAATCACTGTTGGACGACCACGACCTGGTATGTTCGGATTCACTCGCGTCGGGTCCGGCGAGTTTATGAGCGTTATTATTAGATATAATTTCGCGGTGCCAACCTCCTAGTGGACTTGAAGACCCTCAGTATGGCCTCACAGACTGGACGATATGCACACAGCAGGACGTCCATACCTTGCGAGATGGGTTCCGAAGCTTTTTCTCTGGACACTCAAGTTGTACGTGCTAGTGATTGCGAACTACTTCGTCAACGTTGACCTTTTCGTAAGTGTCTTTTGCAGGACTCGGCTTTCTCTCATTCTATCTGGCTGGAAAGCTTCATCTGTTCGACAGCAGAGGGCATGCTGTACGTGCTTGCTTCCCTCCCCGACGTTTCATGACCATTAGAACTAAACAAGCCATATAGGGCAAGGCATGGCTAGCACTGTCACCTTTCATGGCTGCGGCCCTTGTGGCTATTTCAAGAACGATGGACTATCGCCGTATGTGCACCTTTCTGGTTCATGAACATGAATCCTCATAGTGATATTTCAGACCACTGGCAGGACGTTCTCGTTGGCTCCATCGTCGGCACCGCCCTCGCCTACTTCTCGTACCGCCAATATTATCCCGACCTGTCATCACCTCTCTCGCACCGACCTTACTCTCCTCGTATCAAACGCGAAGAGGACCACGTCGGCCTACCGACGCATATTGCTAACCAAAACCCATTCACGCACAAACCTGCTAATGCCACAGACACCAGCGGACATGGGAGGTACAATGACAGCCACCACAACAGCCTTGACGGGAACAGCAATGAAGACTACGAGCTGGAGGGCACTGTTCCAAGACCTGGACCAGGCCGACTAGAGGATGTGTGGAGGGAAGGGAGCACCGGAGCACCGCAGACCAGACGGGGGCTGCCTGAGGGTTCTCCTGCACCTTACATCCCTCCTTCTGCTGCCCCAATACGGTCGCCAGACGCAACCTTCACACCTGTGCGGCCTGCACCACCTGAGGAACGCCTATGACGAGCGCTTCATGCATCCTCTCGCCGCAATTTGTGATCTATCTGAAAGATTCGAGGACGATCTATATATAATATGCTTTACTACCGTCACCCCTGCCTATCCTTTCTCGTCTGTATATCCTACTGAGGTGTTCTGTTTAATAGCAAATATCTGGCTTCCTCAGTGATCTTCAGACCCACAAGCTTCTTCAGACCCACAAGGGCACGCACGTCCGGCTTTGTCGTCCCGAAGGTTCCATTGCCAGAGAGTGGCGACATCTTCCCTTGCACCGTTTCGGAAAGAACAAGGGCAGCTCTTGTAGTGAGTCCTTTATTGCATGACGTCGTTGCTTAATCTCTCGCTTGCTTGTCTAGGCTGGAGGTTAAGTGCGCTTGAACAACGAACATGACCCCGTGCTCCGGAGAGCATCACAGCAATGAGAATAATGAGAATAAGGGATGTGAAACCAAGGTACGGGAACTATCTTGAACTTCACTGCATGTCTAAGGAGGAAAATGCCCTTTAACGCCACCAGATATTTGTGACTGCGGTGATCTTGAAAAAGTCGACATACCCCATCTGTCACTTGTGGGCGCCAATCCTGCGAATTTTTCCTTCGCAAGGCATAAGCTTGGAAACTATGTTTTTTTCAACAACTCGTGTTGTTCCTTAAAGGATCCGTCGACTATCAGCTGGCTTTGGGTGGCTTTTTCCTAATAAGAAGCTCCTTCTTCGTTGGACTTTGGTCACCGGTTTTCATTTGAGACAGCACGATGCTGATGTGTACTCTTGTGACCTGATTGACCTAAAGGACGGATATAAGTTGGAGTTTCGACATCAAGGCATCCCCTCCCACCCCGTGGCTACCTTATACTGATCCATCATGTTTAGATCTAAGCGATCGCAAAGCGTCGATGGCCCTCCACCCTCTAGCGGTAGAGGATTCTTTAGCAAGGTCGCCAGAGTCATGTCCTTCAAACGTAGTTCAAGCCAGTCGGACCCTGTCTGGTTCGAGGCGTACCCTCCACCTCCCGCACCATTTCCAGCGGCGGGGCCGCCCGGTAAGTTCGGAATAAACCAATGGACAAAAATCCAATGACTTGGGTTTGCTTAGATCGCATTATAGGTCCACCTATAACTTTTGGGCAATATTCATCGTATGGCCAAGGACCGCAGTACCATCCTCCTGGTGGATATAACGCTTATCACCCTCCGCGGCAGACGGACTTTATACCACCACAACTGGCACCACCTGTGAATGGACCAGCTTATGGTACCACCCCACCGAGACCCTACCCAACTAACTACAGACCTCCTCCAAGGGACCACCCACCTAATTTCAGCGGACCTCAGCCGCGACGCCCGTCTGACGCCTCCCAAAACATGGCTTTCAATTCTAACTATGTCCCCGCACCGCCGCCGCCGCCGCCGCAAGAGCGCCAAAGTCGACCAGAACATAGGCGCCAGCAGTCTTCCTCAACCTCCCGACCGTACAATCCCCAGCGTGGGCCGTATACGAATGCATATGACCAGACGTCCCATTCAGCGCGGCCTGTGAATCGACATTCGTCCTCCTCTAACCGTGTCGATGCAGCTCCGCAAGCACGTCAGGCAAAGCCTCCACACGTGCCCTACTTCATTGACCCCGACGCTCCTCGACCCCGTCGAGATTCCGATTTATCGTCGAGGTCACGAGAACATGCAGAGCAGCCAAGTAGTAGTCAGCGTCGTAGGTCGAATCCATACGCCTCGACGCCACGGAACTCGAATTCGTCGCTGCCACGGCCCGAGGAGACGACCATTGCTGCTCCCCAACCTCAGATTGCCAAACGTCGTGTGCAGCCGTACGAGCTTGCGCAGGAGGTGAAGATCACATCCAAGGTGGAGTACCCGAGCATACTGTACCACTTCTGGAACCCGCCCTCCGACGCCCAGTACTGGAAGGACAGCCGCACCGTCTCAGACGTCCCCCGGGCCCGTGCTAACATTGCGATTACCCCACCGGTGACGAAGATATGGATAGCGAGCTACAAGCACGGCGACGCGCTTTCTATTGCCCTCACGCGGTGGGGCGACATCGAGATCGGGCACAACTTGAAGCCCAAGCCTATCACCGTGCGCGACATCCTCCTGGGCATTTGGGATTACTTCCAGAGGCCACTCGCGCCAGATGATTGGGCAGAGTTCTTGGAGGATAGTAGCTTGTTTGTGAGCATACACCAGTGCTATGCATATAGGAGGCAGAACACGCAGGCGCAGATGCCGGAGAACGCGATGGATGCGGCTACCAGGGCGGATACGCTATGGGGATATTGGGTGTTCCGCGGTCTTGAGCTCGATGACGATTTCGAAACGACGCGAAAGGTGTATCTGAAGGTCTCGCATTATTTGGCGCAGGATTGGAATAACTAGACGTTTAGGTTACGACTCGGCTTTATATTGTTATCGCATTTGCTATCCTCCACGGATTATGTACTCCTCTCTTTATAGACAGTTAAAAAGCGCGTCTAGACACGCATCATGAGGTTATTATAATCGAATTAATCCTTATTGCACGAATTTATCAGCCCAGGAGGTTCAGCGTCCGCGAACACGCAAGAGGAATTGGAACAGGCGCGCACCCCTGAGTACACGCGCGCTGATCGACGCGACGCGTGACCTAATTCGGAATTCGGGTGGCGCGCACGAGGCGCACAGCATCGGAGGTCTTATGCCGAATTTTGAGGCTAGTATGACGAAGACAAAATCGTTCACTGGTTCGGGGAAAACCCTGAGTAGGCCACTTGACCTTGGTCCCGCTGAGGGACAAGTATCGTCGAAAAGGGTCGCGGCGCAGCTTTGGAAGGCCGGAGAAAATCATAGTCTTCGCAAGGTGCTATGACAGAAAGTTTCCCTTGAGGATGAGTATCTGGGTATGACCTATGTCAGCAATCCCCGAACAGCCACATAACCTGCCCTGGCCCTACTAACCTTCGAGTTGCATGGGCGCTCCGAGGCTCAAGGAGGCTCGTCTTGGGCGAGCCTCGCGGAAAGACAGCGGTATACGATAAGTATTCAAAGTTCCTCCATGGGTATGTGGCGGATGGCGTTCGGGCTTGAGTCGAGATCCAACTCGAAGGATTTTTTTGTATGTGCTTAAGGTTTAGTTTGTTCGAATTTGAATGCACTGCACGCCAGTGCGCCACTGATAAGTAGCCCTCCTAGGGGCGATTGGTCGGAGTGGCTGGAGATGATCCATCCGTGTTCTTTCTGCATGCACGAAAAATACATATATGATAGCGTCGGCCGAACTCTGAAAAGCTATAGAGTTTCATGACAGAACAAGTTTTGTATCAGTCTGCACGCTTGAGACAACGAAAAAAGAGGCAGACAAAGGAAACTCGGGAAGCCATTGACACGGTCATATGTGTGGCGCTTGACCTAGAGAGATAGCGTGCTCGGTCCGGAGGGAGACCATCTCCAAATTAAATACAGGTGGCCTACACGTATTCCTCAACTGCTGCTACTGGGGTGTAAGGAAAGCTGTAAAGCCAAAGAGGCATACGTACTGCAAAGTCACCGACCGGGAGACAAGCGGCGGGCTCTCAAAAATAGCTCTGCCTACTTATACAGATGCACCTGTTCTTGAACTTGGTTTGCATGCATGCACCAAGGCCCGATGTGGGGTAAAAACATGATATGAAGGCACACTTATAGCTACCTCGCGCAGATCATGCAATCGGAGCACGAGGCCGGTCATTGGGTTGGATTTTGAACGGCGCTAAGAAAAGATCTAGAGGTGCGGCATTAGAAGGCGAAAAAATGTCATGACATTCTGACATGTATGGACAATTCGTATTTGCCTTCAGTCAGGAAGGGATCTGCTCTACCGGGATCTACCCCGCAATTTTCAATGAACTTCAACCAACACACACCTCTCTCCGCGCCGAGCAGCCTATCAGCGTTGGGTCAGCTGAACTACCCAGGGTCGCAGCAGTATCACTGCAGAACGGAATGCGTGCAGTGAATTACGATGCGGCGCAGATTCAAATTGCCTTGTGTTCGGAGCATGTGCGCAGAAGAAAGGGGATGGACACCTCAGACTCAAACAAGAGAACATACACTAGACGAACGTTTGCCCAATCAGCGCTGGCGTGCCGTGTTCTATCGGACAGCCATGACTAGAGACCAATGATATGGACAACTGACTGACCAGAAGGACAGGAAGATAGAAAGATGGATGGATAAGTGAATCGATTACAACTTCACGAAAGCTTCTCGTCCATCGATAGATGGATAGACAACGAATCGTAGTCAAACGGCAAAGGGCTGTCTGGAGGGGTACTCACTTCTCACTTCTCTTCGGTAATTGCACCACGCGAGGAGCTCCTGCCAGGGCCCGACAGGGCATGCAGGTACCATGCATGTCGCAGCGCGTAATGTCAGGATAGCAAGCCTGAGCCTGAGTTTGAGGTAATAACACGCATTATGGGAGAGACAGTTTAATTGTGTGTTCGTGTAACTTGGAGTGATATGTGACTTACACAAAGCCTGAGAAAAGCCTGGGTGTCATGCGTGTTCACGTATGCGACGCGTCAAATGGAGTGGTGGCGAGTCCGTCCTCCGCGAGTGATCTATGGCATCGAAAACGAGAGCCGCTCACGGAGGACGCCTGCAAACAATAAACGCGTCTATCTTCACAAAATAAAGGAGGAAGATCAATCGTACTCTTCTTCGTAGCGCTGGTCTGGATAGCCCTCGTTAGGGTTGTCATCATCATCATCTTCAATGTCGTCGTCATCGTTGTTGTCTAAGAAGGGCTCAGCGGAGCCGACTATTTCTTCGAGGCCAATCAACTGGATGTTGGCGTCGAGATCGAGGTCGAAGTCGTTACGGTCGGTGTCGGTCGCGTCGACGCCAGTATTCGTGTTGTCGTCGACGCAGTCTTTGGAGAAGAACTGGTGCAGCGCCTCTAAGTTCAACCTCTTACTTCTCTTCCTCGCTTGCTCGCCTTTCACAACACCCTCATCCACAGCTCCGTCTTGTCCAGGTTCACCACCTTTCCTCTTCCTCTTCCTTTTACGTTTCTTCTCTCCAGGCTCCTCGTCTCCACATTCAGCGTCGCCATCACCCTCCTCCCACCCAAAGACCCTCCTCAACAGCCCCACTTCCTCTTCGCTCCTCACCAGGCCGTCCAGCTCGCCCTCCGCGAAGAGATCCTCGTCGGGGATCCGGGAGGGGGAGGAGCCGCCCCGGTCGAGCGCGAGGAGCTGGAGGCGCGTGGGCATGGGCATGTACGTTGGGTATGAAGAAAAGGAAGAGGAGAGGGAGGAGAGGAGGGAAGGGGTGGAGAGGATGTACGTCGCTAGGGAGAGGGTGGAGGGTTGGGCGGGTTTGGAGTGGGTAGAAGGACGGGGAGAAGGAGTAGACAGGGGCGTGTTCAGTGGATCGAGGAGGAAGCGCGTTGCTTGGGATAGAGCGTTGTTTAGCTTTTGGCGCTTGCGCGGTGGTTCGGTCGAAACCTCCAGGGGCTTGACGGAACCTTCTTCGTTATTATGTTCATTTTCGCCCTCCTCCTCGCTAACATCGAGTTCTAGCCTCGGCCTCTTCACGCTGTGCTTCTGCCATACCTCCTCCTGGAACTTAATCACGTCCTTGATCCCTCTCGCCACCACGACGCGCTTCGCCACCTTCGCCTTTCCATTCTTTCCTTTGTCCTTGCCTTCATATTTGTCCAACCAGGGCACAGCCTCGACCCACCCCGCGATCTCGTCCTGGAGCGTCTTGTACCGGCTCATAACGACGCTCTTCGCAGCGTGGCAGCGCGCACCGAGGGCCGCTGCGAGGTCGCCGAGTGGGTTGAGGGCCGCGCGGGCTTCTGCTTCTAGCGCGAGAAGGAAGAAAGCGCAAGCAGTCGGGGGCACGGGGAGTCGGAGAAGGTCGTGCTGAGGACTGAGCCGTGCAAGAAGGTGGGACAGGGAGGTCATGGTACTGGAGACCGAGTGCAGAGAGAGGGGTCGGATGGTGTTGATGAGGGATACTGGTAGGGTGGATTCTTTTTGGTGAGGTGCGAGTAGGGAAGATAGGTGCGCCTGGAGGGTGGGTATATGCACTGTAGGGTCGACTAGTGTTAGAGACAGACCAAGGGTGGTCGTAATGGATGTGAATGAGCGCGAGACGGACGTTGGGGGCACCTGCAGGATCGACGCCAGGTCGTGCAAGGAGTCGGGTCGGTTGGCTTCCCGCAGTGCGATTGCGAGACACGCTGCTGCGACCGCGCGGGACTTGTTTCCCCACCGGAAAGACGTCGCGGCCCTCATCTGGGTGAAGAGAGTAATGGCACGCGGGGATAGACCGGGGGCGTTGAGTGACACCGCGAGAGATTTTATGAACTCTGACATGGCGACCTGATAGGAGGACGCACGTTAGCGGGGCTCTGGGTGAAGATAGAAGGTATGCATGGAAGATATGAGAATGGGACTCACAGCGTTCTTCCGATCCCTGGATTCCTTCCCTTGACCGGCGAGGTCCCAGTTGTTGCCGGAGCGGACGCTCTTCAGCGTGGTCGGTGCCGCCGGGTCCCATAGTGAGGTCTCGATATCGTCCCGGGGTGCATATAGAGCTGAAGTGAGGACAGACTGGGTGGGGTCAGCGAGGGAGCCACAGACTGTGCAGACAGCGGAGGAGACGGAGTCGTCCCAGATGGTGGCTGCCCCGCAGTGTATGCAGGCCATTAGTCGGCCGACGGGAAAGAGCAGAGAAGGGGACGTGGGTTGTGTGGCGGCGGTAGTGGTTTAGTCACGTGTGTGCCCCTGTGCAGGGCCGAGTGATATGAATGGCGCGTCCGGGTTAGTCTCCCAAACTCGTGGTGAACATGCTCCCATTCTTGCCTTATCTGGGGCCGCCCCAGACCCCGCTCACTTTTCGCTATATAATCTCCAAAGTCGCTGTCTCCCCGTCTCTCCTACCCCGACCATGGCCCACCCGCACCACTCCTTCGAGTCCGTCCCCTCCGCAGCCGTCAGGCGCAGGCTCTCCTCTGTCGTTGACACAAGGAAGCCCCATGTCACCTCCACCTTCGCAAGCCTCACCGTGAGTCAAAATCCACACCCATCTTTTATCGATCCATCCCCCTCATCTTTTTTCTTTTTTTCCAGCCCATGTGGGGTGCCGTCGCCGGCACGGTCATCAACAACAACACCCAGTATGAGATCGCCGTCTCCATCCACGATTCCGTCTACTCCACCGATTTCGCCTCCGCCGTCATCCCATACAACCCCAACAACCCCGACAAAAATGCTAAGGAGATCGAGAACTACGTCCTCCAGACTCTCCGCAAGTTCTCCATCGAGCATCTCTGCAAGTTCTTGGGTGCGGGTGTCACTCTCAACCTGCTCAAGGAGGTAGCTATCCACCTCAGATCGCCATCAGATCCCACATCTAACGCGTCACCTAGTCTCCCAATCTTTGTACGCGCCTCTGGTTGGATATGGACATCGTCCCCTACGTCTTCAACATCAAGCCCTACCACACCGACTCCGTGACCAGGCCCAATATCAAGCACCGCATCTCATCCACCACTGGCTCCTACGTTCCGTCCGGCGCGGAGACCCCAACAGTCTACGTCGACTCCGCACAGCTCCAAGCCTTCTCCGGCCTGGATGCCGGTGTCAGCGGGCGTCTCCCTATCCCCCGCACTCTGGACGAACAGGCCGACTCGGCAGCGCGAAAGACCGTCATGCATTTCGGCCCCAATAATAATCCCCGACTCTCCATCGGCCCTCGTAATCAGGTTATGGTCGACGCCGCTGGGAAGGTCCATCTCCTTGATGACCTTGATGAGTTCAAGGCTACCGTCGGGCCCAGGTAATTTCGGCGGCTCCAGCTCTGATATCACCGCACCTTCTTACATCCCCTTCCATTTATGCAGGACGTGGAACGCGGTCAACAAGCTGGCTGATGAGCTCCGTGAGAAGAAGGTCAAGATCGGATTCTTCTCGTCCACCCCGCAAGGAGGTAAGTGGGCGACACGTCTGTGAACGCGTACATGGTTCTCATCCCAATCGATCTCCAGGTGGTGTTGCTCTTGTATGTTCCCTGGGGCGTTTTTACTATTAGAGTCCAAACCTATTTTTACACAGATGCGTCACGCGTTGATCAGATTCCTGACTGCTCTCGATGTCGATGTCGCTTGGTTCGTATAGCGTTCCTAGTGTTGTGGATTGCGTCATGCTTACAGCTCATTTAGGTATGTGCCCAACCCATCCCCTAGCGTCTTCCGTACCACGAAGAACAACCACAACATTCTTCAAGGCGTCGCAGCGCCTGACCTCCGCCTGACACAGGAGGCGAAGGACGGTTTCGATGCCTGGATTCTCAAGAATGGCCTGCGCTGGACCGCAGAGGGTGGCCCTCTTGCCCCAGGCGGTGTTGATGTTGCCTTCATTGGTATGCTGTCAACAAAAAGTTCGTTGGCTCACTACTGACGATTTAATGGATTAGATGATCCCCAGATGCCCGGACTCATCCCCTTGATCAAGAAAATCAGGCCTGAGCTCCCCATTGTCTATCGCTCGCACATTGAGATTCGCAGCGATCTCGTCCACGTACCTGGATCCCCTCAAGAAGAGGTCTGGCAGTACCTGTGGAACAATATCAAGCTCGCTGATCTCTTCATTAGTAAGTTAATCCACAGGAATTTGTATCCGCTTTGGCTAACGCGAAACAATAGGTCACCCCGTCAGCAAATTCGTCCCGAGCGACGTCCCGATTGAGAAACTCTGCCTGCTCGGTGCTGCCACTGATTGGCTCGACGGCCTGAACAAGGAACTCGACCCATGGGACTCCCAGTACTACATGGGAGAGTTCAGGAGTCTTTGCGCCAAGGAGAAGATGAGCGAGCTGCGCTGGCCGGAGCGCGACTATGTCGTCCAAGTCGCACGTTTCGACCCCGCTAAGGGTACGTTGGGATACCCTGGTCCTAGTTGTATGCTCTCGATTGCTCACGGCGCTCGTGTAGGTATCCCCAATGTCATCGACTCTTACTACAAGTTCCGAGAAATGCTCCACGAGAAGTCTCCCGACTTGTCGGACGACGAGCACCCTCAGCTGCTGCTTTGCGGTCATGGCGCCGTCGACGACCCCGATGCCAGTATCATCTACGACCAGGTCATGCAGCTCATCAACTCGGTGCCGTACAAGAAGTACGTCAAGGACATCGTTGTGATGAGGCTTCCGCCCAGCGACCAACGTGCGTCTATTTCCTCAACGTTCCAATCTTATATTATCTAATCTAATCTTTGATTTACTTCGAAAGTCCTCAACGCGCTCATGGCCAACTCCCGCATCGCCCTCCAGCTCTCCACGCGCGAAGGCTTCGAAGTCAAAGTATCCGAAGCCCTGCACGCCGGCAAGCCCGTCATCGCCTCGCGCACCGGGGGCATCCCGCTCCAAATAGAACACGGCAAGTCCGGGTACCTCACCACCCCCGGCGACAATGCCGCCGTCGCGGGGCATCTGTACGATCTGTACACCGACGAAGGGCTGTACCGCACGATGAGCCAGTACGCGAGGACGCATGTGTCGGACGAGGTGTCGACGGTGGGCAACGCGGCTGCGTGGCTGTATTTGGCGGTCATGTATACAAGAGGCATTAAGATCAAGCCGAATGGCGCGTGGTTGAACGATTTGTTGAGGGCGGAGACGGGCGAGGAGTATGTGCAGGATGAACCGAGGTTGCCGAGGGGTGGGTTGCAGATGCAGGGATGAGAGATGAGAGAAAGGGAAGGTTGTGCTTGCGTTTTGGTGGTGGTACCCTCAACGGTACGCCTTATCCTGTCATTTGAAACGTGTCTAGAGAGTACGATCTACCTTCTGGATTATACCCTCTCTTCCGCATGTTGTGTTCTCTGGCTCGTTCGATGTACATGTAGACTAGTTGTAGATTCTGTGCACGCCATCGTCCTTTCTTCTCGTACCAAAAGCTTTCGCTCTCTTTCGATACGCACTCCTCATGTAAAAAAAGTCGCGCATACATATACATACATCTGTCTGTAGAATATTCTTTTTGTGCAGAAAGATAATTCTAGCTGCCTACATCTAATTGATTGCCTGATCCGGAAGAATAGATACCAAATTGATCACCTCCTGACTCGCTCGACCAAATGAGTCACCTGCCGCCACCGTTGGCAAAACCCTGTCCAAAAAAGGGCGCATATTTCCCTACGAAATTTCTGAGACAGGCCCATCCATATATAAGCCTAATCAGAATCAGAAGTTAAGTCATCTTTTATCGTCTCACCCTCAAGGCCGTTGTCGACTCTTATTCTTTCTCCTAGGCGTCTTTCACGAAACTATGGGCGATCCAAGCTATCTCCGCCTTGTGCCTGCTTCTTGCGCCACCGTCCCCATCGACTGGACCAAAGTTCCCGAAGCGTCCAAGAAATTCCTCCTCGAGAGCTGGGGCACCGACTGGTCCGACCCAAAGATGGAGAGACAACGCGGCCTCCCTGCGACCATCGAAGACCTGGCAAAAATGTTCAACGAATCCAAGTTCTTCGGTTATATGCAGCCCAAGCTCTGCACGCTCCTGCTCGACATCAGCGAGTTTGGGCTCGCCGCCCAAGCCAAAAAACCAGTCGATTGCCTCCAAGTCCCCGGGCCGCGCTTCTACATGAAGTATCTGTCGTGTGTCTGGTTTGTCATGTTCTTGCCTGGAGAGAGGGATGGGATCACCGGGTGCAGCCCAAAGGTGCCAGAAGTGAGCTGGGAGGAGGAGCAAGAAGACAAGGAGGAAGAGGATGACAAGGAGGACAAGGAAGACACGTACCACAAGGAAGACAAGAACAAGGAAGAAAAAGACAAGGAAGAGGAGGACGAGGAGGACGAGGAGCAATACGAGGAGCAAAACAAGAAGCAGGTTGCGCGTGACAATGCGGTGGCGGAGGAATTCGACCCGAAGCTCTGTGAGGAGGTCAAGCAGTGGGGAACACTCAGGGCGCTAATTAGCAAGAAGGTGGCTGGGTGGGAGGGTTTCACGCTGAAAAGCAGTCTGGAGGAGGCCCAGATGTCCGAGGCAATTATGGGACTTCCGGCTGACCACCCGGCGTTTAGGGCTATGATGCAGAATGCAATGGGCTCGTTGATGTCGATGCGGTGAGGTGAGGTGTAGGTTATCGTCGCAGATACGGCCCATATATCGACATTTCGCACTTGGGCAAATTGTACATGTACTCTAGAGTTCCAACATTCACTCTGACTTTCGAATCCGTGTTTTCTACTTTCTGTGTTTCTCTATTGTCAAAATCAAATCGCATTGCGTATGTTCACTACTGGGCGAATATACAAATGTGCACTGACCACCTCAGTGACTCGGACTACTAACTAGGCTGCATAGCTTCCTTTTTTTCTTACCACGCTTCCTAGATCAACTTGTCTCTGAATCCTTCCATGGCCTGGGAAACGACCAATCAGCTCTCTGAAATGAAAGCCTGATTCTTCTCTGCGTTATATCTCCCACTGTAGGTGTCAATTCTATTTTAGATCTACTTGTTTTTTTCTTCCCCAGAAAAGGCTAATTGGATTCAATGTTTGATCAACCGGCGCGTTGATTCAGACACGCCAAGTGCCGCGCCGCGGTCCCACCGTCCCTGAGCGTGACAGTCCCTTTGAGCCTCGTCCTTCCTTTGACAACCCACATGCCCGCGTCCTGCACGTAGGCAACCCACAAGAGTCAAACTCAGGCTCAGACTGAACCTAAAGGTCCAACAAAGATACCCATCGGAATCATGATCCAAGGCCTGATGGACCCGTCGGACGCCTTCTCTTCTTCCACAGCTGCTGCGTTTCCACCCACTTCCACATCTGCCAGCTCTGGTTTCGCCTCTCCTTTCACCAGTACTGCAGGGAACACGATTTCGCACACCTCGTACAAGACCTTCCCGACGGGTGGCCAATTCGCGAGCACAGCAGAGGGCTCGACGATCCGACCGTATTTTGTGTATAACTGCAACTTGCAAGACGCCACGTCGATGACGATGTCGGTGCGCAACTCGCAGAGGGCGACCTCGGGTATGGGAAAGCGACCGCGGTCTCCTGAGAGTCCGGGAGACAGGCCTTCGGTGAGCACATTTTCTTCGGGTTTGGGTGTGGTGTCGCGTGGACGCGTGCTGATTGACCTCCCTCCCCTCTCTTTTTCTTTGCGTCACTGTCACTTTCATCCGTGTTCGCGTGAAACCGAATAGAAACGCCCCTCACTGGCAGCCCACATCCAGCAAAGGTCCATCGCCGGCGCGGGCGCGGGATTTAGGCATTTGAGCGCTGGCGCGAGTTCCACGAACAGCAGTCGCCATCCGTCGGAAGACTGGGTACAGCAGGCGGGCGGGCTGAGCATCGATAGCCCGAACTTCGTGGCACCGGGCGTGTTCCCGTCTGCCACTTCGCAGGCTGGGGACTTTGATATGGATATGGTGAGTCGCTGCTTTGAGGTTTAGCTTCAGGAGGCCTAGTTGCTGAATCGGCTTGGTGATTCTACAGGCAGTCGAGGAGGAGCAGGACGCGTCAAGTGTGAATATAGGTATGGGCATGACAGAGGGCCCTGTATCGCAGCTTGCACCTCTCCAAACCAACGGGTTTGTGCAGAGCGTGCAGCAGCACATCCAAGAACCTGCAACACCCCATCGCCACCACTACGGTACTCGCTACGCCGAGCGGCTACAAGCCTCCCTCGGGCCACCCCAGATCAACGTCGTCCCCGCCACTCCCGTGAACGCGCCTCTCCACCAAACCCAACAGCAAAACGCCGCCCAAGCACCAGGCCAGCCCGAGATACACGCCGGACAATCCGGCCCGGACCCATTTAGGGTCGGAAGCGAGACGCGTCCGTCAACGCCACCTCCATCGGATTCGAGCCCCACTCCGATGGCGATTTCGCCGACCATCTCGTTTGCTCAGATATCGTCGGCGTCTATGAGCATGAGCATGAGCCCTGCTACGCCGACGGCGGCAAAGAGACGCGTGATGTTTGGGCCCAGGACCGGGTGTGAAAAGTGCAGAATGGGGATCAAGCATTTTACGCATTATGAGTGAGGCTCCTTGCTATGCATACATTCAGGCAGAACATTACTTCATTTGAGGCACACCTGCACACTAATCACTATCAACACGCTTTGTTTGTCTTACTTATATGTAGAGGTACCGTATTGTTCAGGCTTCTGTGCGGACGTTTCAAATCATAGCTTTATATCTGAAGAATGACAGTCATGATACATCTCGATGGAAGATACTGCAGACGGGGATTGGGGGAAAAATACAAAGAAATGTCTCGCAAAGCCAATAAGAGCAACAAGGATACGAAAACAGTAGATGTAACAGGGTAGACATGAGAAGGTGGCATGAAATCTAGTGAGAGAAGGCGGGGTTGGGGTATGGCACACTTTGGAAATGTCCAGGCCAGTATCCCATCACAGATGGGGATATTGGCAAGAGAAGTGGTGGAGGCATTAGATAGAAAGGCCGCGGTGCAGAACTTGAGAAATGAGGAGATATCGAGACAGTGCTTGGAGATGCGTCAATAAGTACGATTTCCTTTGCCTGCGTGGTCGTTCTGGCCTTCTTCGCAGCACCATCCGTCAGCTCACAACCCTTTCGCTTGATTATCCTCGTAGCTGTGGTGCCTCTAGCTTCCACACGTTCCAGGGATGGTACAGCACCAGTGTTCAGAAACTCCGAGTATCCAGCATTCCGCGAGTGCTGAGAAGGGATCCGAGTGAATTTCAGATTTTCGGCACCAAGAGGGTGGTTATGTCCAGATACGTATATCCCAAGAATGTATGGAACGCTCAGATAAGATTTGATCGTAAGAGATGCGAGGCAGCCAGTCAATTTAGAAGGGACTTTGCGGCCCCAATGAGGGTTCTTCTTGACATATGGTTTTCGTCCTCCAGTGCCATGTCGGGCGCAGACGTAGCGTTCGCGGACTAGATACTTCCCGCTGATGCCAGTACTAGTCTGGACCTTCAGGATCTCTACGCAGTGGCGATATTGTTCTTCTGCGAGCCAGAGGTCGAAGTCCTCTCGAGATTTCCACCAGACGTTGTACTTCGCAGATCGAGAATCAGAGGAGAAAGAGCCATGGCCAGTAGGTTCGCGTAGTCCAAATCGGGAGTTATATTCCAAGGGGGCACTGGTCCAAAGTTCAGACTCCAGGAATACTTGAAAGTTGATAAGCCGAGACTCGTTGACGCCTGTTACGATGTCCTGTGTGTTTTGAACGAGAGGGGGAATCGAGGTATCCAAGCGGAAGCAACCTTGTTTAGCTATAGAGATACTGTTGGAAGACCAAGAAAAGAAATTTATCAAGAGCGGGTGTCCCAGGAATAAGATAAAACCTCCCCAGACGCGTCGGTAGCTTCGTAGTAGGTAGAAAATGAGTGAACAGAAACTGCCAAGGACACGCGACGTAAAGTTCCCACGAGGAGTCCCTGAGTAATCTTGTGTGTCCCTGTTTGATCTGAAGGGCTACGGCACTGTTCCCGATCAAGCCTTCCGAAAAAAAGTTGAAAGCGCTCAGCGCGTCACTCGAGGCTCTATATTCATCGAGATGTCTACGACCCTTCCACTCTTTTGGCATCTGTCTGCTTCATCGAAGAAGGAGCGTATCGATGCTTCAATCAAACTAATTGGTGCTCTCGAGCAATTTCAAGCCCAGAAAGCTGCACTTGTTCCTGCACCTACCGCCGCCTCAGGTTCAGATGAGGAAGAGGAAGAGGAAGAAGAGGTCATTGCTACGAATGCGAAATCGGACGGACTAGATATATTGAATGCGCAGGATGTCTCTTATTCGATACGGAGGTTGATCAGGGGATTGGCAAGTCCCCGGGAGAGCAGTAGGCTTGGGTTTGCGGTTGCATTGACTGAGGTGAGTAGTTGATATGCATTCGTCGATTCTAATTTGCAGTTTATATGGGGCCAATAGCTTCTGTCTAGGATAGACACAGTAACGTCTGCTCAAATATTAAGCGTCCTTATGGATAGCACGAAACACCAGGGATCAATGTCCGGCCAGGAAGAACGCGACGCCTTCTTCGCTCGACTCTTCGGCATCATGTCCATCATACAATCAGGCCTTGTCGTACGAACGACTGCCTTACCGAACTCTGGGTCTTCATCTGCTGTTGCATCCTCGTTGGAAAGCTACGAACAAATTATCAACGAGCTCGTGAACCTGGGGGACAAGAAATCATGGCTAAGGGAGAGTGCTTGGTTCGCCATCAGCATGTTGGTCGATACTCTGTTTGAATCTGACATTCCTTGGAAAAACGAGGCAATAAGCAAAACTTTGGACACATTGTTCGTAAAGGCCACCCTTTGGTCGACAGAGAAGGTTGCACTTGCCCTCAAACTCCAAGACCAGTATCCCAAACGCGACTGGAAGGTCCTCTTGTCTCCACATTTCAAGAATCCCGACCTGCTCGCTTCAGGGAACCTTTCCGCCCTTGCACGCATCTTGAAGGTCTGACGAATTCGTCTGACCCCCATGCATGTTTGCTCACTGTAAGCAGGAATCGACAACAGACGAAGATGGTGTCAAGGATCCCACGAAAGCTCCCAGTGGTACTTGGAAACCGCAACTGAACTTTGCTTGGGACATCATCCTGAACGAGGTGCTCCCTGGTCCAAATTCCGTCAAGCCTGCGAAGGGGTCGTTCCAAGATTTCTTCAGAGTCGTTGTCGATGGTATGCAAAGCTCTTTTCTCTGGTTGTATAGACTGAACGGTTCAAACAAGAATCCTTGTTTTCCTCAACATCATCTCCGCAACGCAAGTATTGGGGTTTCCAGGTTTTCCAGAAAGCACTGAATCGAGTGAACGAGGCCAGCATGCCCACCCTCTTCACGAAGAACTTCATGCGATCATGGATCAACCACCTATCGAAGAAGGATCGGTATTTACATAAGGTTGCTCTTCAGACAGTGAGCTTTCCCTGCTCCCTTACTCACGAGCCATCATGATGTTCTTACCCGAAAGCAATAGGCCACGGAAGTGGAAGAATTCGTGAAGGACAAACCTCAGCTCGGGTTTGCCCTCATCTTGCAGCTTACAGGCCCCAGTGGTAGCCAACAGTTCGATAGGATAACGAAGACGAAGACGGTGGAATCGATTTTGGGGTCTCTTGATGCAAACGGAATCCAATGCTACATCGACTACCTTCTCTCACAGGTAGATGATGTAAACAGTGATGCGTATGCCACTCTGCTCCATTCCTTCAAAGCTAAGGCTAACTCTAGCTACCAGGGAGCATGTCAGCGCCATAAACGCTCGCCGAACTTGGATTATAGACCAACTGGGGGCTCTGATTCGTAATCACAAAATTCCTAAGGAGGACAGATGGATTAAATCCATCCTCGACTGGCTTACCGTCCATGGTCTCTTTGTCATCAAGAAAAAGTCATCAAAAAGCACTATTATTCCGGTAAGTTTCCTAATAGATAAAATATTTATTCTGTGTTACTGATCAGAATTCCAGCTACGATCCATTCCCAGTCCCGTTTTTTCAGACGAGCATCGCCGAAATTGTCGGAATTGGCTGCTTTTGTGTTTGGGGGAGCTTAGTGCCCAGACCACAGTTCTCAAGCAAGGTAAGTTGCTGTCTTGGCTTTCTTTCTCTTTTCGTGCTTGCTTAAATCCACCCAAGATGACAAAACAGCGAAGGCTACGGCGGTTGCCACAGATGGCGAGTTTTGGATCGCGAAGGTCGTGTCAACAATCCAACAACTTGAGGACGATCAGAAGCATGTTTCGACTCTGTTTGAAGTTGACGAAGAAATTGCTGCGCTGCGGACTAAAGCCAGCGGGATTACTGACAAGCTGGGGAAGGTAAATACTTTTTCCTTGTAGGAGAAAATCTGGGGTTGACATGCTATCAAGATCTCGGGAGATCTGCAGGAATCCGCAAAAGGGGCTCAGCTGCTGTTGCTTGGAACTCTTCTACAACAATACTGCGAAGGGGACGACGAGGACAATGTGGACTCGGCAGCTTTACAGGTGAGTTGGTTCTTGCTCGTGCTCTCTTGTCTCGACCTTTTGAGCATTTTTTCCAGGCCTGCATCGACGGCTCGTCACGATTGCTTCTCACAGATGACAAAAAGAAGGAAGATAAGAAGACCGACCCGGGAGAAGACGAGGAGCTGGAACCTGTCGATCTTCTTGTCGACGCTATCATTGGCTTTTTGGAGAAATCTACGTCATACATGCGCACTGTGGGCAACCAGGTCTTCTCTCTGCTGTCCGGATCGGTCAAGGAGTCAACTGTGGACTTGATTGTGACAGTGAGTACCTTCAGTACGAGGAATTCGCGTGGATGTTCATATCACATCAGCAACTGGAAGTGCGAGATCCTTCACAACCTGAAGATGAAGACGAAGACATGGAAGACCTAGATGAGGACGGGGGAGACAACGGCGAAGACGATGGCTCGGACTCAGACGAGGAAAGCGAAGCAGGTGATGGAGATGACTCCGGCAACGACAGCAATGAAGACGAGGCCGATCTCGAACTTAGGAGTCGCATCGAGGAAGCCTTGCGTGTGAATGGGATTAAGCCTGCAACAGGCGAGACGGACAGCGAGGAGGAATTGATGGACGATGACCAGATGATGGCTATTGACGAGCAGCTGGCCCAGGTCTTCCGTTCTCGTGCCAGCGAGAAGAAGACGGGCAAAAGTGAGTAAAGCATCCGGATTTTCTGACGCCTTTCTGAAGAGAAAATCAGACATCGACGCCCAGAGAGAGGCAACACACTTCAAAAATCGTATCCTAGATCTGGTTGACGCTTACCTCCACAAGCAGCCTTCAAACCCCCTTTCCCTCCGATTTATCTCGCCCCTCATCGAACTTGTCACTGGTTCTAGTCAAGACGAACGTCAGCTTGCTGACAAGGCCAAAGGCATCCTCCGGACACGAGTAGCAAAGGCAAAGGAAGTGCCCACTTCCGCGGATCGCGAGCAAGCTGTCCAAATCATCACTAACATACACACGCGGGCTCGCAAGACGCATTCACCAGATCTTCTTTCTATCCTTAGCCTAGGTAGTATCTACCTTTCCAAGGTTTTGGTGCACTTGAAGGGCGACGACCTTGTGGTTGACGTGTATAGGCAATCTCTTACAGACTTCGCCACGCGCAAGAATTCTGCTCTCAGTCCTCATTTCTTCCAAGATTTCATCCGTCGATTCCCGGCTCAGGCATGGTGTCTACGGTCCGATCTCCTTGACTTGGCCAGGAAATCTATCAATGCCTACCGCCGAACGCAAGTCCTGCAATTTTTCGAGCTGCTCATCAGCTCGTTACCGTCTATGGTGAATCTTTGCTCCCATCTACTTGTTCCCGGTCCAATAGTCATACTTTACTTACAGCCCACCACGAACGACGAAGCAGTCGCGTTCATGCTGCAGCTAAGGCAACTGTTGCTTGAGCTCGCTGAAGATTCGTGTGGCGAGAAGGACAACCTTTCAACCCCGCAAATGAAGGAACTTCTGAAGCTCGCTCTTTTGGCTGTCAGGCAAACAAAACGCATTTCTCCGGCAACACAGACCATCTGGGAACCCAACGCCTGGAAGTTGTTACAGTCGAAGCTTCGCAAATCCTCCCGGTTCAAAGCATCAACTAGTCTCCACAACATGTGCGAACAGATCGCCCTCCTGCCAGAAGGGTCAGAAAAAGACGCGTCAAAAAAGCAGTCCCAGGCCCCAACAGCAAAACGTAAAGCGGATGAAATTAACGGAGATGATCATAAAAGAACGGTAGATGGGGTTAAGAACACTAAGCGCAAGAAGGTCAAGGCGACCACAGTTGAGGAAAGCTAGGCTCCATACTCGTCGTGGATGTCTGGAGCAACTCCCTTGTTCTGACAAGATCTTGTAATGCTGCTTCCATCATTATTCCTTTACTTTTCAGACAGTCCTGAATTGCATGTGGTGCCCTCCGTACTCTACATCAATTAGAAGTGTGAGTCCTTCGTGATCGCTGGTTGGTTCAGACAAATCTACGCGCCTGTTACACCTGATCCGCTCTTGAACTTCCTCTTGCATTTGCGCCGATCGTTCAGTCGCGACAGAAAGGATATCTTCAGGGACTTTAGCCAGACGGCCACATTCAATGCCGAACGACTCTATAGGAAACTAATGAGCATCTAATCGCGTTCCAAGGTACAAAATCATGACAAACCTGTCGCTAAACCAGGACTCAGACGGTATAAGAACGTGATGTTGCGAGTGCCGTCGATGCGTGTTTCGGAATCGTAGCCCATGTGAATGTTTTCGACGTCGGCCGGAAACCTCTTAGCCAGCTTCGTCGCCACAAGAGGGTAGTGCGTTATAAAAAGGGTTTTGCACTTAGTTTTATCCACCAAATATTGCAGAGTTGCATCGGCAATGGCCATCTACCAGGAATCTTAATGAGGAAGCTTGTCGGAGCTGCAGAAATACTTAGCTTACCCCATCGAAGGTTGACGTTCCACGACCAAGTTCGTCCAAAATTACAAGGCTTCGATTAGTTGCCATCTGAAGGATTTCGCTGGTTTCTGACATTTCCACCATAAAAGTGGAACGGCCTCTTGCCAGGTCATCAGAGGCTAAACAAGTTCTTGAAAATACTTCAAATGTTATTAAGGAACAATTCACAGACCTCCCATTCTCGTCAATATCGAATCCAACAGACCCATTTTGACAGAAGCAGCTGGAACGTAGCTTCCGATTTGTGCCATGAGGGCAATTAGCGCAATCATTCTGACGCATGAACTCTTCCTAAAGCTAGAGATTAGATTGGGGGTGGTTGCAACATTGTTGAAGCGACAAACCCGCCCATATTCGGTCCAGTAACGATCTTACTGCGAGCAGCACCGTCTCCCATCTTAATGGAATTAGGGACATGCGGTGTATCACTGTAAATTTCAATCATCGGATGCCGGCCATCAACGATCTCGAGGCTGTTGTCGTCGGTAAATTCTGGGCGAACGTAATTTAACTGAAGTGCGACTTGGGCGAGACTAATCAAGCAGTCAGCGACCGCGATCTTGTTGACAGCATCTCGCAGCATTGCATAGTAGTCCTGAGAAATTTCTTTCAAGAAAGAATGGTACGCTTGATTTGAAGCAGCCTGCAAACTAGGTCAGGGTTTGCGTACGTTGCGTGAATTTTGTTTCCGTACATCCAGCGTTTCTCGTCTTTGATTCCGTTCTTGCACCTTGTTATGTACCGAGGGAGGCTGATATCGGGCAAGTTTCTTCGTCCTAGTGGGAATTTATGTTACCCATGACATCAGGTGCCTAATGATAGTGACTCACTTGGAATGCAAAATCCAATTATCGGGAATTGGGCGGTTCTCATTTCGTACGACCTCCACTAGATACTAATAACTGGGTCAGAAATAAAGCTGGCAGTCAAAGGATGAACACACTTCATCAGTAGCAAAGGTGATCCAGTTGAGGGACGGCATTCTCAACGTTTTCCGTACTAATAAAGAGATACCCGGTATGGTCAAGCAAAGGACACCGAGTATATTTTCACAACACCTACTAGCTTTCAATTCGTCCGCCAATTCATGATCAATGCATTGCAAGGACTGTTGCAAACAGATCAGCGTCTAAACTGACTGAGAAAAGGAACGGAGGTACGCACCATGTCCGCGTCGACTATATCTGGATATCTCTCGCGATCATTCCACATCTCATCTCTCTTGCCATCAGCCGCCTTCTTGAGGTTCACTATTTCAAGAAGCTTTCTAACAGGCTCCTTCAATTTAGGCAAAGAGCTGATGATTTCGTTGAGGATGCCTGACTTAAGGCCAACGCTTGCGGGTGAGTCAAAGTCATCATAGGCATCTGCGATTTTCTTGAACGCTAGAAGAAGAACAGATAGCTCCTTCGGAGTGCACTGTTGGAATTGGTGTCTCAATACATTGAAAATTTCCTCAAAGAGAAGAAACAATCACTTGACCGTATTGAATCCGACACAAACCCTTCGCCAAGTCCGGCAGGCGTTTCAAGAGGCCTCGTAGTGTTAGCAACGTCTCCGAAGTACTTTCAAGAATTTCCTCCACTGCGTCGACACGCGCTTGCAATATTCTGACGGAAAATCGTCAACTAACATTCTGCATTGAATTTGTTGGAAAACGTACACTTTGTCGACCAACGGCCGGCCCACCCAGCTACGGAGAAGCCTCGCTCCAAACTTGGTTTTTGTTCGGTCTAATACCCACATCAAAGAGCCTCGCGTAGTGCCATCGGTTTCATTTCGGTATATTTCCAGGTTTATTAGAGTATTGGCGGCTAGGAGCATATGGGCCCGTGTGGAGAATTTGGTGAAGAATTTGGTTTCCAAAAAGGCATTGGCGATACCAAAAGCGGACAGGTGTTCGATTGCATGTGCTAGGGCAACAACTACTCTCTTCGGGAAGTCGACGACGGATGCCATTAGTTTCCCTATGTTTGTGGATTAGCGGATCGAACAATAATACAAATCAAAGCATATACCAGACTTAAAGCTTTCTGAAGCAGTCGCAGATTTACGTTCATCTGTATAAAATTGCGAAACTTTCTCGAAGGCATCGGTATAGTCCATAACTTCGTCGAATTCATCTGTCCGAATTCGACTCCCTGTCGTAGAGATCCTGGGATTCTTGGTCAACAGGTTCTAGTCCTCCAGTGAATTTCCTTACCCCGTAAAGTGTGACAACATTTTATTTGTAGCATCGGTCAAATGCTTCCTGGGAACTAGCAGTTCAGATGGTCGGTTGTGCACCAAACGTGTCTGTTGAATTTAGTACGGCGAATTCCATGGGCTAGATGGATGTCCCGCACCTCAAGTTCTAAGCGCATGACACTGTCTGATGGCCGTAAGGGGATTATCGGAACCCGAGTAGCTGTTAGATAGAATGATTTTACCTTCAAAGTCGTCCCAAACGATATCCCCAGTGCTGGGACAAATGATAATCATTCCAAAGGAAACATCGGATGATTTGCCGTTCTTCTTTTCTTCTACCAAACACATAAATGGAGCGCTTGTATATTTCTCCATATCATCGACTGAATCCATCTCATCGACATAGCTATTATGATAGGGTTTTTAGCAACCCAGAATGAAGGTGAAAGTAAATACACACACGTCGCGGCAGTGTAAAGGCGCGTAACTTCGCGGGTGAATGGCGCGTTTCGATTGTCACCGACCTTCTTCAAGGCAGCAGTCTCAGTTTGACTGACTATTCCAACTCGATATCCGCACGACAACAATCTGGAATTCTCAGTATCGTGAACTTTTCAAAATGGACCAGACATACTTCTTCAGATGCACGTCGCGACGATGGTCGGGGATTCCTGCCACCAGGAAATTTCGATCCACATATGCGACCATGCCCAATTCTTTTCGGGCGACCTGTGACCGCTTCAGTTCAACAAAGGATTAAAGTGGTATAAATTGACTCGCCTCTGCGTCCTTTCCGAAGAACTTGTATTTGTAGCCAACCTCGATCATTAATACCGTCCCAGGATTGTCTTCCTTCAATTTTAAAACCTGAGAGAAAGGGTCAGTAAGCAAGTTAGATGGCATAAGAGTTCAAGCAATCCCCGACCTGCTTTTCCAATGGCGTATATGGTTTGCCACTAGGGCCCATTTCCTCTCGAGCAGCCTTTCTGGTCCGTTTACTTTGTGGTCCGTTTTTGATAGTCGCTTTGGCCTTTCCTTTGTCCTTGTTCGCGAACAATTCGCTGAGCTTCTTAAATCTAGAGTCGCTATCACCGTCAGAGTCCTGTCCACTGCCTTCAGGCTCGTCGGCACCCATCCTATCTACCTCGTCGAACTCGTTGCCTTTGGAGAATCGTGGAAAGAACCGGCTATTATCTTGAAGCAGCTTCCGTTCAAACGCTTCGTGACGCTCCTGTTCAGGCCCAGTCCGTTGTTTTGAAGGTCGAGTGTCATCCTTCACCCTCTCAAGAGAGAAACGCCAGTCCTGTGCCACAGTTGTACCGCTCTTCGAAGATGCGGGTTTTGGGATTATTTTGACAGGTGAACTAGAAGCGCTTTCAGAAAGACGAGGCCGCTTCTTTGGTACGGGTTCGTCGTCGTCAAGTGTGAGGTCAATAGGTGAGTTGAAACGTTTCTGGGATTTACTTGGAGATGAGGCTGGGGCTTGGAAGTAAGAGGATATGGAAGACTGGGAACGGGTCATTGTCGAATATTTAGATTAGTCTATCCGTCCTTGTGTGCTTTTGTAGAGTGAGGCTGAGGTTTAGTCAAGGGTGTAGGGCTCCGACTCGGTCGAAGTAGCAACATCTCTGGGCAATTACGTCACGCGTTCGCGACAAGCCCAGCAACGGCAACACCCGAACTTCGCGGCACAAAGTTCTGCGTCACCAATACCGTCGAGCCTCCCTTGCGGTCACCCATGCTTTCAAGACACCTAGGACGCGGCGTGTCGTCACGACTTGTCTTTCGTGTAACTCTACGACCGAGTTTCATCGCACGGCTCACCTTTACGCGGTGGCAATCAACAGACGCTAAACACGACGGACCTCCAGTGACAGACACAAATCGTACGCACCAGCTACTTGAGAATAACAGAAAGCTTCTTATACGAGCTATTTAGGTGCCGAGGCTACCCAAAAGCGGTTCTGGAACGATGTTGGAATCGAGCAACGTGAAGATTCGTTCGTGGTGACACTGGACAAACGAGCTCTGAAAACCCCTGAAGGGCAAACTCTTCTCATTCCTAAAACTAACTCTCTAGCGGCATCACTAATTGCTGCAGAATGGGACCACCAAGAAACACTGTTGAAACCCCACGCTCTTCCTATGGTAAAAGATACCCATTATGCATTGTTAACGATCCTTATTTATCCGACAGACTTCCATCGTTTCAAGGGCCCTTGACGCAATGAACGAAAAAAAGACGCGGAATGAAGTCATCGAAGCTCTACTGAAATATCTCGACACGGATACAGTGTGGTAGGTCATGTTGCACGTAGCAGGGGTCTTCCTGTTCATTTTATGGCTTTAGTTTCTTCCACAACAATCCTGAACCTCTAGAACGGCTGCAAGCTAGACACTGGACACCGTTACTGGAATGGGCACGAGAAGCATTTGACGTTGAAATCAACGTCTCAAATTCCGTGCTTTCCACGAGCCAGCCGGCAGAGACGCGGGAGAAAATTAGAAAGGTCATGGAATCTTTCAACGCTTGGGAAATGGCAGGTGAGTTAAATACTCCGAACATCCCATGCCGATGAGATGAGTGACACCTATGCAGCCATGGAACGCGCAACATATGCTTCGAAATCGGTTGTTATCGCCCTGGCACTGGTGAAAAAGCACCTCTCCGTTGAAGAAGCTGCCCTTGCGTCAACGGTTGAAGTAGACAGTCAGATAGAACGATGGGGTGAAGTTGAGGATAGTGAGTTGTCTTCGTCATTGTTGCACTTCCGTTGCTGACATCTTCACAGCTCACGACGTAGACTACCAGGATATACGGAGGCAGCTCGGAAGTGCTGCCTGCCTTCTATCCACAGTATAATTTTATAAATTACGAGCGCACAGGACTAATCCATTTGTTCCCTTCAATTTATCTAGCCTTGAGGCCGCCTTCATTGAACATGTTCGACGTATCTGGATTCCGATAGTGACTTGCACTCTCTTGGAAAGTGTATAAATGTACTTATGCTTATCAAGAAGCCCAGTAGCGCATGCAGTGCATCATCTGATATTTATATCTGCGGTACCGTCGCGGAGAACCCCTTCTGAAGCACTGGTCCCATCGACTCCGAATTCAAGACCGTTGGGACGTTTTGGACTCTCAGCACGCACTCTTTCTACCGACGCGCCACACTCCCGTTCGTTGGGCTCGGTGGGTGATTGCTAGGCTTGCGAAGAGCGGCTGAAAGGCACAAGAACTGCGCTGATTATCAGTATCTGACTAAATCCTCCTCTTCCTTCCTGAAATACTGGAGTGCCTTGACATATCTGGGCTGGGGATGAGTAAGTCGAAGCCGCACAAGGATAGATGTCGACGATTCCAGGTACGTCGTGCTCGATTCGTCTACCACAGGCTGCAAGGGACTGTCTGGCAGGTCGTACTTCCGATACTTGCCATGTCCTGAGGGTGATGAGAGTTAGCCGAAAAGCAGGGTACCAATGAACTATTTTTGTTGAAGCATACTGATGGTTTTGTCCGAGCGCCCTCAAGACAATTTCGAGCAGTTTCAGACGCGTGGAAGTGACATCTTGCTTCATCGGGCTCGCATCGCCCGACGTCGCGTTCTCAAAATTGAAAGCGACGCACACGTGTTTTCCTCCATCTGGCGTCCGAGGTTATTCCGTAGTCCGGGGAGGGATCGAATCAGATCGCAACGATCCGGCGCGGGGAAATAGCATGTGACAGTGCTGCAGCAAGATGTTTCCGCCCTCGTCGCTCTTTCAGCACCAAAATCCAACAAATTGAAATCGTGGCGCAAAAGTCTTGTGCTCATGAAACCATGGATCCACTCGCGAATCGCCGCCTGGATATTCCGTCTTCCATAGGGGCAATGCTCCCGAGATCCGTATATAAATCCTTCTCGCAAACGCGACAGAAAACTCGAGAACGTTCCTCTCGTCGTCCCCGACCATTACCTGCGACCGCTACTTCGATTGTTGGACCTTTCGATAGCACTTGAAGGCATGCCTCAATCACCCCTTCTCGCTTCATTCGACCCATTTGCAACACACCCTTTCACGAACGGCTCCGGCGTTCCACCTCGCCCTCCTTTACCGTCGTCGTATCCAGTGCCTATCCCATCGAGGCAGGCGCAGCCTTACTATGGCGGCACCATCACACAGTACCCGCCTCTCTCATCTTCTGCGTCTTCGACAAGCTCATCGCAGAGCTCAACACCACTCCGTGCTCCAAGGCCTCAGCGCGCCAATTCTCCAATGACGCCCGCCCGTCCGATCTTCGTGCCATTCCGTAAAGATGCGTCCTCGCCAGACCTCGTGCTGAAGAAGTCGCCCAAGCAATTCACGAAATAAATCTATCAAGCATACCCAATGCTGAAGATACCCCACTTGTATGTCGCGTGACCTTCCTGATTGCGCCACAGACGCTCATCACCAACTTCTTATCGTGCCTTCTTCCCCTGGTTCTTCCAGTATGACAGAGCTATGATCATGACAACGCCCCACATACTTACGCACTCCTTGGGGCAATCTCCCTTGACATCACTGCGCCCGTGGCCCGAAATGTCCTTAACAGACATGCGCTTCTGATCCCCCGTGTTTTGCCTGCAATTCATCACCCTTTCTATACTTGCGATCCGACGTTTAACGGAGCATGACGACTCCCCGAACGCTTCACTGTGCTGTAGGACTTTGAGGGACGTTTCCAATAATGTAACATATGTACAGTCAAACCCCTCTTAACCCATACCTCTTGTAAGCCATACACCCCCATAACCCATAGGTTTTGGCTGCTACCAAACCGAAATTTACACCAAAATTGACCTCTCATAACCCATAACCTTCCATAACCCATACCCTGGGCCGTCCACCGAGGGGTATGGGTTAAGAGGGGTTCGACTGTATACTCATACACCTCTGAGTACTGTATGTAGCCGACTGCCTCGTAAATGCATTTCTCTCCAGCAAACGTCCCTCTAAGTCAAATAATGAGAGTCCCTATTATAAGCCTAAAGCCTAAATAAAGGACCCTTGGAGTGGATTGAAGAGAATCACGATCTAGGGTCCTTCCAGCGTACGCACGCCTTCGGCGCCGTCATTGAAGGGTGCATTCACATAATGCAATCTAGATAGAAGTCGCGTCTTGAGGCGGAACCAGATGGCCATTGATTCTTCCGATTCTGAGCTCATGGGTCCTTTTCGAGGCATTGCGCCTTGAATTCGGAAGGATCGGTTGTAGGTTAACCCTCAGCGAGAGAAACTCCAACTTCTTGAAGAGTCATAAGAGAGCACTGAGCAGCAGGTGGAGGGGATTGAAGGAAAAACAATGATGCCGGTGTCGACACTGTCTGGGCTCTCCCGTTTGTCGCTGGCCATTGCCCTGGAGCTTGCATAGACAACTGAGTGGATATGCCCGAAGTTATGGTTTTTAAACAGCGCGCATGTACTGGTTCCACATTAAGGGAGACCGAGGCCTTTCGTGGGTACTCCCGCCCCGCAATCTAATCTAATCACCCCAGGTTCCCCGCATCCACCAAGATCCACCACTGTCATCAGACTCGCCTACATCCTCTGCATTCGCCGGTCATGCGACCTGACTGAAACCACTCTCGCGCTCAACAAATCCCCCGCCCCTCAGTTCTGGACCTATGCTGACTCTGTTCAACACCATTTCCCGGTCGCCCCCGCATCATGAACCTCCCCCCACCGCTGCCGCCTGAAACCGTTTACACCAAGTTCTGGTGTGAAGAGAACGTTTATTTATTGTGCAAATCGATGCTCCGGGACAAGGAAATCGCAGGGATGTGGGATGTGTATGTTGTTTTCATCTCGAACGCAAATCAGTCGGTGAGAATGGGAAGGATTTGCTCATTTCGTCTAAAATCTGACTGAAGGAACGTCAATCTGTAGGTCGCGTTGTGGTCACAGAAGGCCGCTCGTGCGAGAGGAAATGCAGTTATCTGGGACTATCATGTCATTCTTCTACTTCGTCCTCGACAACAGGACGATGGAAGCCTCGCCTCACGGCCAGGTAAACTACGGAGTTGGGTGTATGATTTTGACACCACTCTGCCAATTCCGTGTCCATGGGAAGGTTTGTAAAATAGTTGCCTTGCTAACCATGCATCATGCTCACTTTTGTGGCCCAGACTACTTGGATTCGACCTTCTTTCGAGGTATCACACCCGAATACGAGAGGTAGAAAATCCTACCGCTTCCGCGCACACGGCTTAATTTCCTTAATCCTAGCCAATTTCGTGTAGTACCTGGGCCACCGTTTCTCGAGAATTTCGCGAGTGATAGGTCTCACATGGTGAATGTTTTTTGACAACGGAGCCCGTTGAGTGCTCGCTAATTGTGTCCTTTCAGGTTGTGCACCCAGAAGGTAATATCCAAGCCAAAGATTCCGAAACAGCTGAAGGGGTAATGGAGGAGCCCATATACTACCATCCTCCGCCAGATTATCCCGCCATTTGTGGGGCTGGGGCACTGAAGAGCGGAATGAAGAACAATCTGATGTCGCATTTCGTGTCAATGAGCGTAAAGTCGGACGAAGCTGCGTGTAACACAAGTTGGGGAAAAGTGTTGGACAGGAATGGGGTGAACACATTTTTTGAAAATGAATAGCTCCCGTATCATTGGAAATCTACGCATTAAACGGGATGACGAGCACGAAAGAAACTGAAAGACGAAATACTTATTGTGACACGAAACATGTGACACACCTTTGAGCGCGTTATTCGTCACGCCTTGCGTTGCTTGGTCCTTGTCTGTTTTTTGAGTTGACCGCCACAACTCATCCAGCTCTCGTTGTACCATACTCCCTCTCACATCTCAAAAGCAAAATGAGCTCTGTTCCATCGACTTCGGGGTCTGTCAACGGCCGTGCGCCTCTTTTCAACGGCACCTCCCATGGCGAAGTCTCGACCGAATCATCCTTTGACGCCAACGGAAGTTCCCCCTCCTCCTCGAGTTATCCCATGAATGGCTTCTCCCAGTGAGTTTTACCGAGTTTCAATTGTCGTATGATGATTTTGCGCCCGTTCGGTCGCGTATTCACGCGATGGAGCCCTCTGACGTTGGACTAACGTTTTCCCCTTCTCAGGCCACCCTACCAGAGTTCTCATAACGAGGAAATCGTGAGCCATCTGTACCATGCAGGTTTTCAGACAGGTGTAAGTGTCCAGACTCTTCCACATGTTCGCTTATCCTGATCTTCTTTGTCTAGAATTACGCAGACACCATACTGGTAAGTCTTCCCCCTTACCAGTGGCGACCTCACGGTCTGATTCATGCGTGTGTGTCCCAGCATGTGCACCAAAATGTATACCGTCTCCATGCCATCATCCTATCTCGCTCGCCATATCTTGCGCATCTAATGTCTACGTCTCCACAAACGAGCGGACAACGCCTTATATACGTCCATCTAGACCACGAACCAGAAGTTACCCAGGAGGTTCGTCTCGGCTGTGAAATTTTTGGGGAAGAAACACTTACATCGCTTCTGTCCAACAGGGTTTTGCCATAGGTAAAACGTTACCTACTCTCGGTACCCGCTTTCTCATACTGATACCAATACCTCCCGATAGCCCTGGGATACCTATACTCGGCCATCTCCCTTAACCTCATCCGATCCGAAAATGCACGGGCCGTTCTGGCTGCGGGATGTCTCTTGGGAGGCATGGAGGAGCTGTGCCAGTACTCCTACAATGTGTGCAGGCAGTCCATGTCCGTGGAGACGATTGGAAGCTGGCTGGACTTCGTCGACGCCATCCCCTCGTCCTCGGACGGCACCGCGACTCCTGAGATGCCAACAACGTCTGTCTTCGGGCAGTATGCTCAAAGATTGCGAGATGACGTTTTCCACTTCCTCGTGGTTACTCTTCCCGAGGTTCTCGAGATTCAACGGCCACACCAGGATCCTTCTTCAGGCCCAAGCGGTCGTGAAGTCCTTTTACAAATCTATTCCCGCGTTCCCTTTGAAATGTTCAAGAGTGCGGTGGAATCTCCGACCTTCTTGATCGGTGAGTGCCAAATTCGTCCAGGTCTTCCTGCAGTGACTGACCCTTCTACAGGGTCCGACCAGGCTAGATTCAAGTTTGCTAAAGATGCCATCGAGCTACGCAAGCGAGGTATTGCGCGAGGTCTTGGGGCAGAAGAGACGGTGGTATTAGCGTTCGGACAGGGCAATTTTGGGACGAGTGCCGTGCATGTTACACGGAAGCTGCGGAAGCGGCCGTTGTGGAAGGTGAACTCGTAGGTTTCTGTGTAGCGGTAGGAATAGATGTTCTGATGGGCTACGGGTCCCGACGCAGTGCGGATGAGACGCCCGAGGAGCAGCATAAACGTGGCGAGAACGTGGTTGTCGTGGGACGGACGGCTCGGGGCAGGGGACTGCCATATTTGGGTAAGACCCGGCGATTGCCACTCGGTTTAGGCTTAGAGTGGCAGTGGCAAGTTTGACATGTCTTCCGAATAACGACTCTGAGGGGTCAGGAGAGTATAAAAGTAAGCCAGAATTAAGCTGGAGCAACCTCTTACACCCCAGCACGGCTTCTCTCAACGCCACTATCGAACTACCCAAGAAAAGTTCCCATGGACCGGAGACGCGCTAATCACGGGAGCCAGGGCTCGATAAAGTCCATGTTATAAGAACACGAGCATGGCTTCGTGTCTAGACGCAGTTTGTATCGGGCCTTCTAATGGCGTCCACTACCTACGATCTCTTTTTTACTGGGAGAGACGACCCCCGGAGCTGTGTCATTATCGGTGAAGACACAAAACCCGTCTACTTTTGCTTTGAAACCTCAGAACGAAATCTAATGCCCAACGTACGAACCATGGTGTGTTTCTATTTCTTCTTGGCGCTTGTTCACAAACTTATGGGTATCTGCAATTGCACATCGATCTCGTCTCAATTAGATATACAGAAATAACAAGGCAGTCTGCGCAAAGCTCGAGTGGAGTCCAGGGAACCACCTTGGACTCGCAACCATTGGCAATCGTCAGATACCCATGTCGCATTTAGTGATGCCTGGCACGTCCAGCAGGTGAATTATTTTAGCCACTATGATACCATGAAGCTAACCTCGCCCGACGTTTCCCCTAGTGCGCGCGCATTCATGTCCTCCGACGGGAAGAGGTATGAATGGAGACGCCATCGAGATAATCCCACTTCATATGACGTTCGCGCTCTCTGTCACTCGTTATGATTCCATGTCTTAGCCCTATCCACAGCTTTACGCGGCTCAAAATATGCGAATCGCAGTTTTCCGACGCTCCCCTCAGGCCACGGTGATCGGGCCGTCGCATGCGATTCTTCAATATTCTTTCATTAACGACGCGCTCCTCAGTGAAGCCCTCATTGCACTGTGTATAAATCGATGGATAGACCTTCACGGGGTGTAAGACTGTCCTTTCTCTCGCTTTCGTTGTTTTCGGGGTTTTCATTGCTGTGCTTGTTGGACATACCATATTTATTATCTACTGCACTGGGGAGGGAAACAGGTCATTCAAAACATACATCCGAGCAACTAGAATTAGCATGCAAAATGTCCGAAAAAAATACTGAAAATTTACAAAATATTCCATCATGAGCTGTTCATTTGGCCAAGCATACGTTCGAGACGTTCCTCGACAGTCCAGTTGATGTCATTTGTCGAAAGTGAAGAAGACGCGGAATGGCCTGGACCACGGCTAGGAAGATTGGGAAGGAAATTGAAGGAACCGGCATCGGCTCCTTGTGACAGATTTTCGATGAGACGTCCAATCTGGGCAGACGAACTGTAGAATACCTATTTCACAATCACTATTATGATGTTTCAACTGCAGAAACAGAACACACCTTCGTCTCAGGACGGATCTTCCCTGGTTGAGTCTTTTTCCGGGAGATAAAAGAAGAGACGCTGCCTCTGGACCCAGAACGATTGTGATCCTTTACGAAAGGTTGTAGGGTGTCGGAAATGGGCTCTCGTGAAGAGTACTCAGATGCGAAGCTTGCACGACCGGAATATATTGAATCCTCATCAGCGTCTCTTAGGCTATTGATGATACTCCTTCGGTATATATGAGCATAAAGGGGACAGGAGGGTCAGAGAGAACCCACCAAACTGTCTCGCCGTTTGCCAGCTCGATGACTTCCAGCGCTGGCCCGGGGTCAGCCGCGTTCTCGCCCTTGGGATCTGACGGCGCATGGTCGGTTGCCATCATACTCGCCCCTCTGCTCTCCCCAGCATACATATCATATCTAGCAGCTTCTTAGAACTTTGACTTCCAGGGTGCACCATAGAAATTACTCACAGGGAATCGTACGTTGAATTAGACTTCTCGATGGGACCACCTATTGACGTGGGCGGCACGTTCAACATTTTCTCTGCCTGGCCGAGGAAATTCGGTAATTGAGGCATAGGTGGCATGCCATCAGCGGAGAAGCGTTTGACGGTCGGCGCCTTCGGTGGTGGCGGGGTAGGAGCTCGATCGTGGACGGAACGACTGGACACAGACGTCGCACTGGCTCGGCGTCGACGCGTAGAGTTTTTGCGTTGGATAAGAGCCGCAAAGTCTGCTGCGTCGTTAGCGTAAATGATTGTCCTGCGAACAACTGCTTTGGCTGGAGTCTCGTTCTGGCCTTCCTTGGGTCGACGTAAGTGCTCAGGGCGACGAGCAGACGGCTTTCTGGACAACACTTCCTCCGACGTACCGGCTTGCGTAACCGACCTGTCCTGCTGTTGGTCGGACAGGCCGCCGTAATTCGTTGGGGTCGCCGTTTGATCTGAGCCCGTGCTTCCGACGTAACTGACTTGGGCAGCACCCTCTTTAGAAAAACTTGGTCTTGAAGAAGCAGCAGCCACGGAGTTGTTTCTTGTGAGAAGCGTACGGGATGAAGTGGACGCCGAACGAGCCAAGAGATCATTTAGGGCACCTTGGTCAAGTCCTAGATTGTTCGCAGCAGCGAATAATTGCTCGAGGGCAGCGGCGGATTTAGAAGCCTCCAGAGAATTAGGAGAGTCAGGGACTTGCGCTTGCTGTTGTGGCGCAGGAGCAGGGACCGGAGGAGGGTTCGCTGGCGGGAATCGTGAATACATGGGCCGAGGTTGACTAGAAGGTCGGGGTGACGCATTATGACTCCTGTCAGCAGGAGAAGTCAAGGCTTTGTGTGTGGTGGATTCTGTCAGTCGCGGTGTCAAAGGAGTACTGAGCGTTATCGGGGTTGTGACTGTTGGTGCAGGGCGTTCACCGACGGGAGGCATCTCCGACATCCGTTGTTTGTTCCTGAAGCGTGCCATGAATCCTTTGAGACCAGGACCTGCAGAGGCAGGCGGACTAGGGACAGGAACCTTGAACCTGCCTGACTCTGTTGCGCTGGAGGGACTTGGGACGTTCAACCTCGCGGGATCATAGTGGGCTGTCTGTGTTGCAGGAGGGGTCTTCACACTCTCCAAACTCGCGTTTTCCTCGGCGGTGGTCTTGGCGCGTAGAGAACCGCGCAACTTCTTGAAGCGAGAACCTAGCTTGGAAGGTGCAGAATTTGTGCTGGAAGATAATGACGGAGAACGGATTGGGAGAGTGTCAACGTTAGTCGTGGTTGAGACGAGCGTTGGTGTGGATATCTGGCTTGTGTCGATCTTCTTCCGAACGGAAGGGGATTGCTTGAGACTGTCACCCAGATTGACCCTCGAAGGATCTTTCTTCAGGGCAATCATGGCTGCCTCCGCCTTTTGCTGGACTTCACGAGCAAGGGCTGCCTCTTCTTGCGGTGTTTGCGGTATTCTGTTCGTCGAAGGATTACGGTGGAGATAAGGAACAGTGAAGGGCTGTGGAGCAGCAGGCTCGGCAACGGGAATTGGCGGTGGAAGTGTAGAAGGGAATTGAGTCGCTGGAGGAGTAGGCGTGGCTGGATTTGAAACGATGGGAGCAGGTTCGGGGTCGGGTATAGGTATGATGGGGTCTTCCTTGGAAGATTCATCTTTCCCGTCGTCTTCAGTGCCAAACAATACATGAGCCAAATCGCGATTGCGGCGTGTGGTGGGGGATATTTCGTCTGAGGAAGGCGGAGAAATAGAAGATGTTGAGGTGTTGAGAGCAGCTGGGTGGTCCTTGATACTTTCAACCACCGAGTTCAATAGAGCGCTGGCCTTCGAGAAGTGGTCATCGCTCGTGAACGTAGATGGTGACGAAGGGGGTTGCATTTGGGGTGGAGGGCTCGTTATCTGGAAACAGCTCAGCAGGGTATGGAGATGAAATACTAAACGACTTACTCTAGAGTAGTTGGACTGTGAGGTTGAAGGCCGTCGGCGCCGCATGACAGAAGGGGCGCGATCCCGAGGATCAGTATTAGCAATCTTCGTGAACACAGCGGTGACCAACTTCTCCTGGATCGCAGCTATATCAGATTTCTTGAGCCCGCCGTACCGCATAATGACCTCCTCTGCATCGCAGTCATCGTCCTCTGGCGAACTACCACTAGGCGTCGCAGAACTAGACTTATCTGCATAGAAATCGTGCCAAGCAGGTTGTTGCTCCTTTGAATCAGAGAACACACTCAGAAGCTGGTCTGGTTCATCCCACGAATGAAAGCTCGAGCCAACGGAATCTAATGACGACCTCGATGAGTTGGCTCGCGGCGCAAGACCGATAGTTGGGAAAGCGCTGATATTGAACGGAGAGCTTGGAGGGTTCTGCCTTGATGACCGCCTACTGCCATTTCGCTGTGACAGTTCAAAGTTAGAGAAAACAGGCGATGTTGGCGAGCGAGGTGCGGTCTGTGTGGGCGTGGGAGACCGCGGCGCGTGTATTGCTGCTAAAATGGGGGAACCAAGCTCGATTTCAGGGATATATGCATTCGGCCGTGTCGAACTTGGGGACAATTCCTTGGGCGGTGAATTGGCAATAGAGGAGAAAGAGGGCTGCGCGCTTTGACCAGCCTCGAGCATGGGAGAATCTGGGAGAGCAGGTGATCTCAGAGAGCGCGCTGCACCAAATCGGTCATTCGGGGACTTCGATTGCATGACTCGAGAAGTTGACATACCTCCATCCGTTGTCCAACTATTATTCCGACTATGGCTATTTTTATGATTAGGATTAGTTGTCCATATAACATTAGAAGGTGTGCCAGGCCGGGATGAGGGGCGATTGGAAACAGCCATAGGTCGGTAAGAAGGGCCGGACAATGGAGAAGCAGGCCGACGTCGGCTCAGTAGGGCACTTAGAGAGCTATCAATATCGCTGGTATCTCCTGCTGCTCCAGACCAAGGACTGTCGTCGGGGGTATACCGCCCATTTGTGCTTCTTTGCAGGAAAAGAGGTGCAGCTCCCACAGGCGTGATAGGAGATGATTTAGCAGTCGATGAAGTAGACTCGCGTTTGAGCTTTGAAGTCGTTATGCTCACGAGCGTCGGGGAAACCGGGGGATCAGGAAAAGGTGATTGAGGTCGAGGGGTGGTTGAGTGTGAACGTTGCTCGTCGAAGTCGAAGTCGCGCGGTGTCATTGGTCTGGGCATACCAGGGACGTAACCTGGTATGGTTCGAGCTGGGATGGGAGAAGCTCTCCGTTCGCTGAATTCGTCGTGAATGGTCTGGTCGATGGAAATGGCCATTCCTCCTTGGAAGACTGACGATGCGTTCGAGGCATTGCTGTTCCGCTGGCAAGTAGGGTTCAGACAGATAAGACAGATCCGGTAAGAGAGAAACGTACCACTTCTGGCGCATGGTGTTCCAGATTGGCGCGCGGAATGGGCGGAGAGCGGGGCACCAAGATCTCATCTTCAACCTCGTCCTCGATCTCCTTGATGGCCTTCTCCAAAGCCAACGACGCACGTTTGAGATTGGAGGGTCCCATCGTCTTCTGCAGGCGGTATTCCGCGGCAGAAATGGCCTGAAGCTGACCGTCCACGTATGATGAGGAAGGAGTAGGGGTGGAGAGCGCGGAGTCAAGGTCAGTCGGACTGGGCTGAACAGGTGGGGTCGCCGTATTGTCAGGAGTAACAGACCGCACTGTGGCGTTCAATAGGTCCTTCGTCGATGCTTCAGTGGGCGTTAACGAAGCCGTACGAGTGCTGCCTCCCGACCCTCTCGATGATCCTACGCTCTTCAGATAGGCATAGTCGCGTAGACGACCAGAGCCGAATAGGTTATTGCTGTAGCGTTTGGACGGACGACTGGGAGAAGAAGTGACACTCGACACGGAAGTGGTCAAGGACCTCACCGAGCCCCTCGCCCCATCTTCACCTTCCCCAACGTTCTCCTGCGACCTGTCAGGTGTTGCTGTGCCTCGCGACCTGATACGCCCAAGGGTCTCCAAAAGCATATCCTCCTCCTCCTCTGTAATTTGATTCTCGGCGCCACGCGCTCGTTGGTTGGCGAGCCTTGACCGGAGTTGATCGAAGAGGACGGGGTCTCCAGTTGACTCGCGCAATAGCGAAAAACGACGGGAGAGACTGTGGGACGAGAAGAAGAGACGTGTTGTTGAGTTACGGCAAACCAAGGCAGGAACATAATGGGACTAGTGTCCTTACTCGGGAAGAATGAGCGACGTGCGAAAATCGTTGGTAGGAGGGAGCTCTGGAAGAGTGTCGATAGTGTCTAATGAGCTCTGTGACGAGTGAAGGGTGCTTGGTAGTTGAGGACGATGCGCGTCAGACTTTTTGCTAATATTTTTGAACAGGGTCAAGAAAAGGTGAGGCGTTAATTCCAATATGTCAAGGAAAATTGAACAACGTCTGCTTACCGGAATCGGTGCATATTGTGGTGCTAGTCCCTCGCTTTATACACGTTGAGGACGACCGGAGCCTTGTCAGATAGCTACTGCGTACAGACAGCAGGCAACGTGGTAAACACGAGTCGGTAGAAGATCAGACTGAGAAAGGAAGGCCTTCACAGAATTAGAACGGGGATGCTCGAATATCAAAGAGGAAATTATGTATGCAAGGAAATGAGACGAGAATAAAGGAAGAAATAAGAGAACGATAAGGAGAGGACGAGAACGAATTCTGCGCAGAGAGCCTGCAAAGGTTGCAAGTTGCAAAGCCGCTCACCGCTGTCCCCCAGGCACTGCTTTCCGCATGGGGTAGTGCCTGGACCGTCAAATCCATAGGCGCCTCGTTTCAACAGAAGTAAATATGGCATGCCTAATTTGAACGCTATACTTACGCCCATGAGTGTGCAGAGATGTGTCGATTGTGTGTCGAAGGTGGGCTGAAATCATTTTACATTGCTCGTAAAGCAAAACGTGATGGTCCGTGTTGTGATAGGATAAAATTACAGGTGTCAGATTTAGTACTTGAAGATGATAAAGATGTCCATGCTTCAGGTCGCGTGTCTGTGCAGTGGAGATAAAGATTGGCTTGAGAAGACGATGCTAAGAGAAAAAAGCTCACTTTTTTGTCCATTCCTTCGCAGTCGCCAAGAATTTAGCGTGATCGTTCTTTAGTAACTGCGCGAGATAGATTGGTGGAGGACATCCTTGACGTGAAAACAGACGTACTGCAGCGATATCTGGCTCGAAAGGATCATCTGGGCTAGGGTTGTTTAGCTTCTCTTGGATAATAGACAGCACTGAGAAAAGAGAGGCACTCGATCAGAGGGAATTGGCAGGCGTAGAGAGGCAGGCTGACCAGTGGACAGAGTGACGGTGGGCTTCCACTAAACCCCTCGTGTAAGAGAGAGGCGCGACATCCGCAGTGATAAATGGGTTACACACCTCATCCCTAAGAACGGGGACACAGATTGCTCCTTCCTCGTTGATGCCGGGGTGGTAGATCTTGGTTGTAAAGGTAACCTGCAAGGCCTAATTGAAAGAGATGAAATGAACATGGGCTTCGGTGCTTACAGTAGGCGCCTTGAAGGGGTAGTTTGGAGGCAGCGAAAGGTTAAAATGGAATGTTCCATTCTTGTACGGTGAATCCGACTACCATAGAGTAAGATCAGGTGTACAATAAAGCGAGAAGCAGTACCCACATCCGCTTTGATAGAGCACTTCCACTCAAACATGTTGTCATCCTTCACCTCGACGGACAAACCCTATGTTATGAGTATAAGTGCCAAGTCATATGCGTCGTTTCGGGACGTAATTACAGGGAGAGGTTTCTCATTGATATCTTTGAGCTCCTGTGAAGATATAAGCGTGTCGTCTGACAGAAATCAAAAGCAATCACCTTCTGAATCCGTCTGCAATGGGCATCATAAGCGTAAATTCGCGCATCTGAGGGGTAGATCCTCACCTCGCAGCAGTCATAATGAAAGAGGTTGTGGTGGCACAACTTGTTGTTGGGAGAGCAACTCATCTTCCCGAAACCAGTTGGTCGAGGCATAGCCCAATTTGGAAGTCACTAATATCCTTGCTTTCCCGCTAACATTCATCCAGACGTAACGATTCATGCACGCCGAAGGGTCTTCACCACCACCTCAAGAGATAGATACTCCTCCAATAACTCATTCAAACTCAGAAACCCCAACGCCCAGCGTAAATGGAGGCAACGTGCAGCCAGCAACCTCCAGTGCTCCGTCCCGCAAACGGAAGCGACCACCGGCAACTGCCCCGTCTCCTGCACCTTCAGATCCAGGAAGCAACACTGGGAACGGAGCAAATGCGACAGAGTGCGTGCTCTCTCCCTAGGGTCTTAAAGCAATCTCCTTGACGCGTGAAAACAGTCTTCTGCCAACCTCTCGGGCAGACCTTTCTTCAAGGCCTATCCTCACAATCTCACGTGGCCCCATTTTCGTTCCAACGGCAGAAGGATCGGAATGGTTCAAGACCGAGATGGTGGGCGTGAACCGCATAGGATACCGCTACGTACCCGCCGGTATCAATCCAGCAGGCTATGCCTCACCCTGCCGTACGATCGAGAGCAATCCAACGTCACTCCGTGTCAGCTGGGAAGACCGCAGCCCCTTCCTCAAGGTGAAAAAAGATGGGCTGAGCATCTGCGGCAGCAAGGGCTTCCGCAGCGCGCGTTGTAACGCTCCATTTCGCGAGGGGAAGTGGTATATGGAAGTCAAAATCCTGCATGGTGGCGGAGAACACGTCGTAGACGAGGCACGTCGCGAAGGAAGTCACGTAAGACTGGGGTGGGGACGGAGAGAAGCTCCTCTGAATGCACCTGTGGGTCTGGACGGCTACAGCTATGGCTTCCGCGACAAAACAGGCGAGAAGGTCACACTATCTCGGCCACGGCCCTATGGCCGTCCATTCGGCACTGGCGATGTTGTAGGGATGTACATCTCTCTTGCCCCGCGTCGGAAACCGAATCCAAAAGACCCCCATGATCCAGCCCACCTGAAACGTGAACGAATTCCTATCGACTTGAAGGGCCAGGAAGTATTCGAAATCCTAGAATACCCGCAGTCCAAAGAGATGGCGGCACTCATGGACTACTCTGGAAAAACCACAAATTCCGCCTCCCTCCCGTCAACGGCCAAGAAGCCAGTAGGCGGGAAGCCAGAGCGCGGACCGTCTCAGCCTGGCTCGAAATCTCCAGCGACGAACCTTCGCCCTCTGCCTATCCTTCCTGGTTCTCGAATAGCTTTTTTCGTCAACGGTGAGTGTCAAGGACTAGCATTCCAGGACCTGTACGACTACATCCCTCTACGTCAAACTGAGACACAACGAAAAGCAAACTCGCGAAGACGGGCGAGAGAAGGTGTGAAGGAGCATCGAGAAAACTCCTTCGACGACGGCACGCTAGGATACTACCCCTTCATTTCCCTGTTTAATGATGCGAGTGTGCGTCTCAACCCTGGACCAGACTTCGAGTACCCTCCTCCATCTGATATCGATGCTTTTCTGGATAGCATGTCGTCTGAGCAACCCGTCAAACCTCCAGACTCCAGTCATCCAGACCCTTCAGACATATCCATATCGATAGAACTGTCTCATCCTCCGCAAAACCCTATGCCCGTCGCAGCCGAAGGTGCGGATGTCAAACCATCAATTCCAATTCCAATGGACGTCGAAGCTACGGAAAACGCCAATCGCACTTCTGCCTCCGACACCGACCCTGCACCTGCACCCTCTGCCTCTTCCTCGCGAACCTGGCGTCCCGCATTCGAGCGCTACCCCGAGTTCATGGCGGAAGAGTGGGCATTTGATGCACTGGAGGAGGAAGAGGCCAAGGTCGAGGCTGCCAAACATGCCGCAGCGGACAAGGCGGAAGAGGAGAAGCGCAAGCAGCGTGAAAAGAGGAGGCAGCAGGCCGAAGCCCGTAAGAAGGCGCGGAAGGCGGCCGCTGAGCAGGCAGCAAACGCCACTTTGGCGGAGGAGGAGCACGAGATTTCTCTTGGAAGGGAAGGAGGCGGCGGGAGGGCCACACCGGTGTCGGCGGTGTATGGGCATGTTGGGGTGCATAGTACGCAGCCCAGCCCGAGTCCTCTGAGACAGTCAACGGCGTATGATGCGTTCGAAGAGGCTGTTGAGTACGTACCTTCGCCTGCGCCTACGTTTGCGTCGTATGGCGAAGTTCAGGGTGGTCAGAGCGGGTATACCTCCGAGAATAATCAGGAGCAGCAGATGGATGATGAGATGGATGTAGATCAGGAACTCGAGGCGATCCTGGACAGTTAATTTCATGTTTGTATCTTTCCTTGACTTTGCATAGACACCTTATTGTATGTACTTTCCTCGCCCCTCAAAATAATATCCGTCCTTGTCAAGCTAGCATTCGCCCCTGCCTCTCCGAGAAGCGAAATGAAGCGCCCTTGGACAGAAGAATTGAGTAGGATCATCGATAACTACAGTGGGATGTAGATAATCCAATGGATTGCTTGACAGATTACTAGATGAAAGCAGTAATTGAAATTGTACATGTGGATGAATCGCAATGACGGAAGAATGGAGGGTATCTCTGCATGTTGAGACAATCGGAGGGATTAAAGGTGTCGCATGTAGGATGAGGATTTGTGGGTTGTGAGCAGGCAAAATCGGAAAGATGATGAATGGGCTCGGGCGGAAAATGAAGGCCCGTATGAATAAATTAATTGTCTGTCGGCAGCGGGGTTGTGCGAGGCTGCGAGATGTAGGACTGGCGTAACGAATGCCGACGATTATCATATATGTCGGGGGGCAGCTACCACCCGGGAGGAGGTACACGCAAGGGATACCTGTACCAGCAGCAGGACAAAAATGACCCCATCAGCATCCTCTGTCGCCACCTCAAAAGAAAAAATCACAACGCACCCATAGGTAACACCATACCCCTTCTCCTTCTCGACCCTAATATCAAACATCACCTCCCCCGTCTGCCCATCCCACTCCACGCGACACCAGTTGCGCTTGCCCATAATGAATTTTTGCTTCCGCGGCTGCTGGTTATGCGGTTCCACGCTGAATATCGGCATCTATAGATTGCCATTATATTTCCGTTCAGCGTTTTGTTAGGCGGAGTTGCAAATGGGGATATGAGGATAATTAAGAAGACAGGGGTCGGGGGAAGCTTTGTCGTCGGCGCGGAACGAAAGAATGGATAGAAGGTAAACGGAGAAGAAAAGGGGAAAGGGGCAGATGGAGCAATAGAAGGAACTTCAGGGAAGGAAGGAAGGAGAGAAGGGGGGAAGCGAAGGCACGAACCATTGTTTCGTCTGTCTCGATTGAGTGTAGAGTCTTGTGTACTTTGGTAGCGAGAGAGGAGACCATCGTTATCACTCCGTTCGGCCTGCGAGGCGCACAATCAGCCCTTAACTGAGAGCCCTATCACATCGAAGGAGGGCTGTACTTACGGTGGTGTGTTGACAATCGCACCTACAACACCAATCAATTCATTCAGCAATAAAAGCGCAATGAAGAAGAGAACGCACTCGAAACAACGTTGACCATGTACCTGAAATCCGCTAGTGGTTGAAGCTCGGGCTTGCCCTTGACTTTGAGCGTCTTGAGTACGCCGACCGCGGCGCAATGCACATCGCCGGACAAGAAAGACACGCGGATCCGCTTAATGCGCGCAAAGTTCTGCAGCTGCTCGATGAGCCAGTTACGCTCTTTCTTGTGACTTCGTGCCGTCCAGTGGTCATTCTATGGCACGAATAAGAATAATTTCATCCCACGCATACAAGGGCCAGGACTCACAAGATCATCCAAAAGCTCCGCCTCCGCATTGAACTTGTTCACGAAGCCGCTCAGCCCCAGCGTTCCATTCCTTCCTAGCGCAACGAGCGGGTTGAACTTGCTCTCGAGCGCCGTCTCCAGGAACACCATGCGCGGATACGCGATTGGGATGCCCAGCTGCACGACGAGGTGCTCGACACCCGCGGGGAGGTTGTTTATCCGGTCGAAGACGCGTTGGTACTGCCCTGTGCTGCAGACTTGTTCCTTTTTGCGTTCGGCGCTAAACAGAAATAGAGACAGGGGAGCGTGTTATGATGCAGGGTGGGTTCGCAGGAGGGGGAGAAGGCGTACCGGCAGTCGAGGAGGAGCATGTAGACTTGAGGCCCGAGACGTGGAAGGAAGGAGTGCGAGGGGAAGCGGACGTATGGGCCTGGTTCGCCGATGATGAGAGATTGGTAGACGTGTTTGCCTGGGATATCTTGAATGCCGTCGACTTCCACTGCGCAAAGGTAACATGAATAAACAAACGTCAGGTATTAAGAACAATGCCGTACCATTGATGAAGCATTGGAAAAGAAGGAAGAAGAAATATCCTCTTGCACCAATTCTATCATCACACAAGGTGAATTCGTAAGACGGCCAACTCAAAAATATTTCAGTCGAAACAGATGACGAACTGTCGGAACACAGGCGCCCGTTGCAAGTCGTCAGGATCTAGAGTACGGCAACGCGCCCCAATCAGAGAAAAGCGTGAAACAAGACAACAAACCCGGACTTACAACTCCCAAAGCCGTCGATCTAAATGGCACAAAGACCCCACTGTCAACTCTATTTTCTTCCACAAAGCCAGCCACAAAGACGACGTACAAGATCTGTCAAACAGGATTAGTCAACACAAAAGCATCAAGGAGCCGATCAAGTGTGGCGCACCGTGATCATCACACATGTTGAGCATGGGTCTGATCGAGGACGAGTATTCAGCACAAGGAAATGTTACTAGAAAGGAGAAAGGAGAAGAGATAACGGGGAACAAAAGGCGTACATTGAGCAGTTCGCGCGCGCGAAGGCGCCGGTTCGGAAGGCCTGGCAGTAGTGGTTGAAGAAGAAGCGGTCGATGGCGAGCTCCATCTCGGTGGAGAGCTGATAAGTTTTCTTCTCCTCAGGCTTCATCTTCGAGACCCAGTCTTGCATTTCCGGTTCGCGCATTAGTCTAAAAATAGGCCTCAAAATTCATGCGTAAAAAAGGAAAGGTGATATTTACGAGTCGCAGTAGAGCTGGTCGCCTCCGCCTACGAGCGCGTGGAATGGCGTCTCTGAGTGCTTGGAGAGGAGGTCCATCCAAACGGGGTCGTAGCCAGACTTGAACCCTGGCCCGCGAAAGTCATCTGGGTTCACGCCCGCCGAGAATCCGTTGCACTGCCATTTCAGAAATTCACGAAGGGGCAAGATCAGAACGCGTGTTGATGAGTCAAGCCCAAGCCGAGCTGGCTCGAGCGAAAGAGAGAAAATAAAACAATATACGCACGGAATGGGCAGCCCAACGCATATTCTGCATCCTCCCGGGCACCCAAAACTCCAACTGCTGGCCATTGTTGATCGAATACTTGATCGCCATCTCGTGGTCAGAGAGCGGGACTTTGATCAGGAAGCGCCAGAAGGTGAACGTTCTACGAGGTGGGTCGAGAATTACGGGATGAGCACAAGACCAAGAACCCAAGAATGCGCAGTCAGAGTATTTCGTGATCGATAAGACACGGGGAAGGACTCACCCTCCATGACCGCCGTACACCCATAGCTCCTGGCCCAGAACCTTTTCGCTGCAGGTGTTTGGTCCATACCCGCCGTCTGCGCCAAAGGAGCCGTTCCCATGGCCGTTGGACCCTTCCTGGCGGCGTCCTGGGCTAAAAGGGTAACTCGGCACGGAAAAGGCAGAAACCGTCGGCGAGGCGGGAAGGACTGTAGAGTGTGGGTCGGCGGGGTGAGGTCCTAGCTCGTAAGACGTGGCGCTGTGAAGACCTTGCAGGCCACTTGACCGCGGTGGGCTGCTAGGAGACTGGATAGAACTGCTTGCGCTGCGGTGGGAGAAAGGACTCGTGGGGTTGATGGCAGAGTTGGGTTGGCTGGGATTCGGAGTATGATCTGGCACGGATTGGTCGGGGTCCCAGGTGTAGGTTAGCGTAGGATGCGGCTCGTAGATGGAACCGCTGTCGGCGGCTGAAGGTTTTTGGTCAGCGGTGGTTCGATTACCGACGTTAACGGATAAAAGAAGCGAGAGATGATACTGACTGACAATAAGGGCTGCACCGTGCCAGATTCCGTGCTCGTCAATGGTGTCGTATCTGTGGATGAAGGTTAGTAAAAATAGAAAGAGGGCAATATATGGGATCGGCACGCACTTGAGAAGCGGCCCACACATGAACTGGTGGGTGGGCAGGGTTGATCGTAGGTTGCAGCGGGAGAAGGACAGTGCAGGGAACATACCTGGAGATGAGGATCCATACGGGCAACACGAAGGGTCTGCGAGCGCTCAACAGCGGTCATGTGGGTGAGCTGTGAAGTTGAGACGGTTGTCTGACTCGGCTGAGGGTGTGGAGGGTGTGTATACGGGAAGTCCTTTGGCGGCAGAGCAGGAGGAAGCGGTGAAGGCGGTGGATGATGTCTGTATCCGCCGATGAAGCTTTCTTCGATGGGGCCGACATCGTCGTGGGCCAGAGTGTGGCCAGCGGCGGCGGAGTTGCGGTACTCGCGCAGGTACGCCTCATTTTCCTGGAGGGAGTGAGTGTGAGGAGGAGAGGAGAAGAGGGAGACGAACTTTTCTGGCGCGACGCTGAGCATGCCAGCCGGCGTTGTCCATTGTGTGACTGTGCTCTGTGAAGAACGAGACCGATTTCGATCGGCGAATCTACGTCATGCCATGTTTGGCGCAGTTGACACGCGTTGTTCCCGTGGGCCCTTCTTTTTCTTTTCCTGTCCAACCCCGTAGATTTATATAAACCCGGCTTTCTTCCTCCGTCCCTCATACTCCCGCACCATGACGGAGTACGACTTCTCCCCCGAGGCTGTCGAGGCCCACATCCGCAAGCAATACCAGATCGCAAACTGGGTCGACAACACAAACCGCCAGCCCCTTCGCAACCCCTTCACCCCCGCTACCCCAGCCGTCCAGGCCCTACAACTCAGAGACCAATACCCCGAGGGCAATGATTACACCGATGCCCAACGCCATCGCCGACGAGACTCCAAAGATCACCATGATCGCCACAGGGAGCGGGACCGGGGGGACAGGCAGTCAACAAGGGACAGGGAGCGCGAGCGGGACAGAGACAGAGACGGGACGAGCAGCCGACACCGTCCATCCATCTCATCCTCGTCCCGCCCCCACACCAAACGTAACCGCTCCGCCTCCCAGTCAGCCACCACCGTGCGGCCGGAGCCTGCCCGCAAATTCTCCGTGCCCCAACCCCTCCAGCTCCCTCCCCAGCACAACCACTACCAGTCGAGCTCACAGCAGTCTTCACCGACAAGAGTATCCCCACATTACCCGTACCCCTCCAAGATGACTTCGCCTCGCGACTCAAGGGACTCCTCACATTCCTCCGCTACTGTGCCGCAGCCCACCTACTACCCGCACCAGCAAGTTCCTCATTCCGCACCAATACCCAGGCCGTCCCGCATGCAGACGATGCCCCCAAACTACGCCTATCCCATCGACTCCAAGTACCCCTACACTGCACATCAGCCGCAGGCGGTCGCCTTCCCGAACGCATACACAGGGTACCCAGGGAAACAACAGCATTTCGACGTTGCAGTGCGTCATCACCTTCCCTTTGTCTCTAGCCGTTGTACTCACTCGCTTCATTGCTATTCTATGCAGAATGCCCCACAGTATCCACATTCGATGTACCAAACAAAGCCCCCACCCCTGCTCAAGCGACTCTTCATGGGCCTCACAGGCGGCAACAAGCATGCACAACCCAAGGTCCCGCGGCGGAAGCGGAGCAGCAGCTTCTAATCGCCGTCGCCTCCCATCTCACCTCTTTCGATTCTTCGTTCACCCTTGGCCTCTGGCGTTCGTGCTGTGTGTTCCGCACCGACTCGCCTTCTCCGCCGACCCTTTGAGATTCCCATTTTTAATCCCGGGCTTGATGCCCGTTGACGCATACCCCCATACCATCTCGTTGTATTACCACCCTCATCATACATGCGACACCCAGCCTAGCACTATCTGCACGCACCATTGCCCACATCACCCTCATCCCCCCAATCTATCCATCGCATACCTTAAAATCCTGGCTGTCCAGTGCATTGTCTCTCCATTCTTCACTATCAGGACACCACTGCCATTGCATACGCATTTACCCTTCATTTTTCTTGTGTTTTAGTATATTGCTCCTTTCTTATTCATGTCTGGTTGGCATCCGTGATCGTTGTGATTTCTGACTCTTATTGTATGTAGCTTTAGGTTTTCGTCTTTAGGACGTCTCTGTAGGTATGCCTCAATTGGCACCTGCCCGAGCGGCCTATTGTGTCGATTCACGATGTCCTTCCATTCTATCAAACCTTCCTAATCCCCAGTCCTCCAGTTCGGTACCTACGAGGCCTATAGATACCATAGATGCGGATTTACCCCATTTCACCCCCCCTTCGTCCCGGTGTTCCTTTTGTGTGGAGCGCAGCTTCAGCTTCATTTACTTAATCTTGGTGGCCGCTTGTACTCCTGCTGCGTATGGCTATGGCGGGCACCTACCTTACCGCTCCCTCCCCCGCTTCCTCGACTTCGTGTATCCGACCCCACCCATACATTCGGTCTCCCGTCCCGCTACTCCCGTTCTGGCGATGACTACCAACGGAGCACAAGGTGACGCCACCCAGCAATCCCTCCATCCGTCCGCTGGCGACACGTCTGGGCCCGCGCACTGCCTATTCGCCACAATCACACTCGCCATCTCGCCATCTCGTCTCATCCAGTCGAATCTAATCACCCCGCATCTCGCATTCATTCTATCTATAGCCCTATAGATCCGTTCATCCGAGCCCCCCAACTTCGGTATCATCGTGACGGACGGATTGCGGGGACCCACAAGACTTCGAATACTGTGTACGAATTCGAATTCGCGAATCACGATGCACGGAGCTTTTGTGTACGGCCTGAATATGGGCGGCGTGACGCCACGACCCAACGGGTATGTCCTGGGCGAAACCCAAGAACTCCAAACTTGATCTCAGCGGCGGTTTTGCGAATTTCGCGGTCAGCCGGGGGGAGGGAGGGACGGTCCTGTGGTCCACCCGGTCAGCTGAGGAGGGGAAGTTAGCTATAGGCTTCCGATTACCGATTATCTCTCTCGTTCCTGGGCGTTCTATTCATCCCTGGACCGCACTCTCCCAGAGTCAAGACAGGTCAAGAACCAGGGCAAGAGCCTCGAGGCTGCGAACTCCAGTGAATGGCTGCCATATTCGCACTTGGGACCACCTCCGGCTACTTGACTCTCGCACACACGCGCGCACCTGCCACTGCCTGCCGGCTTACCCCACCCCCAATCCGACTCCGTGACTCACGCAATTGGATATTCGAGAGTCGACGCTCGACACGCTAGAGCGAGAAAAGAAAAGAACTTGGCCTTGCCGGCATGACAGAAGACAGAAGATGTTGGATCCGTGCGTAACGCGTGTGTCCTAACTATGCGGCGTCAAACCGCGGTCCACTCGTGATCCATGTTCCTCCCCTCCGACGGGCTCACAAAAGTATTTTGCCATACAGAGTCTCTTCCCTAATGCAACCCTGTGTTCTCCGATATCGGCTTTCGCGTTTATGAGCTTTTTTTCACTACTTTAATCCTCGGGCGGCGCTGTTCCGAGCCACCATTAGACATTTCCCGAGTCACATACTACTATTTCACTTGTTCCGAGCGCTCTACTATTTCTATCCCATCGTATTCCTTGTTTGATGATACCCTTGTTCTCCATGCCCTTCACGGACTCGACACGTTTCATTACCCTAATGACTCACTTATTCTTTATCTATTCCTATCTATCGTCGACATCATGAATTTCATTTCGTCTCATCATAACGTACTCATTCATAGCTTCGTAATACCCTGTTCTTCCACGAGCGTCCTACACACGAATAGATGACCTTTTCATGACTTCATTCACATGCATGTCGTTATCGTATCGCGCTGGATCTCCCTGCAGGCCTGCAAGTCACACTTGATCCGGTGAAACGACTGCGGTAGAGCTTGATTTGAGCCCATAGGGATCACACAAGTTACTCAACGCATACGTATTCCTGTGGCGCATTTACGCTCTATGACGGTGCGCCACCCCTTCTGTGGCGTCGCAGTTCCTAAACGTTTGTTGGGATTCCAGGTCGCATGATCCGTTTATCGTTCAGCCCTTGGGGTCGGTAGGAAAATTCGGTCCGATGTGAGAAACCATGACAAAATACCGGCACTTAAAACACGTAATGCAAGGCGGTGGAGGCGTGGACCCCACGGGGTGTGTGTCGGGGCGGGGGTAGACGGTAATTAAGTGCACGCGGCGCTTTGGGTGGGGGGTTAGAGCTCTCGCACAGGGTTTCTCTGTCACGGTTTCTATGCACAATCCCTGAGAGTTGAATGGTGGAGGGGGTCGACAAGAACTATGGGGTTTGGGAGCATCTCGCCGTGTGGGAAGACATTTAGAGTAGGTTGGATTCGCAACTCATTTCGGATTTCTCTTCGCTCACACGACCCCAATACTACCCCGTATTACCAAACACTCATCACAGTTCTTCTGCTTCTTCCCCAGGTCTTGTTCGAACTTTACTCGATAGAACAGAGGGCAGCTAAGTACGGACTTGATGGGAACATCCTGGGCGCTATGGCAGGGCGCTACAGGGTTATCGATTATCGATGGAACACGGGTAAGGGAGATCTGCGAAGAGCCCTTGGGAGATGCCCGAGGCGACACTTGATTGCGCCCAATCAGTCCAGGGACAAAAACTCCCTTTCGTGACAAGAATGACAGCCTCGTTTTAACCGTTTCGTCTAACTTGAGCCTTGGATTCCGCGAATGCAAGGACCCATTGACGGGCGCCTATTTTTGGCCCAATGTTGGCCGATCACTTCCATGTTGATCGATCGTAATTTGGATGCTCTTGGCGGGCCTGCATCCGATGGGTCCGCTACTCTTCTAGAAAGGCGCTACAGGCAGATGAAACTTAGGTTTGACAAGAATATCGGCTTTAGGAACGTCCAACAGTCGCCTGCGGCACTTCGACAAATGATCATGCTAGACATGAGAACTCTGGAACGTGATGTTGGTCAGCTGAGTCAAAGGCCAGGTCATCAAGGACGAAATCTTCTCTTTCTCTTTCACAAAGTCGAGCTTCAAAAATAAATTGAGCCACACTTTTTCCTTCTTTGTCTTGTCCCCCTGCGAGATTACGTGTTTGGGAGCTCTCATGGGGGGCGTACTATAGACAAGTTTTATCGAAGACTCCTCGTTCTATGGCGGCGTTGTGATCACTTGACGGCCAGAATCTTATCCTTGAGAAACTTAGGGAGCGACATATTGGCCCCACATGATTGATGACGACGAGAATATGTCACGGTACGACCTCCAACAGACGCCATCGTCGTATCTAAGCCTTTCAAGGAGGGTTGCTCACCCAAGAGAGCGGTACTTTCGGTCATTGGTGCCCAGAAGTCTAGTTCCCCACGTCAGGATTCAGATGCAGGACTCATGACTTGAGACAAGATAAGCACATTGCTCAGATGATGTGTGTCGAAGGAAAAGACGAGACAAGCCTCTCACTCTGCAGGGTAGGCCAGCGCCTTCTAGCACGCTCCAGTGTTTTCTCAGGCCCACGAGTACTCATGAGTGATGTCTTCGAGGATATGTGAGCCTGAGACTCCGTGGATTATCGGGGATTAGCGTGCTGCGTGCTGGATCGGAGCATGAGAGATAAGGGAATTCACGTCAGCGCAGATTATGTGGTCTCCGGGCCTGGCGTTGAGGCGGTGCTCAGATTACCTACTCTGATTTTCACCTGCTGCGTAGGTTTGGTTTCCCCGACCCGTAGCCAAACCGCCGGTGTTCGGATATTGGGCACAGAAGTTCAGTAGGTCCAGACTGCTGAGCTCAAAGATTAAACAAATGGACCGAGCGGCGCTGAAATAATGAGTCAGCATCAGCTGCCTTGACAAACGGTGGCGTATCCGATCATGCAGTGGCGCATTTGTAAAATCTCGGCGAGTCCGATGTGCACCATCTGGGGATCCATAAAGTTACCTTCTTCAGTGTAATTCGCGGAAGAAGACTTTATGAACGCTCTGAGTGACTGATCGAGTGTCCTTTGGGGGAAGTAGGTAAGTAGGACCAAGAATGATTCAAACCCACCTGAGTGTGGCGCACTTTCCTTCTCGGGAGGTTTGATTTGGCTCCGCAGAATGCTAAGCGGAAAGGAGGTTAGTTGCCCCGTCATATTTGTGTTATCATTGGAATTGAGCAGTTCTACTTAAATGGTGGGAAATGCACCATAGAATACAAATACCATACGGCATAGCACCACGGCAGGGAGGATATCAGAGCAACGGGATACGCAAATATGTTTTTCAGATGTTTGTAGAATATGGAACCGGAGAACAATACTAAGGAATGCATTCGGATTTTATACCATGTCGTGAGCACTTGGTTGCATGTTTGCAATCCCCGCCCGATGCTCGTGTTCTTGTGTTGTTGGGTTCACGACGTTGGCTGTTCCATTGTTTCCATTCTGTTGTTCTCCAAGTCCAACGGCCCTATTGGCTGGCATCACTGCCAGCAGTTGTGCAGCTGAAATTGCCTATGAGGACCGTAGCATCACCAGAGGCACCAACATATTACTCGCCGTCTCCGTAGCCCCAACCACCTTCTCGGGTGAATGGCGACTTGTAAGAGGGAAATTGATGCGTCGGTTGATAGGTGTAATAAGGATCGTTTGCAGAAGTTGGGAAAAGGGACGGCGATGGAGTGGCGAAGTAGCCCGAAGGAGGAGCCGATGGTTGAACCGGAAATCGGCCTGAAGGAACGAGTGCCATTCAGGTTCCAATGATTGCCCCTGCCAGAATGTCGTACCAGTTGTGGACTGTTGAAGGATGATCTGTTGAATTGACGCCAAAGTCAGTTGACTTGCTGACAAAACGCACCTTCGTCGACTGTAGGTGCTCCGGAGATGAGGCAAGCTCCAAGCAGAGGTGCAAAGAACAAAACCATCTTCCAATATGCAGGGTTATGGGCGCCCATGACCTTAAGTTGAACATTCAGGTAAAGAGAGAGATAGAACAATCCGGCCCGTGCAGCGGTGGAGTGGCCAGACGGCATGGATTCCAGTGCGTCATTGATCCGCTTCTCGTCGCCTGTGCAAACGGATTGGTCGTACATGAGAATGGCAAAGCCGACACCGTCCTGGGCTCCGGATTGTATCTGAGGTTGGCAAACGGCGTAACAATGCGGGGGCAGGCCACCGATGAGCCACTTAATAAACACTTGGAAGACGGTGGCGGTGATCAAGCCTATTGGGGTGCGGGTTAGTCACAGAAGCCTTCGTTGCGCCGGAGGCGTGCTTTTGAGTAAACGAGAAATGCGAGGAGAGCCGTAAGCCAGATGGGGATGATCTCCTTCCTGAGTGGATAAGCGAATTGAGGGTAGACGACAGCTCGCGCACGCCGTCCGCCTCGTTCAAAGTTCACGATGTCCGGCCGTTGACGTTGAAACGACGACCATCCCACTTTCCTCTTTCTTTCTTCCTCTCTCGTTTCATTTTCCCGTTCCGTGTCCTATATCTATTCAGTTTCATTGCGCCATTCTCTCCTTCCCTCAATCCCTACCGCGCGCGCCAACGTCGACGGGATGGTCCTCGAAGATGATGGAAACCAGCTTCTCCTTCTGTTCGTGCCGCCCGTTCTGGAAATAGACAGGGAAGGATCGACTTGGGGCGGGTGCTGGCGATAACGTATAAGACCCCACTTGCGTGTTGAGAAGAATCAAGACTCACAGGCAAAATACACTCCTAATCCGATGGCACCCATCACTGCCATGGTGAAGATGTCGACGCCATGTAGCCTCAACCAAATACCGAAGCCAAAGGGCTTTCCAATGGCCGTACCTGTCTGGTTGTTGGTGAGTTTTCGGTCCTGGGTGTCGTGGTTACGTCTACTGAAGAGGGGCATGATAGCAGGCGCAGCCCTAGGACCTTGGAGAAATTATATAAGGGATGAATGTAGGAGTAGGGCCGTCATCGTCAACACAAAAATAGCGCCCCTAACGAAGAACCAGCGATCGCTATAAATACCTGAAATTTGATGTTCAGGCACATCCGAGGTCTCTCCTACAGCTTGGTTTCGCAGAAATACAATGTTAAATAAAATCCATAGTGAATATACTCAGTATTTTTCAGCAAGTACTATCGGGTGCGTCAGAAAAACAGCATGGTTAGAGAGTATACAACTCACTCAGCGCTGTCAATGACGTCCAACCAGTGAATGGATGGCTAGAAATAGACGTCGTCAGGATTGACGATCGATGATGCAGTGCACGCAACGGACCTCCTTCTACCCTCGCCTGTTAGCGCGTCATACTGCTCCCAGACGAATCCAGTGCGCTCGTACTCCTGCATCGTGGTTAGCAACTACCAAGACACGCTGATTGCAGTACACGTACCTTCACCACGTTATCAACCACATTTTTCCGCAATTCGTCATAGATTTGTTTGGCCCTTTCCCGATATGGACCATCACGAGCTGCATACGTCTTGAGAAAAATGAGTGACCATCCAGACAGAAAGTAAGTGCGTATAAAAACCTTGTGCAATGCCCGTAAGGCAAGGTAATTCATCTGGATCCAGATGGGACCTTTCCAATAATTTTCACCTTGGCCAAATTCAGGGTGGGATGCCGACAAGCTCCGGATGCCATAAGGCGACCAGAGATGTTCGGGATCGTGCACGAGGTCGAGAATATGCCCTAGGTGAGGAGAGGAAGGCGGAAGAAGCTCGAGGAGGAATGGGAATAACGACAGATATCCCTTGTGGCAGACAGGATAAGATTCATCTAACAACGGCGTTTTATCAGAGACGCATTCGACGCCCCCAATGAACCGACAGATACCTTCATCATTCACGTTCAAGTCGCAATACATCTTTTCAGACTCGTTCCAGTGCAAATCTTGATCAAATTTAGAAAAGGGGACAGGAGGCAAGGGCACGACATACCTTCGATGTTGTCCAGGACTGCCTTCTCGACTTGAACGAAGGTCGTTTCATCGTCCTTCTCTCCGACAAAAGCAGCGATCTCACGCATCGTTCTCGAGAAAAATGCAACCCAAGAAATCAAATCTAAGTGCAGCTCGCCCGCGTGAGGCGGCCCTCTAGGATAGTCGTCCATGCCACTAGTCAAGACATGGAGCTCCGAACGCCCTCTCCATCGGTAGCCTTCCGTCCTTGAGCGTGCCTTCCGTGCATATTGCTTGATCTGTCCACGTTGACTGCGTCTGAACCAATCATAATGTCGCTTCAAGGGTTTGTAAATGCCCTTGAGGAACTCAAGTGCAAGTTCCGGCCGTTCTACGTATTGGCTTTCGACGGCAGTCAGCTTTGGGGGGACGGTAAGTGGCATTTGGGAGCCCATTCCCATATCCATGCTAAGCTCCTGATCGGATGGGCCACGAGCGGCGGACACGGCTTTTACACGTTCGATGAAGGCTGTGACCGCCATCGTCAATGTTGGCGGGTTGGCGTAGTTGGGTACTTGGGTTTGAAATTCATGTGGGACCTATTTCAAAGGTTGATACATATCTGCGAAACGGGTCGAGTCTGCGGACTTACTTTGCTACGTGCCTCCTCACCAAGAATTTGTTCCCTGGCTACCCAGCCATCTTCATCAATGAGTCCAATCCAGTCCTTCAAGATCTCAAGACTAGACAACTTCAGTTCAAACTGAATAATATTGTGGTTGAGCCATCCTCACCTGAAGTCATTATCCCATTGTCCAATGTGTAAGAGATGGAAACCCTCATCCCTGAAACCATCGTGTTAGTCGTTTCCCCTAGATGAATACTCGTACACAGCCTGACATACCAATAGAAGCCGCGAGGGAAAAAGCTACGACTCGGTGTTGCGGTCAACAGCGCCTTTGGTTCAGTCAGTTTAGCACCCTTTTGGTGATCGTCTCCATCGTCGATGGCGTCCTCATCCTCATCCCATTCATACGAAAATTTGCGATCCACAATCGAGGTTCCATAGAAGTAACCAACACCACCGACGAGGTTGGATGTAACAGCCTTCGAGAATGCTTCGAGCGAATCTTTCTTCTCTGGCGGATAATCCGTGGGGTAAGGAAGAACTTCCCGGAACCGTTTTCCGTAGGCCTCGACTAGTGCGGGGATACCTTGATCCAAGATAGAGGCTGTACATACAGGAGATAAATAGAGGGCGTTCCAAGATCCTTAGTGTTCACTTACACGACAACATCTGTTTTGAGCTCCCGCTATCAAACAGAACATCGAATTGGAAGGCGCCGTCAAAGAACTTCTGCACTGCAAAGAGATTGCTGTTGGTGTGCACGTCGTCTGGTAGCTGGAGAACAAACGACGGATCTGGTGCGCCAACATTAGGATCCTGGTATGGGGCTATGACTTGACGTCCCCGTTCCATCAGTGCACCCATAATGTGTGCTGGAGGAGTATGCATTATGACATACCTCATGTGGAACGGATTAATTAGCACATACCTTTAGCCTTCCAAACGTCTCCAGGATTTATCGATCGTCCAATGAAGTGTGCCCGTCCAAGTCTTTTGCGGAATGTTTCCACATGAGGACCTCCCAGAACGGCGCGATTGTCAATGCCTGTCGAACTGTGTTTGAACGAATTTGAATTACTTCGCCGAGAATGACGTACTGTCGAATATTCTGATCGTGAATTCGTCTAACTCTGGCGTTGAACCAGCCAGCTTGATTTCGCCAGCAATACCCTTGCACGGGTATGTCAATGGCGTACATATTGGATGTCTGGAAAAGAGACATACGTTCTCGTTTTCCTCTGTGACCATGTCCAGCCCTCCGAGTCCTTCGAGCCCAAAGTAGAATATCGTTGAAATCCTTGATATCTTGTCTGCAGTACATGTTAAATCACAACCAAGGACTGACATAGAGTCGCACCCTTTTCAATAGGTTCACCCTTGACACGGACAGCCCAGCTGCCGCCATGGTTCCCTCCTGCAACCTTCAGAAATTCGGTCGTAATTTTCACGTTGTTGAAACCATCCTTCAAGACTTGAACCCCTCCTTCTCGTGTGTCATATTCCGTCCATGTATAGCTGTCCAAATTATCCCCTTGGTCACAGTCGTGGCGTGTCTCTAATGGAAGGTAATAGTTTCAAATTCAAGTTATGACTCAACGTACCCGGAAAACGACGTACTTCCGATGGACTGGTAATCCTGTGTCCCAAACCACATGAGCCCTGTCATAAGGGATTGAGGTACCCTAGGCCGAAGGCCGAAATACAAGTTGGGTCGGTATGGTCCCCATAGAAGAGTCTCGTTAGCGGGTCGTGCTAGCACTACTGGTCCCAGAGGCAGGAGCAGGAGCCAGGGTAGCTGCATCGCGCTCGACGGAAAGATGAAAGTGGCTGGTGCTGAACGCCAATTTGGGATATTGATCGGGGTCGCGACGTGACCTTGACCACGTGCATACCATTACCCGAGCCTCAAATAGCAATGGCGACTTTGCGAGTTCATCTTCAACTGTGGAGAGACATTATTTTTATCTCGGACGGAAAAGTCGACAAGCTAGGACATGAGAATGTTCTCGTGCATTCTGGACCCCGCTCACCACGAGGGTTTGAGAAAAGGGTTGAGGAGACACAGCCTTCAACGTGTAAACCAGTACGTATTATATGAAATTGTCTTTGGCACGTTCTTTCGACTTGACTATCATCTCTCCCAAGTTCAGCGGGCAGCTACTTGGAAGCGCACCGCTTTTAGGGCGGCGTTTATTCCAAGGTCTCTGAAGCTGTGCGCCCCGACATCCTTAAATCCAGCCAGCCAACGCCTTTATTCCAACCATTAATACCTATCCCAATGACTTCTAACTTTGGCGACGCAAGCACGGTTGTCGGAGACGCTCCTTACAAGCGAAACGATGACCCAACTTCAAGCAAAGACCCGGAGTTTTCCAAACCATCTGCCCGTTTTGCTTCCACTTCCGCCAGAGGAAAAGGTGCAGTGCCTCTGGAAGAGTTCACTACCAGCGATTATACCCTCAAGGAACGGCCCTTCTTCATACCCATTAGCAAAGACGGTGTGATCGGAGCATTGGAGAAGCTCGATAAGCAACTCACGGCCGTACGCTTATTTTGTTTCCTGGACAATATGCAACCCCTCACACATGCTCTTCCAGGCTGGCAGAGCCCGGCTCTTGTCGAAGAAACAACCAACAGATTGGACAGGGAAAGAAGTGACTCCGGGTCAACTTGGACTCATTAATCATGGGTTAGTTGCCTGCAAACCTCTTGTCTTCGTTAGCCAACCTATATCTCCAGAGGATCCCCTAAGATTTTGACCAAATCTGGCCGTTATCCAGGCTTCCCTCTCCGAAACTGGTGGGCTAGGACTTGGGCGGGAACTAAAGGGTGTATGTGTTCTTCTATTCTGCAAATTCGATCTCATCTAATCTTTGATCGTTCCAGTGTCTGACACCGTCATCGATTTCCAAGGCTTGACCGTCGTACAGGTATCCCAGAACCAAGCCGCCGTTGTTTCCGATCCGCAGAACCACATTTTTGTTATCAAGAACTCTGGGTTCGTGGCGTATGCCGTCGAAGGAACTTACGACGTTTTGTCCATCGTCGACCAAACTCACCTGCCGACTGTCGTGAAAGACAAGTTGACAGGCGTTGTTCTTGGCTCTACTCATGAAGTCAGGATGAAAAGCAAGATTGGCGGACAGCAAGAGAAAGAATACGTTGTAGCCACCTTGTACGTTGTGTCTTATTTCCTCATCAAGTTTGACATGTATTCTGACCGCTATCGCCGATAGCTTGAACATTCCAGCCAGCAATTGTGCTATCCTTCAACGTGGAGACGACCTGGAACTTCTTGGTGCCGGCCAGTCTGTGATCACGAACCCAAGCGTCACTCTTCGCGGATTGTACACCCTGGGTGAAAACCAGTTGGAAATGCCTACGAAGGATATCTTTACCCGGGACCAAGTTCCTGTCAGCTTGACCATATATCTCAAATGGCAGCTCACCGAGCCTCTCAAACTCGCTACCCATGGATATAACACGCCTTATGATGCTCTCCGGGACAAGACGCAGTCGATTTTGACCCAGATCGTCGCACATCTTGATTATTCGTCAATGGTCAAGCAAAGGTCTTTGGGTCCAGATAACATGGACGACGGATCGGATCCATCTTCTGCATTTTTGGACGCCCTGAGAACGCGCGCAATGGACGATATGCACGATGCTGCGCTGGAATATGGTATCGTCTTGAAGGATTTGGGTATGCCTTTTTTTTTTGGCAATGTTTAAAATGTTTAGCATGCTGAAATTCTCCTCCAGCTGTTATTGATCGTCAATTCAAGGGCGAGATTGCAGCGACAATGGACAAGTTGACGACGCGTGCTCTGCAAGCTCAAGTCGAGGCTGCCGTGCGTTCTTTTATTTGCTCCTCATATCCTTTCTTACGCAAAGCTATCCTAGAACGTCGACAGAGAAAATAGCAACAAAGTCAAGCACGAAGAGGGTGCTCTGGCTGTTACACGAATCAAGGCACAAGCTGCGAACACGCAAGCTGATGCAGACGCTTATAGAGTCATAGCCGCCGCTAAAGCACAAGCGCAGAGGTTGCGAATTGAAGCGGAGGCGCAGGCGGAAGCGACA